TATTAGCTTATAATTATAAACGGCCTAAAAAGTATTTCCCTTAAATAGGAATTTAAAGTATATTACTTATAGGCTAATAGTAAGCTATATTTAACTAGCTTTTTCTAGCTTAAAATAAAATTTTAATATAAACCTCCTCTGCTTTTAAAAGTAAAAGGGCTGCCTTAAACAGTAAAGCAAAATATTTAATAATAACTCTACAGTATAAGCAACAAAATCAGTTATTTAAACTTTTTTTAACAATATAGTAAAATAATTTTACTATATATAAGCTAATCTTTAAACTAAATCCTCCTATTATAATATATTCACTATATTTTTAATCTTTATCCTAGTATTTTTAAATTAGTAGTTTATTATTAACTATTTTTTTTAATAGTAGTTTTTAATAAAAGCGCCTTTATATATCTTAGTTTAAATAAAGTTTTTAAAATATTAGCTTATATAATAGCTTTTCTATTATTGCTTTAATTAAGTTTTAAATATTCTTTTCTCTCTTTAAGCTTTATTTCTTTATTAAAATTGTAATACTTATTATTAAGTTTTTTTTTAATTATTAAGCCTTACTTAAAAAAATATTAAAGCCTTATTAGCTTTAATCTTAACTATTTAATATAAATAAAGTCTTTTTTTTATTATTATAAATACTTATTTACTAAATCTATAAAGCTAAAATTCCCTTTTATTTTTCTAATTCTTTAATATTTTTAAAAATAAAGGCTAAAGCTATAATTCCTTTATTATCATTTACCTAAATTAATTTAAACTACTTAATTTTAAATAATTAATTAACTAAGTATAAATCTAATATATTATACGCTTTTTTCTAATTAGTATTAATAAATCCTATTAAATAAAATAAAAATTAAGCTATAATAATAGTTTTAGCTTTTAATAAAACTAAAAGTAATAATACTTTTTTACTTAAAATTAAACTTTTTAACTATAATAAGTTAATAATATTAACTATTTCTATAAAACAAACATACTTAAAAATACTTTACTCTTATTTTATTTTATTTATTAATAAAACTTTAAAAAGCTAAAGGTTATTTATTAATTTTTTACTTTTTAACTCTTAAGCTAAAACTAAACCTTCTTAGCTTTTTAACAGTTTATATTTTTTCTATACTCCATTAGCTTAACTAATTCTATATTTTTTAATAAAGCTATTAAACTTTTATTTCCGCTAAAACTTAAAGTGGGGTTTTTTTTATTTAAAAAATCCAGGTTTAAGTTTAAAAAAAAGCTTTTATTTTTAAAATTAAGCTTCCTATTTAAATTTAAATTGCTAACTTTTTAATTAAGCATTATTAATTAAAAAAATTTAACTTTACTTTCCATTTTAAACTAACCCTTCACTATAAGTATATTTTTATCATAATTTATAACAGCATAATTCCACTACAGCTAAGTTTTTTTTAATATTATATTATAAATATTATTATTGCCTATAATATATATACAGCATATAGTAAAAATTCTTTTAATTATAATAAAAATATTAGTATAATAATAAATAAGTGTAACTAAGTTATTAGCTAACTTAAAGTATATCTTCTTTTTAACCTTTCTTATTTTTAAATTTAAGCATTAAATTATTTTTAAACTAATTAGCTTACCTAAAAAGTTATTATTTACTATTAAACAACTTATTTTAACACCAGCAATATATCCTTTTATAAACTTAAAGGTAAATATCTTTACCTTAAATAGTAATTAATTTTAGTAAATAAGCTTACCAGCCATGCTAACTACTTTTTTTTTACCTCTTTTAATACTATTAGAATAACCTTATCAGCTATTTATTTATAATTCTAGTTTATATATTATCTATATATATAATTAAAAAAACTAGTTTAAAAGTTAAGCTATACTTAATTTAACTTTTATATTATATAAAATTAACTTTATACTAAATTAGTTCTTTTCATATCCAGCCATCCCTTAAATAAAAACCATCTCTTTATAGCCCTTCTTCTAGCTCTTTTCAGCTATAGCCTTTTTAAAAGCCTTTTTTATTTATAAAAAAGTTTCTTTTCTCTTCCAGGCTTTTAAATTAGCATTTCTTATTAGGTAAAGAGAATTTATACGCCTTATTCTCTTAAGCACTAGCAAAATAATTAAGCACTAAAAGTTATACATATAATTATCATCTCTAAAAAAAGCTTTAGTTTTAATCTGCTTATTCTTAACAGCTAATAACTATAATTCGCCTTTTTCTTTTATTTAAACCTCCCATACATTTAAAACTCTATTTAAATTTTTACTAATTACATCCTTTACTAATAACATTTTTATTTATATCTTTATAACTTAACTATAAATAATATACCTAATTAAATACAAGTTATTTAAAATAAACTTTTTAATTTATATTTTTTAAATAATCTCGTTAATATAGCTTAATAATTACTAAAAGTAAAAGCACATTTAAATTCTATAGCCCTTATTACCATAGTTATAATAAGTTTATATAAAACTTTTACTTCTAAACTAGTTATAAGTATTACCATAACCTCTCCAGCTACTATACATAAATCTACAACCAGTATAGCTTTTACATCTATTCTGCTCAGCTTAGCTATAATAGTAAAAGAAAATATATAGCTTATTAATAAGTTATGCATTTTTTTAACTTTAAACATTTTAATTATAAAGCAGTTCTTACTCCTACTAAACTACCTAATTATACCCTTAATTTAAAAAGGTATATACTAGCAGAATATAAAGCGTTATTTATATTTATACTATTTAATTCTATATTAACTTTATTATATTTACTATTTATATTATTATTTAATTTTAATTTATTAAAGCTTTATTTATTATACTATTTTTTAAAAATAAATTAGCTTTAATATTTAAAAAAAGGTAATAATTAATAATATATTAATATATATTATTAAAAAAGTATAATTTAAATAAAAAGTTACTACTTTTTATTTTTTTATTTATATATAAGCAATTTATAACTAACTTTTATATATAATAGCCTTTATTATAAAGTTTAATTCCTTTAAAACTAAACAGGTATAAGAATAATCTCTAAATTAACTTGTAAAATTACTCTTCCTTATATTAATATAATAGCTTAGTAGTATAGTAAATATACTTAGGAATAGTTTTAAACAGCTTTTAGCTAAAAATATATACTTAAATGCTAATGCTTTAGTTTAAATTAAAGGTTTTTAATTAAAACTATATAATAAAAAGGTTTTTTACTTTAAGCTATATTTTCTTTTTTTAGCTAAGCTTTAAATATTATTATATATAAGTATTTTCCTTTAAACTTAAATAAAAAGCTGTATTTATTTCTTAAGTTTAAAAAAACTTATTTTTAAAAGTAATATATTAGTTATATAACTTAATATTTTTAATATACTTTTTTAGGCTTTTATTTAATAGGCTAGAAAAGAAATTAGTAAAAAAAAGTAATATTTTAATTTTTAAAATTAGCAGTTTATAAAAGAATAAAAATAAATTGTTTAAGTTTAAATAATACCTTAATTCCTTTTTTAAAAAAAAGTTATAAAATTTTTAAGTTAAATTACTTAGTTTTAATAATAAAATAAGCAAAATATCTCTTAAAACTAAACTAACTATTTTAATTAATAGTAATAATATCTTTAACAAATAATACTATAAAACTTAATAATAGTAGTTTTATTATATTAATATATATTAAAGGTATAAATTTGTTTTTTTTAATTTAAATTATAAGCTTTTTCTTAATTTATTTACTTTTTTTCTAAAAGCTATATTTAAAAGTAAGTATTAAGAGGAGTAAGTATATAGGTAACTAAGGAAAGTATTAAAGGTTTGTTGTTTTTTAATTTCTAAAGCCGGATTAAGAAGGGATTTTCTAAAATCTGCTAAATAGTTTAACTCTTTAGTATAGTTTAATATAGTTATAACTAATAAAGGAGTAGGGGGAAATAAGTATAAAGATTTTAATAGGATAGGTATTTTAATGGCTAAACGATTGTGTAAGGTTACTGTAATATTGTTTTTAACAACCTTTTTAGCCTAATTTAACTGTTTTTCTGCTTAGTTTTAGCTGGCTTATAATAAGTAATTTTAATTCTAGGATTATATAATTTAAAAAAAATAATAGTATTCTCTTTTGCTTAATCCTAATAGAACCTTTATATAACTTTTAAGCTTAATTAGGGAGAAATAATGCACTGTATTATAGTGCGTATAGACTCTTAATACAGGTATGTGTATTGTAAAAAGATTAGCTATGGATCCCGGACTTAAAAAATTGCCTATTTAGGCTTAAACGCGCCCCATCGCCACTACCCGCTACCACACCTCCCAAACGAAGGTAGAGAGGCCCATGGTCCATGGTTGACTTGGTCCGTGCCCCCCTTCTGCTTCACTCGCCTCTCTGTGTCTGTGCAGGCTCGTCAATCAACGACGCCTGATTGACCCGTGCCCCAATTTGAAGTCCTCACCAACTTCTCATCCACAACACCTCACCACCACCACACCCGAACCCGGTCAACCAGCAGCCACAATGTCATACCCAACTCTGGCCCCCTTTGTCGTCAAGAGGCCCTGGCTGCACAGTGCCCTCAAGCCTCTGGCCAACTGGTACGCCAATGCCTCTGGCTACCGACAGCTCGGTCTCCGGTACGTTGCTCTCGCCCATATGTGCAATTGACGCGCCTCCCGTCTTGTCTCATTCTGTACCCACTGCTAAACCCTCTCGCTTCTGTCCAGTGCCGACGACCTCATCCCTGAGGAGAGTCCCGAGGTCCAAGCTGCTCTCAGGCGTCTAGCCGACAAGGAGCGCTACGACCGCATCTTCCGCATCCGCCGCGCCGTCCAGTGCAGCATCTCCCACAAGCTGCTGCCCAAGCAGGAGTGGACCAAGCCCGAGGAAGACACACCGTACCTCGTGCCTGTCATCAAGCTCATCGAGGCCGAGATGAAGGAGAAGGACGCCCTCGACACCCTGACCGTCCACAAGAGCCACTAGACGACCGTGTTGGTCATTGGGGTGATATTGTGATTAGTAGGGCCTGAGCCTGGGCCTGGACTTGGGACAGCACCGGCGCAACAAGGTCGAAGGATGGGGGAAATGGGTCAATCAGGACTCTGTACCAATACGGCACCTACATGGACATGCCGAGATATCATGACGCAATAGACGGAAACGGTTCTTAGACACCCTCTTTGCCTTGGTCGAAGGCGTGAAGCCAGCTCTGATGTGATCTGTTGGGGATCCAAGAAGTCGGAGTATTGATCGAATGTGTTTGGGAGCCCGCATATAATCAAGATCAGATGTCCCACTCACGGAGCCATTGGACGCAGGTACAAGTGACAATCTCATGTTGCATTGAAGATATCTGCCATATTCACAAGATTTACTCGTCCTCTAGCATTTCTATTTTCAACCTGCCAGAGGTTCAACTCAAAAGCCGGCAGAGCCACAACCCTTCTTCAGCACAAGCAAGGCACTGCACAGGTTAATCTAGGGTCCAAATTGGCTGAGGAAGGGCCAAGAGATGCAGACTCATCCCCTTCGCACCTTCAGACCGTAGCTACACACGCAACCTTCAATGACTCCCAGCAACACCATGAAACAGAAGCATTTCTCTACCTTGTCCTCGCCCAACATTTCATATTACCAGGCCCAATTAAGGACGCACGTCCAGCTGGCTGGTTTCTTGTCTGCTCGTCAGTCTCGCTCCCCGTACGAGCTCTCTTTGGATCGAGGTGTCACCCTTGATTATAACTGTTGCTGTGTCAACTTCAAGGAAAGCCCAGCCACGCATGTGCCGATTTGAATTTCATTGGACCTTGGAGTAAGTTGAGAGAGCAAGGGAGGAACAAGATGTCTTGTGTGCGTAGACAGTGCTTTCACATGTCTCCTAGAGTCAAAAGAGGTGTTGAAGAAATTACATTCTAGCTGATCATGGTTATGTCACTCCTATCAATATGGCTTTGGGCCATAATTTTTCCGAAAGCCTCCTCGCTTTCCTGGGTAAACTTAATATCCTTTCCCTTGTCCACAGCACGTTTTACCCAATGCTGCAGGTGACAATGGTGGCCATCTTTGGGATAGTCGCAATAACACATCACCGTATCCCCCGACGGGTCATAGGCCTCATACGATACGATCGGCATATTGGCAAACGTGGTTGGCTTGTTCACCGCAACAGCATACAACGGGAGCGTGTAATATGCCTTCCTCGCTGGTGACCAACCTTGGATACGGCGTACCCTCGTGAGTTTGTGTATGCCCTCCGGCATGGCGCCCCTCCCCATCATCTCCTGTTTCTCGATCTTGTTTCTGAGCCGCGGTGGCGGTTCCCGGAGCTCCTTGTTTTCGCCGCCGCCCGGCTGGGACGGCATGAGGGCCGGGTTGAGCACGAAGCACAACTTGACTTCGTGGCCGGGCATCTTGCAGTAATCGCATATCAAGTCCGGCTCCTCCTCCTCCTCTTCTCCGTTCTTCTTGCCCTTCTTCTTTTTAGGCTGGTTCTTCAGCTCTGGATGAAGCACAAAGCACTCGTCGATGCTGTGTCCACTCTTTTTGCAGTGCTTGCATGTCGCGCTCTCCTCTTTGTTTTGCTGCTTGGTCTTCTTTAGCTCTGGGTGGAGCACGAAGCACTCGTCGATGCTGTGTCCACTCTTTTTGCAGTGCTTGCATGTCACGCTCTGCTCTTGTTTCTTCTTGGGCTGGTTCTTGAGCTCCGGGTTAAGCAGGAAGCACTCGGCGGCTGTATGCCCATTCTTTTTACAATGTTGGCATACAGTCTTCGCGCCCGTCTTCGTCGACGGTTGCTGCTGTGAGCCTTTGGGCTGGGATTTGAGGGATGGGTTTAATATGAAGCATTCCGACTTGGTATGTCCGGGCTTCTTACAATGTGTACATGTGGTCTGCTGCTGTGGCTTTTCCTTCTGCTGGGTCTTTTGGGATTGTTTCAGCGACCGACACTATAGATTTTCAAATTAGCTATCAATGAAAGAAGTGATGATTACCATTTGAACGGAGCAGTGTAATTCGGGAAATAGCGCGCCTTTGCTCCAAGCATCTCGTGAACTGCGAACACGAGATGCAGCTTGTAAGATGTTTTTGTGCAGTGGATGCTTGGGAATTGCTTACTTGAGGTGCTTCATGGCCAACTTTTCCGCATACTTGGCACGATGTGCCCTTCGATGTCTTTGGTCGTATCATTAGGCTCAAGTCGTGAATTTGGTATTGTGTGTCTTTAATTCGAAGTCAATGCTATCCTGTCCAATTCATCAAGCCCATTGACTGATGTTCCGCACGGGGAGACCCATCCTTATATGACCTTTAGCTAATGCTTGCCATGCCGTGGCACCAAGCATTGTCCACGCGGTAGAACAATTCAGCATTGTGTATCAAAGTCTTAGAAACCCTTTCTTCACCACGGCTGGGCTGGGCTGGACCGGTGATAGTCAAAGGACTCACAAATCAAGAGACATCAGCTGCCTTTGTCCGTGTGCTAAGAATTGATGGGTCACACTTTGCTCTGCGCCACGAGACCCGCACCGGCAGAAGAGTCCACTAGCCTGGCAGACCGAAGGACTAAAATATATCCAACTCGTTCCAACTCGTTAGCAAATAGACAGGCTGAGGTCGACTTAGTTGAGAATATCTTGACACGCACATCGCACCGGCCTCGAATACCATACAATTGGCGCAGCCTCGAAAATAAGTGGTGAAGTTATAGGTATATATTAGTTCTGTCTCACAGTGGAGCCAGTCTACACCACACTGGCTCCTGATGATGCCCCCCTATATGTTCAAGAGCCTACTCAACATGCAGACCAATTCGGCCCACGCTCTGTTTATGCACAACAAAAACATCATTGGACTCATCCATGCGTGACACGATGCCTAGATCCCTCACTCCCCCTTCTCCTGTCCGCTGTCCATCGTCCGGCTCTTTGAAGAGAGCCACACAAGCAAACCAAGTCTATGAAACATGAGCTCTCAAACAAGCAAGCAAGTGTGCGCGAGTCGAGGTCTGATCATCAGCCCTGCGTATCTCTTTCTTGCCGCTCGAATGGCGAAAAAAAGGGGGAAAGTACTGAGGCTTACCTCCAGCTATCAAGCCAGAGGATTTAGCCCAGGAGGTCGGAGGCTTATCCAGAGCGATACCAAGGGGCGAAAAAAACGCCAATGCCGAGTGTGAGTACCAAAATTTGATGTAGACCCAGGCCTTGGCGAGCAGAGGTAGAAGGTATGCCAGAATATCCGATGTATGGCGGATGTATGACTTCTTCACGGTAATAAAACAGAATGGTAAAATCCCAAAAAACCCCTCCGGAACTCCATTGTCAGTGACACCCTGACTCCATTAAGGTCGGTGGCGTGCGTGCGTGCGTCTGTATCATGCTCTTCGTACATTGCCCGCGTCTCCTGCCGCCGGATATTTTTGAGTCAAAGTCTCGAGGGAAGTCGGTGGCTGAAACTGTCGCCGGTGCTCGCGACCAGAGAAAGCCGCCCTGGAATAGAAAACGTAGTCTATTCGGCTTTGGCACTATGCGTTTCCGGCCTTCTCGTCTGTGTCGATGTGCCATACCACGTAGTTCGGTAGACCCCAGACCCCATACCCGGCACGCTTGGCCATCTTTGCGAAACCTTCTGTCTCTGCTTGGTTTTCGAAGGCGTAGCATGGGAAGTTGATGCCTGTGTTCGATACATGGTCAGATTCTTGTCTCTCAGCAGTGAAGGTGTATCGCCGCTACCAACCTGATCTGTGGACATCAGCCTTGACAAGGATATTGACACCACCAATGCCATCCAGCTCGATCTCGGCGTCCTTATTTTCTCGCCAGTCACCCATCCGCGCCATGTAGGTGCGTCCAGTGTCGTACTGTTTATAGCCTACAAAGTCAGGGTGTTAGAGAGCAGGAGGACCACGGAGGCAGGGCTAGAACGTACCTTCTGCCAATACTACGTCCTTGTCTAGCTTCGCAGAAAGCTTGCGGCCCTTGGGAGACTCGATCCAGGAGTTATAGTCGACTGCAGCGGAATTAGCATACTGGCGAATCAGAGAAAATCCGGGGCATGCGGTACTTACATCGTCCCTCGATATCGCGCCCATTTTCATACCGGTGAAACCAGATGTCTGAAGTTGGTTAGTCTCGGCTGCAATAGTCTCGCCTTGTCCGGTGCGAACATACTGGGAACGATAATGTCTCGATCGTGGGCAATAAAGTCCTCGATGATCTTCTTGGGGCTATCGACGATGTCGACGTCGCGCCAATAGACCCAGGAGTGGTCAGACTTCAAGGCGGTAGAGAGCAGGTAGTTGCGAGCCCTACCCATGGCTTTTCGGCGCGGACCCTGAGCTTCGAAGCCGTGGCGGTCTTCGACATCCTGGCTGAGCTTGAAGCCAAAGTCCTTCTCAACAACAGTGGCGCTCCTGAAAGGAATGGTGTCAGGGCGCTTCTGTATCCTGTCGAGCTCCATAGCCAAGACAGCCATGGTATCGTCGGTCGAGTCTCCAACCAGGAATGCGATGTCGATGAGGTGGTGTGGGTAGGTGAGCTCTGCGAGCAGCTCAAAGTACTTGGACAGGTAGGGAGCGGCGTCTTTGAGGGGCGTCAGGACCAGTATCCTCTCGTTGTTCTGGAGAGCCTGCTTTGTTGATTTTACTGGGTTGAGGTCGACGTGCTCGATGGTAGACGAGTTGACTTCTATTGGCGCATGGTGATTGAAGAGAACGGGTGTCTGCAGATGCTTGCTCCATGAAACCTGCTCGTTAATGGACATTTCCATGGGCGGTTTCGCAGGACCCCAGCAGTAGAAACTGTAAATTGGAAAACACGAGACAAGTCAGCGCACTGCCAATGTGGGTGGCTATAGTGGTTGCGATTGTTCCGACGCACCTTTGCATCTCCGAACCTGCCGTGCTGATGCCACGCCATAGCAGTAGGACCACGCCAGTGAGAGCGACACCGAGCAGGAATCTGGTCCTGGTCACGAAACTCCATACGGCTCTCGAGGGAGGCAGTTGGGCTCTGGCAGCCTTCCAGTTGATACCGCCCTTGGGAAGAAGCATTGTAACGACGAGCTGGGGTGGCCCTCAGCACCACCCTTGTATTTGCGTTCGTGGCAGGTCAATTGAAGCCAGAGGAGGGCTGCGCTGGGCAAGTTCGGCCGTCGCTCCGTGGGAGAGTGTCGTCGCTCGAGGTGTTATGACAGACCGGTGTGTGGTGCAAGTGACACGCCGGACGGGATCGCGAGCGGCAGCACAAGATAACACCAAACGTGGCAGCAATGTCGTATCGTGTCGTGTTTCGCCGTTGTGAGCGACCTTGGGAGGAGAGGACGAGGATGGGGACGCTGGGATTAACGTGACGAGGATTCGACGTCCGTGTGTTGCGTTGCAGATGGGTACAGTTAGATGGGAATAACAGGCCCGAGCAAGATGCACAGTACGATATAGTCGGCGTCGTCTGGGTAGAGGACGAGTCGGTTGGGAGACGCGGACGCGGGCGCAGTGACGGGCGCAGGCGTAGGCACGGGCAAAGGCACGGGCACCAACTGATCGCACAATAAAATGGAAATAAGAAAGAGGTGGTAGCTATCACCAACCTGCTCTGCCCAGCTGGTGAGATGGGTGAGGAGCGATAGGGTGAAGAAGCGGATGGAGTAGCAGTGTAGTGTAGCAGTGTCTTTCAGTTCGAACTGCGTAGATTGTAAGCCCCCTAGAAAAGGTCAAGCGCCTACCTGGGGCTATTCAGGCTGCCTGGACCTGGACCTGGCTTGGACGTGGACCTGGATCTGCCCTCGGCTGGGCTCTAGAATTCTGTGCAAAATGCGTACCCTCGCCCACCCTTGGAAGGCCAAGCCGGCGCGACAAGGGAACGCTCCCAAGGAGTACCTAGGTACACAGGCGTGCCCAGGCAGGACGTCGAGAAGACTCTGGGCTCTGCAGCCTATCATGATGACGCGGAACGGCCAAATACGAGCTAGGAGCTGCCCGGATGAGAGCGAGCAAATGCCAACCTGGAAGGGACCTGGAAGGGGTCTCTCTGTCTCTCTCTCTTCCTCTCTCCCTCTCTTCCAGCAGATTCTCGGGGCCGTTGAGGTTCTAGCTCCCCCTCCCTTTCAGGCCGGCCAGGGCCTGCAATTCCTGCTAAACCCTGCCAATATTGATTTCCTGGACCACCAACAACATTTCCAATTCCAACAATTGTAGGGACAAGCGAGAAAAGGGCACACTCGACTGGCTGTCTGTCTGTCTTTCAGGCAGTCTGCTCGTCAAGATCAACAAAGCAAGGGGTGAGGAACAGAGTCTATCTGCAATCCTCACATTCTTTGTCTGGAGACCGTCCGGCTGTCGCACCTCCTCCCCCTCTGACCACGCAATCCACAATCCGCAATCCGCAATCAGGAGAAGTATAACCCCGGCGCATTGGGTCGGTCGATTGATGTCCACCTCCCTATTCGTACGTCCTCTTTATTACCGACCCCGTCGACAGGTCATGCATGTGAAATGATGGGAGCGGGACGAGGGCAAAAGCGGAGGTGGACTCTGCGATGTAGCCTACCAGATTGCAGATTGCATCTGCCCCCGGTTGCATCCACAGCAGGCCAGATGCAGTTTACCATCTAGCCTGGCTGCTCCTGATAGACTGGACTACGATTTCGCAGTACTGCGTCTAACAGTACCATCAGGAATGTTGGGTTGAGCTCGTGTCGACTGGTCATCCATCACACATCATGCCCTCTCCGCTTCCATAGCCGACACAGTCAGCTCTAGCACATGCCCAGTCGCACATGTTGGCAGAGGTTGCTTATTTTATACCAAGCTCCATTTCATGCAGCAGAAGCAGAAGCAGCCCGCCACGCCCGCCTTCAGCCACGCCGACGATCATGCTTTCCCGCGCCGGAACTGCAGTTGATCAGCTCCTCTTTTTCCTACTCGTGAAAGTGTGTTTGGTGGGCCAGTCCGTCCCTCATCGCCAGCCCTACGGTGTTCATCAAGGAGATCCTACTCCGCACACTCTGTAACCTACCTCTGCCGACCCAAGAGACACGTTCATCCAATGATGGGTTCAAAAATATCATCGATTGACTGTGCTTAGCCTGCGTGCCTGCTGCTTGAAGTTTTTCCAGGATGAGCCCCGGAACACGCGTGTGGCTTACCGCATCCGCTCGGAAGATCACGTCTTACCGCCACCTGTCATCTCAACGCTTACAACGCTCACTGGCCTTTTGCAGCTACCTTTTTAAGCACCATTAGTTTTCCGAGTTTCGGAATTCCAGGGAGCTCTCTCATTTCAGGCTGGCCATGACCTAACATGCCATGCCTGGGTTCGCCCACGTGACTTGGCGCTTGATGGGCGACGCTGTGTCCCCTCCTCTCACCACTGCGCCACGGTTTGACAAGCCTAGGGCGCGTTTCAAACCGGAGACGGCAACCAGTCCCAGCTCTACCCAGTCTTACTCTCCGCTCCCATACCTGTGTCTCTTCTCCTTCTCGCATACTCAACACACAAGTCGCGTTGTAATGTCGTCCTGGGTGTCATTCTGAGACTTGATAATGACGTCGACATCCACGTCACGTTCCTGAACTGCAATGACCGTAGCACTACTCTTTCGCACTTGTTCTACATGCCCGCCACTTTAGAAGCTTTACGTTTCTTTACAGCACTTCGAGCGACCAGACCTAGACCTTCACCTCCTGTGCGCGCCATCATTCTCGAAAAACTTACCTCGAACTCCTCGATGGCGGGTCGACGATCTGCACGCCTGAGTGCCCAAGCCCAGACCCAGGGCAGGGACGAGGATGCGCCGGCCGCAGTGATGCCGCCTCCTTCTGCCCCAGCAGTCAAGTCACGCAAGAGAAAGGCGCCGTCCTCTTCCGCCGCCGAGCGTGAGGTGCCAGCTGAGGCTCCAGCTACACCCAAGAGACGAGCGAAGAAATCGGCGGTTCCTTCGCTGCCATCCACGCCAACAGCAACTCCGAGCGCTGTCCGTCTCATCGCAGAGCCGGCTGCTACTCCCACCTCATCGCAGGGACTATCGTCGTCCGTGACGCCTAAGCCAAAGTCTCGGGCTGTAGCGCGACTCGCAGACCCAAACTCGACCAACGCGCCGCTGCTCTCGCCAGAGACATCCAGGGTCATCTCGCACAAGCCAACGACCACGGCGAACATGCTTGAGGAGGCATGTTCGCATCTCATCAAGGGTGAGCTTTTCCTGGAGCACCTGTCTCACCTGTGTCACTCGTTCTTCGTTCACCGGCTTTGTCTGGGGGGTTTCCAGCAGTTGGCTCGGGGCCACCCTCTGCCACTTCCACATGTAATCGGGATCTGTACTTCCGGGGGAGGGGGCAAAGTTGGCTCATCATGGATCGAGCGCGGAACACCTCAGCACTCGCAATAATGTGACTGACTCCACAAAACAGTCGAACCCCGCATTGAGCCCCTTATCACAGCTCATCATTGCCGCATCTTCTCCCCCGCCGGCCTCGCCGAGAAGATAGACCCTTTCGAGTCCCTCGCCTCGGGGATCATCTCCCAGCAGGTCTCCGGGGCCGCAGCAAAGGCTATCAAGGCCCGCTTCATCAACCTCTTCGACCCGTCAGCCGCCGCCGACGCCACGACCACCACCGCGACCAACAAGTTCCCAACGCCCTCGCAGGTCGCGGCCGCCAGCATCGAGAGCCTCCGGTCCGCGGGGCTGTCGCAGCGCAAGGCCGAGTACATCCAGGGGCTTGCGGCCAAGTTCGCCGCGGGCGAGCTCACCGCGACGTGGCTCGCGGACGCCCCCTACGAGGAGGTGCTGGAGAGGCTCATCGCGGTGCGGGGCCTGGGCCGCTGGAGTGTCGAGATGTTTGCGTGCTTCGGGCTGAAGCGCATGGATGTCTTCAGCACTGGCGACCTCGGGGTGCAGCGCGGCATGGCTGCGTTCGCGGGCCGCGATGTGTCCAAGCTCAAGGCCAAGGGCGGCGGCAACAAGTGGAAGTACATGTCCGAGAAAGAGATGGTGGATATGGCGGCGCCGTTTAGTCCGTATAGGAGTCTGTTCATGTGGTATATGTGGAGGGTCGAGGAGACGGATGTTAGTACGCTGGAATGAGCGAGTGGACTGCGTGAGCGAGGGGCGATGCGATCTCCGACGGAGATCGCAATACTGCATGAGGATACTCCCTGTGATCGTGGGGGTGACACGTGAGAATCTGGCCAGGCACGCCCAGTCAAGTTGTGACGGAAAAGAAATAAAATCACTTCATCACGGGATCGTGCATGATCCCTTTCTTCAATATAATAGGAAATCATCAACCTGCCAGTGCCTGCCTAGCCTGTCTTTACCAAAGCCAAATTTCCGGAGCCGGCTCCTATCACGATCCACATCTCAAACTATGTCGTGGTGAGTGTGCGGGAACTCATAATAGCGTACCGGTCACAAGCCGAGCTCCGTCGGGACCATCAAACCATACGTTGTCGTCTCCTGCCCTACGAATCCCAAAAGAGGAAACTTTTATACAATGGCATTGGAAAATTAGCACGTGGTAGCGCCTGGAGTGGTTCTCAGACAGATGCCGCTTCAGATACACATGCTACTGATGCTATATGGACGTCTCTATAGTATGCTCTCCCCAGTCATGGGCGGACGGGCAAGCACCGCAGACCCCTCGCGCGCCACCCATGTCAGTCCGAGACAGCCGCAAAACGGTCAACTCCGAACACAATAAATCGGTTGCCGTACTACCTTTTGGTGCCGTGCATGTGGCCGTGAAACCTCGCTTGACGAGTCCTCGCCGGAATGGCGAGAGGGTGGGCTTAGACAAGCAGCAGGCCGCGGGTCGGGCATGTGACGACCGGCCGTGTTCGACTATTACGTCGTCCCACGGTTGTTGTCTGTCCAACGTGACGGGTCACTGTTTACGACACGTCTCTACTGGATCCATTTGCCTCCACACTGGAGGTATGTTCAACTCTGCCGCGACACGGTGATCACGCTCCAACTCGTCTCACTGGGTGCCCAGCATGGTCCTACACGTCAAGGACGGACTTACCTGTGGCTTGGGACACGTCGTGGAGGCGTGCTGCTGCGCGGTCGTACGTGCTTCCTCACGACATCAGACAGCTACTCGATGTAGTTGTTACCCGTTTCATTCCAGTGGTGAAGCTGGGTGGCAAGCATGTGTCAAGAGTCATCGTGAATTCAAATGAATCTGTAAATCTGATGCTTAGTTCGAGCATCGTACACCAGCATTCAGCGGCGTTTGGCCGGGTGTACCGTGACGGCCATGGAACCCGCCTCCTTGCACAGGCTCGGTGCAGAATGTTTGTCTGACGGCCCGCTGCTAGATACTAGGTTGCGAGGAGATAAGCCAACCGTCTGAAAACCTCGCGTTGCCTCAAGTGCCGGCGAAAGAGAAAATAGAAAAAGAGAGTTTGCAGCCGGATCGTCGATCAAGCTGGCCGTCCGAATAGGAGACCTCGGACACTGTCAGCTGCTTCGCGAGGCTGAGCTTCAGAGGACTTCGGATGAAAAGCCTCGGTGGGTGGTCTGAGGTTGCCAAGACAAGCAGTCGGTTTAGAGAAGTGTCGCAAATTGGGCACTCCAGGGCGCTGACTCGGCAAGTCTGGAAGTACTGTGTGAGGTCTGATCACCAGCAAGCAACGGCGTGTTGTGTCACGAGCGAAAGAAGTCGAACTTTCTGACAGGATAATTGGGAACAGATACAAGCTAAGCTCATGAGAAAAACAATTTTCTCTGGAGCTGAACGCGAGCACGGGTATAGAGCACCTGTGTAAAACACCTCTGTGCGTGCCGTCTGCACATCCTACAGGCCTGATAAACGCGTAGCATACCCACGGCATTCGCGCGTTCCAACAGCGTCCTGATGCCGGCGGTCTGTGGGGTTTGAACCCAATTATATCACTGGGCCTGGATTTCATGATGCTAAGCGAAGAGTCAAAGGAAAGCCAAGATGCGACAATTCGGTGGAAACTCGTACGGAGTTCCATGAAGGGCCTCCTGGGAAAAGCAGGGATAGGCCCAGCGACGGGAGTGCAAGAACTGAGGACTCTGCAAAGCATTGGCCAATGAGCTAAGCAGCTCTCGGCCTTCCAGATCAAGATCTTCGACATCGAGGGGGAAGGTGGTGGTGTGGGCATATCACTCCGGGAACAGGGTGGCCGTGATACGCAAAATGAGAGGGCCACTTTTTGCTCATTAGGCTCATGATAGCCACCATTGGAATGCCGAAGTCGTCAGCTGTTGATTTGATATCGTCCAGTGAATGCCACTCTGAAGATTGGCCTGCCATCGGGATGGTGCAGGGGCTGGACTGCTGGTTTGCCATCAGAATGGATGCTCGCAATCAAATAGTGAAATGTTCTTCCCAGGAATTCCAGGAAAAAGGAGGCCGGGTGTTTTACACCAGACTGCGGTGGGGCCGAGCATGCGGGCCTGGCGTGCACTTGCTTGTGTACACCGTATGGAAATGAACGGTTGTGACGGCAGTATTGCCATCGCCACCACCGCGTTGGTTTCGTGCAGACTGGTCTGGCGTCCGGGTGTCTGCGGTGCACACGACACCAACTTGTGTGTCGGGGGGAGCTAAGGCCTTAGCTGCTGCAAGATATGGACGCGGAGCTCTCGTGTTGGGTCGTTCGGGCCAGGCCTGATTGGTATAGCTTTAGCTTTTTTTCTCTGCAGATTCGTAATGCAATGCATCGTGTCTGCCAGTGCCAGTGAGGAAGTTGGACACAATGTGAGGCAGCTCGAACAATGATTGGCACGACAACACGCAACAACTGTCGTAACCGCAATCGTGATCGTGGCAGTCGTCGCAGTCCTCGGGGCGGGAGAAGCCAGTCAGTGTGGTCCACGCCCTCAGGCTCGGCCTTGCTTCTGTCGCTGTGGAGGACCAGGAAAGCCTTCTCTGGCGTCATCAGTGCTCACCCTGAGACGCACCATGGAACGCGCTGCTTCACCTCGGCCGACAGTTCCTCGCCTTCGGTAACATCGTACCGGATATTGGCCAGGTGAGTCGCTTTCTGCATGATAAATCGCACATGGGAGATTCGGAAAAGGTAAGGCCAAGATCTCGGGCAGATCAGGCTAGGCCGTGAACATAATGAGCAGGGCCAGCCTGGCTGGCCTGGCCGAAATCCAACACTCCGCAAGGTGCGAACTGTGTGATGGCCTAGGAACTTAAACTTGGCAGCTAAAGTGGGTGGGTGCTTTATGCGAGCGTTTCTACGGCATAAGGTTGGCGCAAAGATAACCGGTAGGCTAGCATGTCTAGCCTCGCACATTGGTGACCGAGTCCGGCCAGAGACGCTTTAGGAAATTCTGGGCTTTTTTAGATGGGACGTCGATATCAACGGTAGATAGTCGGGGATGCAGCTTATGAGAATCCCAATAGAACAAAGTGCTGACGATGTATGCTAACGATCAAGGGGCATGGCAAAAACAGGCAATAGTTGATGGGAGTAATCTCGCCAGTGTGATTGCGGATCCAGTCTGATCGTATCCAGTAGGGTCCAGGTACAACGAGCCAGCAATGACATGGGCCTCGTAATCAATTCCTGCCAGACAAACCCCTCGGTGGTCAATATTTATCCACCAAGCAGTCTGCAGGAGTTACGCCTGTGTATGCAAATGGTCTAGATGTGCCGGACTCGTCCTGGTGCGCTGCTTCTCAAGTGGCAGCTCCAATTCAAGCTTCAAATCCAGGTCCAGCCCACGCCGACGTCGCCTCTTGGACTGGCTGGCAGGCTGGCTGGAGACTGGACATCTGTGCACGTGGAGAGGTAGCCTGCCAGTGCCTGTGCTGTACATGTTGATGGCTGATGCCGGCATTCCACCGCCAGATCTTCGCCTCAACGGAGAGACGGTTCGCAGAAAAAGAGGAGCCATGACGCGGTCGTGGCCCGAATATTCATGTGGTTGGGCGGCTGGAGATGGGACGACGACGTTGACGTCTTCACGCCCAGCCACGTCGAGAAGACTCGACTTGGTGGGGACACGGCCACACGACCACGTCGATGACGACGATGAAGCTGTTCCCACGCAGCGAGTGTACGTTTGTATTTATAACTCACATCCCCAGAGGTAGAGCAGAGCATAGCAGAGCATAGCGTAGATGTCAGGCCACCTGCTTGTGTGCCGTCGTGGGATGGTGGATGGTTCGGTATGGTGCGGCATGAATCCAGGTGAGGTGGGAGCTCCGGCTTGGTGGTCTGGCTGGATCAAAAAAGCTGGCCTCAGTGTGAGGGTGGGAAGTGGGAAAGTGGGAAGTGTTTTCCGCTCAGCAGGGGTGAAGAGCCCCAGCAACCCCCCTGTCTGAGCTCCACAGACCTACCACAGCACTGTGGTACCTCGTTTTCGACTCACGCCCCCCAGAGCTCGGGGAGGCCTACTGCAGCCCAGAGTGTGCCTGAGTGCCAGGAGTGCCCGGGCTGTCGCAGGCGAATGAGCTAAATCACAGAGAGATTGAATGGGGGTGTGAGTACGAAGAGTCGAGTACCACCCGCCCTGGCTACTCATTAGCGTCGCTAGATTGAGGGTGCAGGGTGGGCGCCCTGGCTCCCCCTTCGCTGTTTCTTGATCGGCCCCTACAGTAGTGATCATCCATCCATCCCCATCCCAACCTGCCGCGCTCCCATGCCATGCTCCTGTCCTCCCCCTTCCCTCTCTTTTTTCCTGAAGCCATACCTTGTCTTTTGTCTACTAGACTTTAATCAACCTTTCTCCCCTTCCCTCTCTAAAACACTTCTCGCTGTCTCCTGTTTTCAGTTTCTCCTTCACGACACTCGCTACTGTCCATATTTTCTTGGCGAAGAGAGAAGCAATCCCCATCTTCAGTCACTCGTGTGTAATTGGATCTGGTCTGATCGTCCTCCTCGACTAAAAAAACCCCGACAATTTCTCTGGAATTCCGCATCTCAAACAACCACTGGAATCCTCTCAGATATCCCATCGTTTAGGTAAGTTCTCGACTCTCGTCGACCAACGAGACAAGTCTCATTGCTCCCGTCTCCTCCACTGCACCTGCCCGCCCCGGACCAATGTTTTGATGGCAACGGCGACCTGGACTGTCAACAAAAACAACACCATCATCACTGCTACGATCAAGCACCTCCACGTTTCAATGCCGAGTCCGAACCGCGATTGAACGACGTGCTACCTACCGAAGCACCGCTCCTGCCTCAATCTGACCGCACCGACGAGAAATTAAATCGTGGAGAAGGAAGCATCGAGAACAATTGGGGCAGCCCCTTAGCTGTGCCGATCTGTCTGTTCCATCAGATACAGGAGATACTTGTCACACAGCAACGATCACATTCGATTGGTTTGCACGCGGGCTTTTCTCAAACAAATCATCACCGAACGAACATTGCTACACCCGATCTCGTCTACCTGGATCACTTTTGGTTTCTTGATTTGAGGACGACTTGGCCCCCCACAAATCGGCTCGACAACGCAAAGTAAACATCAACAATCATCTTACAGTTCGATTGGACCCAGGATCATCTCGCCTCCTGCCCATATCACGACAGCATTCAACACACATAACGCACCAGTTGAAGGTTGCTAATCAATTATTCCACACAGTACCAGCAAAAATGTTCTCCAAGCTGGCTCTCACTGCCCTCGCGGCGGCCGCTGTTGCCTCTGGTAAGTCGACCAAAGCTTCCACAGGTTGTCGGCCATGTCATTGACTGTTGTTTCACAGCGCAATCCTCCTGCACACAGTCCACCTTCACAATCGGCTCCGCCGCTGAGGCCACTGCTGTCTCCAACTGCAAAACGCTCAAGGGCGACGTTCTGATCCCCGCTACCTCTGACCCCCAGATCGACCTCTCCGGCCCTGGCCAGATTGACGGTGACCTGACGCTGGAGAACAATGGCGCCATCATCTCTCTCTCGTCTACTTCGCTCAACTCTATCTCCGGAACGTTCAGACTTGCCAACGTCACCCTGCTGTCCACCCTCAACCTGCCGTCTCTGACCAGCGTTGGCACCATCACATGGCAGTCTCTGCCTGCTCTGAACGCCCTGAGCTTCACCACCGGTGTCAGCACCGCGAAGACTGTCACCATCTCCGACACCTTCCTGCAGAGTCTGGACGGTATTGACCTGGAGTCGGTTGGCACCATGGACATCAACAACAACCGTCGCCTGACCAAGTTCGACACGTCGATTAAGAACCTGACCGAGAACCTGAACATCCAGGCCAACGGTGCTAAGCTGAGCGTGTCCATGCCCAACCTGATCTGGATTGCCAACATGACCATCGCCAACGTCACCGAGTTCTCTTCTCCCTCGCTCGAGGTCGTCAACGGCTCCGCCAGGTTCGACTCCAACTACTTCGAGAGCTTCATGGCCCCCAACATGACCTCCACTAGCAGCGGTGACATCTCCTTCATCAACAACCCTCAGCTTACCAACATCACCTTCTCTGCCCTCAAGAGCCTTGGTGGTGCCCTGACCATTGTCAACAACACTGCTCTGGAGGAGGTTACTGGCTTCCCCGATCTGGCTGAGCTTGGAGGCGCTATCAAGCTTGGTGGCAACTTCAGCAAGTAAGTACAAGGTGTACGAATCGCAATCTGGGATATAATTGCTAACGGCTTCTTTCCAGCGTTGAATTCCCCGCACTCGAGGACGTCAAGGGTACCTTCGCGCTGTCTTCCACCAACGACATCACTGACGCTTGCACTGAGCTGAAGAAGCTCGCTCCCGGCTCCCAGGGTGGCAACGGTGTCATCCAGGGCAAGTTCACTTGCACCTCCAACAACGAGAAGGCCAACACTGGCAGCACCGCTGGCGACAGCTCCACCGGAAGCAGCAACTCTAGCAGCGCTGCCGTCAACGTCCACGTCAACTCGGCCGTCGTCGGTCTGAGCTTTGTCGGTCTACTGGCCCAGCTGCTGTAAAGGTCGTCTTGGTCGATGGTTGAGTGTCACAGGTGGTCATGATGTGTGGTATTTCTACAGGGTTAGGGTAAACAAACCGGAGGCGTTCTTTCTTTTAAAACAATTCCCTGGATGATGGATCTATCCTTTGTCCGCAGTCTCGTTGCTTTTTAGTCTCAGCATGCACAGTCATCCACTCGCGCGCGGAATACGGAGTCAAGCTCGTTATGTTCACAGGGAACAAAAAACCACACTAGACTAATAATTTCTTTACCCCCGACCCGTTCGAAACCCACCATGGCTCTCTTGTAATGTGTCAAGAATGCGGACGACCTCGGGAGTCAAACCCTCGGTCTACTTCTGGTTTCGAAGAAGGCATTTGGATATGGATGGAACTTCATTATCTGGTGCGTAATAAGTCACGTGTAGGAAGGCTGAGGAGTATACAACCAAAAAAATCCTGGAGGGGATTGACAAGTGTACAAACAGATGGGGAATGGGGGTGTCTTGATACGTGTTGAACATTGCTAGAAAGAGTCCCACCAATCCATCTCATGATCCCCTTCATACTTGTGAATCTCATGATTAGTGCAGGGTGTAGCCATTACTTGTGTGTGCATTAGACGTACGCTGTTGATGTGTCGACGTTCAAGACCCTGCTTGTACATGTTGTGGACGGGAACAATGCCCCGATGTCCCTATCAAGCCCAACCCAGATAGCCATCTACCTAAGCTACCTATAATCCCCCTTCTCGAACCTCTCGGAGTCCCAGAACCGGGCCGCGATCGCGTTCCCGTTGAAGACGCGGCCCTCGAGCGCGTTGACTGCCCTCAGCGCCGACACCTGGTCGGTGAACTTGATGAAGACCTGCCGGCCCGCGACGTCGATGTACAGCCTCTCGACGCGGCCGTACTTGTCGCCACATTCCTCGCCGATCTCCTGCCCCAGCCCGCTCTCTATCTCCTCCTGCAGGTTCGGCATGCCCTCGAGCATGTTCTGCAGCACAATCACCTCGGACATGGCACCCTTGCCCGAGCCGTCCTCGGCCGGGCCACCAGAGCCCGGGTCCTTGGGTGCCGCCGTCTTGCCGCCGATGATCTTGGCCCGGTTCGCCGGGTCCGCGTACCCGCCACCCTCGGCGTCCGGCCGCTTGCGCCGCTTCTCGACCTTGACCTGTAGGGGGTTGATGATGCCGCTGCTGTCGGCGCCGAGCCCGCTGCCGGCCGTCCAGCCGTACTTGGACATGAGCCGCTGGGCGAAGCCCTTCTGGCCGGGGCGGCTGGAGCGCGACGTGTCGCCTGAGGCGTCGGCGTCTGGCATGGCCTGGTCGGCACTGTTGCCGGCTGCTCCCAGGCCGGTGGCTGGTAGGTCGATGTTGTCCACGTCCATTTCTTCGTCGTCGTCTTCTTGCTCTTTTGCAGGTGGCTGAGGAGGGGCCTCGTAGCGGACCGGCCCGCGGGAGATGGTCGCCGTGTCTTGTGGCGGTGGTGGAGGAGCTGGAGATTCTTCGGGAGGTGGAGGGGCTGGGGGCGCGCCGATGCCTGAAAGCGCGAGACGGCGGGCGTAGGCATCGTCGCCTGTCGAGTCGTCTGGTAAGCGGGCGGCAGCAGGGGCGGCAGCAGCTGGGGAGGCTCGAGGTGGTGACATGGGCGGTGGTGCGAAAGAGTAGTCTCCCGGGGGAGCGAATTGGGCTGTTGTGAACCGTCGTGTTAGCAATGCTGTGACCAGCCGAGTATTTGAGAGGCAACTTACTACCCATAGCAGGCCTGTCGTCGCCATCTGAGTCCTCGTCACTCTCAGAGCTCCCTCTCCTCCTCCTACGGTGCGCATACAACACAGCCTTCCACTCCTGTACCTCCCGTATGCGCTCGTCGCTCCTCAGGTATTCGTCCACATTGGTCGGCCGCGACGGGTCGTAGATCTCGTCCCAGTCCGTCTCCTGGCGTTGGTTGTCCCCGTGCTTCTGTTGTTTCTTTTTCTTAGCTTTCCGCCCACCTCTTTGCCGCTTCTCGGTCGCCGCAGTGCCATACATGTACTCGTCGTCTTCGGTCGCGGCCCAGTCGGCGAGGGTGCTGCGCTGGGCGGGAGGCCCTCCTTGCGCGGGCGGCGGCGTTGCAGTCGCGTCCCTGGTGTCATTGCTGCTGTGTGGTTGTGCGTTATTTGAGGTTGTGGATGGTGGTGGTATCGCCTTAGGAAACGCCGGTTTGGCTGCTTTCTTCTGAGCTATCTGAGGTCGACGTATCGGCTGGAAGCGCAAGGCTGAGAACAGGAATGTGATCAGTTTAAGTTATGAGGACGGGCAGCGTCTCGTAGCAGGACCGCCCAGGAAGCCTGTGAGAGAGTGTTTTCATACCTTGATTGACCTCCTTTTTGGCCGCAGTATCATCCTTCTTTCCACTGTCATAGACCACCGGCGCACCGGATACTGTGGCTTGGGCGTCGGCCTTGGGATTGAGGAGGTTGGCGTAAAGCGACAGGCCGCCCTTTGGAGGTGGGGGCGGCGCTGCCATGCTATGGACAATTCAGAAGGTTGGGCCTTGCCAGATCGAGTGGATATCTTGTTGGCTGGGGTTGCGCACAGAAGCCTGGTGTGGAGGAGGCTGGTGGCCCTCGAGCTCTGGAGAGATTGGAAGATCATAGCCTCGTGGTATAAGGCAGACCGCTGGGAGCTGGAGCTGCACCATGGTGGGGCGGAGCCGGTTCGTATAAGTCCACCCCCTAGCTTCGCAAGACTCAAGCATAAGACCAATACAACAAGTTTCGAAAGGATGCTTTTGGCATTTTTCACTGGATTGCCCGATGTCATTTGTTATATATCTCTTTCCATTTGCTTCAATTGACACGGAGTCATTACCAGTTGTATGCTGGGACACTATCGCAAAATGCTGGCGCACGCACACTCTAGGGTTCCGAGGTCAAGTACCTTAAACAACTATGGCTGGCGTTCTTGGAATTGTGATGCTCAGTCTCACTTCGTAGCACATCTTATAGTACATGAGAAACATCCTCACTCGTGTTCCTTTCCCGAAAACAAGACACAATAACGATGCAGTCGTCTCAGATAAAAAGTAACGCTTTCGCCTGAAAAATCCAATCAAGCAATGTCACTTTTCCAGAGCCATCACAGACCAATAGTCGGAACTTTGAAATATCCAAGTCTTACTCCTCGGCCTTCTTCTCCTCCGTCTCCTCAGCTTTAGCCTCCTCCTCGTCAGCGCCGTTGGTCTTCTCGTCATCCTTCTTCTCCTCCTTGTCCTCAGCAGCACCGCCATTGGCAGACTGCGACTCCACCAACTTCTTCACAGCCGCCACCGTTCCAGCCGGGCTGCCAGGCTCAGCAAGGAGCACCTTGCCCTTCTTGTCCACTGCAAATACGCCTCTCTGCGTGCCGCTGGGCGCCTTCTTCAGACCAATGGCGCCGATGAGGCTCGCAGTAGGATCGCACAGCAGAGGGTAGGGGAGCTTTTGCTTCTCCTTGAAGGTTGTGTTGCTCTTGGGGGAGTCTCTCGAGAGCCCATAGATGGCAAGACCGCCCGCAGTAAGCGGCTCATAGGAGTCGCGGAACAAACAGGCCTGATTCGTGCAGCCGGGCGTGGACGCCTTGGGGTAAGTGAAGAACACGACACCCGAGCCTGATTTTTCGAGAAGCTGGGCCAAAGTCGTGGTCTCACCGTCGTTGGTAGTGACCTCACCGCCAAAAGAAGCCGGGTCGATGATGTCGCCAACCTCGGGCTTCTTGGCAGGGGCCGACGCCTTGGCTGCTGCTGCTGCACCATTGGCCTTGGGCTTAGCTTCAGGCTTGCCCTTGACAGCCTCCTTGACCTTGGAGGCAGCTTTGGCCACCTTGGAGGGCTTCTTGGCCGGTGGTTCCGGGGGCGGGGCCGGAGCCTTGCGCTTGCGTAGCTCAACGGGCATTTTCACGTCTGGAGAGTCTCAAGGGCACTTGGGAGAGGTGTTAGCCGGGAGGTTTGACCTCGATGACAGCAGAGACTACCGGATACGGCAAGAGATCATGCTTGGAGCTGCTACAGTGGCCAAAGACATACAATTTGCGGAGAATTGGTGAAACACTCAAGTGCCGTGCAGGCGGCTGGGTGACGAGAGCACGAGGTGGAAGACGCGTTGAGCGTGCGACCAGGAGGCTGTGGGTGGAACTGGGATGCGGCAGAGATGGAGGGAAAAGGAAACAGGAACAAACAAAGGGCAAGAGAGAGGGGGGAAGTGGTGCTGGATGAGATGGGGATGGGGACGGGGACGGGATGGGAGGTCAATATAAGGAGGACGAGGTAGGATGGGATGTCGTCTTGCACGAGCTCCGACCAATCAGACCCGCGACATGGGGGAAGCTCTCACACTATCAGCCCTCAGAGAGTTCCGCCTCCCCTGAATCGGCCATCTTCCCCAGCTTTTCCTCCGACCTCTGCTAACGGTCATGTCAAGGCTCCGAGGTCCAACCTTGGCTTTCCTTCTTCTTCTTCTTCTGTCCCCCCTTCCCCCCTTGTCGCCGTGTCTGTCTATGGTTGCTTGACTACAGTAGCCGCCCGTTAGATTAATAAAGCTAACCGATCCTCAGTCTTTGGCTTGATCCTCGTCCATGCCGCGTATGAGAGTTTCATCCGAGACAGCCAGCCCATTAGAAATGAAGCAGAGGTCTGTAGCCGAGGGGACAGAGCGGAATAGTGTATCGCAGCGGTGCATTTGTAGTCTACATCTATCTACATCTACCTGAGGTATGCAGATAGACGGTGCAGATGATGATGCAGATGAGGGATTTCGAGGCAGGATCTGTAAGCTAAAAAGAGGGCTGGATTGGGTGCCCAGGCGAGGGTGTACTGGAGCTTGTTGCCGACCTGGGAGCTCAGACCAGCTCTTTTGAGGTCGCATCTATACATAGGCTGGCATGGCTGGCATGGCTGGCACTGGGTGTGTGTTGCTGTAATGTATGCAGCGCTGCATATATGCAGGTAGGGGGAAGCCGGCTAAACCCCGGACCGTGCCGACCGGGCCCAGCCAATCCCATCTCTTGGAATTAGGAGCCGCCTTTGCTTGCTCTTGGTAGTGACGCTCTCCAGAAGGCCCGACTTGCGACACGAACATCGACAATCAACACCGACAGCGACATACGACGCCTGCACCATGGCTTCCAAGGCTGTAGCGAAAGTCGCCGCAGGCGGTGCCATGAAGATATCAACAGTAAGTCAATTGTGCCGCCCTCATCCACAGTTCCCATCCAGCCATCCTCGCCTCTGCATCAACCAACTGACCCGCGCCCTGCCTCTCGCTCTCTGCAGAAACAAACCCTCCAATCCGTCGGTATCTGGGAGCGCATCCGCCGCTCACTCGCAATCGCCCCCGAACGCTCCAACGGCGTGCCCCTCAACCCCCACTTCCGCTGGCCCACGCCCGGCGGCCAAGATCCTCTCACCTACGATGATCCAGTGACTGCCCCAGCCGGCGACATCGCCGACAACCCCTATTGGAAACGCGACACCCGCCGCAACTACCCGCGCCTGTCCGTTGTGGCCCAGGCTGATGCCGCTGCCCTGCTTACAGTCGGCAACGCCGCGAACCCCAAGGTCGAACTTATCGGCGAGGAAGGCAGCAAGGCGCTCGTGGCAGCCGAGGCCGAGGGCGAGGAGAAGGGTCTCGCCAAGGTGTTTGAGGAGAAGGGCGTGGATGTGGCAAGGGAGCTCCTCGTGAATGGGCTGCCACCGCTGCCCAGCGGAGAGAGCTTGAAGAGTGGTTCCTGGGACGTGCACCATTGGGAGTTAACGGAGGAGCAGGCTTACAGCGAGAAATATCCTTGCCGGACCTTCCAGTAGGCTTCTCGTGGAGGAAAGGGACTCAGAACCAGGGGATTGTACAAACGCATCTAAATCTACGACTCAATGGCATAGACGTGGAAATCTTCAAGACATGGAGCATCACATAACGGGCAACTTTCGTGGCGATTGACTTTCACACGGCCAGATCTACTCAGAGAGCTCCAACTCATTTCTTGCGGCTGATTCTGCGAGAACTGGACCGCGAGCAATGTCAGCCGTCCAGGAACGACCGTGAATCAAGTGCAAGACGACAGATTGCGTCCATGATTCTACGACATGGCAGCACATCCTGCTGTATCCGTACCCTTGATCTTGGTCCTCCAAAAGCCACAAATGAACCAAATTATTGTGTGTGTAGTTGACTATCATGATGTCCAACCAGTATATCTATGCAAATCTCCATGTGTGCCACATGGCTTCTCTCCGTGGTTGAGAGGCACTCTGGTCACTGGATACTGGTCAGTCAGAGACAAGAGAGCCTGATGCCCAATATTCCCACTCACAATCTGTGGTTTAACTCGTGCGATATCGTATGAGAGAGTGAGCCGTGCGGTGCAAACACACTGGTATACAGTGAGTCTCGGAGGCTGTTGTGTTGGCTGATGCGGTCGAGCATGGCCAGAGACCGTTGCAGTTGTCGACTCGGCTCGCCGCGAATGGAAACATTCCGTCCCCAGATCCAATTTCGACTTGGATTTGTGGTTGGAATGGGACGGCCGTCTGACCACCATACACATGCCTGACCCAGTTTTGGGCGAGCTCTCCCGCAGACGCCGCCATAAGCAACACCACGGCAATTAGAAGGGGCGGCACAAGTGCAATCACGCCATACTGTGTGAAGTCGTCCTGTATAACGCTTCCCGCACATGCAAATAGGCGAGATCGAGGTGCCCTCAAAAGCTCACGGCTTCCTTGGATGGCGGACTAGCCGTTGACGAGGCCTGGGCGCCACCGGCAGCCTTGACGGAGGCGTCGTCCTTAGCACCGGCATTGACGCTGGTATTTTCTCCAAGATGCCTCTCAATGACCCTCGCCTTGCCCTGCGCCCTCTTGACCCGGTCATCAAAGTCATTGACAGCGTCATCAGTGTTATCAGTCGACAACGTGTCAGGCTCGACGAGCGCATGCAGCGTGACAATGTTCTTCTCCAGCCTTGCGCCGCCGCCGTTCAGAGCAGGCAATTTCTGCTTGTCTTCTAAGGAGGAAGAGACAGAGTACGGGGGAGCGACCACGCCCCGCGGCTGTTGTTGCGCTTGTGGTAGCCTGTTGGCCCACACGATCGACTTGCCATGCAGCCTGCCCGCCTCGACGAACTTCTCAAAGCCCTTCTCGATGCCGAACGAGCGGCCCTCGATCCGCCCCGCGCGGTCACCGTCTGCAACTCCCTGCTGATAGCCCTCGGAGTAGAACTCCTCCTCGAGGTTGAGCAGGTTGTCGAAGGCGTCGTTGGCGGTCATATTCTCTTCCTTCAATGCCGGCTGAATGGTTGGGCCAAAATTGTTGGTCTTTTGCGTCGGTGTGGGTTGATTCAGCAGATGGGTCAACAATTCCAAACAAGACTGCTCTGCGTGATGGGTTTATGCGTGAAACGGCTTGATATGTTTGCTCGAAAAATGATCGCAAGTTGGTAGTGCTCACTGAAAAATAACCACTTACAAAGCTCTCAGATTCGATCGCTGAAGCACCGTCAGATCCGCCGCTAGTAACCGGGCCCGGCGCCGGGTCTCGGCCCCGTGCTTGGTCGTCACAATATCTATCGCCATTGAAGATGATTACTTGCTTTTTAAGAAATCACATGCTTCTAAAGAAAGAACACAAATGCTGTAGAATTGCTACAAACTGTTCCTTGCGATGTTCTGTATTGCCTTATTTAACAAGTCAAAATGAAGGGAGCCTTGATCACAAGTCCCGTGCGCCTACAGCTCGAGCGTAAAGCAATGAGTGATTAGGAGCAATTGCAAGCATTTAATCCGACTCTATAAGGGATACTCGATCACCAACCGGTTGGTCCCAATGGCGTGGAGATTTCCTCCTCTCACTCGTGTCTCCGGCTGCAATACCTGTCTATTTCATCAACAAGCCGCCGTTGGCACAAACAACCTGCCCCGTACACCACGCGGCATCAGGTGTACACAACATGCCCACAATACCCGCAATCTCAGACGTGTACGCCGGCCTCCCGCCCTCGGCCTTGCCGGCCTCAACAACCTCGGCAGCATCGATGCCCTCCCGTGCCCTCATCAGGGGCGCATGCTCGATCCAGCCCTTGATGGCGGCCTTGAACTCGTCGCTGTTGGCCGCGTACATGGGGCCCTCGACGGGTCCGGGGTTGATGGCATTGACGGTGGCCCGCTCGCTCAGCTCGCGTGCCCAAACGCGCGTCATGGCCTCCATGGCGGCCTTGGACCCCCCATAGACTGACTGGCCCAGGAAGCCGCAGTCGGAGCTGATGGAAGACAGGTTGACGATGCGGCCGGAACGGTCTGTCGGTAGGTACTGCGCTGCGGCTTGCATGAGCAGCAGGGGCCCGAGGACATTCACCTTGTAGGTGAAGTCGAAGTCCTCGATCTTGATGTCGGCCAGCTTGTCGTTCTTTGCGACACCGGCATTGTTCACGATAATATCGAGCTGGAATTTGTAGTCCTGCTTAGGGGTTGGTGGCGAGGAAGAGAAGTGCTTCTTTGTCGCTTCGATGAGGGCTAATGGCCCTTGAGGTGTTCCCAGGTCTGCTTGCACACCTAAAGTTTGAATTCCATATTTTCCTTCAAGCTTCTTGGAAAGCTCTTTTGTGAGGGCTGTGGATGACTTGGAAGTGTAGTTGAGGACCAGGTTGCATCCTTTGGAAGCAAGGTTCTCAGCAATAGCAGCCCCAATGCCTGTGAGGTGTTAGTGACGGGTGTCTCTTCAGGATCTGTATGCTGCGGCTCACTCCTTGAGGCTCCTGTTACTATTCCCAACTTTCCTGACAACAATCTGCTGGCCATCTTGGAGAGTCTGCACGGTGAATACAAATTACCTTATGGGTAGTGAGTGAGTGTGAATAAAGATTGTGAGTATATGTTTGTTTGTGTGTTGACACTGATACTTGCGATGCAACTTCTCTTGAAGACAACAAGAAGATAAGGGCAGTTGGGACCAAGTGTAGCTGTCGGTAGATATAACTACAGGACGGAACTGTCAATAGAAAAACACCGAGATTAGGCCTAATGCTGCCCCCATCGTGACCTTTGCTCCCTCCCCAGCATTTCTTCCACCTATATTTCCGACTAGAGCTACCTAATCAGGTATGCTATGTCCCGCTTGACCGAGGTGAATTCGAGGTGCCTCCCCCAATTTCCCCGCTGTCCTGGCTTTGGAGTCCGTCCTTCAGGGTCACTCTGTCCCACCAACCCCGCTAAACATGCGCGCCAGTCGGGTTAGGATGCTCCGTCCACCGGCGGTCCAGCACCTACCTGGCAACCCTGGCACCTGGGTGGATAGGCACCTAGGCGAGGTACCCAGGTACCTGGGTACTTCGCAGCTCCAGCGCCCCTCCATTTGCAGCTGTATTACTTTTCGACACGCCTGACAGTGCACTCAAATTCCACGTCGAGGTAACCCACATGCCACTTGCGACTTCACGTTGCCGACAACACTGAGCCAAGCACGCAGCCTTGCGCATCTGCTCAACATCGACCACCGACTCTTCCGCCCCATAGTGTATCCCAATCTCCAGCCAGTAGTCCATCGCCCACCATGGATATCCGCCTCCTCCACCCGTCAGACCTGCCTCTGATCCAACACGCCAACCTCGAGAACCTGCCCGAGAACTACTTCCTCAAATACTACCTCTACCATGCCCTATCATGGCCCCAGCTCAGCTTCGTCGCGGTCGATGTCGCCCGTCCCAAGAAGACACCCTATGACTACCCCAAGATCGTCGGATACGTCCTGGCCAAGATGGAGGAGGAGCCCGCAGACGGCGTCCAGCACGGCCACATCACCAGTCTGTCTGTGATGCGCACGCACAGAAAGCTTGGCATAGCCGAGAAGCTCATGCGACAGAGCCGTACGTTGACCAATTCTGAAGGGAGAGAAAGGGGGGGGGGTTATATACACCAAAGACAAGCTTATACTAACGATGCGCCACAGAACTCGCAATGGTTGAGACCTTCGGCGCACACTACGTCTCCCTGCACGTGCGCGAGTCCAACCAGGCCGCCATCCACCTCTACGAGAAGACCCTCGGCTTCCAGCGCGAGAAGACCGAGCCCAAGTACTACGCCGACGGCGAGGACGCCTTCGGCATGAAGCTCGACCTGTCCACCATCCGGGAGCAGATACGCGACGAGCAGGACTCCGACTCGGAGGGCGTGGACGAGGGCGAGCCCGTCGGCGACGTGGGCAGTGATCCGAACAGGAAGAGCGGTGGCAAGGCCGCAAAGAAGACCAAGAATGGTGCCGGTGCGGAGAGCAAAGATGACAAGAGGAAGGTCAAGGTCGGGAGGGGACTGGGTGTGGGTGAGCTAGTGGAGAGGGTTGAGAGTAAGCAGGGGTCATGAGGCAAGAGATTTGAATAAAGCGCTGTTCTTTTGCACAGGGCTCGCGTGTTTCTCCGGGTGCTCAGCTCCGTGGTGATGGTGCACGAGGGAAGAGAGCAGCGGCATCTCCGGCACAACGTTCAAAGTCTTGCTTGACGAGGTCAGTAACCAGACTTTATGTCACAAGTGGTAGCAGCATCTAAATGATCCGAAGGCATAGCGCAACATGGGTTTTGGAATAGAAGAAAAGGGTAGACAAAACATGGCCAAGAATGGGCAAAGCATTTTGCAGGTATTCTCCTCTCTTAACATGCGACGAAAACCAATACGGGATGTTTTGCGGAGCGTGCCAGATTCATATGTAAATGTCGCACAGCATCAGTGAGGGCCATCTTTCCATTCAGCTCGTTCAATGTTTTTTTTTTTTTTTTTTTTTTTTTTTTTGAAAAAAGAAAACCAGTCTTCATCAACGCATTGATTTTGTTCTCAGCGTGAAGTGGCAGGCGAGTAACTAAGTTGTGCTCTCTTAGATGCCAAATTTTCGACTGGATTGATTGGGTTTGCCTCCATAATCAATACAAGAATAGGATTATTCGATGAGTCGTTCAAATACACATCTCCTCACAATTCTTCCACGAAATCCTCTAGTCCTCAAGAGCTGCCAGCTCCTTCGCGAACTGCTCGTCAGCCTCAAGGCCGAGCTTGCTGACGGCCTTCTCAAGCTCCTCGATCTCAGCAAGTATACCAACCAGCGTCGGCGCGCCCTGTTTTTGGCCCTGACTATCTTCCCCTTGGGAGTCACCCGTGAAATTCGCCAGAGCTTCCCTCTTGCCCTGCAGCACCTCCCTTTTTGTCTCAAGGGAACTGTACATCGCTGCCGAGGCGGCGTGCGGACCGCCGTCATTATCCTTTAGCTGAATCCCATCCTCCTGGCGCCCGTCCTGGCCAGGAGCTTCCTTGTCCTGGTATTGGTCCTCCGCCTCGGCAGGCCATGCCCCAGGGAACCTCGGCTGACCCGTAGCACCCGGTCCACCATGTGCGGCAGAGAAGTCCCGGCTCCAGTCACTCATGCGCCGTGACCAGTCTTCCATGCCGCGTGCGAGACCTTCTCCCCAGTTGCCCGGACCTCCACCACGCCCTCCCCGCCCACCACACGGCAGCGGCCCGGTCTGGAAAGGCCCTTGGGGACCTCGATGGCGGGCGCCGGGGCCGAAGCCCGCGCCCGGGAACCCCGACCCGCCAAGTCCGAACGGGCCCCCTCTGGCGCTGAAGGGGTTGAACCCGCCATGATGACCAGGACCGAACGGGCCGGGCCCGCCGTGATGGCCGAACGGGCCAGGCCCGCCGTGTGAGTGATGGCCACCATCGTGGCTGTGATCACGGCGCCCCGCCCTCTCAAAGCGCCGCGCGCTGCGCCTCTCGCCTTTCGACTCACGCCTAGCCTGCTTCTCGTCTCGCCTGGCCTGGCGCCTGGTTTGCTTCCTGTCGCGCCTGGCCTGACGGCGAGCCCTCTTCTCAGCCCTGCGGCGGGCCCTTTTCTCGCTCCTTCTCTGTCTCCTCGCGCTTCGTTGCTCCTTCTTCAGCACTTTCCACTGGCCCATCATGCCTCGCACCTGCTGGCGCATGATCTCCCGGGCCGCGGCGTCACTGATATCCTGCGGGGCGGTCTTCCTGGCGGCCTTGATTTCTTCTCTGGCTTCCTTGACCGCCTCACGGGTAACAAGGTTCTCGGGCCGCGATAGCCACTCTTCCAGGTATGTCTTTGCGACCGGTAGCTGGCTATCTTTGAGGTCGTCATAGTCGGGCAACGAGCCGATCGATATGTCCGAGTCAGATCCTGAAGAGGACGAGGAGCTGCTGCTGCTGCTTGATGACGATGAAGAGGAGGATCGTGATCGGTGGCGGTGGGGGTTTCCATTGCTGAAGCGCCCTGGTCCACGTCCACGTCCATGTCCATGGCGATGGTGGTGGTCATGATGCCTGTCCGGACCGCGAGTGCGACCTTCAGCCTTCTCATCGGGATACTCGTCGTGGCTGTGCGCGCCAAACACTGGAGGGGGGTCCGGAATCGTGAAACCAGGCGGTGGGGGCGGCACTTGCGCATAGTAGGCTTCCTGGTCCTGAGAGTAACCATGAGGCAGGGGAGGCATTGGTGTCATGAGAGAGGCAGGCGGTGCAGGCGGTGCGGTTGGCTGGGCTGTTGGTGGCGAAGCCATGCGTCCACCTCCAAAGAGATCACGGCCCCGGATCCTGACACCATTGTTATCCATGACAACGCCACCGATCCTCAAACCATTAGGATTAGCGACGAAATTCCTGCCGATAGAGACACCACCAGAGTCGATGGAAACACCCCGGATGTTAAGGCCACTAGATGCGTTGTCGCGCCTGTTGATCGGGTTGAATCGCCGCCAGCGGCCTGTATTATCGGGCTGACGTGGAGGTCCAGATGGACCGCTATTATTTGCTCGCCTGTCGGTTGGCAGATTGCCAGCATTCGCAAATTCGGGGTTATTGTTGCTGTTGAAAGACTGGTCCCAGGCACCTGGTATGGGATAATGTTCCCTTGTAGTTGCAGTCCCATCCAAGTTAATGGTCATTCCTCTTGGCCCGAAGAAGCCATCGTTCCATTCCCGAACTGTTTCCTCAACGTTTTGTCTTTGCTGCAGATCAGGCGTGCGAATTTGGTCGAGTTGCGCCTCAACAGGCGTTCTCTCCTCGGCACCAGCGTCCCTGGCACTCTTCTCGCTCCTGTTGCTGCGTGCAGACTTCGCATCGTCTGTGTCCATGCCCTCTGCCCTGAGCTTCCGGTCGATGATCGCCTCGTTACGATGCGCCGCGTGGTAAGGCAGCAAGTAGTTCAAGAAAGTCTGCCAGTCCTCTTCTTTGACGTCTCGCTGTGCCCAGTCACCACAGTAGGGAAAATCGTCCGGCGAACTATCCTCCTTGACGACGATAGTGTGCCTCACCTGCTCGATACTATCATAGGAAGCCGGCACCGGTCTTGACTCGAAGTAGGCCTCTGCCGATGCGCTGGTCAAATGCTCCGAGGAGACAGATACGGTGTTTTGCTGCTGTTGCGGAAGTCTCGGACTGAGCAAGTTATTGTTGCCTGGGGTGCTGCCGCTGAAAGAATGTGACCGTGGGCTGCTAGGACTGAGCGGTGGTGTATAGATTACCTCCCCGCTTGTGGACGCGGCTGATGAAGCGTCATCCATCACAGGAATGCTGTTGGAGTTACTATGGGACGGTGTCCGAGGATGAGCAGGCATGACCTGTGACTGAGCAAGTACAGGAGAACGTCCATGAGAATCAGGGTTGGAATATATGTCCGTCTCAGAATATGGAGGCGGAGGGATGTCTGGCGCATCGTCCGGGTGCGACGTCATCTTGGATTCGTAATGGCGTCGCGTGCTGATGCGGTTGTAGGCAAATATTACTTTGGGTCTGTTTGAGTGAAGCGATGAAGGAGTTGATGTGGCAAAAGAACTGGAAAACAATGGGAGCTCGAAAAGTTGAGAGAGGCAGAACTGAAGGGTGCACAAGTCACTTGAAAACTAATAGAACCGGTGATTCGGGAAAGTTTGAAGGAATTAGTCTTGGATTTGATGGCGTGGATGACAACTCAGCTGGAGGGGTCTCGCGTTCTTCAACTACTGTAATCATATGTTCTGCCCCGCTGTCTGTTCGTATGACTGCGCCGTCACACAGCCTTTACCAGCTTGTATGGCAGGCAGGCTTCACGTTTGTCGTTCCTCGGCACCGATCCGCACAAAGGACCCCATGTAGTCTGTATAAGCTCACTGGAGAACCCTGCGGTTGGTAGCGTTTGAGTATGGATGGCCCCTGTGTTGGTGGAGGCCGTTGGCTAGGCTTCCCACCAGGGTGGGATTTAGGCCGTCTTACACCAGGCAGTGGACCAAGCGGTTCGCCCGCGTCACAGCTCTCCAATAGCTCTTGGCTCCCCCCACCTCTATTATGACTCCTCCTGCAACCAGCTGCATGCTACTTCTTCCGAGCTGACGCGGCCCCGCAAGGCAGCACTCGAGGCTCTGACGGCTTGAAGAATGTTGCAAAGGACTTAGAGGGCATTTAGAACATTCCCAAGGCTTCCAATGCCTCCAACGCCACGCGTGTCGTCCATTCATGCCAATCAAATTGTTCAGGGACTGCAGAGGCCTTGACGAGCTGTCGCGTCCAACCTGCAGTTCCTCTATCTCGCTACCATGTCTCATGGTGGCTGATGTCACTGGATTAGAAAGTCCACGTCTTCGATTTTGTAATGATCAGCAACAACGCCTTGGAGATGGTCTCGAGAATGTGGTCCCCTATGTCGGCAGTTAGCGGAGTGATGGAGAGTGCAACCATGAAAGTTCTGTTCACTCACAGATTCGTGATGTAGATGTCTACCAAGTCGGGTACGATGTACTCGGAGCTTGTAGTCGCAACATCAATGTCGACCATGTGGCCATCGTAACTGACCAGGTCCATGGGGTCACCGACCTGGACGAGTGCATTCAAATCTGGTTCGTCATCGGGACAGAGCTTGAACACGCCGCCCAGAACGATCACTGTCTTGCTGAATTCACGCGCAGCCCTCGCAACCATGGCAGCACCTCCAACGGCAATGACCGATCCATTGGCGGTTACGGCTTCAGCATCGATGATCACCACGTTGATCCTGGCCATATACGCCGTGATACCGCTACCCGCAATGTTGATGGTATTGACACCGAACTTGCTCAGCTGTTTGCGCAAAGCCGCGTACGGTGGCTCTTCAGATGCCTTGGCAATTGCGGCACCGGCAATGAAGACGGTGAATTTCCTCCTCTTAGCGGCCGCAATCAGAAACCTCTCGACCGTCGGGCTCGGCTTGTAGACTAGGACGTGGTGTCCGGGGTGTATCTGCACTTCGGCGAAGCTCGCAATCTGGTCATCTACTTGGCTGATCTCGTCCTTGATTTCCTCGATACCATCAATGACCTCCGAGCGGAGAGCGGAGTTGTTGGCGACTTGCGCATGTGACATGGGCGTAGAGGAACCAGACCCTCTTCCAAAAGGCGATCCTGCCGAGCTTCGGTCCAGCTTGGGCGAGTTGGCGAGCAAATTGAACATGGACTGTGGGACGTGGAAGGAACTCGTGGAGGTGAGCAAGCCCATGCGAGGGGGCGGTCGAGACGGAGGCGAGGCATCTGCAGAGATCGAATGTGGCTCGTCACCAGGCAGGGCCGAGACGTCAGACATAGAGTCGTCAGCGTTTCCGCCGCGGTCCTCCTCGGCTTCGTCGCGGATGAGGCCCAAGACGCGGCGCACAACGTTGCCGATCACCAGCTCTTGAGGCCGCGCGAGGACGAGCTTCCGGCCGACGCTCTCGACACGATCAAGCAGCTGGTCGACATTGGACCACTTTGACTTCGCAACAACGTGGAGGAGGATGTGGGCTGTCGCGATTGCGCATTTGTCGGCGCCGGTGATTTGTCTCCGCTTGAGTAGGCTACAGAGATGGGAGATGCGTGTCAGCCTGTAGTATCGAGACGCCTCCTGAAGTGATATGTACGTACGATATGAGCGATTCTATCGAGGCCTCAAGCGGTCGCCCCTTAAGCGACTTGAGGAACTTCTCAAGGTTCGGCGCATGTCCCTTTGGTGGTGCTGCCATAGCGGCAAGCTCGTCGCAGGCGTCGTGCAGAGTGTGCGTGGATTCTGGGGAGGATAGTAGCAGAAATGGCTTTCAAAATCGCTATTCTCACACAGGATATAGGCTGAGGCTTCCCTTGTCACAGATTGGTCAACAAGGTGGAGGGCAGAACAAGCGAGGCTCGTTCGAAAGAGCACGAGTGAGTCAAATGGACCGCGGGCGACTCAAAAGTTTGGTGGGGCAGGAATGACTGCATTGTCAAGCTCTCCCCTTCCCCCGCTGAGTCAGCCGCGCTGGTTCAACTGGCTATTACATGCACATTGTCTGGGTGTTTACGAGCAGACTCGATCCAAGCAAAACTATTCATGTAAATTGTTATGATCAGACTGGGTGGACCCATAGATTTCTAGCTTGTAAGAGCCTCATATGACTAGATCCCGCAGCCCAAAGCCCAAAGCCCAATACCTGAATGAGATACTGTCCTGACGGGTTTACAGCTTTTCCTTGGGCATAAATTTCATGGCCTGACGGACACCGAGATCACCCAAGACCTCTTCGGCACCTCCAAGGATTGCGTCGAACTTGTATCCCCGGTTGAAGTTCTCGATAGTACGGCCCATACCTGACTGTGTCAGACCCCGACCTCCCCAGATCTGCACTGATTCATCCGCAATCTCGTGAGCCATCCGCGTCACGCTCATCTTCAACAGACCAATCGGTCCTCCAAGGAACTTAGCCTGTTGAGTGTACGGCATGTTGCACATTTGGTACGTGATGGTTTCTAGCCACGACTGGTGGGCTTCAACAAGAGCAATCATCTTGGCCAACTTGAGACGAATCACCGGCTGGTCGATGAGACGCTTGCCAAAGACCAGTCTCTGGTGTGCCCACTTGAGGGTTTCCTCGACAATGGTTCGTGAGTATCTAACGGTACCGCCTGTAGACAGATGGTTAGCTCGGGTGCTTCAAGTCTCAGATACAGTGGCCAAACCTACAGCACATGGTCCAGCGCTCGTGGTTGAAGTTGCTCAAAATCACATAGATACCCTGGTTCTCCTTGCCAAGCAGATTCTCCGCTGGCACCTTGACATTGTCGAAAGTGATATATGTCGTTCCGGCAGCAGTAGAGTAACTCGTCTTGATCAGCTTGGTCTCGACGCCCTCGCCTCTCTCGATGAGCAGCACACTCAGGCCCTTGTCCGTTTGCACGCCCGTGACGAAGTAATCGCTGAAGACGCCGTTGGTAATCCACTTCTTGGTACCGTTCACAATGTAGTGCTTGCCGTCGGGCGTCTTCTTTGCAGTTGTCCGCAGGCGTGCGACATCACTACCCGCGAAAGCCTCGGTGATGGCCAGGCAAATCTTCTTCTTGCCGCTAAACACCTCGTCTGCGATCTTCTTCTTGAAGGTCTCGTCGTTGGCAAAGTTAAGAACAGCGGTCAGACCGATGGTCATCCCTGCCATGTTGCCATCCTGGAAACCTCTGGCCGATGACCGCACCAGTTCCTGGCCGATGATAAGATCATGGAAGTAGTCGAATTCCTCCGGCTTGACCACGCCACCTAGCAGCGGGGGACCCGACTTGAGGTGTTTGCCAGGTCCAAGGCGCATGTGGAGAACACCTTCTTTGGACATGCGATCGATCAACTCTTGGCTGATGTAGGTGCCATCCTTCTCCTTCGCCTGTGCCTCGGGAGTCACGTACAAGTCGGTGAACTTCCTGATGGCCTTCTGCAGCCTCCGGTGGCTATCATTGTAGTACGGGTTCTTGAAGGGCTCCGACAACCATAGCGGCTCAGCATAGGGGACCTTTGAGAGCTCGCCCGGGCCGGGGTTGACCACCTGGGGCTTCTCGCCTTCAATGGTCCCAATGGCCATCTCGGCGTACTTGCCCGTCAAAACTTCATGACGGTGAAGATTGTAGAAGGCATCGGTGGCGTCGGTGCCAGCGACTTGGCGTAGCACGGCCTCGCCTCCAGGGTGGGCATCGAGAAAGTCGGAGACATCGTAAACTTTGCTGTCGATGATGAACAGCACTTGGTCCTCCGTGTTTCCCTCCTTCTTGACCTGCTCGCGAGTAAAGGTCTTGGGTGTGGCTACGGAACCCATTGTGACGGTCGTGGGTAAGGTTTAGTAAAAGAAAGCCGAGGGAGGCTCGGGGCAGAATACTCGAGGCTCGAGGGATGATGGGGCTTTGGTCTGTGGAAAGGGACTGAGAAGGCACAGGAAGAAGAGACGAAGTGAGAGCTAGCTGCTCTGTGGATTATTCCGTGGGCTGGAGATGAAGCGAAGGAGAAGTGAAAGGAGAAGTAGCCACCGGGGCAGACACCACCAGGACGAAGACGATGCTGATGACCACCGGACGGCATGGCGGCTTTGGTCGGGCGGGTGACCCTTGCGGAATGGGCTCAAGTTGCCTCGGCTCAGACTGGATTACTGGCCATTGGAAACGGGGAAGCATGGGTGGCAGGCTTGGGCTGGGGTAGCTGCGCCCAGGGCCCCTGGAGGATTGTATTTGAAGTCCACCTGATTGGCCAAGTTCTCTCAGCTTCCCCAGACCGTTGCTGGGCCCCCTGGTTTGGGGCATGTGAACGGTGGTGGGGCCCCAAGTCCCTGAGAGTGTGCCCCTGGGTCGCGGCTCTTTTGAAGATGGGCTTCTCCCTTGTTTTGGATCAACAAGACAAGGAAGTCTAGGCCTTCCATCGGTGAAGTATACTGTCTGTCGAGCGGAGTCGATCTATAGTGGATTAGTGATACCGCCGACAAACTCGAGGACTTGGCCCGGAAAAGTTCGAACTTTAGTTTTGATGCCTTGGGGAACGTATCTAAGTGTACTAAATCGATTTTGTAGGCCTCAGATTACCCAGATAGATGTCAGCGGGTGAATCACTCCAAGCGGGAGGTTTCGCGTATCACAATTGTCTCTATCATGAGCGGTCGCACAGCACAAAGTGTCTGCTTGTCCTTCTAGTAGTGCGAAGTTGAGCATCCAAGTCCTCGGGCGACTCCACCAATGTGTGCCCCGCCCCACCTGTCGATTTTCTCGGCTCACCTCTGCGAGAACGAAGCTGAACCTTTGCCAGATAAATACACAACAGACACAGATCTATGCGCAACCTTCGCATTCCAACGGCCGTCTTTTGCCGTATATATCCACCCCAACGACGGTAAGTCCCAACCGCCCTCTTACTCAGTCATGCAATACTCTGTTCTCGGACAGGCGCATCTTGCCCAGGTTCCACCATAGATAACCCCCACCCTGTTCTGGACACGCCCAACCCCAAGTGTCGAATTGTCTACGTGTTAGGCCTTTCTTGGTCTTCTTTGCCGATCTTGGTCGAGGCAGGGCATGCTCGCTTACACGCTGTTCGCTACTGCGGATGTCTACCGCTTGCCCGGCATTGTCTGAAGCCCGAAATCGCCGGTCGAGTGATGCATTAGCCATTGAGATCTGAACCCGGACTTCCAATGTTTCTAATGGAACATTGTTTCGTGGAGAACAAGGGATGGCTTCGACGTTGGTAACGTCCTGGCCGCACTCCTCTAGGGTGCTACGCCGGTAGTGCTGGCCGGCCATACTGAGCACCACGTGGACATGCCACACTCCGTTCAATTATCACTTTATCCTTCACTTTGCATTGTGGTTCAGAATAGTCACCCCGGTACTGTGTAGTTCAGGCTTAAAGCACCTACTTGCAGTAGAACTACTCAGGTGCCGCCGCTGCAACTTATCAGGGATTTTCAGTCTTTCCTATTCTGTTCGGCATCGCTGCTGTCGGCGGCGTCTGCTCTTTACCTAGCCTCCCCCCCCTGCCGTACCAACCAAATCTCGACCACGCTGAAGGAGCATCGCTGCTTCACATCGTCAGCTTTGGGCAGGAAGCCATTGTGTTGTTCTCATTCTTACTATACAAATTTGAACTCTCACAAATTCTGGCTCATCAGCCCAACATGGATGCTTATTCAATGACGTGCACTAGCCCAAGCCTCCGGCATCTGTCCCGGATATATCTCGATCTGAAGTCGATACATTGCCAAACCATCTCGGGGCTCAACCCAAAACAGCTTGACCAGCGAGTGCCAACCATGAATACGAAAGCAAGAGTAAGCCAGCGCCCTACCCATATGATGCTTCCAGGACCAAATTTAGAGTGTGCCTGACCGACATGCTCTGTCTCCGTGGTAACGCCTGTATCTGGCTTCGTCCTGCCCACCTTTTCATTTCCTGGATGCTCTTGCTTCTCTCACCCAGATCCCGCTACCTATGAATCACTTGATTATATGCGAGATCATGCTGACAAACTGCAAAGAGGACAATCCAAAATGGACAGATTCCGCACATCGGGATCATAGGTGCTGGCCTGGCCGGCCTGCGTTGTGCAGATGTATTGCTTGAGCACGGCTTCCAGGTAACCATCCTCGAAGGCCGCGACAGGATAGGTGGCCGCCTGTACCAAGACCGCCTAGCCAATGGTGTGACAGTTGATGTAGGCCCGAACTGGGTACACGGCACTGACAATAACTCTATCTTGGACATCGCTAAGGAGACGAATACAGCCATGGGGAGCTGGGACACAGGATCGTACGTCTTCAACGAGGATGGCGAATTGTACAGCCTCAAAGAAGGCGAGCGGTACTCAGAGATGATGTGGGACATTGTCCAGGCGGCATTCAAGCACTCGAACAAGAACTCAGCCGAGATCGACCCCAATGAGAGCTTGCTAGACTTCTTCAAGGTGACATTGAAAGAACTGATACCCGAGTCTACGGAGAACTGGCAACGGAAAAGGGAAATCGTGCTGCAGATGGCCGACTTGTGGGGTGCGTTTGTGGGTAGTCCGGTCGAGAGACAGAGCTTGAAGTTCTTCTGGTTAGAGGAGTGTATAGAAGGCGGTAAGTCGTATTCTCCCTACCTGACTTACTGAATTGTACTTTGACAGAGGATCTCAGAGAATCTCTACTGCGCCGGCACGTACGCGAAGATTCTAGCCCATATCGCCGCACCGGCTCTCAAAGGTGCAACAATCAACTACGACACCCTTGTTCACAGGATACATGCCCGATCCTCTCCAGAAAATCCGGTCAAAGCGACACTCTCCGACGGCACTCAGCTCTCGTTCGATGAGCTCGTCGTCACCTGCCCCTTGGGCTGGCTACAGAAGAACCCGCAAGCCTTCGACCCAGCCCTCCCACCAAGCCTCACTAAAGCCATCAATAGCATTAGCTACGGATGTCTGGAAAAGGTCTACATATCCTTCCCCAAGGCATTCTGGCTCACCCCAGACCCCAACAACGCGGGCCGGAAAGTCCAAGGCTTCGCCCAATGGCTCTCCCCGCGGTTTGCACCGGACACGAACCCGGAGCGCTGGACGATAGAGGTCGTGGAGCTGGCCTCCCTTGGCCCGGACGTCTCGCACCCAACGCTGCTTTTCTACATCTACGGCGCGCAGTCGGCCCACATCGTCAACACCGTCAAGTCGCTCTCGTCCGCACAGGAGAGGGACAAGTTCCTATACGGATTCTTCAGCCCTTACTACACCAAGCTGCCCAACTACTCGCCCGACTCCCCGGACTGCCAGCCCGTGTGCAGCTACGCGACCACCTGGCTGGCCGACGCCCTCGCCGGCAACGGCTCCTACAGCAACTTCCAGGTCGGGCTGCAGGAGGGCGACGAGGACATCAAGACGATGCGGGAGGGGTGGAAGGACCAGGGCGTGTGGCTGGCGGGCGAGCACACGTCGCCGTTCGTGGCGCTCGGCACGGCAACGGGCGCGTATTGGAGCGGAGAGAGCGTGGGGAGGCAGCTGGCGGAGGGATATGGGCGGAGTGCAGTTGCTACAAGCAGCGGTAATGATCATGAGGTCGCTCACGGGAGCGCTAGCTAGAAGGGGGGGCCACTGAAGTTTTTCCGGTACTGGAGGCGGCTTGGAAGGAGTTGATATACTGAGTAGACATAACTTGTCGTAGAGCGGAGCATTGAGTTCCAAGGTGCTTCGGGTAGATTTAGAATTGCCGTTCTGTTGCGTCGACACCCGCACCGGTATTCATCGACTGGCCGATCATTGCTGTTGCCTCGAGAGTTGTGATGCGGCGTTTGGTGACATATAAGTCGACTACATTTAGCCCAGCCGGATGTTGGTTTTCATGGGTAGGATGAACAGGATCATACGCATGGCAAAACCTGGCAGGTCTTTAGACTATGCTGTTGTCTTATTGGCACTTCAAGCACTTGGCAAGGCACAACAGAACGAGGTTGAATACATATTTCATATTTCCAGTAGTCTTGCAAACAGAGTTGCTTTTGTGTCATCAATTTTCTCTACCAAGAGCCTATAGTTAGGTTGTCTCAACTAGAGTGCAGAGTCCATTGCCGTGCCATGTGTTCCCGATTTTTTGAGTAAAGAAGCAAGTCATTATGCCGAAGTCCGTATTGAAAGTCAAGACCGAAATTTTTGTGGACGCGAATTCCCGATAGCCGCCTCATCTCAGAAGACCTAGGCCATTCCTCGAAGTCTCAGGTTGGCGATTGACGCCAAGTGTCGGTACCGGTGTCGCAGAAACAAGTCCCAAAAAGCAGAAGAAAGAGCCATCACATCATGATCCGGGGGTATCCAGACGACCATCGTCACCACAGGTCCCAAGCACCGCTCCACACTGGAGCCGCAACTTCGCATCCCATCGCGAATCCACAACCTTCCTCCATCATCAGTGGTAGTCAAGACTCGTCCGCTCGACAGTACCAGGCCGGTTGCAAGTTTATGTAGTCGTCTGTATGCCGCAGCTCACTTAGGCGGAGGGGCACTCGGACTGGATGTGGCCAGGTTGCTGGCACTTGTAGCAGATCTTCTCGCCGGTGGAGGTACCCTTGGGGCAGTCGCGAGAGAAGTGGCCGTTCTCGCCGCAGTTGTAGCACTTGGAGCCGTTGACGCAGTCACCTGTTGAAGTCGATGTCAGAATATCTGTCCGGAAGCTGTGCATTTGGTCAAGCAGAACAAGACACTCACGGGACATGTGACCGATGCCACCGCAGCTGTAGCAAGTCTTCTGGCCACCGCCGGCACCGTAGCCGCCGCCATAGCCGCCACGGCCGCCACCGTAGCCACCACCGTAGCCACCGCCGTTCTGGGGGCAGTTGCGGGCGATGTGTCCAACCTCGCCGCACTAGGAACATCTTAGCGAAACTCATGTTTGCTCATTAGGCGGAGTGATCAGACCTTGTAGCAGTCCTGGCCACCACCGCCGCCACCACCGGTCTGGCCGGCGGACTGGCATTCACGAGAGATGTGGCCGGCCTGACCGCAGCGGTAGCAGGTCTTGGTGTCCTTAGCACCCTCCGGGCATTCACGGCCTAGATGCTATCGTCAGCAGGTTGCTCTCAAAATGTCTGCAAGGATGAGACCGTGGAACTCACTCATGTGACCCTCAGCTGATGGCGAGAAGGAATATAATCAGTATTGAAACCCCATCGTTATTTTTGGCCTTGGCAGTTCTCACCTCCGCAGTTGTAGCTAGATGTCTGGTCAGCAGTGCTCATAATTGAATTCGGGCTTATACAGCCACTTACCACTTGGCAGGTCCACGGGTAGGGCACTCGCGAGCCTGTGAAGGGTTGGTGTCAGTATCTGTGACGACATTGTACGTCTTCGACCTCATCCGCCCTGGTTTGTGACCATGCATACCTGGTGATCGGTGGCACCGCCTAAATCGCATTCTCGTCAGATCTCTCAACACACCACGCCAACATAAACGAAACAGAGGGGTACAGTTTTGTGCCCTGGAGATGAGCTCTTAGAATTGGGTCGCTGCGAACTGAGCCAAAGAGCCCTGTGAAGTAGGAAAGCCCAAAGCACACAAAGTGCCTTGGGGCTCAGCTATGCAGGGGACGGCGAACGATGATGAAAGTGTGTATGCGCCACAAGCTTTGGCACAATCAGGAGGTCAAGCGACTGTGGGCAGCATGGAAAACCGCGACGAGGGCATAGAGCTGGGGAGAAGGGCACACAGGCTTGTAGCACCGTCGGCACGAGGTCACGAGACCACTTGGATGTGCATTGGACTTGCGCCCTGGAGATGGATGCCAGGGAGTGTGTGGGCAGAGATTCAGGTCGGGGTCCAACTTACAGCTGTAGCAGGCGCGAGGAGCAGCGCCGCCGCCGAAGTTGTTGGCATCCATGATTGTTTGGTTTGGGGTGGGTATTCGAGATTGAAAGGATATGAGTGAGGCCTGAGTTTAGCAGGTGAGGGTCTGGTCAGCGACTAATTTGGGTATGGAGAGTAGAAGAAGAATGAGGATTTCAATTCTGGCGTTGGGGTTGGAGTTGGAAGGACGCAGGTCAGGCCGACGTCTGGGAAGGGAAGGGAAGGGCAAAAAGGTGGAGGTGGGGTGAAAACCGTTTGCCGTGTGAGTGGGGCAAGTTCAAATCGAATTTTCCTCCGTCTACATCGGGGATGCCATTGGTTTACGTACCTTTTGTCCGAAGCGCAGTCTAGAGCCTCGAGGCACGTGCAGGGTGTGCAGGAGGAGGTTCCTTGCTTGAGATGTCGGGTCTTGTCAAGGAGGTGGTTGATGTTGATGAAGAATTGGGACGGGGTGGGAGGGGTCACTGAGTGAGTGAGTGGGTTGATGGGTAGGCGTGGACAGAAAATGTGAGACAGGCAAATTAGATTTGTGTGACACGCAAACAAATCTTCTGCTGGCCTAGCAGCCTGGCTGGCGAGGCAGGAGCTGCAAGGAAATCCAAGGTTTTTACGACAGCAGACAGCAGCAGAGCAGATCAAGTCGGGCCGGGTCAAAGGATACCTTGGGCACGTAGTACCGGCTGTACTGTACGTAGTCTGCTTTCGTACGCAATCAGTCTGTTGGTGCGCGGCCTAGCCCTGGAGAGTACACAAAGAGGAGGGGCAGGACAGGCAAAGACTTCTTCCTCCTGCATGTGGTACAGGTACCATGCAGCACAGGAGGGCCGAGGGGAGTGAATTTCCGGAGGCACATGGCCAGGGTGGTCCTTGCAGAGATTGGGAGACCCTATGTGACAGGCCAAAGGGGGCAATTGGGCCAGACAATCACACAGACTGGCACGGCGGTTATCAACGACACCTGCAGGTCTGCACTGCAGGTCAGGGCCTGCCTGATGGACTGACAGGGAGCAGGGAGCAGCAGAGGGAGCAGGGACTTCTATCAGAAGAGCCATTGAGGAGAAACCATCCAAGAAGGCCAATCAATCTGAAGACCAATATTACGAGGGTTTCGTGGACGAGTGAGAGTATATCTATGCCCAGATATGGCATATCAAGATGACCAAGCCAGGACGGCAGGAAGCTGTGCAGCCGCTGGCTGGGAATTTCTCGAGTGCAAATTGCAACGGCAATCGCCCCACGGGCTCTGTTTTCACACTGACCAGTGACAAGACAGGCGATATTCTGCTCTGACTTTCCAGGCCCTTGGGCAGAATCCCATCTTTCCAGAACTGGAAGGTGGGGCTGTCACCCCTGCGTCTATCTGAGATCTCGCCTCAGTTGACACGAACAATTCTCATGGTCTGTGGCACTGGCCGCAGCGTGTCACAGTCCCCTGCATATTGCAGACATCGAGGCACCACGTGAGAGCAGAATTGCCCAGCTAGGCTGATACTGTAGTGACCAAATGGGCTGCCTGTGCATTGACTTGAATGCGCGCATATTCTTCTGGGAAATTTGCACCCGACATACCGTCAAAGGGGTGGTGGATGAGGTGAATAGGTAGGTAGTTGTGAACGATGTCAAAGAGCCTAGCCAAATAAACCGGGTGCGCATCTAGCTTACTGAAGACTATTTACTAGTGTCAGCGACTAGTCAATGAGGAGAAGAAAAACCACACCCGTCTCCTTAGCTGGTCATCGACTGAGCGAGCAGGCGAGTGTTGCCTCTGGCTAAGATGGTCCTTGGCTACCCAGCCCAAGTAAACTCTCATCTCGTCGTCACTGGCTTTGTAGCATGACCGTTGTGCCAATGACGCCCCTTGCCCGAGAGTCTGGCCGTAGCGAAAGGGATAGTGTGCCGCCGAAGTCGTCTCGAACAACCGTTTTGTGCGTCTAGCCTGATGCACCGCTTCAACTGCTGACCGCCGGCCTTGAGACCACCGATTTTGTGGTTGCCCCTGCCAGTGCGCGCCGTTCGTTCCACACTCTTGGATGCATCGAGAACAACCAGGCGCCAGAGCTGGCCCAGATAGTGTGTGCTCTGTATCTAGCGGTTGCAGGATGCAAAGGCTTGCGAGCCCGGGTCGAACGGTCTCGCGACGGCGTTCGGGAACTGTCTGCCGGGACAAACACCCCCAGGAGCAGAATCCCAACACCATGCCGTGATCAACCTGCGGTCAGGCGATCGAGCGAGCCCGAGGGCAGACTCGACACGACAGACACAATCTCAAGCCAAGCCTTTATCACAAGGACGACCAATCTCGTGTATGAAGATTCGGCGCCCGTTAAGCTTGACAGGTCTTGAAAACCGCGTAGCAACATGGTCACGTCGAGCACTTATTCACTTCGATGGTAAAAAGAAAAAAGAACCCTATGTGCAGCCAGCAAAGCTCTTTCATTCATGTCGTCTGTCTCGCACAGACTGAGCTCATAAAGACCCGTACCCATCTTTCCGAACAGGTGGGACAGATGGAAAGGCAGGCAGGGCCCACAGCTCCTGGTCCGTGCAGCACAATCCCTGCCGCCCAGCCCAAATCCGCTCGACAGCCCCGACAGGCTCATGTGACAGGGCGTTCGATCTCGAAGACCGCGTTTAGGCACGCGTCAAGGCCACCCACGCTTCAACACCGCATTGCCAGTTTCCCGTCCTCATTCTCATTCTCATTCATGTTGGGCACTACACTGGGTCAGGTCTGCCTTTAAATCAACAAGCTTCGAAGACTGGATTTGATTTTAAATGTTCGGCAAACCCTGAATATTGAAAGGGGGAATGTCGACCTGGCTCCGGGATAGCAAGTCTGCCATTCAGGAGGCTGTGGAAGACGCGTTCAACCAGATCCAGGAGCGTGCGCAATTGGGTATGCAGTCACTCTTCCATAAGAAGCATTCTATCTATTTTCTTACTGATTCCATCTCCAGAGCTCCGGGAGCGCGACCGCAGAAATGATGAGCTATCAGGCCAGCTACAACAGCTTAAAGACCACGCCGCCACCGCCGTTCAGCTGCAACAAGAGAACGAATCATTGAGGAAGCAGGTACAGAAGCTTCTGCAGTCCAACAAAGATCGAGAGGCATTGTCTCCCAAGAAACGAAGAGCATTGGGCGAGCTGTCCCCGAACAAGCTCGCCGCTTCGCGAGCTGCAAATCCTCTAGCCCGACATGGTGACGACCGTGTAGACTATGAAAAGGAGTACAATAAACTTCACGCAAAGTACGATATTCTGGAAAAGTCGCGAGACGAGTATAAGTCAGTGCTACGGCAAAGGACTGTGCAGATTTCCAAGTGGGCAGAGACTTCAGACAAGCAAAAGGTAGTCATCGAGAGACTGCGGAAGAGACTGGCCCAGTACCAGTCCACAGGGGTCTCGGACGCGCATCCGAATACACCTGGGATTGGACCACTGGACGTTAGTGTGGACGAGCCGGAGAGGCCGAGTCCCAATTCGAGCTTCGATCGTCCTATCGATGCAATCCCAGAAGCTTCAACTGGCCTGACTGCTGCGAGATGCTCAATCTCAAAGGCACACGATGGTTCTAAAATCCATGAGCATCCTGCAGAGGACAATCTTGAGGCCAGGGTGCATAAAAACGATCCTGCTAATGAGTCAACCGAGCTTCCAAAGCTGCCTGAACAACAAGATGATGACTTGAGTGCCGTTTTGAAAGTCGAACTATCATCAGACGGACCAGTCTTTGTTTCAGAAAGACCAGTCCACAAGAGGAAACGTGGTCGAGAAGACGAGCCCAAGAGTAAACAAGTGCAGAGGATCAAGTCTGAACACAGCAGCTCCGGCCCAGAATACACTGGAGAAATACACTCGTTTACACCCACGGAGAGTTTCGATTTTGAGGAGGATATCCATGTCCCAACTCCCAGGAAGCGTAGAGTGTTGGGGCAATTTCAGCAGCATGCAGCATTAGATGGCTTGGGAGGGTCTACGATGAACGGTTCTTCACACGCGCCGCTTACCACAACAGAAGCTCCACTCACGCCGACGACAGCCATTAGGGACGCCCAAAAGCCGAACCGTACCTCTGCATCTCATGAGGCGATCGCTGATGTTTCGGAGTCAGTGATTCCTAGTGATCAGCAACCAGGGCATCACATCACGCTCCAGCTCGACCTCGGGATTAGAGACTTGGCGGAGGACGGAGAGGCAGACTTGAATACTGTTCAGCGTCCGGCGTTTAAAGGCCGCCTGGACGCTTTGCTCAATTCGACGTCCGTCAGAACTCCAAAACCTAAGATTCAGCCCGCCTCTCACAGAGTGCAGACTCCACAGCCTGCTCCTGCCGGTAATTACGAAGATGCCCTCAGAGTACCTGCACGGCGCGAGCTTCCTCATGGCAAGAAATTGCCAACTTCAGAGACATCAACTACTCCGGTGCAGCAGAAAGCCGCAAGCACATTGCCTGCCAAAGCCCGTCTGAGCCGCGAACGACCACCAAAGAGACCCTCGATTTTACGTGATGACATGCCACGCGGGCGACTGGCAGATAAAGAGAAGGCGCCTCTCCGCCAGAAGCCGATGGATAGGCTGAGGCCTGAGGACTTCAAGCCGAATCCGAGGTACAACGATGGGCTCACATACGTCTACGACGAAGTTGTTCGCGGTAGAGAAGCACGCTCTGCTCTGTCCGGCTGCACCGACCCCAATTGCTGCGGCAAGACATTCCGATCCTTTGCCGAGGCCGAGCGCTCCACCATTGGTCCGTCAGTCACCACACGCGCGGAAGACATTAAGCTGCTCGAGAACTACCTTGGTGATGATGCGTTCAAACTAGGCAGCATGACGCGTGACGAAAAGGAGGAGACGTGGATTCTGGCCAAGACGTGGGAGCTGGCTGGCAAATTTGGGCGGCATCGGGAGAGGTATGCCAGGATGCCGAGCCCCCCAGGCTTCTGGACGGTGGAGTTCCCGAGTACGCAGGAGAGGGCGGAGGAGAGAAGGCAAGCAGAGGAGATACAGAAGGCTTTGGTTCATGAGAGGTACCGAGAGGCGATGAGGCCTGGTGGGAGGTGGCTGTTCCGGGATGAGGAGGGGCGTTGACGCGTTGCTCTGGCCAAAGCTGTGGCTCCCCGGCCTCTGACTTGCTCAATTGGTGGCGGTACGCGTTTTTGTGTGGTCAGTCAGCTCTCGGTGGTGTAGCGAAATGCGTCAAGTGGCTTCGGAGAATAAACGGTTCCATTTGCGCCATGTACTTGTCACCATTGTCACCGTGGGTGGGTGATACAACCCACGTCTTCGCGATCCATGCCAGCGGTTGTTTCGTCTCGAGTGGACTACAGGGAGACTTTTTGCTCCTCTTGTAAACAGAGCGGACTGGATTGGCTCTGGCTGTCTTTGCAAATCATGCAACAAATTTCTGTTTCTCTAGGACAAAAGCTTTGCTAGAGCAGTCTAGAAGCCGGTATGAGAAGGCAGGTCCAGGTTCAACTCAACCATGGCAGCCGTAAGGCATTGCCGGTGTGACAATATTACGGAGGGATGCTTTATCGGCACCGATCTACTCGCAGCACGTGCGCCCAGCCCAGATTATGTGGGCTGTCTTGGATTGTCTCTTAAAAAGACTTGTTGATTCAGAATGGTGGTGGTAGAGTTCCCAGCTCCCTGCCTCTGCCTGGATCAAAAAGCTGGGGTGAGCTACTGTAGTGTGGTGTACCTGGCACACCTGGCCCGCCTTTGGTCAACCACGGGCAGTACCAAAGAGTAGGTGGTGTGGTGCAGGGACCACCGAGTGACCCGAGCTCTTCTGAGTTCCAATGCTGCTACCTTGGTACCCTGTCACTGTGCTCCCTCCCAAATTTTGTGGCCGAGCCCGCAACAACATCATTCGGAAGTGATTGATTGCTCTCAGCCTCTGACTGCGCGCAGCCGGCCCAAGGCTCCCTCGCATCACGACCCATCCTCCCCTCCCCTCTGCCCAGCCATCTCGCCATCTCAGTTGGCAGATCAGCTCCGGATAGACCGTGAGTGACAATTGCAACCCCAACCCCTCAGGCTGCACGTCGCAAACAGCCAGATGACGCCCGGAGGAGCTTGGGCTAACCGAGACTTTTGCCCAGATTTCTCGCACGGGCAAACGGGCAAGCAACTCTAGTCGCATCGCCATCGCGACATTGTTCATACGACCGCATCTCCAGGACTGCCAGTGCTCCCGAGCACGGCTGGATACCTTCACTGTGGCATCTCTCGAGAAGCTCCGTGTCTGTTGCTTCTGCTTCCCCGACGACGAGCCGGTGGTCAGTGATCGCGCCCGCGAAACAATACCTCCCAAGCCGGCAAGATGAGCAACGGTCATCTGCCGGCTGGGTCACCAGCCATGCCCGGCGGCGGGCATGGAGGCCACGGGGCCCAGCCTGCATACGGCATGGGAGGAAGCCCCGTCCCGAACGGCGGCCGAGCATTGTACCCGTCACAGTATCCTCAGCCCCGGGGTCGCGGAAGGGCACAACAATATTCCCACCCCGCCCAGCCCCAGAACTACTACGCCCAGCAACATGTTCAGGCACAGGCTCAGCCCTCCCAGTTCTCTCCCCACATGTACGGCTCGTACCCTCAGCAAGGCTACAACAGCATGTATGGCTATCCCAACCAGCAGCCATACGTGGGCTACCACTACAACCAGAACGGCGTCGTCCCTGCGGCGTACGGCCACCCGCAACACCAACAACATTACTACAACCAGCAACATATGCCCATGCAGTCATGGTACCCTGCCGCCTCTATTCCTCATTACCAGCTGTCTCAGTCTCCTTCCATCAACACTCCGTACCCGCCGCCACCTCCGATGGCCCCGGTCCAGTCTCCTGATGTTGTCCCCATTCCACCCGTCGTCCCTCCTCCTCAGCCGACTCCGCCAGCCTTCAACCCCGCCCCGCAGGCTGCTCCCGTACCCTCTGCTCCGATACCTACCGAGACACCCGTGGACCAGTCACCGTCACCCGCACAGCCCGATAATGAAGAACCCACTTCCGAGTCCTTCTACTTCTATCCTCAATCCTCAGAGCACGGGCTCGCCTCGGCAGAGCCCGAAGAAGCTGTGTCAAAGCCCGCCTACCAATCAGTATCATCGAGCACTGATGCTCAGGCAACTTCTCGACCGACGTCGCCGGGTTATAGCCCCATAGAGCCTCAGCCTGGGCGCACGTGGCATCAAGTGAGTGTGAAGCGCACGTAATGGGTGGCATCATAGTGGGCGGCGTTACATTCTGCCATCTGATTTCACTCGCTGCGACGTGAAGTTTGCGCAGAGCTTTACTAACTGTTTCTAGATCCCTTGGTCTACGCATCCCCTTGACGACTGGCCTAAGAGGAACAAGCCCAGGAGGAAGAAGAAGGCTTCGCAGGCTACGACAACGCACACAACACAAGCAGCCCCATCAGAAGGTTCCGCAAGCCTTGCGGCAACGGAAACCGCGCACGGGCAGGCTTCATCCGTGAAGCACGCCAATGTTGACGAGCAAGATGACTCAAGCTTGACGGAAACGACCTCTTCCACACTAAATGTTGCTACGGATGCCTCAACAACGAGCACACCAGAACCAACAACCCAACGCTCCCCGCTGCAGAAGACGACGTCTGTCACGGCATCCGCACAGATACCCAAGACCACCCCTCGTAATGCGGCTCCAGCACTGCCGGTTCTTCCCGTCCTGCCCAAGGAGGGCGCCGTCGACCGTAACAAACCGACCGTTGGCCAGGAAGATACCAGCAAACAAAGTGACAAGCCCAACGCTCAGTCTGAAATCCCTGAGGAACCAAAGGAGGATGAGAAACCTGCTCCACCGGCCGCTCCAAAATCTTGGGCCGCTATCGCGAAGGGGCGCTCAGTCCCCAAGCCAGCTGCGCCGGGCCAGCCTGAGTTGAATGGGGCAGCGCCCGGCGACAATGCATTGTCAGAGGTCATCGGCGGAGCTGCAACTTCCAAATCCAGTTCTGCTTCTTTGGCTGAAGCCCTCAAGTCGTTCGAGGCGGGGAACAGTGGCCCGATTCACTTCATCGAACCTAGCGGTTTGAAGAATACAGGCACCGATTGTTACATGAACTCGGTAAGTCGATGGATTCACTCTGAACAATGCTGTTTTCAACATATCGACAGCACAACGCATGCTCACACAGACATGGTCTGCACAGGTTCTGCAGTTGCTCCTCTTCTGCACCCCATTCTACAACTTCCTTGACCAAGTCCGCAAAAATGTCGTTCACAGTTTCAAGACGTCGTCAAAGACACCTTTGATCGATGCGATGTAAGTCCAGGGTCCAACGAGATGCATGCAAAAACTAGCTGACGACTATGTAGGATCGGATTCATCTCAGATTTCAGATCCATTAATTCTGCTGACAGTCCCGACCAACTGCAAAGAAAGCTGAAACCGGAAGACCATCTTCCTATGGGCAAGGCGTTCGCGCCGAACGGTGTCTACAAAGTTGTCAGAGAGTTGGAACGTTTCAACACTGTAAAGGTGAGTGACATCTTGGCTCTTAGGGTCTGCACTCTTGGAAGTCGCCCCATGGCTAATACACGTCAAGCCTGGTTCTCAACACGATGCTCCTGAATTTCTCATGCTCCTACTCAACGGCCTAGAGGAGGAGTGCGAAAGAATGATCAGAGACTCTGCGACGTACGCGTCGGGCTCTGATCAAGCCTCATTTGATCAGAGCGAAGTCATTAATAGCGGTGCCGATGCATCGGATGATTGGACCGAGGTGGGACAGCGCCAGCGCCTTGCCGTCAGCCAAAGATCCGGGCCTGCCACCATCCCGAACCCCATCAGCAAAATCTTCTCTGGTCAACACCGGGAGGTGCTCCGACTATCCCGCAAGGAGTCCGTCACATACAATGCATATCAAAATCTGTCGCTCGCCATCGACGATCCATCGATCAAGACAGTCATAGACGCGCTGAAGTACTTCCACAGATCTGAGCCTATCACGTCGAAGAACTCCCAAGGTATCGAAGTCAATGGGACAAAGCAGACCTTGATAGAAACCCTGCCACCGATTCTCATTATGCATCTCAAACGTTTCTATGTCAACGGAGGTGAAGCCGAGAAAACATGGAAAGTGGTACGCTACCCCCTGGAATTCGAGATGCCACAGGAAATCCTGTCAAGGCAGACTCGCAACCGGCTGTTGGCTGGAGGTCGCGATCTTCCAAAGTATAAGCTCACTGGCGTGGTGTATCACCACGGCGCGAGTGTTACCAGCGGCCACTACACTGTTGATACTCTTCGCCAAGACGGCCAGGAATGGCTCCGGTTCGATGACACGATGATCACCCGCATCAGTGGCGATGCTGTCGCAGAGGCGGGGGTCGAGGAAGCCAACCAAAAGTCTGCCGCTACTACCAAGAACGAGAGGGTCAATGAGCCGAGCAACAACCGCTTCGCCGCCATGGGTGACGATGACGCTACTGATAATGATGGCGACTGGAAGCAAGTTGGCCCTGGCGCGAATGGTGCCAAGAAATACAGCAGTGCTGTCAACGGGAGCTCATCTGGCACTAGTACGCCCAGAAGCAAGCCTGTCCGGGACCACAAGGACCACAACAAGGTTGCATATCTGCTCTTCTATCAGTTGTGGAACTAGAAGTCTGCTATGCAGATGCCACGCCCAAAATGGCCCCAATAAACGAGTTGGGGCCACCAGAGGGAGCAGCAATGTATGATAAAGGCGGTGGGCGAGTACTCCGCAAAATGATTACAGGATCAGGGCATTAAAAGGCTGCTCTAGAGGTCGTCAATGCCCAGGCGCCCCGTGGCCAGCGGCCATCAAAGCTGAGCGCGTTAGACACCAATGCATTCGGGGACACAGGTGTTATTGAGTCGGCACAGGTCAAGACTTTTATGGCTTTCAAGGCCGTTGCGGTGATAAAAGCAGGGACAGATTTTCAGGAGCGGTGGCGACTTCGAGGATGCATCTTTGTCTATAGACACAGACATCCTCGGGTGATGCATGTGCTGGTCAAGTCGACTTGTAGGCGACTGGCTTCTCCGTCACAGCAATTGCCGAGCTTGTGCCTGCGAACGTTGTGGCTGAATCGACAACAACCAACCGGCTGAGATGGAGGGCAGCCACGTATCCTAACGGCCGTGGAGCACGGCGAATGGGTCAAAGCCAACGCTCGCAAAGCCCAAAGCAGCAGATGTGAGGATTCAACCTCCGTTTGACAGTGACTATGTCGGCGGAGGCTGCTGTTGAAGTTGCTACAAAGAAGACTTCGCCGGGGGCAGAGGGGGGTCGCGCGACAATGTTAGAAGAGGTCAGCCAAAGAGGAGAACACGAAGCGGTCTAAACTTCCGTATTTACCGCCAACGTATTCACACGGCTGGATTACGAAACTTCTTCAAGTGACATGGTTGATTCCTTGATCTTACAGGCATGTCAAAACGCTGTGGGCGAGTCGATGATTGCCTGAGGCATCAGAAGCGTCATCATCAGGTACCAAAACCTGAGCCCTATTTGAGACAGGATGGATGTGGCACTCGAGACGGAGAACGCCGTTGGGGCCGGTGGTCAGGAAAAGTGAAGATTCAAGGCTCAGTGGGGAGGAGACCAAGCCTGCTTGAAAGTCGAGGTTTTGGCTGGTATGGGAGTGGGAGGAAGCATAGCGATTCAAGCGTTGGGGATGTGCATGAGGAAGAGGTAGTTTGTAAAATGACAAGTTACAAATTCAGAACCCTTCCTGCCACGCGATGTGATGACTTGTGAGAGTAGGCGTTCTACCTCCCCAGTGACTGTATACCGATTTTCTTATGGCAAGGTAATGACCGAGACTGTCAAAACCCAATCGGAGTAGCGAATTGGAAGGTTCAGAAATTTTGCTACCTATGTGGATGTGCTGGCTGCGAATGAATGAAGTCCAGCCAGGTCCCAAGCCCTCGTCTTGTGGACGATGAGAGCCCACAGGACCAGACAACTGCCATTGTCATGAGAGCAGCCGTGGCAGGTTTACGTGTCACGGCAGGTATAAACAGAGGCATTTCAGCTCGGCCAGTCTCGGTGAGATTGCTGGGCACACACAGATACCGTACTGCAACTACTTGTGAGGCAAGCAATGCTTGTTCGCCGCTGGGCGAGGTAAAGGACATCACACCTTTTCTTGCCAGACCCACCACCCTTCCAGTAAAGCCTCATCCCCTACCTACTCTTCCACCGCCATCCCCTTCCCCTCCTCCCAGGCCCTCCACCTCGAGTCAGAAAAGACGTCCTTCCATCTGCCCTGGAACACGCCCCTCTCATCGGCGGTCCTCTTGAACCTCTCGACGGACTCGACGTCCGCCCGGCCCAGGCTGCCGTACAGGTGCGGGTACCTCTCGCTCGCGTTGGGCGGGCTCTCCCACCTCACGGCGCTCCCAATGCTCGCCAGGCGGATCTTGAGGATCCACAGGGTGGTGTGCTCGCCGAAGAAGAGGTCTGCTGTGATGGGGAGCTGCTTTCCCGTGATCAGTGAGGGGACTGCACGAGGATGCCGGGGTTGAGCCAGATGATCGAGGTCTGTTTTAAGTCGAGGCGGCTACGATTGGAAAGTGATGCCTACAGGCAGTGGTGTTGGTGCTGGTGGGGGGGGGGGGAAGCTGTTTGACCTGACTCACCTGCCACGGCGCACTCAGATGGATGAAACCGTCCTTCTTGTCGAGCTCGGACGGCGGGAAGACCTCCGGTATAGGGAACGGTGGCTCCGTATCAACGATTTTGTAAACGTATCTAGGGGGCTCTGCCGGCGCCGTCATGGTGGGCTATGGGTGTGTGGGGAAGTGGCTGTCCAGGCAATCGATCTGGTGATAATCTGGCTATGTGAGAAGAGGAGAGTCAGAACCCTCTCCCTGCCTATATCTGGAGGCTTTGGCCAGGCGGGTTATTGGTGGCCCAACTATAACTCCGGGCTTAAGTTCAGGAATTGCACTCAGTCGGGACTACCCGCAGAACCCCGAGCCCCCGCCCATCGACGGGGAGATCCATTCTACCTTGGAACATGGCATCGAGGTTGTGATCGTCGCCTTCATGGGCCGGGAGAACTGGGTTTGTACCACGAGCTAACATCAATTTTCCTCTCTGCCCTCCCAGATGCCCACGTAGATAATTTTCAACGCCATTTCCCTGGTCTTCATGAAATACATTATAGAAAGTCATTATTTGCTACTTCCACGCCTGCCTTTGGAGCCACCAATGTTCCTGGAGGTAACGTGAGATACCCGCCCTCCTTTTCTCATAGCATCCCACCATCCGCCTCTACCAGCCACAGCTTGGCCAAGTCTTTTGTGAGACCAAGTCTCAAGATCCGCAATACGTGCTCTGCCGATGTCGAGTAATCCAGCCCAGACCTCCAGTCCCAGCCCCTCCTCGCGTTGCCCTTGGGGGCTAGGGCACTGCTCTTCCCCGGGGATCCACCCGCCACAGACCGGTGCAGCTGCGAAGCCAGCATCGAGCTTCCCGTCAGCACCATACTGCCTTTGTCTGATGACTTCTTCATCAGATCCGCCGGCGTGGAGCCCTTCAGCAGCGCGGGAGCAGAAGCAAGCACCAGCTGGAAGAAATCCTTACACGTCTCGTAAACCCTGCTGCCCACGCTCTGTATGTCCTCTACTGCTTTGAGCAAGACGTCGAGCTGCTCAAGCGTAATCAGCGGCGATGACCCGGGTCCATGCTGGCTGTGATCGACAAACACAAGCGCCTCGCCGAGCAGAGCCAGCAAAAAGTCCTCGCCAACGATTGCATCGCGCGATGCGTCGTACAGACCGCCACGAATATTATCATCGGAGGAGGCAATTACGATTGTTAGGGCTGCTACGGCTGACTTCTGTCGCCTTGCTAAGGGCAGCGACTCGTCGTCCCGGGTCTCGTAGAATTTGCGCAGTGTCGCATAGCCGGCAAGCATCTTGCCGAGCAGCTCAGCTGCCTCGAGATCCTGCTTCGCCAGCTGTTCAAGTGTGGTATTGCGCTGCTTTAGGAGCTGGCGTAAGTGGTCGTCCAGCTCTGCGGTAGGCGGATATGCGGCAGATTGGATGAGGGAGTAGGCGATGAGGAAGTGCATGACATCTCGCACTTTGGCTGGCCGATGGGACAGGGCGTAGTACCACATTGCCTCGCCGTAGCGGAAACATGTCTCTTTCAAAAGGTCACCAAAGTGCTGCGGTCTTGTTAGCTGCCTGATACACTATGTTTGGGGAGGAGACAAGCTTACCTCTGCAACCTGCTCGGCAAATTGGATCATGCCAAGGTCGTTGAGAAGCCTCCACACCTTGTCCACCATCTCAGTGGACTCGACATTCATTTCTTCCAGAATGTTCTCAACTAGCTCGCCAACTGTCTCCTCCGATCGTTGTGGCGAGTCCATCCTACCGAGCACATGGATCGCAACCTCCCAGCCGTCTCGCGACACACCGGAGTTGTCTCTGACCGAGGTCAACTCCTTGTAGTTGGACAGCTCTTGCGCGTACTGGATCAGTGTGTTGTCCTTGATTCCATCCGTCTCATCCGGGTCAGTAGGGTTTATTCCAAGGACTTCCATATCCTCTAAATCTAGGTCATCGAACGCGTAGAGAGCCGATGGCTGGTGCTGAGGTAGCCAGCGGCCGAGAGATGCTATCTCTGCGACCGCCGCAGCCAGAGGAAGCGACCAAGTCCTCAGCAGAGCAATGACTGCCTTCGCGTTGTCCTCGAAGACACAAGCCATGCCAACTTCGACGGCATTCAGAGAGTTGAAGGAGAAATCAGACGCCACCGCTGTCTGAAAAGAGCGTGCGAGTCGTTCCATGTATCCTTCGAAACCCATGGCTTGTGGCCCCATTACGAGGGCCTGAGACCTGGATAGATCGAAACTCTTGTTGCTTCGGTTCTCGTCCCACCAACCAAAAAGCCCGATAGTAGCCTCACACCAGTCTTGCGCGGTGTCGAGGATGACGTCTCGAGCGCCAAGAGCGATCTCGAAGATAACGTTCAGGTTCTCATATATCTCCCAAGGAACTTGACTCTCCGCTTTTCTGGCTGCCGCGGTCAGAGACTGATAGCCATCCGACATTTCGTCGTCAATGACCATTCTATTCTTGCCTTCCGCGAATCGCCGCAATTGATCCAACGCGCCTCGCGCCTTGACGCGGAAGATCTTCCAATCGTCGTGTGAGATCTCCCAGTTTCCCTTCTTGGCGGGACAAAGCTCCAGCATGTTGATTGTGTCCTGGGCCGCAAATCGTACGTTCTCAAGCGCGCGGCCAGAGTATTCCAGCTCGCCCCGGCGGTTAGCCTTGACGAATTCCCAGCCCGCATTTTCCAACAGAGTCTGCGCCTCGGCTACCTGACCTCGAAGCAGGGCCATGCACACAGTCGGCCAGAACATACTATGACTGGCAGGGCATGGCCTGCATTGCAATACCTCTTGGACCTGGGTCGGGTAGGGATTGTGGTGCTCAGCGAGCCAGCGGAATAGGGACTCTGGGAGAGGTTCCGTGGTTCTGCCATCTTCGCCTGTCCTGGTGTGATGTATTTGGAGGGCAAGCGTCGCAAGAAATGTGGCCTTCTCGAACGGCGAAGACTGAGGCGCGGGGCCGATCTCAGCTGCATGCTCCTCAGATTGTAGAGGCAGGGTGTCGACATATTGTTTCCACAAGCCGGTAAGCTTCCCACTGACCACGGCTAAAGTTTCATCCAGCCTCTGTTCATCCTCTTCTGCTCCAACGCCATCCTTGTAGAGTCGGTTGATCAGGCTTTCGGTGTCAAGTATCAGCTCGGGAGGTTCCGTGATTGTCGCATAATTGGATTGGCTGTAGAGATCTTTCGCAATTGAAGCGATCGTGAATGAGTGTCTTCGTCCGCCTGACCGTTGTGCTGTAGCCCGGAAGATATCCTCTGCCTCCCTAAAGACTTTCTCATCTGCCGCTGGTGTCTGGAGCATCATCAAATCGGATTCATCGACTGCCTCGCCATTCTCGTCCTGTTCGTCGTGCTCCATGTCGAGCCACATGTCTCCCTCGCCTCCGTCTCCTTCTTCTTCGCCATCAGAGTATTCGTCGAACTGCTGCATGAACCCCTTTGCTGAGCGGTTGCGGGTTGATCTAGCTGGCGGATCGTATTCCTCTTCCTCATCCTCACCGTTGTCCGACTCGTCATCATCATCGTCCGAGTCGTTTCCGTAGTTTACCTGGAATGAGCCTGCGCCCTTCCGAGTTGGCGCTACATCCTCGTCCTCATCCTCCTCTTCGTCGTCATCAAGGACTACTTCTCTAAGTCGCGATGGCTTGCGCGTCGTACTAGAGCGGACGGATCGGCCGAGTGGAGCGTTTGATTTTGATTTCTGTTTCGCGGCAAACAGATTCTTCGGAGGCGTGGGCGCGAAGGGGTTGGCTTTGGGAGCAGACCCTGCGGCAGCGAAGGGGTTCTTTACGGGAGGGGTCTTGTCCTCCAGACCGCTCAAAGCGAAAGGGTTCTTGGAGTTACTAGCACCAACAGCCTTCATCAAAGAGCTGCCCATGAAGGAGGCAGAAGGTGTGCCGGCAGGGGTGCTGCTCGCATGGGAGGGAGGAGGAGGGACGGCTGGGGTTGTGGAAGGCATGTTGCCAAAATCGAAGAGACCTTTGCCCTTTGCATGCCGGCTGTGGTCGGGCGTGGAGAGCAGGCTGCTCTCGTCGTCGTCGTCGGGCACCTTGAAAGACATGGCGAGCTGTGTTGGTTTAGGAGGGCGTCAAGGTGAATACTCCTCGAGGAAAACCGATCAAAGTTGATGTTGGGAGGATGTAGTCAGTTGCATATGGAAGTCAGACCAAGAGCCAGCGACCAGCTCCGGTCTTTTGGTCTCGCGCTGGCTGACCGGGTGGTTTGTTGACGTTGAATGCGCCTCGGGAGGTGGGATGGCAACACGGCTGGAGACTTGCCAGTCGGGGGACGCGACTTTTCCAAAGCTGCCATTCGCGACAGGAGCTCTCTGAGCACGGGCCAACGGTATGTACATGTACATGGCCGACACCACACCCGGGTTGGTCTACGGCGTACAGTACCTCACCTACACGCAGATAAATAGATAACACACGCACCCAAGTAACTTTTTCCATTGCCTTTTAAAGAAACATGCCCCCTGCGCACGTTTGCTCCATCCACTCAGATCTCTTCGACAACCTCTACAACCTACGCATCAAGATCTCACAGTGGTACATTGTTCGTTGACCCTTAAACAAGCATATTTGATGTTCAATAGTGCGCACTCTGTGATTTTGCGCGTTTCTGAACTCTGACCTCAAACTTGGCGGAGTTCTGTGTTTCCCGGGTCAAGCCCGCCCAGTTTGAATATAGGAACCCAAGAAAACATCGTCAACTCAGCAACTAGCACACCTATGGTCGGATCACTGGATTAATCAAGGGGGAAGCCAGTGTGTGTGGGCTCTCGCGACTGAGGATGTTGACAAAACATTGGCTAGCTGGTGAGGAAAAGAACTGGCAAGGCCTGAATTGAATAGAAACTCGGAAAATGAGTGACTATAAGTTGGATGAGACTTCACAACAGATCCCACAGCAGTGTGATCAAGCACAACCAGGGTAAACCTCGATTTCGTCCACCTAGAACCTTTGCGAGACTCGAGACCAGGATGGACGTGCCTCATAATGTCTTCCAATCGAATGCGCTCTCCCATGCTGCAGCTGCCTTCAAGACTGTCACATCATCATACCTACGCCCGACGAGCATTATCCCCGTGGGCAATTTGATCTCAGCATTATCTGAGGCGGGAACGAATCCGCAGGGTAGCGATAAGGCCGGATGGCCAGTGCCTGTTCGCATTAGCATCACTGATCTGATGATCTAAGGGTGTCACACGCGAGGCGTACTGTCAAATGGACAGGTATTGTGTATTATGCCCGGGGTCAGAGCGTTGTGCTGCAGGGGACCTTTCTTCTCGCTGTCATCTCCAAGATTCTGAGGCGGCGTTGCAACTGTTGGCATCACCAAAATATCGACATCTTTGAGGGCTTGATCATAGCTGTCCTAGTCATGATGATTGAGTAGTCAGTACTGATTGACGAGCCCTGGAGAATCCAGGTAAACTCACCGCTAGTCCCTTGACTAGATTCCCAACTCTTCCTTGCAATGCCGGCCCGTACTTCTCCTCGCAGTAAAGCCATCTGATGTATAGGTTCCGAGTGCCCGGCCCCAAAGAGTCGAACTCGCGTTGGCTCAGCCTTTTCGGCGTAACAAGAGCTGTGCGATCGGTTAATGAAAATTGCTTCCTACCATCGATATCACCAAAGATGGCCTGCCGCCCACCGGCAATTGGGAGACCGCACGTCCAAATCACATTGCCCATATGGTGCACGGGGACAGATACTTCTTGGACCTTTGCGCCAAGTTGCAGAAATTTCTCAGCCGCGGCATTGACAGATGCAACGACATTTGGGTCTTGGTCAGGCACTTCAAAGCCTTCTTTCAGGATGCCAACTTTGAGCCCGCTCAGTGACGACTTTGAGTCCTTCTGAATAGTGTCAAGGACGGCATCCAAAAACAAGGTCTTTGGGCTCCCAACTTCGAGGCCGAACCCCGGCTGGCGATCATCCCACCCATCAGCGCCTGCGATTGCCTCGAGAAGTCTTGCGCAGTCAGGCACCGTTCGCGCCATTGGCCCAGTGTGATCTATGTTTGCGTCCAGGCTAAGGATCCCCGTGTACGGAACAAGCCCCCAAGTTGGTTTGAGGCCCACGATGCCACAGCAGGTAGCTGGAATCCTGATGCTTCCTCCCTGGTCACCCCCAATGGCCACGTCGACTGACCCCTTTGCCACCAGGCGACCAGATCCTGACGAGGATCCTCCGGCACTGTAGAAGTCGGCGTACGGGTTGTGTACGCGACCGGTGCAGGAGGATATAGATGTACCTTCGAGGCAACTGTTCTCGCAAGCTGAGCTTGACGTTAGTGAGCGGGGACTGGGCACCTGTAACAATATTTCGTCGGAGAACAGTATTTGCTTGCCTGATTTGCCCAATATCAGACCACCCGCATCCAGAATGCGGGTTACTATCGTAGCATCGTACTCGGGCGTCCAATCGACCATGGTTGACCCATTAGTGCAACGTACCCCTGCCACGGCAGTGTTATCCTTAATTGCGACCGTCTTGCCGTCTAGAAGTCTGCCTCTCGGCGAGGTCGCCTTGATCGTAGCCTAATAATGGAGTCAGCCGTAGCCAACGATGCTGTTGCATCCCCTAGAACTTACTCTTGTTGCCCAGCCTCCACCATCAGTGTCCTTGGGCTCTGGGATATGTATGTTTTCTCGAGGATATTTACTGAGGTCTGGCTTCGGAAACAAGAGCTTATCGTCCCCAAGGCTGTCGACAAGATCCTCGAATGCGCTAGTCATGACACTGTAATCGTTCGCGTGGCCATCTTCAAGTTCCAGGCCTGCTTTTGCTGCGAGATTTATGATCTCATCCACACTGACTCTAACTCGAGTCATAATGTGCTAGCTAACTGGACCCGTCTGGCTCAAGAAACAATCCAGGTCAGTATGAGATCGTCTGTGACTTCCCTTGGAATGAGGAGATGATTTTATGGCAACAGATGCCTTGGATCAGGCTTGTCACAGATTGAGGAAATTGTGTTCTGATTCCAGATGGCTGACCAAATAACATCATCACCTCGTCGTCCCGAGGATCGGCACTGCCACTAGATCCCTTATCATTCAACAGGCAGGCGCGGGGTACACTTCACTAACGCACCGGCAACATTAAATACGCTGGTTCTGTGTAACTGATGAGAACGCAAAGCTTATCAGCAACTGCCCTTTCTTGCCCAGGCAATATGCTGTATGCATTAAAGTCTGAGTATCAGGTTATTTCAAGACTCATGACGCCCTTCACGGAAATAGCGAAAAGGCCAAGAATTCGGGTGTAAGATTTCTGACCCGGTCTTCGTCAGAGTCAACTTGAGGTAAAAAGATCTATACCTAAGTAGCCCGATACTTCCTGTGCTTCGGTATTGTGAACCTATTCATATAGAACATTTGAGTACACGGAACATGCGAGCAAAGTTGCAAAGACTGTTCCCGCACTTGATGGAATAACAAGGGAAACACAGGCTATGTACCACCCTCGGCTGAACCTCGAATACTCGAATCCTGACAGCACATGGTCTCAGGCATTGGCTGCGGAGGCTAGTACAGGAGCAGGTAATCGTTTTACCTTCAGTGGCCTTGAAAGGAGAATGCAGATGAACAAGGAGAGATGGTCCACCGAGGTCTGGTTAAAATATTGTATTATTCTTTTTTCAAAAAAAAAAAAAAAGAAAAGAAAAAGAAACCTACCACTTGGAACGTCTTGGAGATCTCGAGGAAGTGATCAGAAATTGACTACAATTGAATATCGGTAACGATGGCTCTCAGTTTCGAATTCTATAGCGAGCTCCTGTCCCTGTTCCTTTTTTATGGGGGTGTGGTGGTGGTTTGTTGGAAAACATTCGTTGTTTCTTGATATTTGCCGGCTGAATTGTCACAGAATAGCACGAACATGTTTTCTTTCTCTTCTCTCTTTAAAGTCCCAATTATCGAAAGCTCTCGTAAGAAATTATCCAAGTCTATCTAACAAGCTAGCTTTTCAATAGGACATATGAGGGAGAGGACCCGTTTTTTACGTTGGCTTGGGGGGGAAAAAAGCATCATTGTCATGACCAAATTACAAAATCATCTGTTCAGACAGAAATATTGGGGACATTCATGCAACCTACTTGATGTATTATTAGAATTACATCGATATAGACTACCTTGGCTGGCCCCTGCGCCGAGTCATGACATTATTAATTCCCACTGTTCATTGGTGAGTCGCCTTCCCCGTAGCAGTCCTCTCAATCTCATTTGAACTTATGCCAGAATACGGGTTCTCACTCCACTTGCGCCATGTAATTTTCGGCCATTAACCCGGACCCGACACTCGAGAGCCAGAGGTGGCTGTGTGAACTCGGGCATCGTGACTATTCAGTGGTGGTGTTTCCCCGGTCATGGCAGGCTATATACGAGCTCAACCGCACCGGATGATATTTTGGTCTACCTGGGCGATCGAGCTTTCTACTACCTTTCAAGGCCCCAGTAATTTTGATTTTTTATTATTGTTTCACGATCGTGTGATTTCAATACGATGCGCGTTGTTAATCTGTGCCTGCTTGTCTCAATAACATCGGCGCTGTGTCAGAGCACTGAGCCATTATGGCAAGCACCAAGCCCTGATGATAGTACGTCACAAAATTTAGCCTATGTGTGGTTCTCAGTAACTAAGTATACCCAACAGGCCGGGCCCCTTGTCCCCTTCTCAACACCCTCGCAAACCATGGGTATCTTCCCCGGGATGGGAAAAACATTACTGTTGATAAGCTTATCGAGGGAATGCATGCTGGTCTCAACCTCCGCGAGGACGCAAAGCTCTTCTTCCGATTGCAAGGTAACAAGGCTCTCGAAGCCTCCTCGACGGGGAACAAAGATACCTTTCAGCTCAGCGACCTCAATAAGCACAACCTTATCGAGCATGATGCTTCCCTCAGTCGAGCAGACATTTTCTTCGGGGATAATTGGTCGTTCAACCAGACCATATTCGACGAGACCAAATCGTACTGGCCCTCGACGACGATCTCCCTCACTGACGCCGCCAAGGCACTTGTTGCGAGGCAGAAAAGTGCTGAGAGCATCAATCCCGACTATAATCTACCACTCGATGGCCACACAAACTCTCTAGGTCAGACAGCCATGTATCTTGGTCTCTTTGGGGACTATGAAGACGGTAATGCGAACAGGTCCTGGGTCGAATATTTCTTTGGTAGGTCGATTTTGACTGCATGTGAGGCCGAGGTCGATTAAAGTTGAAACTGACTTTGCTCTGCGCAGAAAATGAGAGACTTCCGTTTGAGCTTGGTTGGCAGAGGCGGTCTGATGATGAAAAAATCCCGGCAACTGGCATTTTAGGTCTGACTACAAAGGTTGCTGTTCATTACTTGGCTGCCAAGGTTGGCCTGTAGCTGTAGCTTTCGGCTGACCATAGTAATGGAGGACTTGTAGATTCAGTGAATTCAGGTTCTCAATCCCGGTAGCAGTTGTCTGTAAACTGTTTTCTGCCCTCAAGCTTGGGGAGAAGGGGGTCGTTCATTCGCTAGAGACTAGATTTCCGGACTCCAGCTACGACATGAGTTTCTACAATTTTAATTCCGGTTTGGTTTCAGCATATATTGTAGGAGGCGTAGTTGTATCAAACTTGTAAGGCATTCTATTTGATTTTGAGCTAATAACTATCAACACCTTTGATGATATCAGCCGCCTTCTCTGCAACGGCGTACATGGTTTCCTGTGTATGAGCTGAAGGGATCAGAGGCAAGATGCTAGCATCCACAATCCTCAGGCTTTGGACACCATAAACCCGTAGCTGCGGGTCGACGACTCCTCCCAGTTCCAAAGGCATCATCGCTGCTGTGCAGCAGGGATGGGCATTTGAGGGGCGATAAAGTGAACTTCTGATCGCGTCCTCTATTTGCTCATCGGTTGTGACATTGGCTCCTGGGGCAGTCTCTACTGGCTGTAGTGGAGCCAGAGAGGGCGCTGATATGAGCCGTCGAGCCATCTTGACTCCCTCGATAGCGATTTTGATATCGAATGGGTGTGTGAGCGCCTGGAAGTCTACCTGCGGTGCTCCGAGAATGGGATCTGGGTTGGTGGTGTTGATCAGGACTGTGCCGCGAGATAGGGGCTTGATGACGGCGAAGGTAGCAGCAGCGGCACCACCAAAGGTATTTTCAATTACGCTGCCGTGCTTATCAGCTACGATTTGAGACAATAATTCGTGCTGGAGCTTATAGCCAGCCTCCAAGGTCGGGTGCTGCCTGTGCCACTCATCAAGAAATTGACTGGCATCATTGTTATGAAGGAACTCGTCAATTAGAGCTTGATAGTCGCTGGTGAGATTTTGCAAAGAAAGGACGACTCTGTTGTTGCCGAAGGCCCAAGTCATCGGCCCAGTCCTATTCGCCATGTATTCCTTCAAAGAGGCATTGAAAAATGAAGCGTCATTGAATAGAGTCGGATTGAGGCTTGGTTCATTCTGAACTGTTTGAACAGAATGGCATGTCAGTTCCACATGTGGCAGCAAAAACAAACAAACTAACTTGGAAGGATTGAAAGGAACTCACATTCGAAAGCAAATCCAATGTTCGTTGGATGGTCTTGGAAGTTTGCACCAACTCCGGGCAAATCTGCCACGATTTCAATGCCTAGTGGTTCAAGTAAAGCCGCGGGACCAATCCCGCTAAGTTGCAAAATCTGAGCGGTGTGTACTACACCAGTAGCTAATATAACCTCCTTCCGAGAGTGGAGGACGCTGTACTCATTCGAGGTACTGTTTACGCGGGTCACATTCACACCTGAGACGGATGTCTTAGGCCCAGTGACAAGATTTGCAACATAGCTTCCCACAAGTATATCCAAATTCGGCCTACCACTGGCTGGATCGTAGTCTGTAATGCCAAGCATTAGTCAAAGAGAAATCACAGGTGCGGAGCCTAGTCCGAGAAAGGGGAATCCGAGACATGGCCAGTAAACTTCTGCGTGATAGAAGAGAGCGGTCTGTCGACTGCTCATTGAATAGTGACTCGGCCTGTGGTGTGATGCTTTGAGAGAATGGTAAGGGTTTCGAGAAAATTCGAAGTGCAACCTACATGATTTCCGTGCCGAACATCTGGTGATATTCACAGGGTCAATGTCGATAGGCTTCCATGCTAAGCCAAGGTTTTCGCCATTTGTATCTCCGTCCGTTCGATATTCGACTCCAATGTCCCTCGTCCATGCGTCTATAAAGTTGTCTGTTCAAGAATTAATGCGTTAGCAGGCTATTGCAAATATCACCACGAAAGAAACACCTGAGACACCTACATAGAGCTGGGAACTGCCACTTAGGAAAACCTGCTTGCATTGGACCCTGACCATAACCATCTGGGCTGACAACATATTCATATTTATCGACAAGCTCAGGGCTTGGGTAGGTCAGAGTTGAGGATTTCTTGAAGTATTGGAACATACTGTCCCAACCCCACCCTGGGTTTCCCAGAGCTGCCCAGGCATCGTAGTCCGTACGCGCGCCTCTCGAAAGGGCCACTGAGTTGAAAACTGTGATTAATATATTTCGCGATCACCTATGCATGGACGACGTAATTCTGTGTGTCCTGAGAAATCATGTGGTTCTTACTTCCGTTCACAGTTGATCCGCCGCCTACCGTCTTTCCTAGACGCACACCAGATGACTTGTTTCCCAGACCTTTTTGAGGAACAGAAGGAATATCGAAGAGGTCTTCCGTGTGAAGAAATCTGGCATTGTACGGGCTTTTACGCGTTATTCACCTGCTACAGGTCCCGAAGCGATGCATTCCGGAGGAATCCGATCAAAGATCGATGGGCAACCGTAGCGAAGAAAGACTTATACATACATCGCGACGTCCCAACGGTCGTCAAAATCACCATATTCAACGATAAGCACAGAGGCTGGAGGCAGACAGTCGAATGTCAGCTCTCGGCAAAAGAGACGGATCAAATTGTGTGAGACTCACTATTCAAATTTTCTGTCAGACGAGCTGCCACTACAAGACCAGTGAGCCCTCCTCCTGCCACAATATAGTCATACGTGCGATTGATGACGGCCGGATCTCGAAGAATGACAGAGGTTGACAATTTGGCCAGACTTAGAAGAAGGCACTTGAAAAACAAAGCATTTGAAAACGACATCTTGAGTGTGTCAACTACTCTTGGTCAACCGTTCTGTAAGTCTCGGCAGTCTCAAATCATTGGCATCGACCAGACATCTCCAAGAGAAAGACGTAGATATATACTTGCACAATAGCAGACATGGCTCTCCCCGGCCGGTGATCTTCAACTGGAGATTTTGCCCCACTACAAGGTTCATCAGTAGTGCTTACGCTCTTATGCAAGAAGAAATATTGCTCGTGTCCAGCTATAGCATTGGCTGAGATATCCCGTTGAACCCATGACTGCAGTTCAAGCTAGTCCAAATGGTGACACCAGGGCCGCTTCACAATACTTTAAACGGCAGGACCTGTTGGAAGCGCCTGGGCGTTTAATACACTATGGTGTCATGCATTGCGTAGTGGGCGAGAATCAGATCACCGCATGTCCTGCGCGAGCCAATCCCAGATGTGGAATTCTAACATGACACAGCGTTTTACTGTGCCTTTGCTGTACCCACCTCCGCCATTCAAAATCTGTGAGAGTCGTGATTGACAGAGTGCCAGCTCAACAACGGCTGGCAACAGTTTTCAGAGAATAGCGAAGAATGGGATGTTATCTAAGTCTTCCAGCCATCAATAAACATGTCTTACTTAAAATGTGCGGGCAAAATTGATGTTCTGAGGATCAACTACCTGCCATTATAATAAGGTGATAATCTTGAAGCTTCCACTAGGAGAGTAACGACTACTTCAGTCCAAGTTACAAATATTCTTCCAGATCGTGTATGAAGTTTGGACAGCACTTTCGTACAATCAAAAACAGGCTGCAATGGCTATGAAGGTCAACGTAGAGGCTGATGTCATGACAGGCCACCAGATTGCTGTACTAGGCATTAATTTACACACGGGAACCACTTTGACTACAAAGCGAAGTAAGATCGAGTGCAAAAGCATGTAGTCAATAACAAGGCAAGACCAGCAGAAGAAAAATACGGAACAGCTTTGGACGAAGGAAAGGATACAAGCCTCGGCTCAAACATTTTTACTTCCAATAGAATCCAGACTCCAAGGCTACTGCTCAATTTGTTCACAACAGTGCAACAAATCCTATGAGCTTGGGGGACGGTCCGCCCGCTAAGCTATTTCCGAGGTTCTCAATTGGTAGTATTACCAGTGCTGATGTATCGAATAATGGTTTTTTTCTCTCGAAAACGGGCACGAACCCACGACATTGCTAGCTAGCCCTAGTTGGGTAAAACATGTTCGTTGCATATATTTGATAGTGCACATGGGGACGTAGAGTTTGCTTTCGGAGTGTAGTGATGTCCGCTTCAGGGGAAAGGCTCTTATAAAGTTTAGTGAAGTCCGCATTTGTGAAACAACGAAACATGTACATCCTTGGCGACTACCAAGACTGACTAGTAGGGAAAGTCGGCAACCTGCGGAGGTAACTGTACCGAGATGATGCAGCTGACTCTATCACCCCTTAATATAATTGGTCCCTAGGCACAGGCTGTCTGCTCGGGATGAACCCCACGAGAAGCAATAAATAAAGTCTGCGACTTCACCAAGGTGAATAATGCATTTTTAGGCACCGCCGTGTGTTTCTCAGTGTGACGATTATTTCTCGTCGCCTTCATTCTTTTTAGCTCCAGAGGCGCTGCCCTCTCTGGTAAGACAGTCTTTACTTCATATTCTCTGGCGATTTTCATCATGGTGCACTTGCGCTCATTTACGCTCCTGGTCACGGCAGCAGCCTTCGGGCAAGCAGCGTTGGATTGGCAGAATGTGCGCACTGGGGCATCCGGAGGCTTCACAACTGGCATTCTCTTCCATCCAAATTCAGAGGGTATTGCATACGCGAGAACAGACATTGGAGGCCTTTACAGGCTGAATGCCACAGATGATTCCTGGATTCCTATCACGGACAGCCTCGCCACTGACGAGGGATGGTAAGCATTTGATCAACCAATCTAGGGCAGTAACATTTCATTGATGACTGAGTACCAAAACAATAGGCACAACTGGGGTATTGATGCCATTGCAGTGGACGCGCAAAACGATAATATGGTGTATGCCGCTGTAGGTGGATACACTGTTGACACAGTGTGAGACTTCCTTACTGAATCTTGATAAGCATTCATATTGTGGTTGACAAGGCTGATCATCATCGATAGCTACAATACCGACACGAATGGAGCCATCATTCGAAGCTCAGATCGCGGAATGACCTGGAACTCAACCGCGCTTCCCTTTAGGGTGGGGGGAAACATGCCAGGTCGTGGTATGGGCGAACGTCTCGCCGTCGACCCGGCCAATTCTGACATCATTTACCTCGGGGCTCGAAGCGGGAAAGGTTTATGGAAGTCTATGGACGGAGGCGTTACTTTCAACAATGTAAGTTGGAGATTCCCTCTGAGACATTCACCTCTTCGTATTGTTTATACGATAGGTCTCTGTTGCATGCGAGGCATCAGTAATCTGGTCTCTATAAATACAGAATTTCTTCTCTTCTTGGAGTAAAGAGAGTTTGATAGGAAAAGTCACTAATCAAGCATATTTTGTACAGGTTACCTCCTTCACGGCAGTTGGCAATTATGCCCAGAACAAGACAGACACGACTGGCGTGGGAACTGATCTTCAAGGACTGACCTTTGTCACGTTCGACGAGACTTCAGGAATTACAGACAGTGGCGCCACAAGTCGCATTTTTGTGGGATCGGCCAATGATGGATCTGTCGAGACGGTCTGGGTGTCCAACGACGCTGGTGAGACCTGGGGTCCGGTGAAGTCAGTACCTCGGAGCACCCATTAAGCGTTTGATTTCAATTGCCGTGTCTCAATTGGGGCACTTTGCTTCATATTCAAGAAGAAGAAAAAGGAGCTACTTAGGCACTTGCTAATACTTTGACACAATAGGGGCCAGCCGCGCGATTATTTCCCTCACAAGTGCAAGTTGCAGCCAACAGAAAAGGCTCTCTACCTCACTTACAGTGATGGACTTGGACCTTACGACGGTGCGAAGGGATCCGTTTGGAGATATGACCTGAGAAACTCAACGTGGAAAGACATTACGCCAGTCCCCAACGCCAGTTTAACACACGGCTTTGGGGGTTTGGGTCTTGATATGCAGCAGCCAGGGACGCTCGTAGTAGCAGCCCTGAATCTTTGGTGGCCCGACGTCCAGTTTTTCAGGTCTATCGACTCAGGAGCCAGCTGGTCAACAATTTGGGATTGGGTAAATGCAACCACAGGGACGATGGCGCGTCATCATACAACCTCTGCGCCCCTTGCACCGTGGCTCGAGACAGGATTCGTTAACGTGCCAGGAGGAAAGCACTTGGGATGGATGGTCGAATCATTGGAGATCGATCCACTCAACAGTGACCATTGGCTCTACGGCACTGGTATGTCACTTTGGGGAGGAAAGGACTTGACGAAATGGGACAAAAGCCCTCGTGAGAATGTCACTATCCAGTCCTTGGCTTTCGGCATGGAGGAGACCGCAGTCCTGGACCTTGCTTCCGCCCCAGGAGGGACCGAACTCTTGATGGCTGTAGGCGATGTGGACGGATTTACGTATAAAAGCAGCAGTGACCTTAACACACCACCTTCCATTCCATGGATGAACCCGCAGATTTCCACTACAGTTGGCGTTGGTAAGTGGACCTCTACCAGGCTGTTCAATGTTCTCACTCCGAGATCTAGCGAGCGAGTTCGTACGTTCTAACTGCAATCTGGTACTGACCATAATTTTCAAGATTTCGCCGGAAACAGCGTCGATCATATTGTGCGTGTAGGCAATAGCTCCGATGGCTCACAAAGTCAGATTATTACCAGCTCTGACGGCGGTGCTACTTGGAAAGCCCATCTCGGGACTGAAAACTCGACTTATGGTGGCGCCGTGGCTTACTCGGCTGATGCGAACACGATTCTATGGTCATCATGGAATAATGAGGTCTTTCGTTCAAGAAACGGCAGTGATTTCACCACTGTCACGAGCCTTTCTCCGGGAGCGCTTATCGCCGCTGACAAGCAGAACGGCACCGTCTTTTACGGAGCTTCGAAGGGGACTTTCTTTGTGTCCACCGACGCAGGGGCCACATTCACACAGGCCGGTGCACTGGGTAATGCTACAGTTGTCGTAGATATTGCTGCGCATCCGGTCACGGAGGGAGAAGTCTACGTTTCAACCAATGTCGGCATCTTCAAGAGCACAGACTACGGTTCGACCTTCACTCTAATAAGCGGAGGGGTACTCACCAACACACAATTGGTAGCTCTAGGACTGGCCCCGGATGCTGCTTCGTGGGCCATCTATGCTTTTGGCAAAGGGCCCGCAGGTACAAGGCTGTATGCCAGTATCGACGGCGGTGCGTCGTGGGAGGATATTCAGGGCGATCAGCAGGGTTTCGGGGCTGTGAACTCGGAAAAGGGCAAGCTTGCCGGCAGTGCCAATGTGCCTGGTCAGGTCTATGTTGGAACCAATGGCAGGGGGGTTTTCTATGCGCTTATGGCCCCTAATAGCTGAACAACTTCGGTCAGGTGAATAAGAAATTTCTATTTCCTGTCGAGCACGCGGAAAGATGCAACCAATGGCCAGTGAAACATATGTAGCTGCTCACGAGGTTGTGCCCCCCTCCCCCTGGAGACGGGGGCGCTGCAAGAAATAATCTTGAGGAGGCAAGATAAGAGCTGACCTTCCGAAGATCTATTGGTATAATTTTGAACGCAGCGTGTGGTCACCAAAATCACGATTTCGGCATTCATATGGCTATGGCAGTAATAGCTATTTTCATAAGTTCATTTGTAGCGTCTACTTGTCACATTATTACTCGCCTCTACCGTTTTTTTATAGCAAAATTCTGAAGAGTTCATCAACTTGAATGCGATATATAATTAAAAAGACCATATGGGCTCATCTATCTCTCAGCCTCGTCCGCGAGACAAGTGTGCTGGACGCCGTCACAGTAGAGCTAGCGGCAGAGGAGGGCTTAGCCGCAATTCCATCACACTTAATATAGATTCTGGATTGATGGCACCGATATGCAGCTCTCATGTGGCTGGCTCTATACCTGACCTCATCCGATGTGGATTAAGGGCTCGCTCTAAAGTGCTAAATGGTGTTGCTCCAGTGCTTAGAGCTCACTTTCAAAAGCACACCGCTCGTGTCAGACAGTATTCTCTCGAGCACATGGATACAACAGTGAACACGCCAACGATTTCCGCGGGCTAACAACAGGGACATCGGTAGTGGAGAACGGAGAGCTGCCGGTTGATTCGGAAAGAAATCTGCCTCGTGCTCGCATGATTTGCCTAGGTTAGTCCCATAAATGGAATTAGATCTTCGCCTCAGTGATGCAATGTTTGAATGCCGCTCCAGTACTTGGATCCCAGCATTGAGTCAACCATGCACCCGGGGTGCCCTGAAGATTTGGAGGCACAACAGTGGCTGCCCAGTCGGAAGTTCCCTGGGCAGCCTGGCAGGCCCGGCAGGCCTGAACTAACCATAAATCACAGTGGTGCGCGTGGCGCCAGGCGGCTGCTAGAAGGGTAGATCCCAACCTGTCAAGCTGCTGAGGCTTGGTCCATTGGCAACGCCAAGCCGACAAGGATTTAGGGGTTCAGGAATCTAGTTCATGCAAGTGGTGCTATGATGGACTGCCGTCGACGAATCACACCTTGAACCTTGCCATCCAGCAACCCGGCAATTGAGATGATGCATATCGACATACTATGTTCTGTGCAGTCCGTTGGCTTAGAGGCACTCCGCACCCTGCGCCTTGCTGCACTGGGGATGTTGTGTTAAGTTTCGAACATATTGTTTAAGTGGATATCGCCGAGAAGGAGAAGAGCCCAGCCCGCCTTTATCGTGATCGACTGGCCAGATTTGTGTGTGTGGCTATGCCTTTTCCCGAAAAATGCGGCGTCCAACAACAATGTGCTGGGCTTCGCGGCGGTAGCCAGACCAATATATTTGCACGAATTGGACTTTGAAAATCGCCTGTGCAGCGAATCAGTAGTAAAGCCCGGCATGTCGCCTCAAACTGCCGGGCATGTCGGGAATACTCCTCGGGTTCCCTCCCTGGAAGCCAAATATATCAATTACTGTACGCACCTTGTGACATATCGGACGAACACATGAGCCGCCCAATTGTGGTAATCGCCGACAAGCTGTACTACGCCAAAGCCATGATATGACCGAAGGGCAGAACGCACAAAAACGTCATTCATGCGCTGAGAACGATCCACAGACTGTTTGTCCGTGTTACCTTGCGAAGGTATTGCTGGCTGAAAATTGCTGAAAACAACGGCCAGGGCAAGACGGACTCTCTAGAACAAGCAATCCTCTTGTCTGACAGCTCATCTTGAGATCGGTCTCAATCGCCTTTTCAAACCTCCAAGCTTCAAAGAGAGCCTGCCGTGAAGAGCCATGCGGATGCTCACTTTTCCGACCAAGGCCACAGTCCTCGTGATAGCCAACATTCTGACCTTAGTTCTCGCTTCCCTGCAGGACTGCCTCAATGATGTTTGCGCAGACAGCTCTGACTGTGTCCGGTTCGCCGACCAAGACCTTGACATCCTTGATACCTATCAACTCAGCTGGGTTAAACCATACAATCTTGCGGTGGATGTTACTCCTGAAGCTGTGATCCGTCCAAATTCTGCTGAGGAAGTTGCGGCGGCCGTTCAATGCGCCGCAGAAAACGGCTACAAGATACAAGCCAGGTCTGGCGGGCATTCTTATGCAAACTTTGGACTTGGAAACGGTGCGGTCACCGTTGACCTCATAAACATCAATCAGTACAGCATAGACAACGCGACTGGATATGCAACTATCGGAGCAGGCTTGAAACTTGGGGAAGTTGAGTATGTATAACCTTTCCCCAGTTGCGACCTCCCACCTGTATTTTTTTTCTATTATTCTTTTTTTTATAGGATTCTCCAGAATACATGGCTTCGGGCTCCATACTTAGTAGCAGGTTACTAATGCGTAACAGTGACCATTTACACGAGTCTAAACGAGCTTTTGCCCATGGTGTTTGTCCATATGTTGGTATTGGCGGCCACGCGACCATTGTGAGTTTCTTTCCTTGGATTGAGAAAATTCCATGCGTGGCTGATGAAAAACTTTCAACAGGGTGGTCTTGGCCCAATGTCCAGGATGTGGGGATCAGCTCTCGATCACATCGTCGAGGTGGAGGTGGTGACGGCTAATGGGACCATTGTTCGTGCAAATGAGCAGGAGAACAGTGACCTTTTCTTTGTGAGTCCCTGAAGAAGCTATTCAGTGTCCCCACATCGACTGACAAAACTATTAGGGCCTTCGAGGAGCTGGCGCTAGCTTTGGCATAATCACGAAATTCGTGATGAGGACGCACCCGGAACCTGGTGATATTATTCAATACACCTTTGATATCACCATTGCAGATGACTCAGCACGACTCGCAGATATCTATTTGCAATGGCAGGACCTCGTGTCTGACCCGACCCTTGATCGGCGCTTTGGCACGGAGTTGATTATGTGGCTTGGTGGAATTATCATTACGGGGACCTTTTATGGGACTCAGGACGAGTTCGACGCAACGGGCATCCACCAACGTCTGCCAGGAAATGGCACGCTTTCTGTGACCGACTGGCTTGGCTCTCTTGCTGCTTGGGCTGAAAAGGAGGCGTTATATTTGGCCGCTGTATCTTCCAACTTCTACGCCAAAAGCCTCGGCTTCCGAAGTGAGGACATACTCAGCAAAGAAAACGCTACAGATCTGTTCGAGTACGCTCAGGGAGTGGATAAAGGGACTCTTCTGTGGTTCATCATTTTTGACGCGACGGGCGGTGCTGTTGCTGACGTCCCCCTGAACGCTACTGCATACGCTCACCGCGACAAATACATGTTCTACCAGTCTTATGCAGTCGATCTACTCAGCTTGTCGAATACAACCTGGAACTTTCTCACCGACTTCCACGAAGAGCTAGTCGGGAAGCTACCAGAAAACACGCTGACCAGAGGCACCTACCCCGGTTACGTCGATCTCAACATAGACGGAGTGCCGCAGGAGCAGTACTGGGAAGGAAACCTGCCGACACTGGAGGGTATTAAATCAAAGTGGGACCCAAACGATGTTTTTCACAACCCACAGAGCGTCCGGCCGGTGGCAGCTTGAGAGACATTTGGGAGATGATTACGAACGGAGTTCCTCGAGAGCGTTTGCAGTATGTTTGCTGTTGAGATACCCTAGAATAAATCCGCAATTGTACACTGCAAAATTATTCTAACCGCGGCCGCCGGCAATTGTTTGTGTTTGAGATACTCAGCACCTGCTTTGAATGCAATCCGTCTACTTCACCATGCACAATCGCTGGTTGCTCGGCTGTTTCCTTCGTAATCCCGAAGCAATACATACGCTGATTGCTGGCACGTGCTGGTCTGTTCTGTACGAGCCTGTTGTTCCAAGACGTTAATTGAACGAAAATATCAACCTGGATAAGCTTTGCTGAAGAGGTTCGAAGTATTTGTAAAAGTAAATATAGGATTTCACTATCAGAGCGTAGTGTTATAACTTACAACGCGTGCCTGTTGCAAAGCAGTGATCGAATCTGTATTCGTAGAAGCGGGCAATGTTACACTGTGTAACCTCACGAGTGAAATGAGAGAGCATCGGAGACGAGGTATGTAACATTAGTGGCTGAGCTCCACGGTTTGGCCAAATGATCCCCTCAAATGGAGTAAATGATGGTTTGACGTGTAGCCCATACCACTGCCAGCATCTTCATCGGCGAACGTAGGAACGACTGTGGGCCGGGCAATGTCTTGATTGATTTTGAATGCATTTTGTACCTTTCTGAACTATTCAAATTATGGTGAGCCCGGAATTTTGGTCACATTGAACTGATTTCACTTCGTGACAGAAAACGATTGAGCTACTTGGGAATGGGATACAAAGCTTCCAGTCATTAACACAAATTGTGTCTCCAACCTAACCACACGCAGTTCAGAAACGCCTCGCACCGCCAACACTTCTTCAAATATAATCACGGTAATCATCATCCTCATGCCTGTGCTTTTGTTTTCCCATTCCCATGAAACCATTATTTCCCTTCTCCTCGACGGGCATGCCCATCTTTCCCTTGGCCTTGTCCAAATACTTACGCTGTACGCTTGGTCGTACCCCAACCATCAGAAGGCTGCCTCCGATGGCCAGCTTAGTCGCCGGCTCAAGCCCCAGATATCCCACCTTCTTCATGCTCTCGTGTGCGCTCAGCGCCAAGCTGCCCGTTCGGCTCTTAAGCGATGACATCGACCCACCCGATGAGTACGTTTTCGCCCGCAATGGGGATCCCCGAGGCGAGGAACCCGGCTCCAGCGGTGGGTTGTACATCTCGACGGTACCATCGTGCGCGTTAGTATTGTGCGTTGTTACTGCGCCGCGCGAGGACTCCCCTGGTTGCTGCTGCTGACGCGCCTGGTATTGTGAGGATTCGTCGGCCAGCCACTCGCCCGCCGGGCTATATACGTCGTTCGGCGAGAAAGGGAGGACGCGCGGCCTTAGCGACGGGTGGCGGCTGTGCATGACGGGGTCCACGGACCGGCGCTTCTCATCGATCCATGCCTCGTTCTGGCGGCCTCGCACGGAGGACGACGGTGACTGCATTTCGGTGGCATGGTCTGCGTTTCCATATGCCGCTGTCGAGATCGTGTCTATCGCGCTATACGCGGGAGGGATTGAGTGGTTGGATGCTGCCCGTCGCAACGGGCGGGGTTGATCCTCGGGGAACGTCTTTGTGAGGTCGTCGTGGCTCTGCGTGACACGCTGGTCGCCGTCCGGCTTCGGCGTCAGTAGGCTTGATGACGAGGCGGTGGTGCGTAGAGTCGCCTGTGATGCCGGCTTCCGGAGTGTTGCGACCGAAGCTATATTCAGCTTATCTTCCCCCTCAACAAATGAGTACAGGCTACATCGCATATTGCTGTCCCGCTGGCTCACTCGCCGGCTGAAGCGCGTGCTGTGACGTCTGACGAGGCTGTCGAGGTCAGAGGGCAGCTCGAATGTCCTACTCATGCGCTTGGTTGCTGATGTAGAGGCCGCGGCCCCGGTTTCTTCCTTTACCCAGGTCTCAGGGTTGTCCATCTCCACAACGGCTTTTTCTAGATCGTTTTCGAGTTCACCCAGGGTTGTTTCGTCGATAGCGTCGAGTAGGCTGGATATAACCGTGTCGGCATCGGCTGGAAGCTCGGAGGACCAGGTGCTCGCGGGAAAGGAGGATGATCCGGGGCTGCTAGTATCCTCCAACTCTGAGACAAAGGATTGAGGTGGCGATGGCCAATGGCTTCCAACGCTGGGCGGTGAGAGGGGGCTGACCGTACTGCAAGCATCTAGTTCCGAGGGAGCAGTCAAAGGCGTAGAATCGAGCTCAACTGGATCGCGTGAAAAGGTGACTGAGGATGGGCTGGTATCTTCCAACTCAGCCACGAAAGCAGTCTCTCGAATCGGCGCGAGCGAGGAGGAAGGCAATGTATTTGACTCATTCTTTCGGATGGTCGTGGCCGGGAAGGGTGCATGAGGGACGTCCTCTTTCGACGTCGCTGTGGACAAACGTTCTCGTGACTGGAACGAAACGGAAGTAAGATACTCCTTCAACAAGGGATATCTCTCAGTCTTCAAGCGCGCCGCCGACGCAATGAGTCCATTCGCTGTCGTTCCTAGCGAGGCAGGCATACTCGTTGCATGCTTCAACAACACCTGTCCAATATTTGGGTTCATCGGCGCCCCCAGTGAGGCATTCGCGGTGTTGGCACGCACAAGCTGGGCGCCCGCTTTATTCATCTCCTTCTCATGTTCTCTCTGCGAATGCTTGTCTTCGACAGCCGTCACACCGGCGTCGATGGCGGCGTGGGAGACAATTTTGGTTGCAGTGTCAACGGCGAGAAGCTCCGCGCCCACAGACCCGATACCCATGGTTGCTCCTCCCAATACTGCACTAAAAGCCATGGGCCCGTAGACATCCTTGTTCCGCGTTTCCGGCTCGATTCCCTTGATGCTCATGTGGTGCTCGATGATCTGGCGCTTTTTCCGTGCATTATGGATCAGGGGCCCGGCGATCATGGCACCGATCATCGACACGCCTCCCGTGGGTCCCGCAGCGAGCGTCGCCACTGCTGTGCTGGTCGATGCCGCCGACAGTGCGCGGGTATAGTGTTGCCATTTCAGCTGAAGTTGGTCTCCATCCAGTTCGCCACAGAGGGTGTCAAACTCGTCGAACTTGAAACCACGCGGCGCTCGCATCGTGACCTGGTTGGATTCTTGTTTAGGGGCCGTTGCGTGGCGCAAGCGATGATGTTGTCACGAGAACGAGGCGCATGAAAGCCGTTGGAAAATGGTGGGTTTTCTGATGTACTAAACTCGTCATTTTTTGTTACTAATACGAAAAGGTTCATCGTTCGGCTGGAATATATTCAGATGTTGAGGATTGTTGCGAGCAACTCGTATTGCGAAAGTTCAAATACGAGAGCGAGCGATCACTTTCGTAAACTTCTGGATGAATGCGAATCCGAGCCTTCCGCTATCAGACATCCAGCTAGTTTCGCTGATTTAAGGTTATGGCAGATGCCACAAATTGAGTCAGACGCGTGGCGCAGGGGTGCAAAGGGGAGTACGTTATGGCAGTGCCGTTCCAGATTAGTATGTAGTCTAATTGGATGTGCACCGGTCATACCGTGATAGCGATAGCTCCAGACTGTGAAATGATGGGGTGATCGAAGTCCGCAGCGCAACTCGTCTGTTTTGGCCATTCACCGATCTAGTGGTTTATAAGCTATCGTTTCCACCTATAGCGCATACCTCATTTTGACTTACAATCCACCGCTACTATACTGATGCAAGACGGCATAGTATGGTCAGTGGTATCGAAAAGTGCCACCCAACGTGAACGCCTTTCTCGGCACTTCGCGGACAGCCACGTGCGGGATTCACGTCGCCGAAAGACTAAAGTAGGTTTGAAAAAGACACACGGCCTCGCGCGCAGAGAAGACAGAGCATTCTTTCTGCCTCAGATTTAGTGGCGTGTGATGGCCATCTCGAATCTTGGCATTCGCCAGTCGAAAGGCTCAGCCGGCAACCAAAATAGGATGTCCATTCTATGGCGAAGGAGGTAGCTCGGTCCTCCACACTGCAATGAAATGATAATTGAAAAGATGGCGTGCGTCCGATTCACAGGTCACAGGTCGTCCTCTAGGTCCAGAATTTGATTCACAACCGTCTCAAAGCCGCGGTGTTGCGAACGGAGAACGTCGAGGATAGGGTAGGCAGCAAAAGGTGACCTTGGTACCCAGCGTGTGGTGGGGAGTATTAAGGCGTCAAAGATAAGCGTGCAAATTTTAAGCATTTCTGGTGTGGAGCCTGTGCACGAGTGATTCCATCACCGACTGGGTGACATCTCGACTTAGAGGTTTCCTAAATGTCAAACTGGAAGCCGTATGATCAGCAAGAAATACTCGGTCACGTCCTGAATTTGGGCCACGACGCTGCGTCCTTGAATGATCGACCGATCCAAGAATGCCGACGGGTTGTCAATATAGAATCCGGGCACATAAGAGCCCCACCAGACTCAATCTACATCTGTGTGTACGAGATTATCTCTGTAGCACGAAACGTCTGTATAAATGTAACACAGACTGCCACACACAGGAGATGATAGAGAAAAGACGTCGGTAATCATGCCTCTTGAATTCGAGACAAAGTCTTGCACCAGGTCTTCGAGAAAAGTTCATGGTAAAAAGTTATTTCATCACTTGTCATGTATGTCCCTCACACTATAATATAGTATTGATGAGCACAGTCCTCATTTCTGCTTGAGCTCAACCCGCTCATTGATAAGGTATTTGAGGACCCAGACGCGAAATGGTTTACTGGAGAAACCAATGATGTACAGAAGATGAAGTAGAATCTAAAGCCATTAGACCCCTTTCAATATTTGTCGAGCAGGGATCTGAAGCTGAGAGACGGATTCGCTGGCACAAATCATTCCACTCAGATTTTGCCAATGCCAGCCGAGTTTGGAACGCTCGACTGTGCCGAAGTTGCCGTGCTCGCGCTGGCAATGTTCTTGCCCTGGAAGTTGGAGAAGAAGGACGTATCCTTGGCGCTGTATCCGGTGCTGCTTCCAAAGGCGTTGAGCTGGCAAGTGTGGCCCAGGTACGACGCACACGCCGCGTTGCTGGTGGTATCCGGGCTGTTGAACATCTTTCCTGCGAAACTGCTCGCCTCAACCTCGGCGACGACATTTTGGAAGACGGAGCCCTCGACGACCACCATCGCGCCCGCGTCCACCTCGAAAGCGTGTCCTGAGTTGGCGTACCAGTAGTTGTTCACTGCATGGAGGAGGGTGTTTCCGCCTACTTTCGGAGACCGTCCTGATGTGTGATGAATGTAATTGCCTTTCAGCGTAATCAAGTCATTGGAGCCAGTGAAATAGAGACCCCAGTAATGGTGACCATCACATGTGGCAGACCAAGAGGTTGATCCGTCTATCTCAGTGTTAGAGATGGTGACGCGGTTTGAAGCGTCATATCCTAATACGATATGTTGACGTCCAATGAGAGAGGTCTGTACACGCAGAATTAGCAACATATTTATTCATACTCGATATCCTCTGTCATCATCATTGAGCAATCTCAAAGTATGCCTTACCTTGACATGGTCAATCCAAACCAGATCGGCTCCGTTCAAGGTGATGGCATCGCCACCCCAAACGTATTGAGGGTTGAGGTTCGTGATGTGTACATTCTGGATGATAATATTGCTGGCGCCGCTGACGATCTTCAACCCCTTTCCTTTGATAATTCCGGCGCTGCCAGAGCCGACAAGCGATTTGTTCGACTTGACAGTGATCGCGGAGATCGCGGCGTTGTCGTAGGTGACCGACACTTTGGGAGCATTTGGTTGGTAATTCGTGCACCACTTTGATGGAACGAAATCAGCTATATGTCAAAGAGCACAGTTTCTGGTGCGGCAAGCGACTAAGGCCAAACGTACGTCGTTCTGGTTGATTGCCGTTTGACAGCCCGAGGCGGTTCCATAAGGAGCACAACCTGTGTTGGAACCCGGTCAGACCAATATAGGGTGTAGCCATATAAACACATGGAGGTCCTATACCTGTTGCAGTGGTTGTACCCTCAGTTCCGGTGAAGTCGAAGGTCTTTGAAAGAATGATCACACGTGCCGAAGAGTCGCCAAGGTCTGTTGTAAATTAATAAACTGCTCCTTCCCCAGATGCTATACACCATGAGAGTTTTGAAAGAAAGTAGGGGGAGAGCTGCGGCAGGACAAGGGGTCCAAGATCATACGTACAACTAACAAGTTCGGCATTAGTCGTAGGATAGACGGCTGTGGCACTGCCGCCGCCAGTGACACCCTTCGCAAAGCCTTCAGCGGCCCCGCTTACGCCTGCCGCAAGAGCTCGGTCACCGGCGAAGATGGCCGTCAGCAGAAAGAGACCGAAGTTGAACATGTCGGGCACGATGGAAGATTGAAAAGGCAGAGGCACAATAATCAGGTTGAGATAAACTTGGTGAAGACGTCTTCGAGAGCCCGTCGCGATGTCACACAACTTAAGGCTCAAGTTTCCATCCTTGCTACGAGGGCATAGATGATCTCAAATACGTACTTTTATACGTGATTTTCCCGCGATGCCTCTGCTGCTGTTGGTCAGGCTGGAGCCGTATCTGGCGCCGGAGACAGATTCCTAATCCTCTCCATCACGGGGCCAATTTGCGGCGCGAGGTCTGCAGTCAATACTACGTAGACTGCCTGACACTTTTGTCCGGACAGGGTCTTACATCGCGAACAAAAGGATTTCTTGTTTTCGCTCTCCGCAATTGAAAATTGTATAGCTCGAAATTCCTAGGGTTGCTGGGGCCGTGGGTCATTCCCGTGCTTGGCACGGGACGGGCACCTCCTTCTAAGCTTCTGGTTGATGGGATTTCCTGAGAATATTATCCGGCCCGGACGTTATATCACGGAACGGCACCCTTATCAGAAATCACAACACCAGTCAATGGTCACACAATTCTTAGTGGATCTAGGTTCGGTTCCTGTCAAATGCGTTAGCGAATTCCACCACTGTCAGCGCTACCCAAATCGCCGGGGGCGTGCCACATCACGGGAGTTATTGCACAAAGCTTCGCACTTATCACGTTCCACGGCCCCTGCCCAGCTCTTGGATGCCACATCCTGTGCCGGCTTCCCGCAGTCCTCACTAAACAGCTTCCTGATTCAAATTGGCTGGACATCTCACTATCTGTAGCATTGTACGGGTGATGCAACTGTTGGCCGCCCCCAAGTCATGATTAGTGCAACTTGTGCTTCTTACTGGCCCGTCGAAAGCTGAGTACGAATTTTGGGGATGGACGTCACCATCCCGTACGAGGTGAACTAATTTCATGTCTCATCTTCAACGCCTTATAGTTCAGTTTTGGTAATCTCAAGTACCTTCTAGCGACATCACTAGATGAATGCATCCGCGAAGTTGTATCTGATGGCCTCCTTGATTTGCATGAAAATTGTGGAGACCGACGTTAAATCTTTTTAATAATTGGTCGTTGGCATGAACATCATGCATACACATGCAGCCGAGAAGAACACATTTACACAGATTTAGAACGTTCTACTAGCAAATTTGTGCGATTAAGGTGATGAAGGCTTGAGAGAATAGTCTGGTTGGCATGGCGTCTTGACTGCCAGCATTGTAAAGCCTCGATTTTGGTGAGATACATGAATCTTGTCATAGTTTTCAACCTGAGACAAAATTATATCGACAAAATTATATCGACAAAACCTGTCCCTCACGAGTCGCTCCAGATTCGATACGGAGAGAGACAACGTGTGTACCTTCAGGCAGTGTCGACTCTGTGTCTTGGAAATCTGCGCATGATGGTGCCTACAATATACACTTCGGATTTTAAGGTACCGCGCTACTTCGTAAATTGCGGGGGAAGTCCACTTTATCAGGGCCATTTAAGCGTTTTGAGGCCCATCGTGGCGTTTCTCAATTGAGTACTCCTCCCATAACTACAGCGCTCAAAGCATTTATGTACGATTGTGGAATCACTGGGACATATACGTTCATCTGACTAAGAAAATGGAAGATGTGTCATGGATAAACTAATTTGCCTGTTCAGCATGTGCAATGTGCAGTTCAAAATTCTTATCAATGGCTCTCCTGGCCATGGTTATATCGGAGACGTAGGCTTGGTTCATCAAGATGAAGGCGTAGAGTCACATTATGATTAAGTACTAAAGTTCTGTCATTACGGACGAATGAAGGACGAGAGCCAGCTGCTGAAGCATGGTCTTCGTCTCGCAGTCGCAATATACTGGTGGTTGAGGTGATGCCAACACCAATCTAGGTGTTTTTACAAGCCCCGATCTGGCGGAAGTAGTATCCGTGGGGAGTATAGCTTGTCCCTATAGTTCCAGCACCATTGCAGTTGGTGTTGTAAGTTCCCTCACAGATCTTAATGTCGGAAACGCTGTAGTCGACGGTGGTAGCCTCGCCGGTGGAGAGCCAGTACTCCATGTCCGTGTGCCTATATCCCAGCCAGTGACCAGGCAGACGCGGCACGGGGTCGTTGAGGTGCGTGATCCGGTATTCGTTACCCGCCTGCTGCGAGATATATTCGGCCAGTTTCTCGTTCCCGATGCGTGGCGACCCGTACGTGTAGATGTCACAGGGATAGCCATCTTCTCTGAGCCAAGCGCCGGCCATGGTAGCCATGGCTGCGCCCAGACTGTGACCGGTGGTGATAATGGCATAGTTCGGGTAGCTTTCACGGGCAGATTTGACAAGATTGGTCATGGTTGGATGCATATTATCGAATGAGGTGGCGAAGCCTCCGTGGATCATGCAGCCATCGCACAAGTTAGTGTCGGTGGTGATAGCCTCTAGACTTCAGACAAATTTAGTAACTCATCCGTGCAATTGTCATCTTGTAGTTTAAACTTACTCATAGGCGAAAGATGCGCCGTTGTCTGTTCCCTTGAAAGAGACGATGATAACTTCTTGTACGGGATCCACTCCTACGTAACCAGCAGTGCCTGTACCGTCATTGGCGCTGCGGACAGTGTGAGCAGGGATTGATGGAAATCTTTACGGCGAGGCACCTTACTTACTCTATGATACCTTCCAAAAATACCCGGTTGGTCTGCAAGTCTGGACAAGCATCGTTGGCACAGGAGACCAGGGTCCCTGCTGTCAGGGAGTCTGCAGAGTTGCAGTATGCGGCTGATGCATATTGGGCAACATACTGGAAGCTCTGCAGCTGTGCCTGGGTGACCGTGGTCGTGGAGGTGGAACTCGTGTTTGCTGCTTTATGTTAGTATATAATGTCATGCAAGTTCTTCTGGCAAGTTTTACAGGAATGGCTTACATTGACTGTTTCCCATCTTCCAAAATGGCCGTAAAGAGCGGACGTGTTCTCGATTCCAATGGAAAGACTGTTGGCGCAAGGAGCCTGTCGGATGGAAAACTGAGAACACCAGCAGCGCACCTTGAGCGGATGCAATGCAAACAGAAAGAAGAGTAGCTAGAACCGACGAGCAATAGATCTGGGGGTACAAAAGGCGACACAGCAGCTTTATCAAATCGATTCGCAACCGTACGTTACAGTCCTTTCCAGTCTCTACATCGTAACATTGAATCCATCAGACTGGGGCTCCGCATGCCCGCGGCCGGGAAGATTGCCGATTCGAGTAGGCTGCAGCTCTCAAAAGAGATGCAAATATCCGCGCAAGTCCACTTACACGGTCCCTGACTCAATCGTGCAGATTTGGCACCCGATCGGCTCAAATCCTGTGGCCTCAACAGTATAATTGAAACACCCTTTTTGCATTTTGCGTATTGGCTGAGAGAAGTTCGCGAACACAATGTAAGGTGTCTTTGTGAGGACCTCTTCTTTGGGTCTGGAAATGAGAAGGTGTGTGGAGCCAAGAGTCGTTGCAGGGTCCGCCTCCGCCTGCTCAGATGGAACTTATCCTTGACGTTGATGCAGGGGTCAGGGTATTTACGAAGAAGGTATTCGGCTCGATCCGTGGAGACCCACAGCAATTGAACCACAGCCATACGCGGTCCTAGGAATATGTTGGTGTGGTACGTCTATCCAATGCTTTCCATCTGTCGGAGGCTCACAGGCCCTGGCCCACTCCTTCGTGGCCCTGGCGAGAACTTCACCCGGAGTCAAGCAAGCCTAGTCAGATAGACTCAACGAGTATTCCCATTCAAAGCAGAGACAAGGGCGACCAGTGATCTGTTTCACTGAATAAAATTGAACTTGTTATGAAACCATGCCAGCTAATTCATCTGTCCGTGGTCAGGGAGAGATGGAAACTGAGCTTTGAGAGAACTCCAGATTGTTGTATTGGATTGCCACCAAATAGAAAAAACAATGCATGCATCCTGCCCTGTGTCACAACGAAGCTGGTAGTCCTGCAGTCGTTCTTTGTGACGTGGTTGGATCAGTCTCAAGACTGTGGATACCTTATTGTAAGTAAGATCAGTTTGCCCTACGAATTGCCATTACTGTTGGCCAGGTAGAATTGTAAGTAATCTGTTTTCCTCTCTGCCACATGTAAGTATGGTGGGTACAACTAAGAGTGGTGGAAGTCTGCGGGCCGCTCTGAAAGTCTGAAAGGGGAATAATGGACGCGTTCAGTGCTGAAATAATTGACTGATTGTCAGCCTGATACTTGTGACAGCGCCGAATCATAGACAGGAAGCCAGTTCCTTGGATCAATTGAATGGAGGGGGACAAGGAAAGAGCGAAAAGCGCAGAAGGGAGCTTGCAGCTGGTACCACATGCAGACTTGTGGGCTTTGCTTCATACCCAGAGGCCCAGAGCACCCACTCCTGGACAACGAAGGGCAATGCCATCCTATCCATTGTGCCAACATTTCTCTGTGAGTACAACTCAACTTTGGTGGCCTTGCAGTGCTGAACAGATGTTATTACGAGACGCGCTTGTGCAGAAAGCTTCCCCATCCCTTTTCACCTCGTCACTCACCACCCTAACCTTTACTACCCTTCATTTTAACAACAACATCACTCGATATTGACCACCCAATACCTACCAGAAATATCGCTGATACTTTCTGACATCATGACGACCACTCTTACTTCTAGTGCTGCCAGCCAGGCCGGCGAGTCCAAGAAGAGCGACCCTGGTAAGCAGCCCGTCTGATTTCTTCACTCATCTCTCACGACTTGGTTCCTGGAACTCACAGCCTATCCATGCCCGTCACGATATCCCACTACGCGTTCGTCATCGCAATTATCCACCTTCCCCTGCCCTGTGGCAATCGTGACCCCGCTCTGGATCATTCACAACGTGATGATGCAACCTGTGAATGGCGGTGGTGGTGACAGAGTCCTTCCCCTTCCCTGTCCTGACTGGTCAGGTGTACTTTATGGTTACACTCCCAGCCGACTGCTCAGTTATCGCTTGCCCAGGACATATGCACACTCCGTGCACTGTTCAGGACATTTGGTTGGTGCTTGGTGCAAAATTCTGGAAAATTATGGAGCTGACAGTACTTCCCTCGACTTAAGACGGTAGCGACATCACCAAGACTGAGGCCACAGAGCCTGAGGACAAGACCGAGGCTGATCGCCTCACCTCTACTGTCAAGAACAACCTAGAGCGCGTCAAGCATCGGGAGGGAGAGTTCACGGAGCACCACAAAGAGAACCCCAAGAAGGGCTCTCATGATCCCAAGTCCGGCCGTGAGTAACGCGTCTTTCACATGCCCTCCTTCATCACCCAGAGTCCACGCCGTATCTCTTTGCGCCGTTCAACGGCTTTAACTGACAATTTCCCCAGCTCTTGACCTCCCCAATGACAACAGCGTCCACGTCTCCGAGCAGGGTCAGATGCCAAATTTGACTCACTGCCACCAGTACGATGACAATGCGCAGGCATTTGCGGAGTGGAAGGGCTCGTCCCAGCCATCCTGCCCAAAGTGGGATTCGCCTCCATACATTCGAGGCGGCCCTTCGAGAACTTCTGGCTCCGACGACAGAAATAACCCATTCGACCCGACTGCCAGCACCGAGCGCTCGTGTGGTCAGGGCCCCAATGTGCCTCCTTACGCCTAGTCAACCCACAGTGCTCTTCAGCATAGCCACACAAAACAGAGCCCGTCTTTTTTACCCTGTTTGAGTCACGGAGGCAAAGACACTTTGGGAAGGAAATCTTGGGTGATACCACACGGCCACAGCACTAGACTGGACTGACAGGCTGTTCAATTGTGACACAGCTGCAAACATGCGGTTCTGCACTTGCGCTAGTCTTCGAATTAGGAGATGGCTCGAAACCGAGAACGCTGAGTCTGATATACCAGAGAGGAAGAAAGACACAAACAAAAGGTGGTGCTCCAGTTGCAAAGCAACCCTTTGTACACTAGCCAATCAAAGTCAACCTAGGGGTAATTCTTTTGGTACACGGGAACAGTTCACGAATCATTTCCGCACCACTTGAACCATGGAATCAAACACACTACTCAAAATCAAGAGTTCGCATACACTCTTCTGGGCAAAATGAGGCTTTGTAAGTCTGGGAGGGAGCGGCCTAGGAACGAGGGGAAACCTAATCCACATTCCGTCAATGCCGTGATATCGCCGAATTGTGCCTGGTGGCGATCTGGCTGAACTCCAACAATTGATGGGGCTCGGCGTCTTGGGAGCTTTCCTGACAGGTGCCAGCCCCTCTCTTACTGTGTGGGGAAGCTTTGAAGCTAGCTATAAGACAGCTTTGTTCAGCATGATTCCCACGTGGATGAGTACAAACAATTGAAGCAAAACCACACGAGCTCGTGCATCCCAATCCATCAAATTCCATAAATTCACTCACTTCCGACTACGATGGCATCGACTGTAGGCAAGGTATGGATAGACCGGCTCATATGAGCAATGCCGCCCCACCAGATGACATTATAGCTTTGGGAGGTTTTCCGGCAAGATACACGCCTCGGATCAAGGAAAAGGATCGAGCCCAAATCTCTTGAAGCTACGAAATATCAAAATGAAGAAAGGGAACCGCCGTGCTAACCTGTGAGCATGGTCAGACAATTACTTGCAAAGCCGCCGTTGCATGGGAGGCTGGCAAGCCGCTAAGCATCGAGGACATCGAGGTCGCGCCGCCAAAGGCACATGAAGTGCGTATTGAGATCTACCACACGGGGGTCTGTCATACAGGTCAGCATATGTCGTGATTTCTCCCCCGCGCCCTGCAGACGACAGGGAAAGGGACAAATTGGTCGGTCGTCGGTCGGTCGGCTTGTACCGAGCTGATCAGGTCCCTACCGCAGACGCCTATACTCTCTCGGGCAAAGATCCAGAAGGAGCTTTCCCCATCATTCTCGGGCATGAGGGCGCTGGCATTGTGGAATCGGTCGGCGAGGGCGTCACCAGCGTGAAGCCAGGCGACCATGTCGTCGCCTTGTAGTAAGTTGCGCTCCGCCCGTACTGACTCTGTTGCCACCCCTTCCCCTCCTCACATCGCCGCCAAGTATAATTCCAATACCGAGAAAACTCCTTGGACACTGACGTGGGCGCATTCAACAGCACACCAGAGTGCAAGGAATGCAAATTCTGCAAGTCCGGCAAGACAAACCTGTGCGGTAAGATCCGTGCCACGCAGGGCCAGGGCCTGATGCCGGATGGGACGTCGCGGTTTCGATGCAAGGGCAAGGACCTGCTGCACTTTATGGGCTGCTCAACCTTCTCGCAGTATACAGTCGTAGCAGACATCTCAGTCGTGGCGGTGCAGCAGGACGCGCCGATGGAAAAGACGTGCCTGCTCGGCTGCGGCATCACCACGGGCTACGGGGCGGCGCGGATCACCGCCAACGTCGAGGAGGGGTCCAACATCGCCGTCTTCGGCGCGGGATGCGTGGGGTTGAGCGTGGTCCAGGGCGCCGTCGCGCAGAAGGCCGGCAAGATCATCGTCGTGGACCTCAACCCGGCCAAGGAGGAGTGGAGCAGGAAGTTCGGCGCGACCGACTTCCTCAACCCGTCCACGCTGCCCGAGGGCACCAGCGTCGTCGACAGGCTCATCGAGCTGACGGATGGAGGATGTGATTATACCTTCGATGCTACCGGGAATGTCCATGTAATGCGCAGCGCCTTGGAGGCGTGCCACAAGGGATGGGGCCAATCCATCGTGATCGGTGTTGCGGCTGCCGGGCAGGAGATCCAGACAAGACGTGAGAGCTCCCTACTCACCCCCTCATCCATGTGCTCAAATCTATTCCTATCCTCCCAACACCAGCCAGGAAAAGGCTGACGTGCCCGTTTCCCACAGCCTTCCAACTCGTGACCGGTCGCGTCTGGCGCGGCTGTGCCTTCGGCGGCGTCAAGGGCCGCTCGCAGCTACCGGGCCTGGTGCAGGACTACCTCGACGGGCGGCTCAAGGTCGACGAGTTCATCACCCACCGGCAGAAGCTGGCCGACATCAATACCTCATTCGAAGTCATGAAAAGCGGCGACTGTATCCGGGCTGTCGTGGATGTGCGGGGTAGGTAGTCCTTATCCCAGCGTTTTCCGCTCATCTTTCTTTGCTCCTGAAGAGGCATGGTGGGCTGTCCACGCCTCTTTGCCGTCGAGAGATTCTTGGTTCCGTGGCTCATTGCAATTTGCTTTATCAAGGTCGGATCAGGGCTTCCCTGTAAAAACAAATAAAACCAGAGCATTTTGAAATGCGTCTGTCTAGTCTTGGAGTTGCAATGGATGGACAGCATAGACTGTTAGGGATCCGTAGGGAAGTGAATAAGTCCGGATTCCAGGAGATGGATGTTGACCGTTGGGGTTGAGAATGCGCCTGAGAGGCGAGGCCGAAAAGGCGAAATTGTACACAGCATGGGATTCACGGAAAAGGCAAATGGAAACAATGCGATGAAGGCCCTCGGCCCTGCAAAACAGACGACGGGACAGGTTTGCATCTGGGTGGAGCCAAGTCGATTCCCTAGAACTTATACGAGCCATCTCGCACGATTGACCATCAGGGTCCTCAGATGCTAAGTTGTCGAAGAGACGGCCACCATGCCTTTGGCTCCAAGACTGGGGTGTAGTGGATGCACACAGTCCTCGGCACCCTCTACTCGTGGCAGGTCATTTCAATGGTCGTGGTTTCAAGATCGTGTCGATCTCACAAGAACGAAGTTGGGTCGACGCATTGCCGTCGTAGTGGTTTCCCCAGCAAGCCGGCAGGCCCGGAAATCGTCCGTACTCCGATGCCCTTAACAACCCGAGTCCCTGCACACTACACATCTCATCGTGCTGTAGCGCATGGAATGGCCGAGACTCAAGCCCGGCGAGCGAAAGACCATTGACGCCGGCTTTCTTTGTCCTGCATGTCGGGAGGCATGTCTAGCGAATGCGGCCACGTCTCCGGCTGGCGTAGTGACAGCCTGCTAGGTCTGGGGTCATCGCCCACGCACTCGACTGTCGTGTCGTCTGACGGGTTCAGTACTGGCGGCAGCCTCGGTCGGTCGGGCGGCGTTGCATCCAGTGTAGGGACAAAGCCGGTGGCTAAAACAAGGTCACATGGCCACAGCTGGGGGCGGCCGATTCCTTATCTGCCTGATGTATGCAGGACTACGGTGGGGCCTCGTCGGCCGGTTCGATCTTCGGGCCAGCGCTTCGCCCGGCTACCGGCTCCTCGGGAGATGGCAGTCGACGTCGCTCGGGTGCAGGCCCAGATTGGTGCCCTTTTATCCAGACAGCATGTAGAGCATTGCCCAGTGCAAGAACTCAACCACGAGGCAGGCAGGGCAGGCAGGCAGAGTCACTGATAGATAGATAGACAGGCAGACAGACAGACAGACAGCCTGTCCGGCCGAACCGCCGAATCGTGTCGCCGTGTGATTCGTGTCATAATCACATCTGGGCAAGTCGGAGAGTTTGGACCTGTGACTTGATGACCGACTGAGCGCGGGTGGCCCGTCTTCAGTTGGATGGGGGCCCCGGCTCCAAGGTTGCGCTGCAGGAGTTCTCCACGAATTTAGCGAGAGGTGCATCCACCCACTGTGCCACCTCTGCCGCTGGAGGGTGCCCCGGCGGCAATGAAAGGGGAGGGTGCGAGTATCAAAACGCCGGAGCCGCAGATCTCGCCATCTTGTTTCGGGGAGCAAAAAGCCCTTCCTCTCCCACGACAAAGGCACACGCGATCCACGGCATTTTCTGTTGCCATTGACTGGGCCGGCCTTGGGCCGTTCTGCGGAAACCGAAACCGCCGGTTGTTGAATGTAGGGCGGTAGCCTTTGTCCCCTGGCGAAGGGGCCCTACGCTGGTGGCCCTGTGGGCTAGTGAAACTGGACCTTTTGTCTGGGGACGGGGACGCCCGCTGTGCATTTTCGGTGGGCTGTTGGGGTGAAGGGAGGGCGGGAGTGAGGCCGTCCTGTGGTGGGCATCTTATTAGTCAGGGGATGCATCCATCTTGGGAGGAAATGCCGATGAACATCCGTAATATCAGTGCCGCCGGCGTGACAGTCCAAGTTGGGAGATCGTCGTCCCCTGTGCATGTAGAACCAAGCACAGCGCTAGGAGCATCGGGCATGATGATGTCTTGTGCACGGCATGCCACGCACATGGGCGCTCGTGTCCGTGTAGATAGCGAATGTGTGAGCCCGTGTTGACGTTCCCGGCACGAGATGGCTAGGTGAGTCCGCTGGGTTGGTGCGGTGAGGATGTCAGGGGTATATATGGGCATATGCAAAGTATACGGTCAACAAAGCAGGGCAAGGAATCGGCAACATCCATCACCGCCACCGCTAGCGATCTTCGATAGCCAGCAAATGGCCCAGCCACTCCACTAGATGGCGAGCAGTACAGCGCAGCACAGCGCAGCACAGCGCAGCACTTTTTCTGCAGGATTGCCAGCATGGCGGCCGTGTGTCACCGTTGTCCACCAACCATGCCGGGCTTGCAGGGCAGCCTTGGGACGGATTGGATCTTGCTCCAAGTGGCTCCCAACACGCCACGTTGCTCATAAGGTGATGGGTTGAGAGTTGACTAGCGATGCTCTGCCGTCGACTCGAGCGCCGGCAATGAATGAAGGACTGACTGCCTGCCTTTTTTTTTTCAGAGACCCAGCATTAGTTAGTCTGCCCCGGCTGTGGCCTTGCCAATGTGCAGCTGAGTGCGGAAGTTTCCGAGCCAGCTGCAAGAGCACCCTTGGCCTCTCGTCCTGTTCTCAAGGGCGCATTGATGGATGGCATTTTTAGAGATGCGGCAAAGTCCACATGGACCGACATGGACATGGACATGGACATGGCTGCCGTGACGGCGCAAGTGGCTATCCGGGAGGGTGTGGGGCCTCGGATACTTGGGTACTTTGGTACATAGACCATACGGGACACTTCTTCGCATGCAGCGAGATGTGTGCTGGCTGTCATTTGTTCAGCCCAAGTCAGCGAGCGAGAGTGATGGGTGTGTGAATAGCCCTTCTGCGCCCCCCCCCCCTGTTTCCGGCATCTCAATGTTCCAAGGAAAGGTTGTCTGTCTGCCAGCTGCTGGACCCTGACCTTGACCTTGACCCTGGACCTGGGAAGGCTGGGAAAACTGGACTGGGGCTGGGACTGGTCTGAAGAGGCCAGACCCGAAGGACCACTGCATGCGCTGCGTGGCACGGAACGAGAGCCACACGGGGTTGGGTTACGCCTGCGTATACGCCTGCGCCTGCAGGCTCCAACACTCTCTCGTCAGCTGGAACCCATCCGATCTGATCTGACGGGCACCGCTCGAAGGCCCGGCTCGGTTAGGTATTAAAGGACTCCTGGGCTGTTCCTCACGATCCCTTCTTCCTCCTCGTCTCCTCCCTATTGCTGACTTACTTGCCGTGCTGCTGTTGTCGTGATTGCTTGGTGCTGCCGTGTACTCGTACTATACAGACGGTCCACGTCGTCGTCGTCTTCCTCCTTCTCCCGGTCGTCTCACAGCCCAGTTGCATCTCGCTGCTGACCTCATCGTGTCCGACTACCCCGAAAGCGGAGCCTCACCATCTGTCATCATCTATCATCAATCAGCTAGCTTGCCTTTGCCTTCTGCCTCGTCATTGACGCACCTCATCTCGCAACGCCCACCCGGCCGCCCTCTTCGCTTTCCGTGACACACGGGGCATTGCACAATTCGAGAAGTGAACTCTGCTCGTTCGACAAATTAATTTAATACCACGCTGGTGCACCAACACCGTCTCTGACCGTCAAAGCAAAGCCCCAAACCTGAATCAAGTCAGCCTCGCCCGCCTGCTCACTTATAATCCCTGGTTCGCCCCTGGATTCCCCGGCCGCCTTTTCCAGCATCTTCCTTTCCCACCCAGACTTCCCCATCATGTGAGTACATAACATTGCCAATTTCCTCCTCCCTTGCCTATTCCTAATCCTCGCCTCATTTCCTATTTATCATCTTCCTGTTTACTAACAGTCACTGTCCATCAAGACGCCACCTCGGTTGACGAACTCGACTCGGACCTCTACCTCTACCTGCAACTTACATCTTCTGACTTGACGACATCACAAGTCTTGCTCACCCGCCTCACTCAACCACCTTCACATCCGCTGCACTTAACTCCTTCATCACCTCCATCGATCGATATCCCAAGACATCAACATGGCTCCCAGCAAGAAGCCCAGATGTGACGCCTCCTCCTGCAAGGAGTTCGCTCAAAGGATCGTGGGTGACTGTGGCTTCTGCCAGGGTCACTTCTGCGGCAAGCACCGTCTGTTAGAGGACCACAAGTGCGAGGGCCTCGAGGACGTGAGTATACACCCGGTCTCCTTTGAAACTGCTCAATGGTGGCTTGTTGGCCTAGACGAGGTTCTGGGCAGCGGCGATTTTGAAACATCTTCAAGGACACTGGCTAACATGACTCCCAACCATTCCAGTGCAAGAAGGAGGCACACGAGCAGAACGCAGCACAGCTGAACAAGGAGCGCACCCAAGTCGTCAGGATATAGGCATCTCCCAGCGACACGTCACCCCCCGGACGGCACGTGCATTCCCAGACCGAGTCCGACAGCAGACGTATCCGTCTTGTCTCACCCCCGTCGATGCACACACGACAACCTTTTTCGTGGCCATTATACCAAGTCTTCGTCGATCACCTTCATATCGTGATGCGGCCGACACCTTGCGGCCGACTCTTCAAATCCGGCCTCTGAGCAGGAATTAATAAGCAAACCATATCATTCTGGATCGGGCGAAATCCCCTACATCCTCTGTACCACATCACATCACATCACATCACACATCGCACACGCAAGTCACATTATTTACGCATGGCGTCAATGGAGGTCGTCGTCCCATCTGCACTGCTTTCATGATATTCAGCGGCCTTGGCGACCGACGGGCTTCCTTCGGGGTGGATGGGCCCTCGGCCCCCCTCCCCCTTTTTGGGTGTTTCGGAGCTGACTTGGGCTCCCTCCGGCTTTTGTCTTTTTTGGTTCGGTTTCGGCGAAGCTTGTATCTTGGGGCCAAGTACTACTTGTAAATAGCAACTCTGGTGGCATTTACAAACTCAGACAAACCTTACGAACAGAAAGAACTTCCTTCTTCCGTGGCGTGACTAACTGATGAACTGACCCGCGCGACCTTGGCCCCAATGGCCCGTCCCCCGGTATCTCCGACATCGTATCACCCACGCAGTACCAACACCTCGGACCGCGTCACTGAGCAAGACCCCGGGAGGCGAATGCGACCGAGTCATGGCGACCCGACTTCCCCAACCTGGCCAGCCCCAACAGCGTCCAACTTGGCTGACGGCCAACATTGTCCTGGCAAACGTCATCGCAAGTGGAGGAAGTGGTTCTCTAGTCCCTCGGCCATCGACCTGTCCACTCTGCAGACAAAAAGGTGACACGACACTGGGCCGGTTTCAGCAGAGTTTTTGGGCGATCAATGCCGAAAGGGCAATTCAAAAGAAAGAAAGAAAACAGCACAATGCAAACGAGTGAGACAGCGGGCTTATTCTGGCCCGGTCCTTTCTCTTTTCGCGGGCGCCTCTTTCCTTCCTTTTTTCCCGCCCCAAGCCAGTCACACCCGAGCCTGCGCGGCCCGCCCATCACTTAAAGTGCATGCATGCATGCGTCATCCGACACCGAGGTCGTCGCCACGGGCTCCCGCGAGTCAGTGCCGACATACCGTCGCCGCCGCCGTTCGTTGCAGGCTGCATGTGTTGCGTGCTGCAGCTTCTGCTTGTAGGCTGCAGGTTTGACAGCCGACGGATGTCTCACGCACGTAGAAAAGAAGCAAACCCACTAGAGACAAGAACCATTTTGAAAAAAAAAAAAAAAAAAAGAATGAAAAAAAAAACCGGGATGAAGCGCGTGACACTGATCAGACGCTCTGCTGCCCCCGATATAGCGGCCAGGAATATGACTACTGCTCACGGGCAGCACAGCGGCAAGAGGGCGTGCGGCTGAGAAGCTCGACGGTCTTGCCAATGCAGTGCGGCGGTCCTTCAAGGTTTGCCATCCGCAGGTTTATCTCGAGGTGCAGCCTGCCGTCAGTAAGCTTTTCAGTTGACTCGTCTTGCGGCAGCGCTTATATGCACCTCTCGAGCAACTGTTCGTGTCTAAGTTTGAGCCGTGAAACCAACCATGTCCTCGGGACGGCCAGAGCGGGATCTGCTGCCGGACTGTTCCTTACACACGTTATCCATTGTAAGCTGATTCCTGAGGAGAAAAAGCGAATAGAACAGGTGGGAGGGATGGGGGGTATATGGGGGGTATGTAGAGATCGTCTGCAGTAGCGATTGAAAAGATTCCATTATTTACAATATTTACACTATGTCTATAAATGATATAACCCGAACGAAACGCCGCACTCCGCGCCTATGTGAGGGTATAAAAACATCTAAGCTTCACATAAGATCTTACACCTTGACTGTTCCCACAAGTTCGAAGCCTGGGAAAATCTTTCCAGCAATTAGTAGGCGAACTTTGAGAGGGGACTCTGCCTCGCCGGCCTGGAGGCAGAGCACTTGCTCCACAGAGCACGACTAGACCAAGAACTCCTCGTTCAACCAGTGCTTCAGGACAATGTGCCCCTCGTCATGTGATTCCTTCTCTATGCGGACAATAATAGCCGCATGGCTATGCCGATTCTTGTGAATCCACACGGGGTACTTGCGCCACCCAACACTGTCCAGGGCCCTGATCATCTCGAACTGGGTTGGTGCAAGCGCCAGCGTGGGCTGCCCGGGCTGGCTCTGCTTGCGCTCATGGCGCAGGATGTTCCGCTCGCTGGCGCGCCGGGCCCGGGCCTTGTCGAGACCTGCAAACGGCTCGGCCTCGCTCAGCAAGGGGGTGGAGGCGGAACCGGCGTCGGGCTCGGAGGAGTCGCTCTCGGAGTCGTCGGACGAGCCCAGGTATTCCTGGTGCTGGGAGCTGTTGAGCCCTTCGTACGCGTCTTCGACCGCCCCGCGGATCTCGTTGATCAGGAGTGGGACGCGGTATTCGGAGATGTCGATGCCGGCCTCGCCGTTCTCGTGTAGTGCGATGCGCTTGGAGCTGCGCACTGTCTGGATCGCGCTGTTGACTAGGAAGGCTACGATGCCGATGGGGACGAAGACTACCAGTGCCATCATGAAGGGGATGCGGTATAGGCCCTTGTTGAATTTCTCTGAGAACGTATCCTTCTTCCACTTATGCGGTGGTATATGTTCGACTGGGTATACTGGGTCGAGGATGACATCTTCGTAGCCTGGGACGAAGTTTGCCCGCACTTTCGTCAAATCCGTGTAGGGGTCGGTTTTTGCAATGCAAGTTGTGTAGTACACCGCGCTTCGATCGTTCGTGATATTCGCATAGAGTGTCCGTCGTTGGAACTTGGCCAGACCCTTGATGAAGATGGAGTTGGTGTCGGCCAGCACCGCGAGCAGGGGCCTGCCGGTGTCGCGAAACTTGTCGATTCCGAACAGCTGTCGTCCAGACATGGACAGTGTCCTCGCGCCCAGGGTGTTCCACACCTGGTTCGCCCAGCCGTGCAACGGTGTCCGCACCCCGATAAAGGGGCTGGCAAAGGCGGTGAAGTTCTTGCACTCCAGCCCGTCCAGCACCCCTTTTGCGAACAGCAGGCCGATCGCATAGCGCGCGACGAGCCCTCCGAGGCTGTACCCGACGACGCTCAGCTTAGCGATCCTGCCGCCGCGCTGCTCGATGGCACGGAGCTCCTCCTCGATCTCGAGACATAGCCGCTCGCCTCCAAGCTCGACGCCGTCGTAGGTAAAGGAGCCGCTGTTGCGTTTAGCGCAGAGGATGTTGACTTTGTCGGCAGGGTACTTGGCGCGCAGCGCCTTCGCAATGCTCTTCATGTGATTCGGATTGCCCCATAGCTATTTAGTTGACCGCCGTGTCAGCACTACCAACGGTGGTTGCTTGTTGATGGGCAAGGCAAGGATGCGACACGGTCGCAGCGGAAGCGGCATGACGTAGGATGCGCAGCGCAAGGCGAGTTGGAGAGCTGAAATAGGGGACAGGTCAGAGACTTACCCCATGCACCAGCACGCAGAGATGGTCGGCCTCGACTGTGCCGCCACTGTACTCGGTATGATCGGCCATGGCGTCGTCGCTGTCGCTGTCGCAGTCGCTGTGGCTTGCGTGCGTCGTTGTCGGGATCGGGACAGATCAAACAAGAGTCAATGGACCGGACAGAGAGGCCAGCGTCGAGTCTATGACATGATATAATGATGCGCAGTGGTTTCAATTTCAGGCGGGTCCGTGGATTGCGGATCTCCGGGCTCGCCAAACACCGCTAAAGCCGCATGCTTGGTGCATCGTCTTCAAATACTCGACCACTACACACATCCGTCGGCACGCCCGTAGAGGCATCAACGGGTGTGCGCAATTGTTCACTGCTGACAGCATTGGCTCTATTGAACTCAGCCACCGCGGGCTGATGAAGATGGCTCGATGCCTGCTCGAGCCAAGATTGCTGCAAGTAAGTTCTTGTCCCTTGGCCAGGCAGATCCATGTTTACAACGCAGAGCCCAGGACCACGTAGTCTGTCAAGAAAGTACCGGAGTAATCGGATGCATGCCGTCGTGGCTGCTGAAGCCTCGGCTCCTTTGTCCTGCAGACTTCACCTCGACGTATGAAACCGTCGAGAACGTCGGGGACAGTGAGATACGTATTCATTCACGAGTAGCATGTGCCTGTCTTGTAAAGTTCGCAGTGGTGTCCGGGCACGAAGACATCAAAGAGAACCGTGATGTCTTCCAAGTTGACTCTCAGCGTCTTTTTGCCCCTCGGTATTAGACTTATTGCGAGGAGCCTCCAAGTCTCCCGGCAATGTGTACATCCTCATTCCTGATGTCTCCTCCGGTCTTTTCTGTGAGCTGTTCATGGCATGTGACATATAGTCTATGTACTGCAGTAGGTAAATAACCAGGCTGCCCTGATGATGCAAATGTATGTGTTTGAGAGACGCACCCAGATGTTCTCAGCCTGCCATTTTCCGGTGCCGCTTCCGAGGCCCCTCTTGTGAAGCTTTATACCAACTTGAGTTCTGCGAAGAATTTATTAGAGCAGATGACACATCGGTATATCATGTCAATCAGGAGCTGTCCATGGCTTGCCCAAGTAAGTTGAACTCGCAAACTGCTGCACGTCTGAGGAAGCTCCCGTAGAGTCCAAGTTCCATAAGCCCTTGCAGCCTACAGTGAGTACTTCGTGACCAGCGTAGTGGGGCTCGCTGCACTCCAACTGGTGCATGTGCGCCCAGCCGTAGATCCATTGCACCTACCTGAGCCTCGCCGCGCCTCGTACATCAGTACTGCTCGACTAGAGAGAAGGCAGGCCAACCTTGAAAGTTTATCGTTTTTGGTTCAACTTTGCAGACCAATTCACCACCGTTTGAAATATTTCAAGATATCACAGGCCTGTGCTTTCCGGTAAATGCGTCTTCCAACCCAAGGCCTGCAGTCTCTGCGACTACTCTGCAGGTGTCCTGAGACACAAGGAACAGGGCAGCGAGTTGTCAGACGTTGGATCACCACGAACACGTCCTCTCCTCCGTGACTCCCTCGCTCACTCAGCAGTGCATCCAACGCCATGTCCTCCGTCCCTACCAGCGCAGTTCCCGTCTTCAATGGCCTCAAGCACCTTCCTTGCCCTAAGGAGGCAGGAGGCGCAGAGTGCAGCACCCCTGGGTGTCTCTTTGGCCACAGGGCCTCGTCACTCGATGGCGCTGCAGATGCGCGGCAACCGAAGCGTCAGAGGGTGGAAGACACTCATGGTCCAGATACAAACTACTCGCAACTGAACGGGCAAACCGCTGGTGATGCGCAATCACGCAGCTCGCAGACCAGCAATCCACCCTCCATTGTGCCTAAGGGCGGTAGCTCAACCCGTCACAATCCGGATATCAACAACTCACTGGTCAAGGGTCCCAACGTCGACATTCTACAGATGGGTGAGGGCCAGGTTCAAGATTTCATCTCTCAGAATTCTCGGGCTGAGAGCCGACAAGTCACGACGAATGATGAGATCAAGACGTCTCAGCTTTACGATCCATTGTCCCCGCCGTCGCCGTCTTCCGTGACGCATCAATCAATGCAACCAACAAAGACTAGTGGTTCACAGCCATCGAGACTTGGCTCAGTTATTTCTACTTCCTCTGCCTCGCAGAAAAGGCCGTCTCCAGTTGCTCGGCAGTCAACGCCGATATCAACCAAGGGTTCCGAGTTGTCGAAGCTCAATTCGGTACCTATCAAGCCTGAATCACTAGCATCGGGCTCGTCCGCCCCCAAGGACGGCCAGGCCAAGCCACCCTCATCCGGCTCCCAGACCATGACCAAGCCGGCCAGGAAGCCAGAGACTTTGAACCCCCGGCACCTTCAGAAAGCTCCGGCGACTCATAACGTCCGGTTGCAATTGCTCAAACTCCTTCACCAGCAATTCGCCCGCCTCAACGAAGGAGTCAGTAAGACGAGCGCAAAGCACACCGAGATCAAGGGGCTGGTCCTGTCAGGTCAGGAACTCATATGGATGGCCCTGGACCGCGAGCAGCATATTGCCACCCACAAGGCGTCGATTTATGGAAATATCATCAAGCAGGATGTGGTGAGATACAAGCGGATGACGGTGGACGACTGGGTCAAGGAGCGCAAAGAAGCAACGGAGAAGAAGGCGCCAGAGAAGAAGCCAGCCAATGGCCCACCTGTTGTCATCATGACAGGCTTGAACGCCGACCAAGAGGTTGAGGTCCTCAAGAGAAGGCTGGTCACGCCTATCACAGATCTCGCGGCATATGGCTATGTCCCCATTCCACCTACCGATGAACAAATCGCCGAGGCGAAAGCGGCCGTTCAGATGTCTCAGAACTGGGAGAAATGCGATAGATGTACTGCGCGGTTTCAAGTATTCCCTGGCCGCAACATCGAGACTGGGGAGCTTGCATCTGGCGGGCAGTGCACTCATCATCCAGGGAAGCAGTACCTTCCTGATCGTCCAAAGGGAGACCACACCCACATCCCAAAGCGGTATCGGTGCTGCCAGCAGGACGTCGGTGAATCACCTGGCTGCGCCAAGGGAAGCAACCACGTGTGGAAGACCAGCGATCCCAAGCGGCTTGCGGCACTATGGAACTACGCAGCTACTCCTCCAAACGCAAAACCCGATACGGCAAAGGCCGTCTGCTTCGACTGCGAGATGGGTTACACCGTGTACGGCATGGAGCTGATCAGGTTGACAGCAACCTCATGGCCAGACGGTGCGGAGCTTCTCGACGTACTTGTACAGCCTTTCGGCGAGATTCTAGACCTCAACTCGCAGTACAGCGGCGTCTTTCCAGAGGATCTGGCACGAGCGGTATCCTGGACCAAGGATTGGAAGCCCGCCGCGCAGCAGCCTGGCGAGAGGAGGATACTGCAGAAGGCCTCGTCTCCCGAAGTCGCTCGCGACCTCCTCTTCTCCCTCATCAGCCCCGACACTATACTAATCGGCCACGGCCTCGAAAACGACCTGAACGCCATGCGCATGGTCCACTCCAAGCTCGTCGACACGATTCTGCTCTACCCGCACAGACGAGGCCTGCCAATCCGAAATGGCCTCAAGTTACTTATGGAGCTACATTTGAACAGGCGCATTCAGATGCAAGGGGCGGAGGGCCATGACAGTGCGGAAGATGCCAGGGCCGCGGGCGAATTGGCGCGGCTGAGGGTCCAGAAAGAGTGGTCTCTGATGCAGTCGAATGGCTGGAAGCTAGTGGACGGCATTGTGCGGGAGCCTGGCTGGGAAGCTCTACAACAAGAAGGCCGCATCAGCGAGGACATGGAGGAAGGGGGCGCTTTTCTAAGCGAGGAGTTTTTGGAGGCTCCGTAGGAATTACACAACTATCTGATGAAGCTCAGTCTCAGCGTTCCAGGGCTTCATGAAACAAATACAGAATTGGGGCAACCCCAATAACACATCTTTTGAAATGCAACAAGTGCGTGGGGCAGATTTAAGAGCTCGGTATGCACGCTTATCTTTAAGTTTCAACTTCCAGGAAGCCTCCGTAAGAAGGCTGGAACACTGAGCATCACCTTTAACGGATTTGGTATTATTTCATCAAAGTGGAGAAGACAAGATCTCGTGGACCTTGTCTTTGGTGGACATAGTACACAAGCTGCAATATCAGCAGCTTCCAAATGAATGGACTCGTCGCTTGGAGCCCAACCCATCCTCTGTCAAAGGCTTTCATCCGCTCCATCAACCCCTGTCTTAATTCACTTCAACCTCACGCCCGTCCGGCGTTCAGCAGGATATTAGTCCCCTGCTTCCCTCCCGGTAGGTACGCCACGTTGGGGTTGGTCGACAGCGTCTGCGCAATCTCCCTGCTGGCCTCAATCTTCCTGATCTGGACCAGGCCGTCGCCAGCCTTTGCGATGGCCTTGGCGATGGCGTCTGCGCTCTCAGCCTCTCCCTCGGCACGAATGACGCTGGCCTGCCTCTCCTGCTCGGCCTTCTCGACTATGAAGCGCGCCCGCTCGGCATCCTGCTGCGCAATCTGCTTCTGCTCGACGGCCTTTGTGAACTCCTTGCCGAAGGTCATGTGCGTGATGGAGACGTCCTCCAGGGCGATGTTGAACTCGGCGGCGCGCTTCATCAGGTCGGTGCGGATGCGCTGCGAGACGGCCTCGCGCTGGGTGATGAGCTCAGCGGCGTCAAACTGCGCGACGATGGACTTGAGGACTTCGTTTCCGATGGAGGGGAGGACTCGCTCGTCGTAGTCTTGGCCGAGGTTCTGGTAAGATAGTCAGCAACCCGTGTATCCCATCACGGAAAGCAGTGAGACCATTCATACCTGGTAGATCTTGGGCAGGGCCTGCACCTCGGGCCTGTGCAGCACCCTCAAGGTCAAGCTGACCATCTGCAGATCCTTGGACCCGGTTGTGGTGGCAATCATGCGGGGCTTTGTTCGCACGTCGAAGATGATGCTCTTCTGCAGCCACGGGACGAGGAAGTGCGTGCCCTCGCTAATAACTCCTTCCTTCACTCCCGACAGTCGGTCGAATATGACTGCTCGCGAGCCGCCTCGGACATCGTATATGGACTGGCTGGCCAGACTGACGCCGACGGCTGCCGGGATGGCTAGCCGGTAGATATTCCGCAGCGCGTTGGCGTTGAATTGTGCCATGATGTGCTGGCTGTGTGGGCGAGATCGACTCTTGCTGTCGTTCCCTTGTGGGTGGTCTCGGCTCGGCTGGAAAGCTGAACTGAGGTGATGCGATGCGCTTGTCTTGCTCCACTGCAAATCGATGAGAGCTTGAAGCTTCAAAGGGTGGCCCATGCGTCTAGGTGCCATGGTGGGAAACACTTCGGTACGTAGTGACGTCCTCCTGACACTAAGCTGTTTACGGCCTAGTCCCGCCAGGTCCAATGGCTTGGTTCCGATTTCCAACGACGGCGGAATCGAATCGTCAAGTCTTGCGGCTGGCTGCTCACGACAACACAACCACGACACCACAATTGATTATCCCACACGTCAATTGAATCGACCGACACGATGAGACCTACTCAGATCCTTCGAAGTGGCGGCGGCAACGATGCCCCTCTCGGCATGTACAACAAGTGAGTTGGCGATTTCCAACGTTGTCGAGATGGGAGGCGCGGCTTTTCCTGCGGTGCATCGGAAGCTCCCACCCACCACTTGATGGCTCCAAGGACTACGGTGAATCTTTGAGGGCTATGCTGACCTTTGGGAAACAGGTACATTGGCGGCTGGGGTCAACTTGGTGAGTAGCTAACCCCATGAGACATGGAAACACAACGACAGGCCAGGGCCGAGCCCACAAGACTGGCGGGAGCACACGCGAAGGACGGGCGGCGGGAAGCTCTTCGGATTGCGATTCGGAACGATCGATGGCACGAGTACTGACAAGATTACTTGTCATCCAGGCACCGCGGCCCAGAGCCAGAAGGGCATCGTCACCTACGGCCTCGCCCCTAACCGACAGAACCCTTTCGCCGGCGCAGCCCACGCTGCCGTCTTCAACACGTGGCGACGGGCCAGCGCACAGGTTCTCTACGTCGTGCCTCCATTCATCGCCGCATACTACATCATGAACTGGGCTGTTGACAGGTGAGTGTGGAACAGCAAAGAGAGGGAAGGACGGGCTGCGCCGCTCAATGTGCAATGCTGACGAATCCACGACAGGAACCACTACCTGAACTCCAAGGCTGGTATCGCCGAGTTCGGTGATTCCGAGGAGTAAAGAAGTGACCGGTGCTACAAGACGACGTACGGGGTGTGGAGAGGCCCACCTTGGGTCGCAGCCATCCGTACTGGGCGTGACGATGTACCAATATTAGATCGGAGGTTGAGATACCAATATAGAGCTCAATTTTCGACACACTGAATCACCCGACCCATCGCAAGAGGAAACACGGGAAACACGGGAGGAAGTACATTCGTTGCCATCCGTTTCGTTAGACCGGGAATGACCACGCATTTCCAGCGTCTTCATGTGACATGAGAGCGTACGGCTGCTGACAGATCGACACAAATCGAGTGATATTACAAGAATCCATATGCATCTGCCTGTACCTGTTACAAATTTGGTAGTTCTCATCTAACTATCAGCAAAATCTGGTGATCAGCAAGGAGTCCTCCATCTACACTTTGGTCGTTCCATTGGCTGTACCTTCAGCCTTGACCACATCAAACCCATTCCAATTCTGCAGGGCCTCTCGAATCTCAATCTTATAGTCGGGGATTCCACCGGCATAGTTGACCTGCTCAAAGGCTTTACCGGGTACACTGCCTCCCATGTACGTGCTTCGTGTTGTTGGGAATAGAGTTGCGTCGCTCAGCTCGTTGATGTGATTCTTCCAAGCCTTGGTCGCGTCCTTTGTGGCGTTGACATACTTGATTCCCTCTCGCTTCATCTTGACGATGGCGTCCGCGATCCAACGGCCTTGGACCTCGACGGTCGCGGGCCCATTGGACAGCAGAGTTGGTCCATGAGGGCCGTACTACATCATCTAGAGTCAGCTGCTAAGGACCGACGAAAAGACTTCACACCATGAAGGGTGAGAGAAAATAAGACACTGTCCACCCGTAGATTGTCTTGAAGGAATCTGCAGCATACTCGAAGAATTCCAGGCAAGCAGTGAACCACCTTTCAAATATGGAAGATGCAGAGACGCAGATGCAAAAGAAGAATAAGGGTATCTAGAAGCTGCTTACCATGTGGAACATGTTAGGATAGCCGGAGACGGTGAGCCCTAGATAAGTATTGGCAGCTGCTCGCCATTCCGACTCAAGCTCGGTAGATTCGATAGACTTGAGTCCCATTTGAGTCATTCCACCGGTCGTGATATCCTACCAACAAGCTGTTAGTGAGCGGAACCCCGGTCGTGAGAGGTTGATAAGCCTACAAAGCCGGTAGCAATGGCGATCACGTCGAATTCATGATGCGTCCCGTCCTCGAGGGTGATGCCAGTCTCATCAAACTCCTTGATCCCATTCTTGGATATGCCGATGACGTCCACGTTCTCTCTGTTGAACTGCTCATAGTAGTTCTGCTCCAGGCAGGGCCTCTTGATACCAAAATAGTGCGGCATCTTGAGCGGCGCAAGAAGATCCCGCTTCCTCGGATCACCAATGCGGCTCCGTACCTTCTTGGCCCAAAAGTTGTAGGCCTCTGTATTAGCTTCATGGTTCTTGTAATAGTCCTTGTAATTAGCCAGCCAAAATTCGAATCCTCCGTGGTCGAACAGTGACTGGTAGAACTTCTCCCGCTCCTCGGCACTGTCTTCAAAGGTGTTCTTCTCGGAAAAGGTGTACAAGAAACCCCCAAAGCTCCGCTCGCGCATTTCGAAGAAGCGATGATACCACTGCTTTGAGTTTGTCTGCTCCTCCGCCGTAAGCGGTCTCTTGCCCATGGGGATGGCGAGGTTAGGCGTCCTCTGAAAGACCTTGAGAGAGCCGGCAATGGGACCCCATTCTTGGGATATCTGGACCCCTGAGGCGCCGGTGCCGATGACGGCACATTGCTTGCCGCGTACATCAATCTCGTCGTCGGGCCAGAAGGAAGAGTGGTGGACAATTCCTTTAAACTTGTCAACACCAGGCCAGTCAGGAATGTAACGTTTTGCGGCCTTATTCTTTTGGTCAGTCGAGTCTCGTATATCCATTTTGAGATGGAAGGCAACTTACGAATCCGGTGCCCAGAATAAAAAACTTCGCCTTGCTCGTCCGGCCGTCTGCAGTCTCCACAATCCATTTGCCTGATTCCTTGTCGAAGTTGCCACTTGTCACGACAGTGTTGAAAGAGCAATCCTTCTTTACGCCTATCACTTTGTCGACGTGGTCGAAGTATGCTCTCAGCTCCTTGTAATCGGGATAATTGGTTGACCAGTTCCAAGTCTTGTACACCTCTGGCCAAGAGAACTCGTACTCGGGCACGGCTGAGTCAACGCGAGCTCCAGGATAGCACTGCAACGGAAGTCAGTCTGCTGCTGAGCCATGTGTGAAAGACTTCTATACACGTTGATAAAGACATTGCATCATTCCCATCGTTATCGTTTGGAACGTTCCGTGGTACCCAACAAGAATGCAAAGCATATAATATGGATTCAGGAGCGGGACATTGAAGCATAATACGCAAGAAAAGTACATATCTGCAGGGAATTCTTACATTCCATCTCCAAGTTCCGCCGGTGTCATTACCAGCCTCAAATATGACAGCTTTAAGACCGCGATCTCGAAGTGTCTTGAGCATAAAAATACCGCCTGAAAAGAAGAGTGTCAGTAGCTAGTCTACCGATATGTACCCCGGTGTGGCTGCCATGGAACTCACTGAAGCCCGCTCCGACGATCAGAGCGTCAACATCGATATCATCCGTGTAGGGCCAATTGTTGCCCTCGCGGCGGATGGAATAGTCTGTGAGCTCGGTCTTGAACTTCTTCTCCCTTTTGGGGAGAGTGACTACCGCGGGATCTCCCATGATGACGAGGGTATGAGGTTAATTTATATTCACGGGAGAGATTTGACTAGTATCTAGAAGCTTGATATAAGTCGCATCCAGACAGAAAACGTTGCTCAAAAGGGCGGAATTGAGTTGTGTCAACCGAGAACCATGTTGGTTTATATACTCGACCCCAAAAATGGTCTCATGCTGTGCAACGGTTCCAAGCTTGGTTCCATCTTCCCCTCAGCATCTTGATGTGCCGCCACTGCAGGATACTCGCTTGGGAGAATGATCATCACCCCTCGGACTGTTTCGCTCGTTGACCCCGTGACCTCGTCTACCGCTTCCGCATGTCAACGACATTCGGAGATCCGTAGGTTACACTAAACTCGGATGGCGGATCCGCAGTCACGGCAGAAACATTTGAATCATCATGAGCAGACGTGCACTAGATGCGTACCAAGCCCTCGTTGAGATATCATGTCAAGCCCAATCCCTGTTTCTGACACACCTGTCGTATGCAACCCCAGACTTTCCCCGCGTGCCACCCGCATTGACAAAATCTGGGGTATGATCCTGAGGCCAGAACTCAAACGCAGCGTCCTTTCACACTCTGAGCGACGTGGTAGGTACTTGCCACCCTTCCTACAGCACCACAAGAACTAGTCAAAGTGTGCCGCGTATTTTGCGGAAGCCGAATAGACCAACCATCTTTGGATCTCAAATCCTAACCCAAAATATGGGGCAGCAAGTTTCCTCGGCATCTCCGGATCGAGTATGCCGCCCTCCTCCGCTCATCGCCTCCTCCTCATAGCTAAAATCATTGCGGCTCCGTAGTTCACCATAGAGACAACTCCCACGCCCGCCATATCGTCCTTTCCCCGCGCTTGACAGAGTTCCATCTGTCCGAACCGCTGGGGTCGATGCGAGGTCACTGATGGCCTTTCGGGATGGGGTTTGTACACGCAAAGGCGGAAAGCGGAGCAAATCTGGGCCAGTACGAGCAAGTGATTGCGATGTTCCCCGCCGCTTGCGAACGTGTAATGGACTCCCCACTCCCCGCACAGGTTCGGATCACCTTTCCCTGAGGAATCAAGTGGAGTACAAAATCACCGGAGGCCAGCATTGACCGATGAGTGTGACTGGTGAGTCGTGGGCGATGATACGGCTGGGGTAAGTTTGGTTGGACGTTATTCTTTCCTGCAGAGATTGCCGCAGATAGTAGGTACACGATGGTTGCTTAGGTCGTGGACAAACCTCGGAAACTTGTCTACAAGCAGGGTTGCAGGCACGAGGAGCCCCAACTCCAGCCCCGCTTTATAGTCTTTCACGCCGAAACACCTACCTAGTAGTTCGCAGAAGCTGAGAAGGATCTCGCATCTTCAACTACATGCCGACTCACCCCGTCGTACAAATAAATCATCGATCATTCCAAGCCGTGTCTTGAAAGCGTGCTAGTAAATTTGAAGCATCATGGCCCCCCTCGCAGAGCAGACCCTCAGCGTGCTCCGCTCTACCGTGGAATCGGCGTGCTACGACCACAGCAAGGGTATTCCGGGAGCAACGGTCGTTGTCGTAGGCAAAGATGGCGAGGAACTCTTCGCGCATTCCGCCGGTCGCCGAGGAATGGCCAGCACCGAGGAGATGACGCTGGACAGCGTCTTCTGGATTGCCTCTTGCACCAAAATGATTACCGGTATTGCCTGCATGCAACTTGTTGAGAAGGGGCTGCTGAAGCTCGATGATGGTGACCAGCTCGAAACGCTGTGCCCCGAACTCAAGACACTCAAGGTTCTGAAAAAGGATAAGACGTTGGAGGACAAGAAAAAGCAGATCACACTGCGGATGCTACTGACCCACACCGCAGGGTTTGGTTATTCTTTCTTCAATGAAAGGCTGAGAGATTGGGGGCTTCCTGGCGGGGTTGACGAGTTCAGTGGTCGGGAGGAGGACATGATCTCGCCGCTTTTGTTCCAGCCTGGCGAGGGCTGGGAGTACGGTGTAAGTCGAACTGACAAACCATGTCTCACAATGAACACTGTCTGACTTAAAGTAAGGTCAACATTGACTGGGCTGGCATTGCTCTTGAGAGGGTAACCGGAGAAAAGCTCAACGACTACATAAAGAAGAATATTTTCGAACCGCTCGGCATCAAGAATTCGTCTATGATCCCGACCAAGGACATGAAGTCCAAGCTGGCATACATGAACCACCGCGAAGCTGACGGAAGCTTGCGACCACGCGATCACCCCCTGCGGCTGCCACTGGTAGTGAGTAGCAAGGAAGAAGAAGCAAGATGCTTCAATAGTGGTGGAGCGGGCATGTTTGCCCAGCCACAGGAATACTGCAGTAAGTACACTAGACAATCTGTCAAGACAACTCGGGCGGCATTTGCACGACTTCTTACACCCCGAGCAACTCGTACTAAACTGTACACCCCCACGCTGACACACTTCTAGAGATTCTGGCCGTCCTTCTCAACGATGGCAAGTGTCCCAAAACCGGCGCCGAGATCCTCAAGTCATCCACTGTCAACGAGATGTTCTCCAACCAGATTCCCAACTTTCCTGACTTTGGCCGCCAACCAATACCCGCCGCGAAGGCTGAACTGACCAATCCCATCGGGGAGCTATATCCCCTTCCTGGGAACCCTCCTCAAGGTTGGGGGTTGACATTTATGATCAGCGGCGGCGGTGCCACAGGCCGTAGCCGCAGCACTGTTCATTGGGCGGGGCTCGCAAATTGCTGGTGGTGGGCTGATCGTGAGAATGGCGTCGCTGGTATTGTAGCGACACAGATACTGCCTTTCGCCGACTTTCCAGTTCTGAAGCTATGGGCAGATATCGAGAAGGAGGTGTATGTTGGGCTGCACGCTGCGAACGGTGGAGAATAAGGTTGGCATCACAAGAGATTGCGTGTAGATGTACAGTATGACGGTAGTAGGATCCATCAGTGGCCTGAAAAGCTCAGTTGAGAGGCTTTAAATGTTAGTCTGATAAGAAAATGCAAATGACTTCATGGTCTGATTGAAACGCTTCATTCATGCATCATGTCAGCGCGTGCTTTGATACGGTTGTGATGACTTGTTGCTTATATGTGTAAACTGGGCTAGTAATCAGGAATTAGTGGGTTATAAAGTAAAGTATGTTTGTAATTTTCTAGTGGAGTGTTCTTCCATGCTGTCTTTCAACTTGAAGTACCTAAGTGGAACAAATCTTCGACCATCATATCACCACCAGAAGGCTGCTCAAGCAACGACTGCCAAAGGACAGCATTTCAAACCCGTCTATTCGGGAGCATGGAAGCACCAGATATGTGTGTGAGCCCTCGAGCATGGGAAGAGCTGTCCATGATGAGCAACTCATCAAGATTCGTTCAAGTGCCTTAGCCTTCGAGCGATAGTTCAAAAAAGACTATAAGAGCAGTTCACCACTACATTCCAATGGAACCTAACAGGACTTTTGGCCCCGAGTACCAAGGAAATCGATACGGAGTCACTCTTAGGAGTCTGTATGATTTCTCATGAAAATAAGTTCACTGTAAGAGACTTGTATACTCCCGAGAAAGTATGCTGCTTCCCAATAGCAACACCCCAAATCAGCAGACGCAAAGTGCTGAAAATATCTGTGCATTGTGATCGAAGCTCGAGCTCCAATTTCAAGGAAATTTTGGCTCCTGTATATCGCCCAAGAGCCAAAAGGCAAGCTGTGCAAGTTGATCGGGACAATCCTGAACTTTGTTGCAGGTGAGGCTTCATAGCGAAATATATTTGCCTATACTGAAAATTGAGTGCATGAATGCAGAGTGATATAGACTGCTCCCACAGATGGATGGCTAATCGATCTGACATTCTGCCTGAAGCCACATGCTGCACTCACGGCCATGCGATGATATAACATGATAACTCTATCAGGAAGGAAGACTTTTAGAACCTAACCACTCCCTGAGCTCCGCCACAGAACAGATCCGTCTTTCATCATGGCACTTTTTGCATTGCTGACTATCGAGACGTACAGTTGCAGAATTATAGGTCAACCAATCTTCTCGATGGAGGTGGTCGCCTCTTTCCATAAGTGGCAACGGCTGGAATACTCGAATCAGCCAAACGCCACGTCCGAAGGCCTCTGGGGGCGGCAGTATGAATATCTTATTCCCTGTTCAATAATGAGACTCATTCTTTTCTTTTCTCAAACAAAAGTGTCGAAAATAAGCGGGTACCAATCAGGAAGCCTCATAACCATCGTGGATTTCCCGGAACGGGAACGGTAGTAAATCGCCGCCCTGAGATAGACCTTACTGCATGTCCACAGACTTTTGAACTGCCAGAGCATCCAGGTAGATCATGGCTCTCTCGGTTGGAAAGCACAATGTGTGATCGATGAGCTTCTTTGACGCTCAACACAGATACTACAAATCATTTCCAGCCGCAAAGGACTGAACACAGCTGGGACAGTATTATCACATGTCTGTTAGACCCAGAGTCCTAAGCGGGCCTGTGCTCAAAATGAAGCCTAGATCATCTTGACGACAAAACCATCACAATAGACGTCGTGGCTTCAACAAGCCCGAAAGTTTACGAGTCACACGTCGGCTCATTCATGCAATCTCTTTCGAATGAAAGATGCAGCTCGGCCACTGGGTGCACAATCTCTAGCGTCCAAGGGCGGCACCGACACAGTCGAGACTGCATAGGAGCTAAGACGACTGGTATGAGTGCCTACACCGGCGTTCATCTCATGGGCGGTCATCCTTGGCCCAGCAGTCCAGTCCAGTCCAGTCTATCATATGCTGCCAATGTCCTCTGTCGGTGCCGACTGTCGACTCTAGCAGGGGGAACAAAAAGAAGACCAGATGAAGTTATGGCGCAGGGGACTAGTTTGTTTCGCGGGCGCGGCTCGGTGTTGAAGTCCTGGATGTTTCAGAGAAACGACTTAGCCGCTCAAAGAGGGTCCAAGTGCTCTGCGCCGGGCTCTGGTTCAGGGGATGAGCTGACAATCCGGTACGACTCAGCTGGTCCCCCACGCAGATCGTTTGGTTCGTGGCAAGGAGGCTCAAAACAGGCCTTGGTAATGGCGCCTGGGAGGCCGCTGACAGGATGGGCCTTCGGCATGAGGTAGCCCACTGGGCAAGATCTGACGGCCGCAGGCGCAGGGTGCCTCATCCGATGTGGAGAGATGGCGCACACGGGCGTCCAAACTTGTCGAGGGCCAACGATATATATTAGTTATGACCATGGTAGGGTGTATTATCGTGGTGGAAGTCCGTAAGGTGGGTCCCTCGGAGTGGCAATGCTGGGAGGCAGCCTCTGTGGCTGAGGGACTGACAGCCAGATCAGGTAATAATGTGGGCTTCATTGTCCTTACCCTGGCGGGGGAAGACATGGGCGCCTCGGATGCGATGACCGTATTGATGGGTTGCCAGGGGCCAGTGTTCGTTCTCGTATGTGACTGCTGAGCTAGCAGTACCAGCTGTAAGCTTATTTTTTTCTCTTTTCTCTTTCTTTCTTTTATCAAGTGCCGGCGTCTGGAACACAGGCCCAGGGTATGTGCGATGGTGGCATTGGTTGCTGGTGAAACATGCCCGTCTAAAGCTGTGTGGGTGAAGGATAGGCGAGGGCCAATGCATTCAGCCCACAGGATTATCATCATGCATGACTGAGTGATGGACCGCCTGCCTGCCTGCCGTCTGCCCAAATGCATGTGCAATACAGTAGACTACATGTTACTACGGAGCGCATTCAGGCACAAGGCAGAGAACACTCCACCTGGGCCTGCTGGGCATGCTGGGCCAGATTGCAGATCTTGAAAAGATCTTCGCTTGGAAGCGCCAGCACCAAGCAGACAGGGCCGACAAGGCGGCTCCCCTGCATAAGTGTGGGGACAACGGCGGCGGATGCCCCGCTGCCAAAGGCTTGGTACACCGCAGATCCATCCAGGGCTGGACGGCAGGACGGCAGAGCCCAAAAGATGGATCAAGCTCTCTGCAGGCTCTTCAACCTGGGGTGGTGGAGCGATATTGCCTCCGGGTAAGGGGGCCGATGGTGGTAGTCTGCCTTGCTCGTGGACCAGAGCAGCTGAAAAGAAGGAGATTGCAGCAATGCGGACGGGGAAGAGATGGGGAAGAGATGGGATGGACGACAAGCCTGGTCTCACCAAAGAGCAGGTGAGGTTGGATGGGGGCGGCTGATTGGTTGCATGTCAGACCCACACTGAGGCGCTCATGTTTGAGTTCTCAGGGGCAAGGGCAGCCGGAGACTTTTCGATTGGCCTTGGAGCTTCGACTCTTAGACCCCCCAAGATCTGCCATCTGCCCGCGACGATCTCGCCTTTTGAGCCTCTTTCTTGTGCCCTGGCCCATCCCTGTCCTGCTTACTATGGGCCTCGCTTTGCTTACTCCTGACACCTGCAAGGCACATGCCCAGGATTCCCATACCCGCAAGTAACAATTCTCGACAGCCAACAGCCAACAGCCAACAGCTAGCAGCCAGCACTAGGGGCACACACACACACACACACATAGGCACTTTGCAGGCAAACAAGGAACGCTTTGTTTCGTTTCAATGTCACCGCTTCAATGCCCACTCTTATGCTTTCCACCCCTGTCCCCTTTTGACTTTCCGCCGCGGACGGCTGCGATCCACCTCGCCCGATTCGCTGTCGTTCAATGCCAGATGTCGGGTCAGCCATGTACTGCGGTCCCAGTCCAGTCAAGCCCATCAGACGAACAGAACGAACAAACAACCATACCGCACCATACCATACCGTACCGCTAAGTAAGTCTCCACAATGGCCACAATGGAGACAATGGGCCATGTGCAGTGCTACGTAGTATCCTCCTATCCTATCCTCTCCCTCCTTTGTGGCCCAGGCGGGAAAGGGGCCGTGTAGAGAAAGCCCACGGTCGGCATATATCTTGGTCGCTCACCTCCCTCCTCGACCTGCTCATCTCATGATTCTGGCACCACCAAGCATCACAACACTTTCATCTTTTCCCTTCCTTCTTCCTTTTTTCCCTTACCAGACACTCCCTCAACAACAAAGCCTGGAGCTTTTGTTTGTTTTCTCGACTTCGAATCAGACCATCTTTCCAGTCGTACGGTCCACTTTTTTCGTCCTTTTTCGTCAAATCCGTCTTTAGAGATACCCTACCAAAACCAAACGACATCATGATGCTCCTGACTTCCAACGTCGCCGCTGTGCTGGCGCTCTCCGGCATGACATCGGCCCACATGATCATGGCCAACCCCAAGCCATATGGCTCGCCTGACAACTCTCCTCTCACATCCAGCAACTACCCTTGCAAGCTCAGCGGGGACGCTGCCACCTTCTACTCAACCGATGGCCTGTCCAACACGGCCGCCGCTGGAGACTCGGTCAAGATGTCCTTCACAGGCTCTGCTGTCCACGGCGGTGGCTCTTGCCAGGTGGCTTTGACAACCGACATGCAGCCCTCCACCTCTACCCGGTGGTCTGTCATCCTCTCTATCGAGGGTGGCTGCCCTTCCAAGGACGGATCCAGCCCCAGTGAATACGATGTGAAGATCCCCGCCGACATCCCCGCCGGTGACTACTCTTACGCCTGGACATGGACCAGCAAGCTCAGCGGCCAGCCCGAGTACTACATGAACTGCGCCCCGCTCACCATCACGGGTGGTAGTTCCAAGCGCGCCATGAACATTCACCAGCGTGCCGACGCCCTCGACGCCTACCCTCCCCTGGCTGTCTACAACCTGGCAGACATCAACAGCTGCAAATCCGTCTTGTCTTCCTCCCCACAATACCCTGTCCCCGGCGACAACGTCGAGAAGCTCGCCGCCTCCGACCCGGCCTTCGCTGACATCACCGGTGACAGCTGCTTCGCCAAGGGTGTTACCTTCGACGGCTCCTCAAGCAGTGGCAGCTCATCCGGCAGTGGCAGCAGCAGCGGAAGCAGCAGCTCTGGTTCTGGCTCAGCAACGTCAGCCGCAGCCCCTTCGGCGACTGGATCACCTTCTGGCTTCGCGACGTCTGTAGCCCCAGCCGCCACCAGTACCGCATCAGCCGCTGCCGCGTCTCCCACGGGCTCTGGCAGCAGCTCTGGTTCTGGCAGCAGCTCTGGGTCGAGCTCTTCCGGCTCTTCTTCAAGCAGTGGATCTTGCACAGAGGGCGAATCCGAGTGCTCGTCTGACGGCACTACCTACAAGACCTGTGTCGCCGGCGGTACATGGAGTGCCACAATGTCTGTCGCCGCTGGCACCAAGTGCACACCAGGCACCTCGTCCCAGCTTTCCATCGTCGCCGCTTCAAAGAAGCGCAGCGGGCTTCCCTTGCTTCTCTGAACGGTTAATTGTGATTATGACAAGGGCTTCTGAAATGGAGCATCACATGACTTGCATGGGTTGGCGTTAAGGAGGCAATGCTGGACATAGTTTCTCGAACATACTTTACTGCCTCCGGCGTTCTTCGTGTATTGGCATTCAGATTGTACTTAGACTTTGGAGAGAAATGACCTTCAAAATGGCTTTATTATGATATTTGTTACCTTTCTGCGATGTGAAATGTGGCCGTTGTAAAGAAAATTGACCAAGCCCTCACGTCTAGTAAGTTCCACTCGGCTGGGACTTCCATTTAATCCCAAGCTAAGGAGTGCTTGCGAGATGAATGAAAACCAGATACAGCTTGCTCCTTCTCGAGGCCCAAATACCAAAGGTTGATACAACTCACTTGATTTTGCACTTTCCTGTTTTCCGACGTCTTCAACAGAATTTCATTCCCTTATGCTCATTCATGGCTCTTTCTACCGTAGACAGACATATTATGCCCTGGCAGGGGCGAACAAGCCCAATCAACATTACGCTCTTTGAAAGTGACAGTTTTATTCAATAATGACCGAAGCCATTAACGTCGCACTTCATCCATGTGGCAATATTCAATACGGTCTCAAGACTCGATTATCACGCACTGTTTAGGTCCCATGCTTAGCCGAAGTCCAAACGTCAGCAATTAAAAGCATTCATCTTCGCAAAAGGAAGCTCCTCCAGCAGCCATGAGATCCAAAGGGCGCCGAAACTGCCTGGGATGGCGGCCGCCAGGATCAGAATGGCGGTCATCTACCCTTTCGCCTCATGATAATGACTTAAAACAGCGATGGCACAGACGTTATGGGAGGCTTGGACGGCGCTACGAAACTCAGACACCAAACGGCCCATCTGTCGTTGAACATTACGGTCCATGGGAACGTGAATACCGCGACAGACTCCGAAGGGACATCGCCGCGCTGAGTGGCCCTCGTGGCCTGGCAAATCGCGCTGATCCCGCCGAGAGGCGTCAAAGCACCCCCAACCAAGTCACGTCGTCTGAAGACAGAGTCTACTCTGTGGAAGACTTCCTCAGTAAACTTACGGGCCATGATCAGCCGCGCAACGATGCAGAAAGCGCCTCAGATAAAGTGACAGACGCTACGCCAGACGAGGCAGACGAGCCGATGGAGAGACGCTACACTGCACTGGAAAAGGGGAAACAACGAGAAGGAACTCCTGCACCCTCATCCGCCAGAGGGCCTTCAGCGCTCAAACCTCCCAGCGCAAATAGCTCTCAGCTGCAGGCTTCCCGAATGTCTAGCCAAGGCTTGCGATCGTTGAGGAAGCTACCGCATAGTCGCCCTCCAAGCGACAAGAAGGGTGAGACTGGACCAAGCGTTCAGCATGTTGAACACGCCGCCTCGAAGTCCTCAGAAATGACCAGGTCGTTGTCTCGGGCCAGAGGAGCTGCGGCAAGCAGCATTTCTGCTGCTGACCGACTCGCACAAGCTCGCGTGGCATACGGCTACGCCGCGGAACTTCCTAGCGATGGCCTCGGCGTGATACATGAACATCCCTCGCCTCCAGAACGGGCCCTAGCGACTTGGAGGTATCTGCTACCCGCGAGGCAGCGAACACAAAGCCAAGTTGGCGTCACTGGCCCTAATCCAGAGAGCCACGCCGCAATGGAGCAGCCACAAAGCTGGGATGGAGATCCAGGACCTAGTTCACAGACATACGCCAATGCGGTGGCTAAGTCAAACCGACGGCTGGATGAGCTCTCACCATACTCTCCAGAGGTCACAATTCCTGACACACCCATGCCAATACTCAATACAAAACTCCCCAAGTCACCACCATTGCATCTTTCGGAATCTGTTGATTCCTCTGATGAACACTTACCCTCGAGAAACAATTCCAAACAATACCAGGTCCCAATTTGTCGGACAAAGCGGAATGCCAGCGAAATTTCTGGTGGTCAAGACGCAGGAGGCCCTTCCAAGCGCCAGCCGCATTTGCTGCGGCCGCTGGGGGCTCAGTCTACGGCAGTTGCCACATTGTCTATCGATGGGCACAACAGGCGCATCACATAGGATGAACTGCGCGCCATGACTCTGCAACCCCCGCTGTTAGTCCAAATAGAGCTCTACAAAATTTACTCCTTGCTGGTGCAAGTAGTGCAAGTCGCCAGTGATGAATTCACTGTGGTGGACCCTCACGACTTCATCGAGGCATGGTCATGGAAGGATTTCATTGAGGCCGGAGACGCTGAGATCATCCGACGGCTTCGAGGACAGACTGCCACACAAAGTGGGATAAAGAAGGTATTGCTAATTCCTTTCAGTAACGACGCTAATGTGTTCTTGGCGGTTGTCAACTTGGGCGCCGCGCTCTTTCGGATCTTTGACCCCAGGACAGACGAAGTTCTTCAATCGACAGACGAGGATGACGGCTTTGGTACAACCTTGTTTGTATACGAATTCATTCACACTCTCTTCCCAACAGAGTGTCCAAGCATGGAGGCATGGAAAATTGAACTTGAAAAGACTGTACAGCGCTCGGTGTCAATCAAACAGCTTGGTGTTACCTCAGGCCGACACCTGAATGACTTCGGAGCCCGACTTAAGATGCAGGCCGTATTGCCATTTTTCTTTGAAGCATTGCGGATCGTAGCTGGTGCAAACTCAAAGCCAAACATCACCGATGTGGCGCTCCTCAAGCGGCTCTTCGCCATCTTCGATGACTCTCCAGAGCTGAAATCCAGCGACGTGATCCAGCAGCTCCGAGAAAGATCAAGGGAGCAAATATATCGCTCACTTAGAGGCCGACTCAGAAGTGTCCTACAGGACAACGATGTCGACATAAAGAAAGCGATCGCAGAGACACGATGGGGCGGTTGCCGACCAGGCCAGTTGGTCCATTTGAAAATTATAGCAAGCCAACATGCTTGCATTGAAGTGTCGAGATCTTTGTCTAAGTCCAAACATCTCACAGAGCAACATGTTCACCTTCGTTTTATACTGGAGACAATGACCGCGAAGTGCCTGATGACAAGAGCTGCCTTGTATCATGGAATGCTCCACAACATGGCTGCAGGCTATTTCTACTCGGTTGACGCCCACAAAGAGATATGGGGCCCGGATGCTGCACTGAATCAATGGAATCGCTTGGAGCTGCACAGTATTGAGCGGAAATTGCAAGCCATGAGAACGGAATTGGACCACTGGTTGAAACAGTTTCAATACCATCTTGACAGCGCCAACAGGAAGTGAGGCGGATAAAAGTTAGAACTATCTCATACATTCGCCGCTGGTTTGTCTCAGTAATCGGACTTTGAATCAGTTCTTATGAATACACATAGGCTTGCTTCATGCGAATCATTGAGACAAGATTCTTACACCTGCTCTGTAATTATGAGATGTCCCGTGCGAATATGAGACTTGTAAGACAAATCCAGCGACACGAGCAGATGATTTTGAAGCATAAGTTTAGCTATCTTCATTAGTATATCTGACAAACTAGACTTGGGCTTGGCAAGGTGGTCAATGTCTTTGGAGGACAGAGGAAGACTAATATGGCTCGGCCAGGTCAGAACCTATGATGATGGCCTCATTTGGCGCCCTTTTCACCAAGATGAAAAAAGCACTTGGGACAAGGAGCCGATCGGCCTTTCTGCTGCTGAGAATTTACCCTCTGTTTCCTAACTATTGTTGAATGGTCAATGACTTCTGTGGCTCAAGCGGACACGACCTGGGTAGGAAAAAAAAACCCCCCAGCCGAGAACTTCAGTCTTATCGTCGGTAAAATGTTAGCGAGGCGTCTATTCGGGTTCTCCGTGTCTACCGGATGGTGTCACAAGTTTACTGTACTCAAGTGCTGCGTGCCGTACGTGTTTGATTTATGATATTCAATATTGCATTGATCCAATTTTTAAGATCATTTTTAGTGTACCACATCTTCAATACTATCTTCCTTGAACTACTGGGAAGCTACACTTGAGGTTGGTCATCCACCTCACAGATATCTAGGTCGTCTCACAATCATTCATTTTGACACTGTGGCATTGTGCCTTGTAATCATGAGCATTGGAGAAATACAACATAAACTCAATTGTTCATTTGGGGTTATCAGGCTTCTCAGGTGCCGTTATCGACCCACCTGTGTGTCCCAATGCCTTTTTCAATACACTGAGCTTTGCTCTCGAAATGATGGACTTTCTTCTTGTTTTATACTTCTAATCTTTGTACTTGTACTTCTCTGACTGTCGCATAATGTTCGACACTTCAAATGGAGTGGCGAGCTACTCTGCGTTGGGATAGATCGATTGATAAGGTCCTAGCTGTAAACCCATTAATTGCTCGGCGATTTGTAAAGCCAAGAGCCAATGTCGAATAAGTGACCTAGACAAGTCTCATAAGCAAACCTAGTGACGCGCACTTTTCACCGCATGACACGACTTGTCTTGGTCAACTTGTATATCACACGGTCTACACTTTCACGACCCCGAACCTGAACAGAATCACCAGTGCCAGAAGACCGTGAATTTACTTTCAGGGAACATGACCTCCGCATCAGGGGTACTTTATATCATTGAGAGCGCTTCCAATCAATCCCATCTGTCATCAATGTTTGAGCAAGACTCGAGCAAACGTCCGCCTAAGCTCTCCCTAACGGAGCAGTCAATACCAACTGTCGGTACCGATGAGAAAACCGGGCCCTTGTCGCGGGGGGAGACAAGGGGGTGCCTCGTTTGATTGTCCAAGCTCTCTCGGGGCAGCGCGGGCCGTTTCTCCACTCGTTTGTGACCCGGGTTGTGCCGTCTGGCAGCTCTTAATCTTGACTTCATCTCGTGAGATCAGGCTGTTATGATGATCTTGGACTTGGACAATGGACGCCAAGTCGCCGAGTACTAGCGCTCCAATAACGAACATGACGTGACTTCACAAGAAGCGGGGGTCGCGCATGTTTCCCCAGGTCGCGGTCTTGGAATTGGATGAGACTGGAGGCAGAGGCGAGAGCATCGTGGGATAACTTATAAAGGCGAAAGCCGTTTGCGGGATCGCTGACCAGTGCCTCCTGTCATTGACCTCGAGAAGCACTATTACTGAAGATGTCAGTCTTGACTGTGCGACAAAAGGCCCTCAGGCTCGCCTTAGTGGGTCTAGCAATCCTTGGCCACTCGTCCGCTGAAGCGCGAAGCATCGTTACAACCCGGCAGCAGGATGGGTCCGCGGAGGTTGCTCGTGAGCGTCTCAGCATCAATGCCGATTGGCGTTTCGAGCGCTTTGAGAGCAACCCTGACGGACTCAGTTACGACCAATTGAAGCCGTGGATTTTACCAGCAGGCAACAACTTCATCAAAGATCCATCACTTCACACACAACCGCCAACTGAACGGCCCAGCAACGTCACTTATGCGCAAGCTTCTTTCGATGACAGCGCTTGGGAGGCTCTTAGCCTCCCACACGACTGGGCCGTCAAGGGGCCATTCTACGAGGGCTCTGATCCCCCAGTTGGCGGAAACATGGGTCGTCTGCCGATTCAAGGCATCGGCTGGTATCGCCGCACTCTTAACATTTCATCGGCCGATGAGGGCAAGACGATCTACTTGGAAATTGATGGTGCAATGTCCTACGCAACCGTCGTAAGTAGCTTTCAAATATAATTTTTACTCCTGCGGGAAAAAGTATCTGCCATATGCGTGGTCTGTTTCATTGCTCGAATCAAAGCCCTCGAGGCCGCAGTTGTCGAGACAGGCACTGGGCATATCGTGGCCGACTTCGATATCTTTTTAAACAAGACTCATACCTCAGTGCTTTGGTGACTAACTCTAAATGCTGCAGTGGCTAAATGGGAGGATTGTCGGTGGCTGGCCGTATGGGTACGCTTCGTTCCGCCTAGACCTAAGTCCTTATCTGCAACCCGGAGAGAACCAGCTTGCTATCCGCCTTGATCAGGCCCTCGATTCCTCTCGTTGGTATCCAGGAGCGGGAATTTATCGCAACGTCTGGCTTACCAAGGTCAACAATGTACATGTCGGCCAGTGGGGCACCTATCTCACTTCAAAGGACGTGTCCGCTCAGTCGGCCATTTTGGACCTCACCGTTCAGGTCGAGAACGCCGCAACGGCTGCATCAGAGATTCATGTTATTACAGACGTCCACGTCCTGGACGCAGCAACAGGACAGGCGGGTGCCAAGGTCGGCCAATTTCCTAACACGACCGTTATCGTGGGCGCAGGCAATATTGAATCAACCAATGCTTCCATTACACTGGAGAACCCAAAACTCTGGGGTCCTCGCCCAGCGCAGGAGCCGAACCTCCACATTGCCATTACGCGGCTTTTCGCCGACGGCCAGGAAATCGACACTTACGAGACCCGCTTTGGTATCCGCTCAATCAGCTACGCTGGCGACGGATTGCGTATCAACGGAGACCGAATCTATCTCCAGGGCGTGTGTCAGCACCACGATCTAGGCTCAATCGGAGCTGCCTTCAACCTTCGTGCAGCTGAACGACAACTGCAGCTGCTCCAAGAAATGGGTTCCAACGCTATCAGGACATCACACAACCCGCCAGCACCCGAAATTCTCGACCTTGCTGATAGTCTGGGTCTCGTTGTACTTGACGAGATTTTTGACACGTGGGCTAGCCATAAGACTTCAAACGACTTCGCCAGTCTATGGGAGGACTGGTCCGAGCCGGACTTGCGCGGCTTCGTTCGCCGCGACCGTAACCACCCAGCCATTTGGGCATGGAGTTACGGTAATGAGATCGCAGAGCAAGGACAAGGCGCTGCTGGCGCCGCAGCGGCCGAGCGTCTTCGCGATATCGTCCGTGAAGAAGATGCTACGCGCCAGTCGTCAGTAGGCATGAATAACGCTGGACCCGAGACCCCCTTTGTCTCGGTAGTTGATCTCATTGGCCTTAACTACCAAGGCGAAGGCAAGGGCAACGGTGGTCCAACCTTCGAGAACTTCCGCGGAGAATTTCCCGACAAGCTGATTTTTAGCACAGAGAGCTCATCCGCTGTCAGCTCAAGGGGGACATACCTGTTCCCAGTGACCCCGTTTAATAACACCATTGTACTCGCGAATGGCACGGGAGCCGACCCAGAAACCCGTCAGGTTAGTTCCTACGAATTGTATGCAGTGCCATGGGGGGCTTCGCCAGATAAGGTGTTTGCAGCACAGGATGAGTTCCCGTACGTTGCCGGAGAATTTGTATGGACGGGCTGGGACTACATCGGTGAGCCCACGCCCTACGATGGAGATTCACGGAGTAGTTATTTCGGAATCATCGACTTGGCTGGTTTCCCCAAGGATCGGTTCTACTTATACCAATCACGCTGGAACCCGACCGTTCGAAATGCGCATATCCTTCCACACTGGAACTGGCCGGATCGTGTGGGCGAAGTAACTCCTGTTCACGTCTTCTCTTCCGGAGACGAGGCCGAGCTGTTTGTGAACGGAGAATCTCAGGGCCGTCAGAAAAAGGCCGGTTACCGCTTCCGGTGGGATAATGTTGTATACCAGCCTGGTGAAATCCATGTCAAGACTTACAAGGACGGAGAGGATTGGGCTGAGGCTAAAGTACGAACAACTGGGGAAGCCACCCAATTACGCCTGTCGACCTACCAAAACAGGACAACTATTGCTGCTGACGGCAGTGACCTCTCATTCGTGAGCGTCGCCGTGACTGACGATAACGAGGACATAGTGCATACTGCTCAGCCTGCTATTAAGTTCTCTGTCTCGGGACCGGGTGAGATCATATCGACTGACAATGGCGATCCAACGGACTTCACACCTTTCCCGTCCAAGGAGAGAAATGCATTTCGAGGTCTTGCGCTTACTATCGTACGGGCGAAGGCTGGAGCCTCTGAGCCCATCATTGTCACCGCCCAGGCGGATGGCTTGAGGACAGCCGAGATTACGTTGTCCATCGGAGGTGATTAGAAAGCTCTTGGCCTTTTGAAAGTTTCGCAGGTGAAAATGAACAGTAGTGATTAACACATTACGCAAATTCAATCTCTTTGTAATATCTATCTCATTTCCGGACTTTCGTGACTACGTCTCTCCAGGGAATAGGTAATGCACCTTGGTTTTCACAAACCGACACGGAAAGAACACGCTGACCAAGCCTGAGGTAGTCATCAAGACCTTTGAAGTTCGATCTGCCCCAGAACCACGCCGGAATTTCGCGACTGCACCTGCGCGACATATGTTGAATAGATAGGTTGGCGTTTTCTCATCGCTCAATGACAAATACGAGTAGGCATACAGAGCGTTCGAAATCCACTTTCTGCACCTTGACAAATATGCCATCTAGACTTGTAAAACTACAAAGAATCTGGCCCAACGTAAGTTCTGAGGAATCATAGCGTATTATGTTTGGGCCTTTATTGTCCTATTCCAGACACACTACAATCAATATCCATTGAATCTGAGCTTTGGCCCGTTTTGAAACCTGCCCATCACCTTTCACACAAAAGCGTTGCAACACGGCACAGCATTGCCCGCTATATGATCGTAATCGTTATTTCATATAAATTTCAGCATATGTGGATATCGTCTTTAGTTACCATCTTCGACATTCTCACTAAAAAGAGGCTTGGACAAAAAACAACACAAGCGTGATGAATGTGTGCCTTCCCTTTTGCAAACACAGTGTTCAAGAACTCTACTCGTCTTTATCTGTGATTCCACGCACACTTACAGAAAATCAAGAAGATCAGGGGATTCACATAGTTCAATAACAACATGGACCTGTTACTACGCTACTCATTCCTATGTAACACCCTAGGCCACGAAAAGCAAAAACGTCCATTTTAATGTGCAGCTACCAAGCTCTGTTTCGATACAGAAACCTCAATCGTTTTCTGGACCATAATATCTTTTGTCTCTGATTCCTTTCCCGACTGATCGTCCAACGGAACCCATTCAGCATTGCTCCGTGAAGTGATAATGCAATCCACCTGTGAATGATTGGTAGAGTGAAAACCGCGGGAGTTCCCGATGGTACGCCGCTTCGAAGGTTCGTTGCTATTCCCATGAACGGTTGAAACGTGGCGCTTCATCGATCTAAACAACGGACGAAGAGTGGCGAGCGAAGTCGAAATCATTAGAAATGAGCCCTCTGCAGCGTGGGTCATGCAAAGATAGACCAGGGGAACTTTTCGTTTGGTGTGTTGTCAGCAAGCCTCGCAAGACAGAGAAAAAGGCTAGGGGAGGATGGCTCACATGATCGGTCTGTAACCAGCAGAGACCCAATTTTGTCGAATATAGAAAATTTATAAATCGAAATTGCAAAGCCCACCCAGCTCAGACTAAGCGATGCTGCAACACCGATACGAGTCTTAAGCGGCATGCTGAGCCGCATGACAAATGGGACCGGATACAACGCGAAAAATACATCGAGTGCTGTCGAATATGAGTAAACGAAGAAGGACAGTTTGACGTATATTTCTGGACTCGAACACGTTCCTCCTTCGATGCTCCTGTCCCATTGATAAGCCGTTGGTCTGCACTGGGCAAAGCCCCAGGCCGTCAATGCAACCACGGTTGCCTGCGATGTCAGTGCGAGGCCCCAGAGCAGAACTGTCGTTTTCGTCCCGTAATTAAGGATCCTCTTGAGCGTCGTGACGATGGCGAATTTGGGTAAGGTGCACATCCAAGGCGTAATGCCGCTAAGGATGGCATTCCACATGACAGCCTCGACTTTGCGGCGATCGGACAAGGTCACATAGTGCTTCCCCACTCCATACTGAACTGCGACGGAGAGCAGGATGCAGAAGACGAGGAGCATCAAGAGGCAGCCGCCCGTGATGAAGTCGTCAACGTAAAGGCCGCCACCCAGTCGAGGTGTGTATCGAAGACGGCAGTAGACCCGTAGGGAGAACACCACTTTCCTCACGACTTATCAGTTTCTTGGAACCCCTGGATTTTCATTTCAATCTCGCATGCAAAGAGCTCACCTGCCGTAACTCCAAATAACGCCCATGTGGTTCTCAACGCCACGAGACCCAGATCATCGCTTTCCCATACCGACATTGTGGCCGGACCAGTGCGCCGGAAGCTTCGCAACTCGGCGACGGAGGGTGTCCAAAGAGTGAAAAACGACGAGAACTGGGTTTGTGCCAAGCCATGAATCGGGTCCCATCTTGATTTAAGGCAACTTTTTTGAGCTGTGCTTGACTAGCATCCATAACCCCTGACGCTACAGCTTACGGAAATGCAGCCGTGCGGGGGCGATAGCTACTTTAGGATTGTGGAAGCGTATCACGAGGCGATGTTGCGAACCGGTTCCTGCGCCCGGACTTCTGTGGCTTGCTCTGGCCGCGCTTGTTTGCCGATTCTGACGGGTCCGGGAGCCTCTGCCACGTGCGTTTTGAGACGGACCTGACGACGATAAAGGCACAGGCGCCAATGGCGGTTCGGGTGGATTTGGTGCCCTCCTAGCAGTCGCTGGGTCCCTCGCCCACACCGAATTCTGTATGTACGTACAGACCTGGGTAACTCATGATCAGTAGACATCGAAGTCTGGACCGTGGTCCATATGTTTGAAAGTGCTGGATGCAATGGTTCTTATGACAAATCTGGAGGAAATCCCAAGCTTCAGCCATCTCAAACCATCCCAGATATGGCTAGTGAAAACAAGGGAGATGTGCCGGTTTGTCAAGCCTCATTCCTTACTCATGTCTATCTCGCTAGGCGCGATTGACCTCGTAGATCTGACCCTTCTTCAACGGAAGACATCCACTGATCGCCAAGATCTGGGTGGGCGCAAATCACGACATCACGACACCAACAGTCCAGAAGCAACATTGCCAATGATAGCTGAGCGGGTCCGGCTGTGCGGGATCGAGTTGCACTTCGCTGTTGACATGGGACGGAAAACAGGCATTATAGAGCTTGAAACGCGAGGATCAAGCGGGTCGAGCCCGGTCACAGTGGTAGGTTCGCGAGTCAAGGACCTCTTGGTGCATATACACAATTGGGCTTCAAGACATGGCCGGCCAGCGAGAGTGGATATGGACTTCTATTCCTGTGACTGAACGGCCAAGAGGGACTAGATGGGAATGACATTTGACCTCAGGAGGCAACACATGTCCACAATGCTACCACAGTGTTATTCATGACTACACTTCACTGAAACTTATCCCCTATCATTGAATCACCTCAGAGGGGAGGCCCACACGGTTGCTTTATGATGGAGACCAGCACGAATAAGGGCATTGTGGGAATATCTTCTTATTGGTTGTCCTGCACAACTCTTTTCGGTGCTCCAAATTTCAGCATTGGACGCAATCCTTATCATGACGGAACTCTGGGGTCATCTTCACTTATCATGATATTTCAATTTCTACTGTATGTAGTGGGTCTGTTGGGATGAAATCAATTAACCTTTCCGGCGGAACCAGGAGCACAACGTGATTTCGAGGATGTCATGCAAAGTATTTATGCAATCTATCAGTGACTCGCTCTGCGTAACTGATCTGCTCATTGCTAGGCAAACATTTGTCTCCGGGTTCCTCGCCCCCTCGCTCGTAGTCTCTAATTTCTTCACGTCCAAGTCCCAAGTATAAAGGCGCAAGTCCGTATTCTTCTCACAATTCGCTTCGCATCCCATGAGCAAGAAGTGTCACCGTGGGTTGCCTGTGTACAAACCGATGCTATGAATCATGCATCTCTCTGTAACCTCTTATATGTTGAATTCAGGAAGCCACACCACACTGAGGGTTGTGGGTGCATCCGTTTTCCCTCAGTATTCTAGTCTATAAGGCAATATTGCCCACATGTGATCTAGGCCCATGTCTAGGTAGATTCCAACTCCAGTTGTAATTTCCCTTGACAATGAAATTCCATACTGCTAACTTTCTCATCCTGAAATCCAACGCACTTCCAGCAGTTGAGCAGCAGGTCTGGGTCGTACTTGTGCTTAATTTCCAGCAGGCGGTCGTAATTTGTTCCCCAGTACGACCTTTGCCAGTTCTTCGTGAACATGTTCGACTCATGAACATACGCGCCTCCTTCCGGTCCAATAACTTCCTCGGCCAACTCTGTTGATCTTGTCAAGTTGATCGCGGCATCCAGGCGCTCGCTATATGAGCTATTCCACGCAATTGAGGCACGACCGCCGTGAATCCACAAGGCTGAATAAAAGGCGGGATGAGTTGAGGTATTCGTGTCATAACCTGCGCTACTTCCTTCAACTAGGAACGGCATATCCGCCGGAATATAAGCGCTTGAAGGGCTAGCACCGAACTGGACCACGCTTTTGACGTAGTCTAGAGTAGTATTGACGCCTTCCTGTGTTTCAAACAAAGACTGAGGCCAGAGACGACCGCCCAAAAGCGGAATGCTTCCGACTGGTCGGGCGGCAGGTTTTATATATTTTTGCCATGCTTCGCTCCACGACGGCAGTATCTCAACCACACTTGTGCCTCCATTCGATAAAATGAAGTCACCGGCGACTTTCATACTCTTTTTCGCTGCAGCTCCCCCATCGCTTATGTTGGCAATCTTCCGCATCGGGTTCACATGCGTCATATATGTTCCTGCTGCATGGCCGCCCCAGCCTTGACGCGCAAAAGACAACGCATGCTGAGCTTGGAGAGCAATCCACTCCAGCGCGGTATCCTCTGAGGCATTAGAGGGGAGTTTCATGTCCGCAATGGCGATCGGCATTACAGGTTCGACACGGTGCGTGGCGTCGAGTACAACTCCAAACGTCCCACCGCCGCCACCCCTCAGAGCCCAAAAGAGGTCTTCGTTCTGACAAGCATTTGCTGTTCGAAGAGTCCCGTCCGGAGTGACGACGGTAAACTGCACCACCCGATCAATGCCCAGGCCATAGACTGGTGACAAGACACTGTGCCCCGCACCGAGGACCCAGCCGCCAGACACGGCAACGGTAGGCGAGGAACCAACTAGGAGGGTGGAATTATGAGCGGTCGCAAAAATTGTAGCGTCATCGCTGCTGACGCCAGTTCCGATGGTGAGAGCTGTACCGTAAACATGATCGGTGTCTTCCACGGAGCATCCCTTTGGGTTGAAGGTTTCATGGTAGGTCATATTTTGTAGGTTATGCACCCAAAGTGTGAGCGATCCTTTTGCCGTATTTCGTGTCATATAGTCGTGTCCGCTGTTCTTTATTGATAGTGGGAGCCTGAATTGACGAGCCAGGTCGAACGCTGCGATGACGTCCGTCTCATCTTGCACTTCTAGGACGTAGGAACCGAGATTGCCTTGATTACAGGATATATTTGAAGCTGGTATCGGCGCCGGACTGAGAGTGCTGTCCAGTAGGCATTGATCATCCGGATAGGATAAACAAGCATCGTTTTGCGAGTTCATCGTCACACCAGCTACCCCCACTCGAAAAGAGGGCGATGTGTAGTTTTCGCGGATCTGTGAGCAAAGTGCCTCGTTGAAGACATTGGGGAGACCATTATATGTGCTGAAGCATGGCAGTGCAAGGGGAAGTTGGTATTGTAAGCGACCATTTACTGTTGTATTGAAAGCTGACCACATATCAGGGATAGCGAGCACAGTCTGAGGCTTCAAGAGCAAAAGCACAGCTGCCGCTGGTACCAAGCTTTTGGCGCCCAGCATCGTAAATGGCCTTGTTTGAGATGGCCTTCAGATACAGCCTTTAGATATTTGACGGGTTCGACAGAACCGTGGTTCCACAATATCAAAGAATGGACTCAGAAAACTCGGATGGAGCGGGCAGTCAAGGGGATTAGGCCGAAGCCGAAGCCTTAGTAAGACCGCATGCATGCGGTGTGAATGAGTGGCGCGTTGCTACCCTGTTTGCCAGGGACCCAATGAAATGAACGGCACGACAGGGTCAGTAAGATTATAGGTAACATTGCAAAGACCTCTTGCATCTTAGAGACATGCAAGAGCGCAAACGAGATCTGATGCCCGTCCGACTGCCGCTTATGGGTAAGTGTGGCAACGACTTAATTTTGATGGGCGATTCTAAGTTGACAAATTTGTCGATACTCGGCAGAATTCTCAAGCGGCCACACAGCATGATCTGTCGATGGAATATTTGAAAGCAATTTAGAGTGTCAAGTCTGTCTGTCATGGCAGAAATATTTAAGAATATCGGAGTTCCTGAATAACAAGCGATATATCGACAATGAATGACTCAATATCATCAATTCTGATCCATACGTAATGAAAATAGCTTTTTTGTGTCCTTTCTTCCACCGGAAACTCTGCTTCCACTCCGTACGGCTTAACGATTGGGAGTGGATGAGAGACACAAGCAATGCCTCTTGTGTTTGCCTCTGGGAAGTTATCTTTATCACAATTTATATCACAATTTATATCACAATTTATCAAGAGAGGTTGGCAGCTTTCAAAAATGGTATTATGTAAACTAAACATTAGCAAGTTTAACACCATAGATGCTCACGTGAGGTGTGGACAAACTTCTTAGGATGTAACTCTAATACTATCAATTTGTGCAAAATAGACAGATGGACCTACATCAGATATTTAACATCTCGAGATGCTTAACCACGAACACACTTGGCGGCACAGGGCCAAGGCATTGAGTGCCAACAGGTCTGCAACGACCACAGTGGATATGCCGACATGGAGAACCTTTCGCCTCTTTAATACGAACTGACTCTCCTTACAAGTCTAGTTCAGGGAAGTGAAAGACAAAAACCTCAAAAGGCATGGTAATTTGTGACAGAACACAGATCTAAATGAAACTTGGTATCATACAACGTAACACATCATTTTGGTCCCAGCGCTTTTAGAACTTCAACTCCAGCAACCAAAGCATCCTACTCATCGACCTTCTGTCCAGAGGCCGTGATCTCTTCATTTGACTTCTTTTCTGAAACTGCGAATCAGCTTATGACCAAGGAGCTTCGCACTTGGGAAGTGACTGACCTTTAATCTGCGTCTGCTCAATATCTTGACTCGCCAGCGAAGCGTTGACGGTAGTCTGCTTGTACTCTGCAGCACCCTTCTTAAGTTCTCCATCGACTGAGACCACAGATTCTTCATTAATGAAGCCAATCAGGTCCTGGAAGAGCTCTTCGCTGAAGGCTCCTGATCGTTTTGCTCTTGCATGCAGATCCTTGACCACTTTCGTCGTCAGCTGAGCAGGCGTGGCCAAGATGCTCTCGATCTCCTCACGATGTCCAAACCCGCACTTGGCATGGTTGTCATCGACGGACTCGCCCTCTTTGAATCGCAGACCAGGCTCCTGGTGACGCCTGATGCGTACATCACCATAAGCGTTCGCCAGTTGCACAGGGCTGACATTGATCCGTGTTGGCTCCGGAGGGGGCCAGAGCTTAGCCTTACTGAGTCCCATGATGGCCGAGCCAAGCTGAAGCTGCTCGCAGTCTTCGCGAGCAGCATCGTCCTCAGGGGCGTGACAGTACCGGATGTCCTCATCAGGGTAGTACTGTGGATTCAGAAGTTTCTGGACGGGCGTGCTCACGGCCTTGATGATGTTCTCAATTGCAGCTAGGCGTGTGGCGGCAAGGATCTCGACGACATCACTTGACACAGGCTGATCACCCCAGGGCTTGCCCTCGGCGTTCAGGAGCTGACCATCGGCTCCGATATGTGCGTTGTAAGCACAATTGGACAGGATTTTTGAGAACCATTGAGCCTGGCCCAGCAGCCAGCCTGTGACAAGTGTCTTGTCTTCGTCAACTGCAGCGCCAGCAACTGTGACTTCCCTTGGGACTTCAGCAATCCATCCCTTGATGAAAGGCACCAATAGATGTATTGTCTGGAACTTTTCTGCCACCAGAGCAATATCATATAAATTGCGGATGCTGGGCGTCTGGGGAATATCGTGGAACTTATAGTGTGCAATGGAGAAGATGACGTCTAATCCGTACGCGGGATCAGAGGACTCGTATGTTTCTGATGTATGTGAAGCGAGATCTTGTTTCCAGATTCGTGATATGCCTTCCAGGGTACTGGTGCGGACAGAGTAGATTGCGGTTGTGCCATCTGTCTCTTGAACCTTGATGTGAAGGTCAGCCTCTTCGTGATACTGAACTATCCTGTCGGCTTCGGGAACTGAAGACTCTGTGGGCTCGTCTATTGACGTAGGTAGGGTTGATTCGGCAGCGAGCTCTGTTGTCCCGTTGTCTTCGCCACTGTTGCCCGATACCTCTGTTGTATCATGGGCATCCTCTGCTGCGGCCGTTGCAGCTGTCGATGGACCAGGAGTGTCGGGAGGTGTTGGCAGACCATCTGAATTCTCCAGTGGCTCACTGGGAAACTTGTTGTCACGGGTTGCCAGCTTCTGAAGCGCTTCTGTGGATGACGAAGCATGGGGTCGTTCTGCCTCAGCTGTGACTGCAGAAGTCTGTGTAGCAGCAGGTATGCTTTGAGATGAATTCGTCTTCTTCAGCACAGGCTCAGAGGGCGGTGTCGTTGGTGATGATGCTGTGTCACCCTTCCCAGCGTCCGTGGGCGACCTAAGCAACCAGTGTCAGCAATTATTGATCTTATCATTTACGAGACTGATCGTATATCATCGATTGAAGTACCGAAGGGAGGAAACCCGCACTGGGATTGCTGGAAATGGCGGATTGCTAGATAAAGGCAAAGAAACACGTCTGCTGCGATGCTTTTCGTAGGGCATGAACGTATCGCGGCCGAACTCTCCTAGAGAGCTGCGGCTAGCGGGACGGGACTTCATGAGGCGGCGACGGTTTGGTAAAGCGACAAGCTTGACTTCTGATGAAGACAAGGGCTCACTACATCTGTATAAGAATGCTTGCTCTGCCAGAACGTAGAGTTCGTCTCCGACAAGCCTCATGACTATGCCAAAACCCAAAGAGCTCCACGACCAGGAGATAAAGCCATTAAAGCCACATAAGGCTTCAGGGTCTCGATCTCCATCGTCGTCTGCGTCGTCAAGGTGTTACACGTGAGGGAGACGTCGCAGTTTAGGATTTTGCAATGGCGAGCTGCCATGGATTGATGGTGGCGGCTTGGAATGGGAGGGGGGCATCTCGTAGAGGAAACGGGCAACTCAAAGAAGTAATGAGCAAACGGAATAGAAACTGATGACGCCTGCGTACCTTTTGAAAGAACGAGTAAAGGAAAATATTCCAGACTTCCGTCGCTCTTGCTTTTCGCGCATATTCTCACCAATGTCGGTGTTTCGTCTTTGTACTTGAGCCATTCTGTCGGCGGCAGAATGACGAAATCTAAGTCTCTAACAGGAACGCACCGTCAAGTGATGACAAGAGACAAGAATTTGGGGAGAACTACCAGCTCAGAGGCGGAAATTTGGATAGAATTCAGTGATATACTCGAAGAAGAGCAGGTCGGTTCGGGATGATGGCAAGGAAACAGAACAAGACGCATCAGATTTATGTATTCTTCCGGTACAAAAATCACATGAGCTGATTTGCATGGCTAGCCGACACCTCTCGCCCAGGTTTCTGGAAAGCTCGGGTGCAGCAAAACCAGACATCGCGACATAGACAAGCATGGACGCGCCAAAGCGTGCTCACCGCTCATAGGAATCGCGGCCATCTGCAAGTCGTTGAGCCTCCATCGATCAAAGATAAAACCCCTGCTACGAAGTCAGGGTCCCCTGCAAAAACCTATCGAAATGCTCCACTTGGTGCAGGATCAAGGCGAACGGAAGCACCAACCAAAATGCCCACGGAAACTCACCGACAACTGCTGTCCTCATGATCGCGCATCATTCTCATTGTCAACAGCGAGAGTACTTGGTTCTCGGGCAACGCCAGTCGCCTTGACAGCTGGGTTGCAGCTTGCAACTTTCTGCCCCAGCCACGCCTCACCCGTCTCGACAGCCATTGGGTGCTGCGCTCGAACGGGGGCTCGGCGGGGATGTGGGCCCACGAAAGATGCAACGGCACGAGACGCATCAATATCGCCTTCCTTCGAGGCGAACTGGTGGGGCGGCGGGATGGCTGCCAACGTCAACTTCTCTGGCTGCGGCGGCTATCTGAGGTGCAGAGCGCTGCAAAGGTTGACACCTGGGCCTCTTATTGTTCACGTGCGGAACGATGATGAGATGGCAAACCCGTCGTGGTGGGTAGCCATGCATGATTCATAGCAGTTCGAGGGCTCAAACGTAAAGAGGACTCGGACTCGGATTCTGGCAGCTGCCCTGACACGGTGGATGGCCTATGCTCTCCGTGGCAGAATCCTTAACACCCCAATAGATGCATTTTACCAGCTATAGCCACACCGGTATTCCTCGAAGCCTAGCTTCGCAATGAAAATCACAGGCCTTCATTCTGAGAAGTAAACTAACAACGATCAGTTCTAGAGACTGGACTCCTATGGCTGGGATGCCCGGGCTTTGATCGACACTGCATGTGCGGGCAATCAAGATGCCCCACGGGTGAGTTGGAAGTGCTCGATACTACTGTATGGGTCCAAAAATGTGGGTTGGTCTGCTAGCCTGCGATTATCCAATCTACATCCTGTTCGAACTGTAGCTCCATCATCGGTGTGCTGCACTGGTGACTCAACATCGTATGAGATGCTCTCTAAGCCCAAGACTGCTTCGATCACGGGACAACGCTGGCACCGACTGTTTCAAAATATAAGGGTCCGATTACTCCTGACCCCGCCCCTCAGTCGTCGATTGGCAGCACTACACGCACTCCATCGACGATTTGTTCTACGATTGTCAACATCTCAAGATTACAAGCCAGACGAGAGGAGGGGTAACGAACCATCGAGGTAATTGATGACTTGTGAATAGTCTTTGCACACTGTATCGGGAAATATTAGAACACAGCAAAGTAACATAGTTGCAGGAAAGAAAAGAGGGCCCATACCATGAATTCCGTTCCATCCTCCATCGAGTGGGCCATTGTCTGGCCCATCTGTAGGCAAATGCGGCTCCATAGACATGTCCCCGTTGCACATGACTGCTTGACGGAGGTAGTCGACACAATGCATGTAATGTGTGAAATAATCGCCAGGCAAGACGCCCGAAATATTGCCAGACAATGCAGAAAATATCCGACCCATCATGAACTGGTAAATTTTAGAACCAAGTCAGCTTGCTGAGCTCCAAGCATGGGAAAAAGGAATGGGCCTACAAGGCAATGTAACGAATGTGTCATCGAAGTCGTCGAAAAGACCTCCTCTGCCGAGCGCAAGGCAGCTCCAGCTGGCATCATCGTGTTCCACTTCTCTAGAAGCGTGTCCGAGAACCATTCCGTTGCGTTGGGCGGCACGAACGATTCATCCGCGTTCCACTTTGTGATTCTCGCAGGGACTTCTCATTTAATTGGGTCAGCCGGCGCCGCGTCAACGTCATGTGCATGCATGCGCTCAAGAGGAACTGACACTCTGGGCCTTGCCCCGTATAGTCCCCTCCGATCTGTCTCCATTCTGATTGTTGTGGCCGGCGCAGGAGCAGCAGGCTCAGCAGTCCAATGATTACGAGTAGTAAAGATGTGTCGATCAGCCACCTATGCGCTTTTAAAGTCGCCAATGATTGTTGAGTTCTCCCCTGTCGCCTGGCTGCCTTCTCGGTAGAATGCCATTGTTGCTCGTGGCCTTCCTCGACGTCCGTCTCGGATAGGAACTCCTCCTGATCGGGGTCATCGGCGCTCCAGACCGTATCGTACTGTTTTGACTTCTTGTTCATATTAATTCGTAGGAAAAGGCAACGCAAAAGTATAGGAAGAATGTACACGCGTGTTTACCACCGACCAGCGAAATAATAACTGAGTACGCCACCAAAAGGAAAGGACAACAGAAAAGTGCCAAGTCTGGGGCATATAAGGCGTCCGAACTGATCTGGATTAACGGTCGAGAACGACAGGGGTATACCCAAACAGAGTTGTAGTTTGTAAGAGATGGCGCCAGGGGGTCCGTGTCTCGACACAGAGGTTTCTCGATCGAGGGCGACGCCGCCAAACCATTTACTGGTTGCACCCAAACATGTTAAGTGGGCTTTCTTGGAGAACGCATACCTTCGCTCGTCTCAAGTGACTCGCCTAAGCGGCACGGCTCCCTGTCCAAACAGCTGACTCCAAGGCCAATGAGACGTGGCAAGTGGGCTGTCATGTCGCGCTAGGTTCCAGAAGTCGTGTCCGAGACAACCCCCTGGCCTGAATAAGAACAGATGAGGCCCAGGGTGCTAGCACCATAGCGCAGCGGCACACTGGAATCTGCTCTGGGTTACTAGATTACATGCATGCGACGGAATGGATTGCCGAGCAGAGAGTTTGTCGTCTGAACTAAACCCCTACTTGACGCAAAGCTTGGCTAAGGATTTCCCTGGCTCGCCATTGACTTGCTTTGATGGCGATTCTATTCCATCCACTCTGCAGCCACTCCAGCCAGGTTGGTTTTTGCGAGGATGAGCTGGATGCGAAAACCTAGTAGTCCCAAAGTCGGCGTTTCAATCGCGCACCAGCGACCCGAGCATAATGTGCGTTGTCTTTACCAGACATTCACAACTGGCCGGGCATGCTAACTTCGTCATAAATCTATACTCACGATAATCAAATGCCATCTGCACATGAAACGCCAGAGCAGAGTACATGACAATGGATAATAGCAGCGGCTGACCGAGACGACACGCTCCAGTCTCCATTTAGATTTATAGCACCTTCTGGTCTGTCACGTCTACAAGTCGGCTCTAAAGTCAAAATGATGATTAATTGACAGTCTCTGACCTGAGTGTAATGTGAGAGAGATCTAGGTAGCGCCGAAACCACAGGCATTATGTACGACAGGCATTACGCGAACCATCGGGTCTAAACTCGCAAGAAATATGACTGAAGGGATGATGATAGAGTCCAACTTGGAGAGAGCGAGCCGTCGCTACTGGCACTGGCACCACCACTTGCTATTGCAAGCACACGAGTATGAGCCAGCACACGTTGTAGGGCCAGTATACCCGATCCCACCGCATTGTCCCCACTGCGCTACTGTCCTCCCACTTGAATCCTCAACCGGAGATAAAGAACTGTCTCCGCCGGCACCGCGCTGGCATTGGCACCACCACTCACTGTTGCAGGCACAAACCAAAGGGTTGGCGCAATTGGTGGACCCGGTGTAACCTATGCCACCACACTGTCCCCATTCCGGAACTGGTTGCCCAGTCGCAAGGACAGCCGCCGTTGTCGATGTTGCGGCCGTTGCAATGGGAGCTCTAGTGGTGGACCTGGCGATTATCGTCACGCTGGTGGTCGATGGCGAGGCGATCCCTGGGGCTGGGGAGCTCTCTGCAGGCTTTTGCGTCTGGCATTGGCACCACCACTCACTGTTGCAGGCACAAACCAAAGGGCTGGCACAATTGGTGGACCCGGTGTATCCTATACCACCGCACTGGCCCCACTCAGGCACAGGCAAGCCAGTCCCTGCAGGTGGAGTTGTCGTAGTTGCTGTTGAAGTAGGAGGAGATGATTGTTTTGAGCTAGTTGTTGTTGTTGTCAGTGTGGTAGCTGAGCTCGTGGTTACTCTGCTCGTGGTCGCTGTGCTCGTGGTCGCTGTGCTCGTGGTCGTTGTGCTCGTGGAAGAAGGATTACCTCCTGAGCCAAGATACTGCACAACCTCCTCCTCGAACCCTGGGTTCTTGTATAGCTGGCTCATATCCCACATCATCACACCTCCGAAGCTGGCAAAGGCCTGGCTGTAATCAATGGTTGCCTGCAGGACGCTTCCACTAGTATAGCCGGCCCCTGCGCCCGTGTTTGCTGGGATTCCTACAAGAATCTTGACTGCGGGATTTGCGCTCCCAGTCTTTGCCCAGTTGTCCCATGTGTCGAAGTTATATGAAGGCTGGGTAGAAGCACCTATTACAAAGCTGTTAACGCCACAGTAGTTGTTGTAGAACTGGACTTGGATGAAATCGAAGCTGACTCCTCCATTTAACATGTCATTGTCGGCTACATCAGGGTAAGGACACTGTGGTGCGGCGCTGAGATAGTAGGACTTGCCGCCTGCAGTTGTTGCGGCGGTCATGAGAACTCTGAGCTGGCTGGCAAATGGCGCCATATTTTGAGTGGACGACTCGAAATCGAAATCGAACCCATCGATAACTGCATTTCCGAATGGCCTCTTGACAGAGCTGGCAGATTGCACGGGGCCAAACATTGCCCAGACGTTGTTTGCCGCTGTGATAGCAGCAGCTGGAGAACTGAATCCTCCCTCTGTGTAGGTTGCTCCACCGACTGATAGCATGATGGTCTTGTCGTAAGAGCCTTGGCAGAGCTGGATATCCTCCCTGGAATACATCGTGAGCAGGTCAACGTGTACGTTTAGAGACCGAGGAAGATACGCGACTCACTCTATTTGTGGACAGCTCAGCAGGGTGGTGCCTGTAAAGACAGTGCAGTTGTCGCCAGCATTTGCGAAATTGACCACCGGGTTAGTAATCTCGGTGAGGAAACTGATGGAAATGATCTGGAAGCGATATCAGCCCACAAAGTCCACAAACGACAGCGAGTCTTGTTGTGCTCACATCGATATCGGTATCTAAGATGTTGTCAGCCAAACCGGACAATGCCTAGTGGAAAAAAATCAGGATACTCACCGGAGCAGTAGGTGGAAAGCCTCTGCTGGGAATTGCTCTGGCCATAGGAATTTTGTCCTAGCACGAAGCCAAGTCAGTCAAAGGGTCGATCAAGAGACGGGAGCAATATCTTAGCTGCCATACCCCAGTACACGGCGACATTCGTCTTCGACGACGGATTGAATCCCGCGCTGACAAGTGAGAGCAGGACGGCAGCAAACGTTGCGATAACGTGCATGGGCTTGCACGTCGACGCCATTTTTGGGCGCTCGCACATGTGAACTGGGCAAGGCAATGTTCTTCACTTCAGAAGCCCGGACAAACGAGAACAACGGCAACCGACAGCTTTCTGTTGTTGATTTCCTGTCTTGGCCCTTCTGATTTGGGAGCGTGGTTACACTTATAGCCAAATATGTAGACAGCCAAGTCTCAGTCTCACCTTGAGCTGTCAGTCGTGTGCGCGAGTGCAACGCATAGCCCCTGATCTGGTCTTCAGTGCAGGTGCCTTGTTGCATTCCAGCCCGTGACACCCTCCCCAGGCTCCCTTGCCCTTTCCTCCTTGCCACATTAGGTAACTGCAATTCCGCCCTTAGACGAGATATGACGCGCCCACCCGCCATTTGCACTACCCAGGTACCTGGCCACGCTGGCTCAGTAGAAGGAAATGATCAGTGATCCATTGAGGAAGGCATCTACCGGCTATCGGTGCAGAGCGTGTCAGGAAAGCGCGTGCAGAACCTCAGACGCTCACATGTCCTTTTGCCGTCGACAAGAATGCTTGCCGGTGAAGGATCGCACACCCAGTCCGGAGGGCAACGTTGGAAGTTTCTGTGCATGAGAATGAATTGACCAGGGTTCTGTGTGCCTCTTGATGGCGCCCTTGACCACGTGGAGTTATCCAAGCTCGTCCCGTGGCATTTTCCTGGCTTGCATTATCAAGAAATCGATTCTTCAGTCGATGGGACTGCTGCTGTGATGGTGGCTCGGCTTATCAAAGACGATGGAGGTGCGCGCCCATATTATCTGCAATCGCCAGTAACAATCCAGTCCACAAGTCCGCCAGGTCTCAAGTGACAGCTGCAAGTCTGAATCAGGGGTCAGCTGCGGTTGGCCTTCACATGCACACTTGGGTTCATCTTTTAGTGGCTGTCAGCTTCGCGGCAGCTGCCGTATTATTTGCTGCCGAATAGAGAGGGATGGTCTCCCTTCTTAGCTGGCCGGCCTATATTATCCAATCCTACTGCATATACCGTTTCTCAATTCGGTCTAGGTCCTTGTGCCTGTCTCGGACACCGGGACCCCCTTTGGCGGCTTACTATTCCTCGGCCGACGGAAGCCATTTTAGGTGTTTAGGTAGGGAGGTGAATTGTAATTTTTGGCATCAAATCCAGTCTGAATCCTGACTCTTAAGACCTTTCTGGTCAAAAGAATCGCTCGCACGCCCGAGAAATCCCTTGCATTGTAGCCGTCTTTGTGCCATGCTTCTAGCCCTGGGTCACATGCAAGCATTTTTTCGCTGTGTGTAGTCTGGCAGCCCAGCAACACCGACGTGCTTTCTACCTATTCATAATAGCCCTACCCTGCGCGCTGAGTGGCTGCCCAACCACTTGCGCAATCTCTTTCTTGTTTTCTTTTTCCTCTTTAGCATCAAGTCTTCAAACATGCTCGGTATTCAATTTGACACCCCTGGTCTTGCTAATCGCTAATCCGTTCGTCGTAACGTTACTTCCGATCCTACAAGACTGATAACTACGTTGCGCATCAAACACCTCCCAACATCGAGTCTCATGGGAGCGATCAATTACATCAATAATTGGCGCTCACTGAATGAGTTTTTGTGAATCTTGGCTCAAGGAGGTAGGTCTTTGGAAAAAGCCAAAGTTTAATAGTTTTTAAAGTCTATGTTCATTAATGCCTTTGGTCTCTTCTCATTTGAGTCCTGTACTCTGCATTGGTCTCTCTGTGGAGTTTTCACCCATTTTGCAACGTGAATTGGTGAAGGAAGAAGTCAAAGCTCATTGTGGCAACTATATTTAAATTATTTCGAACCACTGAGACAGAATATAATGTTGAGGATCGTACACACAAGATTGAGCATTTTATCTCAAGCCTGACAACTATCAATGATGACTGAAAATTGAATCTTGCACCATTGAAAAGTGGAAAAGTATATAATATGGATGTAATTGAGTTCTATATATCAAAGAAAGGCGAGGCAAGAAGCTTTTCTGTGCGCTCTAATGTCTACTAATCCTTCTTTTATTCCCCTTCCCAGCCTAATGGAGTACAGTGCCATGAACCCGAACCTTGAGAGTCTGTTCATTTGATGAATATACACTTATGAGCGTTACAAGTCTTTGCTATGAACAAGGCGCTCTATTTCCATCATGATTGCGCCTGTATCAATTATTAACGGCCTTGTACGAGTACAAGGCTGGCTCAGTTCCAAAGCTCAACCCATTGTGGTCAAAGTCAATACTTGCCTTCTGGTTGTTAATGCCAAAGCAACTAATAGATCACAAGGTCTAAGAAGCCATGAATGTATAATGACAAAGTCTTTGCATTTGGCTCTGCAGTTCAGACAGCCTCACAATTTGTTGAGACTGGTGGTCTTCTCACCAAAAGATAATGTTTTATCCCTGTGTGAATCCGGTCCCAGGGAGAAGGAGACCACAACTATTTAGATTGATTTTACTCTCAAGACCTTAAAATATGTATTTAACGATCACGTTCTGATTAGGGAAGAAAGTTACAATGTACGACAGTTCCAATAATTTGAGCACCGGAATATATTGAGCTTGGGCAGCCAGGACAGTGGTCCACCAGTAACTCCACAATAAGCCGTAAAGAGTTGCAGAATACCAAACCAGCCAAAATCAGTCAGGTCATGTATGGATAACTTCCACCAAATTTAGACCTTCCTTCAAGTGTAATTTCCCTCTAGATGACTCACAGAAAAGTGTCAACGATTTGATTCGCGAACCAGAGGTTGAAACATAATTGAGCGATAGGATATCAGTCCAAATCAGACTTACAAACAGTCAACATTTGCGACTTTGATCCTGCCGTGTTGGTAAATACTGGGACTGGACTTGTACTGGAATAGTCAGTCTTCTCGTATCAAGGCCTGGTCTCTCATTAAAATGACCTTGGTAATTCATGGTTGTTGCTCTGTGTCATCCCGAGCGCATCCTTCTGCTTCCGCACAAAGTAAGCAGACGTCTACCATCAAAATATTCACTTTTACAATACATTTCAGGCTTCAATCAGCCACACAGTTCATATTCGACACTGTGATTAGTGACATAGATATCACAAAGTGTATTTGTGAAATAATATAGACAAGGCAGCTCTTTCTGGTAATGAATCAGAACCGAACCGCACTTGGAACGCGGTCCAGAGAATTGATTTTGATTCTCAATCATGTCTTGGAATAACGCACTTGCCTTCCTCAACATTCCATCCGAACATGGTCGCAAATCAACAGCAATTTCATCTTGATATTTCTGGGACTAGGATCTTGTATGTCAGGAAGTATAGCATAACAGCACTGGTGTCTTTATTATCATTTACATAAGAGTATAATAAAAAAGACCCTATCGTTACTATAGCAATAAATACATAAAAATTACTAAGTGAATATGGCATTAAATAAAATATGAATGCTTGAGTTGATTCTACACTAGAAGATGGACACGCAGCATCTTATCTTGTAGCCACAATTTTTGAAAATGTCATATCTATTTTGCACAACAGTATGGTGGCTCTTCACACAGTGAGTTAATTGCTGATAATGGAGGTGCACAATCAGGATTCTAATGCGACTGCTCCAGTCTCTTTGCCCATCGGGACCATTTGCTTGAGAATGGCTCACAAGTAAATTCACCTAAGAGCTGCTCGACGGCGCAGTCGATATAGCCATTCCATGTTTCATGGTTGCGCTTACAAACAACTGCACAAACAACTAATAATTTGCTTCCTTACTCAAGAAAACCAAGCCTGTGAAGGCAAACCATCATACATGATGAGGGTCTTGGATATCAAAACAGACGTCAAGGTGCCGCCACACTGGCTAGTCAAGACTTCACAACTCATGCTCACACTGTACACACCAGCCACACAACTCCAAAAAAGATCTGCAGCCCTTGGGAAACCTTTTCCATGAGCTTTCCCCCAAGATACGGAGTTCTCGCCGGATCTGAGCACGGCCACAGTCTCCACAAGGCACACCTGACTTGGATTGGAACGTTCCCAGGCCCGGTCAGGCACTTTGCCATCTCCCAGAATGCCTCCTAATTACAAAAGATTGACTTCACGAATGCCTGCAACGTTATCATGCGATTGCCCGCGTCGTATCCGGGGCTCCAAATGGTGTGCAGCCCGCAGCCAATGAGATGGAGCACATTGTAAAATAGGGTGACGCTGGAGGGAGCATTTCAACTGGTTTTCAGGACGACAAGTGTGGCTGACTGTAGCCTAATGCCCCAAGCCCCACATGAGATGTGGTCATCTGATTCGACAGTGCAGAAAGATAATCAAGGGGCTTGTCTGCGCACGGTAGTAACCGCCACTTGCACACCCACGCGTGGCCCACTATGGAGCCTTGAGGCAAGTGACAAGCTCACGGCATGAGGGCGGGCGGACTCGGGAGGCGAAACAGGCCCCACGAGGCAAGTCCCGCGCCCGGACCGCATGAGGCTAGGCAGATGGACGTGAGCGGAAAATCACAGCAGGTAGGGGTTTAGGCCGGTGTGTGAATGGCCCCAGCTGAGGCACTGCCGTCGACCCGTGTCCCAGGCATTGGGGAAGCGATCACCCAAGATCGGACGATCTCGCATTTCTCAAGCCGTCCGCCCGAGGTCAGGTTTCGGGGCAGAGGGATGCAGGACGCGGTGTTGCGCGACAAAGGGTGGAGGACCAAGAGAGGACTTTGGTGGACATTGAAAAATACATGCGTAAGAGAAACTCGTGGTGGCCGGTCCACTCGGCCGGGAGAACCGCGGGAGTCGCCCGGAAGAGTGTATATGCCTAGCGTGACAGCTGCATGGCAGAGAGGCAGACAGATAACCCTGGATGGCTAAGAAACCAGCCCATCAACCATTGCTCCCGTACCCCAGAAGAATGCACACACACCCAAACACACACGCACACTCATTATCAATGGCAAGTATCAAGAAGGCGGGTGAGGCCAGTGGTAATGCATCATATGCATGACATGCAACACTTAGCTGGGCCGGGGCGGCGTCGCCCAGTAGGCTCTCCAAGACAAGCTCGAAACATGCACATGCATGCAGGCGTGCAGTAGGGCCCGTCGTATCTGAAGAACGGGCGCGGATCCGGCCATAGGAGCAAAAGCAGCAATTACAGTGTGTCCACACCCAACCCACGAGGTGCAGAAATAGATTGGTTAGGGCCGCACATGCTTAGTGGGGGTTTGATGCGCGAGGAGGAGGACGGCATGATGAGCCTGGGGCATCATCCGCTGCAGTGTAAGCACGGGATGGATGTCATACGTCCAGACCCTCTGGGCATGCTTGCGGCATGGGGTCGGCATACGTGGTATGGAGACGCTCGCAAAAAGGTGCGAGTGGGTTCGCGTTGAACTGTGGAAGGGGGCGTGCAGGGAAGGGCTTGAGGATCGTCGGTTCGTGTCGACGACGTAGGAGTGGGAGGCCTGAGAAGGGGGACGAGGAGGGGGAGAAGCCAGAACCTTGATCTGGAGAGAGGAAGAGAAAGATAGGGATAGAGATGGTGCCACTCCCAAATAGCGTAGCAGTCGAAAGGACAAGAACCCACCCAGCGTGTTAGAAACGTGGATTAATTGTCGTAGCCCGTAGCCGCCGTCGCAGTCGCATTCACAGTCGCCGCCGCCGTCGCCGTCGCCGTCGCAGTCATAAGTTGTAGCTGGACATCCAGAACATCCAGAACATCTGGGGGGGTTGTTGATCACCGGTCCCCCCTAGTTCTCCTCGGATCAAGCCTAGGTGCATTGTCGTGGAGGCGTGGACCCTGGACTGATTGGCTGCCGAATCCCACATGACGGGTTCTGCTCACCCCACCCAATTGCATCAGCGAGCAAGACCCACCACCAACATCTACTATGTACTTATAGACTTGAGTATACATTTCAAATGCAGACGCTTTTCCCGTAGGCGCACTTGCAGCCTAATCAGGGGACTAAGAAGTAGACACAAGCTTCCTTGCCAAAACGCACACACATCAACTTACTTACATATCTACACCCTACCCTACCCTACCCTACCCTACCGAGGTATAGATAGGGGCAGCATTCGACACCGCCCTCGCACCCTCGCTTGCGGGCTGCATTTGATCAACAGTGTGCCTCGTCTAGACGCGATGCGATGCGAGTCCCGCCGGCTGAAACGTCCCGAGATTCGAATGATCTTCCCCGATATTGTGCGATACGAACAACAAGCCTGCACCGTGGTCGCCTCGCGCGGCTGCCTCGAGACCTGATTCCATTCCTCAATGCCGCGGAAAGATCTCGTGCAGCTCCTCGAGCTGCATCGTACCCGGGCGGGCGGGTGAAGGGTGGGTACCATCTTTGGAAAATTAGACGTTGCTTGTTGAGAAGTTGAAAATGATGATCAGGTAAGGTATCTCAGAAGTTACAGAAACCCAAAGCCCAGTCCGCTCCGCTCTTTCTTGAATCCGCGCACCAAGCTTGTTGCTTTGACGTCGCCCACATCTCCCCTTCGCTCTCTCTCGCTCTCTCTCCTTGCCCTGCTCTCTCCTTCTCCCTCTCCCGATGTATCTCTTCCCTCTATGTTTGCTGTCCTTGTCACATTTCACTTCCTGCCGTCAGTCCTCCCTCGGGGCTTGGTCGCTCGCACCAGCCCCGTATTATTACACCCACTCGCTTCGTCTATACCACCCTATCCCCGTCTTGTCTATGACTCTTTACCTCTCTCCGATGACCTCATCCCATGCTGCAAGTATCCATGCTCATGCTCGCTGACTGGCACCATCCCCATATGCGCCATAGTCACTGTACCCCCCTCGAGCGCTGCCGTATCCACTCGTGTCTGATATTGAATTCACACTGTAGTCCCATCGCCCGCTCTGGCTCGCCTGCGTCCCCGATAAGCCATGGTGGCTACTCTGCGAAGGCAGGCTGTAGTGATTCGAGTGTGACAACCCCGTCTGCGGACTCCTGGTGTCGTAGGCTGTTGGCAGTGCGTTCAGGCGCAGGCTCGAGCTCGATACTGGCGATGACGTCTTCAAAAGCCCTGTCGGAGAGTAGCTCCGACTCACGTCGCGCCCTGAGCCGGTATATGAGGCCCATGAAGATGGTATACCCCCGCTGAGGGACCGTGGCGATGGAATGCTGTCCGTCAGGACTGAGTGGCTGCTCAAAGAAGCACTGCCAATGTATCCCGATACCCCCGTTGGATCTGTAGCCGTTGTTGGCGTAGGAGGTAGCCCGTAGTTGTTGCTACCAACGCTTACCGGGGTCAGTAAGTGGGTGTGATGGGAATGAGAGGAGTGGGGCACCGTTGACGATGGCGACGCGCTGTATTTTCCGATGATTTTCTTCAGAGCCGGGGCCAGCACTTTCCAGGGAAACACCTTCACATCCTTCTCAATGTTTCTCGGCTTGGGATTCCCGAATCCCATGATGATCTTGAAGAAGTCCTCTGACTCTGCCTTCGCCTTGCTCACCGTCAACGGCTTGAAACCCTCTAGATTCCGCCGGATACGGTTCTTCTCTTCGACTGTGAACCGGTTCGGCGAGACCACGAGTTGCTCCAGGAGGTGAATGGTGTCAACAGACGTGACATAACACTCGTGTTTCTCTTCCCACCATATGCAGCTGACACATATACTGTTTGGGGGCCGCTCGTTGACGGGGACGGCTCGGAAGGTCGCGGTGAGACGGCTGCCAGATTGCGACTTCTTGAACATGACGATTCGCCTTCGGCTTTCCCACTCCTCGGGTGTCCAACCGACTGTCATGGATTCCAAGTTTCCCTGAATGTGCAATATCGCTTTGTGGTGCGAGACGAAGGGGCTGTAATTACCCCCAAGTCCCATTGAAGGGGTCCCCTGCGGTAGACTAGTCGTGCGAACTAGGGTTGGAGGTCCTCCGCTTGGCATCGGCAGCGAAGGATGCAAACTGGGCCTGGTAATGGTAGTGTGGTGGGCGGACGAGTACGTGGATGTACGACCGTCCAAGCCACCATATGTGGCCCAACCGCCAAGACCATGATGAGGAGAGCGAAGTGAGGTAGGGCTACGTTGGTAATGATGCTGGTTGTGCGAGTAATTCGAGGTTCGGTAAGCGTGCAGCATCGTGTCGTTGCTTTGGCCGTAGGCTGTCGCTCCAAAGCTAGTCGTCGGCTGCGCTTGTGGCACATGGACCTGAGACTGGGACGGCGCGACGGCAGCGGAAGGATAGCCGTAGTTATTTGTACACGGATCTGCGACATCGTGTTGCGGCAGTTGGTGCGCGCCGGAAAGATGTTCAGTCGTAGGGCTGGTAGTGGCACTCGTGCGTACTGTGAGTCCAGGAGGACTGTTGACATGGAGGACTGATGTTTCATGCTCATGTGACAGTGGTGAGCGGGTGGTACTTCTTCGCGTGATTGACCCGTCAGGTGGACTCGCGGCCCCTTGGGTAAGGTCTGCACCTGCTGTGTCTGTATATGTGAATGACCCCGCGGAGCCAACGCGTGCAAGCTCGTGCCCATCTGTGCTTTCAATGACAACAGTCAGGGGCACAGTTGAAGACGCTTGCCAATTTGTGACCACAAATGGAGGTGCTTCCACCGTGATACTGTAGGTGCATGCGCCTGTGGCATCTTGCGACTCCTTTATTATTTGTGCTGGAATCTTTTGCGCAGCATTTCCGAACAGCACCCATACATACGGCGTTGTCGAGGTCACAGACAGTATGTCGTATTGTCCGGAGATGCGCAAGTGTATTTTGGTGCCACCAGGGCCCGCATTTGGCTGTGAGCCTTGCGCTGAGAATCCAGACGGCGCCAGGGCAAAGTTGTACGGTATGCGGTTGTTCGCCGCGACTGCAGCATTGTTGGCCGCGTAAGCCATTTGATTCATCTGTGCGGCGGCATTCTCGGTCTGCTGGTGCAAATGTGCTTGGGGCAAGTTTTGCGAGCTATATTGATTGTATGAAGGATCGGAAAACCCTATACATAGAGCGAGTTCGTCAGTATCGTCGCAATTGTAGGCAGATAGATTCGTCAGAAAAGAGGCAGTTTACCATGCATCTGGGGCGGATGAGGCTTGTACGCCGCCATCGGCAAGAGATCAGGGGACGAGCCGCCTCGCAGGTCCCCTCCTCCGCCGTTGGCCCGCACAGCTGCCTCTTCCTCGTAGCGAAGGGTCACTGTATCAGGTGATTCTAGAGCTTCTGAATCGACAATTATTGGCCGTTGAGAATGAAGTCCCGGCTGTTCTCGTCTCTTTGGTCAGTAGAGTCTTACAAATGTAACGAGGCTCCAACCGGAGGGAATTAAGGAGTCGTGGTATCAGCTGTAAGGAAACTAGAGCCATGATCTCGATCGCTGCTTGTCGTGCTCAAAGGTCTGTACCCCTCCCTTCGTAGTCAAGCTCATGCGCTTTGCAGGTCGAGAAGAGAGGTTATGAGGCAAAATGACATGATTGATTTCAACTCACCTCGAACAATTTGTATAATGGCTGATCAAGCTTGAGAGCAGACATCCAGTCCGTTGTGAAATGGTAATGTTTTGAAATGTGTGAGTTGCGAAAGGGCCGACGCTAGACAGCTGTCTCGGCAGCAAGTCCTGGGGATAGGGTGGTAGTGATGATGGTGTGTGTGGCCTGCGCGAAGTCAACTGTAAGCTTAGTCTGTCCGATCGGATCTGATCTGATCTAACAGCTGCCCCAAAAGATGTCTTTGGTTTTTCTCGCCGTGTCATCCGACTGGAAGCCGCTGTCTGTGGGGAAAAAAAGGCTCTTCGAACGGGAGGCTGAAGGTCAGGAAGCTGAACTGTAGCCACCTGCTTTTTCTCCTGCACGCCACTCAGAACGAAACCACCCTAAATCAATGCGGAGTTTGACATGGATGATCTTGATCAAATGTTGAGATTGGAAGAAGGAGCATCCCAGGATGGTTGGATTGATGATTTGTCGGATCTCAAACTGACAGACATCAGACCGATTCAGGACCGGACCTGATATTGTCCTCCTTGCCGTCCTGTAGCTTTCAGAGGGATCTCTGGCACTTTAAGACCGGGCTCAGCTGTCTTTGACAGACTAGCTTGCAGCAGGACTCAGACACGGCCACTACCCGTTGGTCGTGACAGCCAACAGTGAGGCCGGACCAGGGTTGAGGGTCTCGGCAAAGTGATGCAACTCCTCCCAATGCAGCTTTGTGAGGCAGCGGCAATCAAAGAGAGAATATGAGACCATATGGTACTGACCTGTAGAAGAAAGTCGGTCAGCATTTTATGCATGATATCACTGGGTTGAAGGATCAAGGCTCCTGTACGCCGACGCCACATCGATCGAGATACCGTTTTATTGGTCGGATCTCGGTTCTTGTGGCACTTGGGCCGATGAGGGAGCTTCAAAGGGTTCCACGAGCCAAGATAACAGCCTCTTGCGTACCTTGGATGGGAGAGAAATCGTGTAGAAGTACGGGTCCGTCGGAATGTTGATGCTAAGCCGTGCTGTCAGTGGGTGACGAGCATCATCGGTTCGACATATGTGGAGACGGGATTCGATCTCATGCGGGCATCCCGAACGTGTTCGCATGGGCGAGGGTGTTGGCAGGAACAGGAATCAAAGAGGAAAACGGGGGCCGTTGATTTCGGCAGCGGTAGGCTCCCGTGGACAATTCGTCCGCGTTTGCATAAGGCAGAATGCTTGTAGGATGACGAGGAGGATGGTCCTGAAGTGAGAGAATGGTGATAATGAGGACGAAAGAAGGTACGCGAGACAAGGTTGCAACACCACGCACCGCAGCACTGGCAGGAGGAAGATCTGGATGAAGTATAGAAGACGGGATGAAGGGGAAAGTGGTTCAGAAAAGTAAGACGCCTGTCGCGCATGTTTAGGGTGGCCAAAGGGAAGTGCACAAGAGAGGTGCAAAGGGAGGACAGTCTGCTCTGCATTTCTTGACACGGCCGGACTGACCGTGGAGAGCGCGATACACGGTTTATTTGTGGGGTATGGTGCATCAGGAAGGGCAAAGTAGCATGTGGTATCAGAGACACGGGCGTCGAAGCCTCGATGAGCCTCCCTAGCTAGGCGGTCCTAGAGCTCTCCCTGTTTGCGAGGGCATCTTTTTTGCCCTTGATGATACTGACCGCCTAGGAATCTGCTATCGCAGGCCCTGCTCAGCTGCGAGTGTCAGATGACAGGGATGAAAAACTCCTCCGAGCCATCTTTCTTCTTCTCATTTGGAGAGGCCAAAAATTAAACCTGTAGGCTATGGGGGACTTGCCCAGGCCTTTGCAGATAAAAGCAAAGGGGTCTGCACAGAAGAGGAAATCAGTGCTTTGGGGACGATGTAAGGGGCAAGGGCCGGGGCCCCATACACCTGACAGCCGTGGAGAACATCAAGTGAGAGGTTGGGATGGTGGGATACTCAAGATGTTACGGACGCTGTCCCGTGATTACTTTGCCCACAGGCGAGGGCCGAGCTGACACCGGGGAGGATGCAAGCCATGAGTATGCGATAACACGGAATGAGAGCAAAGTATCTGGTGCAGATTGCAGATTGAAGCAAGCTTGGAAAACGCGATGAAAGAGGGAAGAATGCACCCCAGGCCCGCAATTTTGACGACAGGAGGGAAAAAGAAAGGCAGAAAAAGGATACAGATGACACAAGTTGACAGAGCAGGGACCAGGACCCTTACCGAGCGATCGATGACAGTAGTAGTGGGACCTCCTGGGGGGGCAGGGGAAAGAGGCAGTCGAGCAAGGGGGGGCACAGTGCCTAGAAGCGTGATCCTCGTCGAAAGGGTGTACAATGATTGGCTCGTGACTGGTATGGGGCCACGGGATGAGTAGGACGGGTGGGTGTTCAAGGTTACACCGGATGGTGGGTCCGGAATCAAGTACCGCAAAGGATCGGCGTCGAGCTGCGCAGGATGGAGTACTGTGGTAGTCTTCGACTTTCCTTGACGTCTTGCCGATTATGACGCGAAGACTGCCGGGTGCAGAGAAGGGCCGCGGTCACTCGGTCGAGTTTGGAAAAGGAAATCTGTATATTGGAATAATTGTTAGCTGCAGCCCTTTGCGATTTACTTGCGTGATATGGGCAGATCTCAGATAGATAGGATGGTTGGTTCGCCAAAATCCTCCGGGTTAGCAAGGCCCCCAGCTGCAGATCAGCCGACCGTCGATCTGCCTCCCAACTCTAATGGGAAAGGTGGGCTCGTTCGCTCGCGGCAGCGGTTCGGAGGACTGGGATGAAGTCGCGGATACGGGTGCTGTACTGTGCTGTACTTGACTGTACTGTACTGTACACACGGCACACATTGGTCCAGAGCCGCTGAAAGTCTGTTGGATTGACCCTCGTCATTGGCCCGTTTATCTGTGGCTGAGTTTGCGAATCAAATCACGATGCTCGCCAGGTAAGTCGAGGTTGCCTGACCGCAGTCGCGATTGTACTGACATCGCCCTCTTCCGCCTCCCTTACAGTCCCTGTCGCTCAGAGACCTTTTTCTTCTTTCCCTCTGTCATTTGTTCCCATGAATAAGAGCTCTCCTGGCTGCTGAATCCAAGCCATGGCGTCGCAGTCCCTGGTCCAGAGGGCAATGTGTTGGCAGCGGAAGCAGCCGTCGATCGCGCCAATCCAAATGACACTCCAGCCCAACAAAGGGCCAAGGAATTTAGCGCGGTCGATTGTCGGGTCAGTCTGAGAAGACTCTTGTAAGACGTGCGCAGCTTTGTCAACAAAGGCCAGGATCCAACCTGTGCTGCGTCTGCTTCATGCCGCCTTGGAGCCTCGCCAGCCCCAACAGGTGCGTCTTTGTTCCGTCGGTTCAAAGGGAACGTCTCGCTGAGATCTCGAGAATTGCAGAAACAATGTGAAAACAAAAACAGTGCAAAATGTGAGTACGCCTAAGCAACTTGCCTTCGGAAGGTCAGAACCACCTTAACAGTGGCTTGGGAGAGCCACTGTCGGTCGATTTATGTGATGGTCAAGCGATGTACTCGGTGGGGTGGTTCAAGGAGTCAACCCTTAACTGCCTAGGAATGTTCGAGTTGGCGGCCTACAGGCACATTCGACAGTCAAGTTGTCTGTGGGGTGGGGGTTTTTGGCGCGTTAATTCTGCCAGGAGATTGGAGGGAGACGCGGGAAAAGAAAATGCTTGAAAAAGTAGACACAGGTGCTTGATATAAAAGCGAACGGTGGGAGAAAGATCGAGGTGTGATAATAATCGAATCCTGCTAGAATGGTGTGTACATATCACTTACTAACAGTGCACGAGCAGCTACTTGGGTACACCGGGTCTCTGTTCAAGTACAGCTATTGTTCATGGGAGAGACTGCGCTGTGATGGACCACTGCCATTGGGCAAAGTCGGCCACCGAAGTGCCTGGCTCATTGCTGAGCATAGCACAACTCTCAAGATTCCTGAGAAGGAGTACATCTTGATGGGGTGTGTGGTTGGAGGACCTTGCAGGGAAGACTGGTTATCTTGCACAGACAGGACAGAGTAGAGCAAAGGCAGTGTATTCAGGGGTAAGGGGTACCTCGCAACACCGGGTGGCTGACTGCAGTGCAGCGCGGTGGAGAAGACCATGGCAGTGGCATGTACCAGTTGACGGCGATCTTGAGTGCCGTGCGAGAGCACCCACCCCTGGCGAGGATGGTGTCTTCAAGATGCATTCCTAAAGTCGTACGGTCCGTGGTACCAAGTATGTGGAACGGCGACCAGGGCCCCATGCGTTCTGTCTCTCCCTCTTTCACATCCCGGTGAAGATCTGCCTGGAGGCACTGTGAGGGCCCAGATCGATTAAGTGGGAGAATGGATGAATGAACGTGATCTGCTATAGACACGGGGTGCGGCGAGCTTGACCCGTATGTTGGCCATGCAGGTGCGGTGGTGTTCGCCTCAAGTCAGCTGCCTATACTGCATTTGCGGAACCACGAGTCCGGCGCGGAGGCAGCAGTGGACCAGCACAGGAGGGTTTGGAGGTCGAGACTCGAGGTCAAAGCCATGCTGACATTGGATGGTCACTGCCTGGGACGGGCCAGGACGGGGCAGGGACGGGCCAGCCAAAGACGTTGCCATTGTGAGCCGACCGAACGTTGCACGGCTACCGTCCAGGGTGCGTCAGTAGGAATGTCTCACAAGCCAGAGGCACAATCAGTCCAGTCAGTCGAACTTGCTGGCCTCTGCCGGCGGCTTGCCTCGAGTGGAGGCCGCGCGACATGCCCCATGCCCAGATGGGCCCTCCCTGTCACTAACTCGGGCTCAGACAGATCGACACGGCCGCTATCGAGCCATCATCTCCGTCCGACAAGCACTCTCAACGAGCGAGTGGAGCTGTGGCATGCGTGCACGATACGAGCACCCACTCGGGCAGGTACTGCGCAACTGCGTTGCCCGAGGCACAGTCGCCGCTGTCCGGCCGTGTGGAGAAGAAGAAGATAAAGAAGAAGAAGAACAGGAAACGAGGAGGAGGAGCAGGCAGAATGGTTGACGTGCGGAGTGTGAGGAACCTGAGGACGGGCGAAACCAGTCCAACAATGCACGTTGTTGAAGTTCGCAGTGGAGTAGGAGCGGCCCACAGGACTAGAGGCTCGGGCAAGGGTTGCGGTTGCAATGCTGGTACTGTGGGAGTAGTGGATACTTTTTGCAATGTATTTTTAGACGCTTATGCGGCCTCAGAACTACTTGAAAAGACAGTATTGGTACACTCACCAACACCAAGCGGCCTCTCCACAGTAGGCGACAGATAGCTCATGACGTCCACCTCAGCCCTCGTTCTCCTTTTTCTCGTGCATGTCATTTGCCTTTGTTCGCCTCGCCTCATCTCAATTTCATTGCATGTCATGTCACTCTGGACACAGAACGTTGGTGTACGACCTCAAGGCCTCCATCACCTTCAGCCTCTGTCCGCCTCTTCTAAATCTCGGCTGCCACCCCTGGCGGTCCCCAGGATCAGGTCGTCGCTTGGTGCTGCTCTGTGCACAGTACTTGCGCCTCCCTCCAACGATGGTCCATTTTTTTTTTCTTTTTTGCAATGTTGCCCTGCCGACCCTGCAGCTCTGGCGCATCCTGCACGCCTGCAAGTCTGCACCCCCAGGTGGATGAGACTGGCCAGACCAGCCAGCCTGGCAGAACTGGAGGACGGCGGGGGCCATGGATGAGGCGAACACGGCACGGGATTGCTCTCTAGACGCAGCTATCTCCTTGGGGCATCCGGTGATGGCCGACCACCATGCCCACACCCCAGCCCCCAGGTAAAGACCAGAGGACCTGCCCACTGCTCACCTTGCACACCGAATCTCTGTCACCGCAGGATCGACTACGACGAGAGCTATCTGCCGCTAGCATCTAGTCTTTCGTTGAGCCAACGAGCATCCCGGCCCACAATACCACTGCGATCAGTCTATAGGCACACACACCCTGGAGATCAGAATAGATCCTGTTGAACCACATCGTGTAGTGTCTTTTCGTCTTGTGACATGTCGGTTCCGGCACGGCAGCGAAGCCATGTCGACCAAGAGACTCCATTATGGACACACAGCAACATGTGGCCTTGGGGGCGCAGACCTTTGGCCCGCCCACGACACAGCCTCGATCGAAGCCGTCAGCCGTCCAGAGACAAGTTGAGAGTGTCCCGATTGCCGTTGAACTCAAGCATCCTCAGGGCTGGGGCTTCTACAATTCTACTCCACGCCTGCCGCTTTTGATGCTAGGCATCTTTCATGCTCCAAGTTGTGTAGGTATCCCGTTCATGCTACAACGATCCCGCCAGTTGGGATCCGAGAGGTGTAGCCATATCTGCCAAGCGGCAGCTCGGAATCACGCTGAATCACGACTAGTTCACAAGATCACATGCGCTGGTAGCCGCCTTGCGGAATGCGAACTGGCAGTGTTGACTGGCGGGTGCGAGGACTAAACATCTGCATCTCGACAAGTGCCCCCACCCCGTGGTCGCCTGCAGCCAGGAATTCGCCGAAAGGCACCTCGCCTAACAACCCTGCCACCATTGTTTGGCGGCTGTATGATTTTGAAGACGCCACCTTGGAGGCTTGTCATACCACCCACACAGCGAGCCGTTGGGCCAAGTACTAATTTCGGATTCGATTCTCTGGTGGGATTCGATGCACAGTCGTCTTGAATAGCTGCCCTGGAATTGCTTGTGGCTCAACACTTGGTCTCCATCCGCGGGTGTCCTACAGGGTCTGATCGACTAAGCTCTGCCCACTGGTTGCCGAAAAGAATGAAAGAAAAAAAAAACGAGTCGATTTACCATTTACTGTCTGTAATCATGCACTGGTGGGACAAATCTCGGTACCCATCCGTGGCCTGGACCATGTCGCAGATTCGCGAGCAATCCCTGCTGCACCAGCCCGGCCAATGACGAACAGTTCACCGGCAACTTCGTCACACGCTCACCTGGCTCTTATTCTCTTTGTTGAAATCAGTCTTCACGTATTGGATTGTACTGGCTCACGATCGGCCCTGAAATGGTTTGATGTTAATCATGTCTCTTGCCTTGCCATGGCGACCGCTATTCGTGAGTGTTACTCGTGAGCACAGTTCAGCGCATATGGTCGACGAGTTTGCCACGCGTGTGAACGAGAGAAGTGGTGCAAAGATCGTGTTTCGCCAGCGTAGCCAATGTACGAGCATTGGAGGTTTTGTGCCTGAAAATTGCGTTATGCTTGGAGTCCTCTAAATGTGAACTCTGACACCGATACTTCAACTTGCAACTAATCTCCAATGTCCAAGGCAGTTGATATCCACGGTCGTTGATGCGGTTTCCCATCGCCGTATGCATGTGTTAACCTTTGCCTCATAATATACTTAGGATCACCACTTGAAAAGATATTTTCGTCGATTGCGTTCTGCATTCGAGCGCGAAAAGGGATAAACCAATGCGCTTGACCAAGTGTCAAGTGATGCTAGAATGTATGTGGTCCTAAGCAGTTCGTCCAGAGACTGCTTGAGTAATCAGAAAATCATACCGGACTTTAATCGACTTCGAGACCATATCACAGCACTCCAGGACGTTGTCCTATTCATATGTAATGCAGTTATCAAAGCCGAAGATCGGGAGAGATCGCAGAAAGCCTCTCTAGTTTAGCTATTAAAACTACAGCCCGCCAAAATCAAGCACGATAAACTAATAGTAAGCTCAAGCGTACAATGTGTCTTCAGGCCGATATCATGGAATGTATAGGCCGTCACTTGTCGGCCTCTAACGTGTATTTGATATGTGAAGATGAAGACTGCTCCCCTCGATTATGTACGAGATCACACTCCAGAGGACCATGGATGTCCAAGACCAAAATATTACCCTCGACAGGATGCCTTGGCGACCACCACGAATCCTTAGACATTCATTCCATCAGGGTCTAGTACTTAACCATACTGGCTACGTACTGTCCCATGTGGCCCGTGCCATGCGCGCGCGAAAAGTTTACAATCTCGCGTTGCCATCGACTCTCATTCGGAATGTACCTTATTGGGCAGCAGTGTCAAACGGAATCGCCGTCATGGATGTATCAAACACTTCACTAGACGCTCTTCTACCCCAATCTAACTTCACGCTTGGTCCCAGAAGGGCAAAACGAAACGAACTCAACGTTGCAAGAGCTGTGCTCGGCGTACATTGACTATCTGCCCATGAAGATCAGGCACCCTCCAGGATGAGCACAAGTTGTGTTCAACCGGAGAGATCATCTACGTAGCCTGGATCCTGTTGTACTCAAGCCTGAGCACCCACGTAGGGACTTCGTAGCATGTCTTGACGCAAGCCTCGGGTGTTCAGTCGCAGGTTTAGTGAAGGTCAGCCATTGATCCAACGTGGGCAAACCGATGGTGAAGTCACGCGCATTGTAGCGTGACGAGAACAAAAACCTAGACTCCATGCATCGTCACGTTTCTTTGAGGCCCTGCGAGTTCCCGGCAGCATTTGAGACACGACAACATCACCGGGATAAGCCTGCTCCATGGCTTCCGGAGCGTCGCTAAGGTGTAAGCCACATGGGCCTCTGGTCCAATCACTTCCATCCGAGGCTGACCGGTTAGCGAGTCTGCATACAGACAATTGAACGCTGCGTGTGCCCACGAGGAAAGGAGTGTAGGATATGTCGGTATGTCCGCATACATACAGCTAGTCCCGGTCATTCTTCGGATCACTTGACTAGGTCGAGTGCGGGGGCCCCGGGGAGCTGGAAGTCCCCATCGAAGCAGTGCAGACACACAGGATCATAATATCCAACATATTTGAGCTGATGGCTCATCCCATCTACTGACACAAACAGACCACGTGAATAACAATTTGGATTCAGTCATTGCAAGATTGAAACTTGGAGTAACATTTGGTGGAGCAATATCTGGCGAGGGGCTTCTTAGCTCTGTTCATGCGATCAAGAGCGATATCATGCAAATGTTCAGCGTAAAGCTCTACATGGCGGAGGACGCCGAAGAACAACAAATGCTGGATCTTCAAATGGTCTTCGTGGGTATCCGATGGGTATATGGATGCCAAATTGTGATTTTGAGGCGTCTGCCGATTTCATTGGCTCATACCGGCTCTGCTTTCCGGAGTCATCCTTACAAGTTGCGGGAAGATGTTTTCAAGTGATGTCTCCTTGGTTGTTCCGCATCGTGAAGGACAGAAAAGTTCGACCTCATTAGGTCTCTGCCACGGCTTCCAAGCAGACAACAACGTCTAGACCGAAAAGTCTTTTATAAGAGCCTTAAGCCATGTTGTCCAGCTACTAAGATATTAGTTGCAGAGGCGTCTGTGTGTTATTCATCGGTTGTTGAATAGAAAGTTTTGCCACGATTCCTGCTAAAACAGATTTGAATGAGCCTCAACGGTCCCAGGTGTCGAAGAACATGACCGGAAGAAAAAGAGCAAGTTCGCTGTGTTTCTAATGAGTAGTTCTGACGAAACTCTGATGATTGATTGTTCCTGTCTTACGGAATTTGACGCTGCCGAGATCCTGCTTGGCAAAAGCATTAAACATTGATTATAACAACACCGGAATGAGGACGCTATCCTCCCTTTCGCTTTCGATTCGCAATTCTCTCATCGATTGACCATTCAAGACAAGGCCCCCATATGGATTTCCTTCATCAATACTTGACTGTAGGCCACGATGAGAGCAAGCGCGCTGTGGAATATTGCCCGTCGGCCATCTCCGCGTTCCACATTTCAGCGTGTACCACCATCTAGCTCCTGCATGCCAGATCCCCGATCCATGCTGTATATCCAAGAAAACGGTAATGGCGTGATAGCCCCAGACTTCAATCTCGAAATGGTATTTTACATCGTTCAAAGCTTGTATTGAGGATGCCAGATGCTCCCCAAGGGGGGAGTCAATGACCATGAAGTGCCCTGGTCGGTACATGGGAACGGTGTGACGAGATGTGATGATAGGGTCGCACAGCATGGCCTTGACCACGCCTGGAACACCCTCGCGCTGCAGCCAGCCGCCATCCCACTTCATCTGAGAGGGAGAAACCAAGATCCTGCAGCATTGCGCTCGTGCTAAACTCTTAGTGAAGCCGTAAGCCTCGCACAGGTGCTCGCTTGCGTCCGTAACAGGATCACATTCAGCCAGCCGTGGTATTACAAGAGTGGGAATTCCCAAAGCGCGACGTATGATCAAAGTGATAAGCTAGATACCAGCAGCTCGCATAATCGTACTGTTACAAGGATGCCATGTAATGTAGCCATTCATAGCGTTCTATAGTTGAACAGGCTCAGATCTTGGGATGAAGCTTTCCAGGGGAGCACAACGGGCTGATCTTAGCACTAGCATGTATTTGTATTTGACTTGGTAGAGTAGATAACGAGTTCCATCAGCCAGCAAGTCAAGCCTGCATTGAGGGTCTTTCGCGCCGCAGAGTTTCGAGAGAAGGAGAAGGGGGGCATGGAGCAATTGCGATGCGCGGGAGTCGCCGAGTCAGCTTTGTTGTGCAGCGATGACGCAGGGCGCTGCAAGAGCAAAGAAGGCGTCCGTGTATCTGTAGAATAAGTAGTTCTCGCCCTGCAAGCCCTTTAGCGGGATCTGACAGAGGATCATGCAGTCAGCAGAGATCCCACATCCTGGCCCCATATTGAGTTCGAGCCTCTCACCAGCCCCATCCGAGGTTCCCTGCCCTTGTGTCTGGCACGCCAGATGTATTCGGCCACCTGTCCGGCCACCTGTGTTAGGGATAGACTCCAGTCTTTCCCTGCCTGCTCACGTAGAAGTCCGGATGTAAGAGCGCATTCGTCAATGTTTCAACGTTCTTGGGCCGTTCAAAAGAAGGCCGAGCATACAAAGGGGCTTGAATCTCCGCGGCCCAGTGTTCTGGACTTTGACATGTCGAGCTATTGGAAACGATTCTTGTCAAGTATCAAATTTATGTATCGCTGTAGCTTTTGCAGAATCGCTTGAATGTCTCACATGGCCCGATCCGATCACTTTCGTCCGCACCTTTCTGCATGAAGACCGGGTATAGCACGTCACTGTTTCTTGGCTATAGTGGCAGCGAGCAAGCGCCTAAGAGACTGTTGGTTGCTTGAGAATAAGACACGCCACTTTGTACATATTCACGGAACTTGGAAGCTGAATCTGATCGTACATCATGTCTCACTCAACGCAGGGGATACTGGGAAGTTCATCCATGGGGCCAACGGGCGAGGCACACGTGGGATCTCAGACTGTGGGAAGACGTTTCCAAGCCTTCCAATAATAGGATTGGCAATTAACCTTATGAGCATCTGACCCAAAACATTAATCCGGGTCTCCCTGCCCTGCATTCGAACTGTTGTGGCGAATCAAGCGTTGCTGAAAGGAGCTTCAAGGCCGTGGCCGTCCGTCACCGCGCGGCGGCAGCATTGCCGTTTTCGGGGGTCTCCGGGTACCGAGCTGCACAAACGGATTCTGACATTGCCTGCGAACTGTACTAATACGGAACGGTCTGCTGGAAAGACCTTCAGACCAGCTTTATGACTTCCGAGTGAAAGGCAATGCAGTTATCCGCAGCCCGACCCGCCATCATGTCGACGCGCCTCTGATCTCCTGCAATCTGTGCAGCCCTTTTGCTTCGCGTTGCAACGGCCGTTGATGAAGCGAGTTTGTAAGTGCTACGCTGCACAGGCCCGGTACGTGGGAAAGGGGGCGCAAAGAAAGGGGGGGGGGGGCGCGGACTTATCCGCGTGCTCGTACTCCACGCCACAACTTTGCATCCATCTCGCAAGTCATCGGGCCTGTTCAAAAGGTGTGGGCGTCAGCAACTCCATCGAGATTGCACTCGCATCCTGCAGCCACATCTTCCATGCTCGCAGCTTCTTGTGGCCATCGACATGGCCCGATTGAGACGATTTGGAAAACCTAGCAATGTCATCTCGCTCTACCGTCATCCTCATTGGCCGCTCACGCGCAAGGGAGCCCAATTTGATCTATACGAGGCGTCTGTACACTGAAGGTTCGTTGATCTTCCCAGCCATGGCTCGGACCTTGTCTCAGGTTTTACCGCCACGCGAGTCCGTCATAAACTTCCACGTTTGTGTGTTCCAATTTCCACCGTTTCCGGTATGCAGCATCGTGGAGGGGAAAGCCAATCCACCGATGGAAGGCTGGAAACCGAAAGAGGCCGACTCATCTTAACGAGAACGTTTCACAGCAACTATCTCGGGTTGTTTTGCAAGCTAGAAGCACAGCGCTCTTGCGAAATTGGTCGGACCGATAGCTCATTCAGCTGCACCGCTCACTTCAATAACCACGAGCACGCGAAAGAACTCTTCGCTACGCAGAGACGTTGCGCGAGGAGATATCGGCCTTTTTTGCTTTTACGGCTCAGCATCTCTCCCTGTCCGCTGACTGAGAAGAGAAGGAGTCTGTTGAGCCGTAAACAATACTGTCATCTTATACTTGGCTTCTCCAGGTGGCGCACGCTCTACTTGTAACTTTTTTTTCCCCACCCGGCATTGATACCCATCTCTATAATCTGATTCGAAAGATAGTTAGTGAGTCTCGAAAACCAGTGCAATTCGTCCCGGGATCTTCGAATATATACGATGCAGGAACTCTGGTTACACTCTAAGCTCCCGTGGTTACAAATCTAAGTTACAATGCCACTTCTGAGCTAAGAACTGAGCGTGAAGCCTTCCATCTCTCGTCGTTTGTGTTGCTTTAGTCCTCGTGAGACACTACCAAATAAAAGTAGAGCTTGATTAATCGATGAACGCGTTGTCGAACTCGAAGAAGTTCCTTGTTTTGCTGCTGAACTCTCAAAGGAGAGACGAAAGAACACGGCAGAGTTTCTGAGTGAAGTCTCAAGACAGTATTAGTCGACGATATTGAAGTCCTGTGACAGCGTACCTAGGTATTGATCACATTCTGTGAGATCATGAAGTTCAACTGAAGACGCGCTCTTTTCCTGAGGTTGATCCTGTTAACGTGGGACAGAAAAGAGATAAATAGGAGGCGCTAAACCCTTGCATGATTCCGTATACTTCGGGAAGAGCTCGCGTTTATGAAAACTGTCTTAATCTTATTCTCGCTTCTTCTTAATTATCGAATTATCTTGCTGTGGTGTCTGCAGCGTATTTGCTTACCTGATCTAAATTCCAAAGTTGTAAAGCGGAATACTAGGTCTTGTTACTGTCAGGACTATCGTTAAACCTCTTTATATAGCCTGCTTGTACTGTAAATGAGTGACATGACCCAAAAATGTGGATATCCATGCTTCCGTCAAAAACTTTTCCAGTGATGTCGTTCGTCACTTGTGAGTTCTAGCAGTAGTGAAACATGCTGTACATGTATGGGGAAAGGAACATTTGTTGCATTGGAAAAATGATTTTTTAGGACCGAATCATTCCGCGCCAAACATTAAAGGTAAATTGCTAAGATATTGTTTCCACCATCTGCGATGCTTAGTGACAGCATGTGATCTGTCACTTTGCATCCACCCCGCCGACTCGTACCCCGGCTTCAGCCCTGACATGCGGCAGAATCCGGGGAAGAGACTTGTCCAGAATTAAACCAACACAGACTCGCTTCGCAAATCTGGCAAATGATTGACTTCCCCTATCGCAATTCTATCAATCAGGACGACAACGTACGTCTCCATTTCCGTAAAGGGTTAGCACTTATCGGGGGCAAAGACCCAGAGCCCACCGATCCCTCCCGAAAAGGCGACGCCTGGAAAGAATATCCGCTGACAGAATCCTACAATCATGCCACCATCAGCCTAAGACCGCACCATCTTAGGCATCTGCTGAGAATCAGACACGCCATGCTCGGAAATCTGGCAGCTCTGTGATTGCGACGAGCGTGAGTATGGAAGTTATAAAGATCAAGACCATCATTCCATCATGCAATGGCACCGAAAGCATTCGCAACCCACACAAACACGTCAACCCCACAATTTATACATCATTGATTGGATCTCGTCCCTACTGAGAGTATTGTCACAACGTCTTAATTCTGATTGGACCATCGAACTCGCAATCCGAGCCGGCCAACCATTGAATCCCCCAATTGCCAGCCTCCTCAAAGCCCATTTCACCATGCCAGCAGCAACACCGATGAAAGTACTGCCTGGTACCAAATACGGCCCAGCTATTGCAGTGGTCGCTTCCTGTAAGTCTCAACGTGAAAGAAGAAAGAACCAGCGAATTCCAAGCCCATCAGGGCCCCTTTCGCGGTCCCTTGGGTGAAGGCGTCCTCTCTCCCTTGCCACAAGACAGGATGAAGCCTTTATTAAGTCCACGTCTGCAAATGGCCGACTGACTCACGAACTCTACAGTGTCCGCAGTAGGCGCCTATGTAAAATGGCAACTCGGGACTTCATCTCGCACCTACGATCGGATGTTTGCGCAATATCAGAGTGCCCAGAGTGAGGCATCGCGACAGAGGGTGTTTGAAGATCAGGGCAGCGCCGACCCGCGGCGAAGCGTCTTCAACGTCTTAAGTTGGGGCAAGTGACGGCGAAACCGACACAGGAGCATTTTGGGAGGCCTAGAGCGTTTGAATTACACATCAATCGGAGTTATGGGTAAAGTTGGCCTTCAGGTATACCTAGTTAGGAGCATGGTTCTAGTTTGAGATATATTTGCCGCCCGTAAATAGCCTCGAAATACGTGTCTGGTGGCTGATTCATTATTTATCAAACTTATTGTACACATATGAGCGAACACTCTATCGTGAACAGCTCCTAGCCTTGGAAGTGTTGGCACAAGGCCGCAAATTTGAAACTTATTACTACCCATGTGTCTGATTGTCTAACATCTAGTCATGATATCTTTGCAGTCTAGCCGCTTCTTCTAGATCAGCCTGCCTCAACGCGTCCGCAAGGGGTATCTCGTCCAAGGAATAGAACTTGGTCCTCTTGTAGAACTTCCAGACCAAAAAAGCCGTTATAACAAGAGGAATATCTCTGTCCACACATTAGAGACCGTTCTGATAACACAGGGCATCGCCGGATGAACTTACAAATACGATGACACGAAGGTCTCGGGGTCCCAGTTGCCTTTCGTGAAACAGCTAAATCCATTCGTCAACAATATTATGATGCACAAGCATAATGAGATCCAAGAACTATAGACTATGCATGCGACTTCGTTAGTGCTGTCTATCCAGAATCAGTTCATGAAATGGGTGAGGGGAAAGAGCTTACAAGTCCAGGAATTGTGCCATGGCAGCCTCGCCACCGGAATTCCCTGTTTTGTCATCGCCAGCTTTAAGCGGATGTGATTTAGAAGAATTGTGCACCAGCTGACTAGCACACCAGCTGCGGTGAGGTCGACAAGCCACCAGAAGACTGTCATGGCATTGTTGCTCAGAGTCAGGAAGCTCAGAAACATGAACAACGTGAACAGGGCAACACACATGTAGGGTGTCCCCCATGCAGTCGTTCGCAGGAAAATCTTTGGGGCTTGACCTTTCAGCGCGAGGCCATACAAGACCCTCGTACCAGCCATGAGTGACTGATTGCTTGCACTCCACGCACTCGTAATAACGATGGCATTGACCACGCTTGGAATGGCGCGGATGCCAGCTGCACTTGCCGCGATAACGAATGGAGACTGAGCTGCGGTTCCGCTCTCATCACCCAAGCGCGGGTCATCGCTGGGAACGAGCATTCCCACGACAAGCACTGCAAGCATATAGAATAGCAAAACTCGTGCAAAGACCTGTCTGCAGGCGCGGGGGATTGCTCGTCGTGGGTTCTGGGTCTCAGCTGCTGCCATGGCGATAGACTCGACTCCTGCGAAGGAGAAAACGGCAGAGGTCATGACGCCCCAGAAACCAAGGAATTTTCCCCAGTCGCCAGTGCCGATATACTCGACAAACGGTCCTGGATTCTGCCAATACTTGAAGCCGATGCGAGGGGTACCGGGGACGCCACCGAGGTCAATGACCAAGCCGAGGATGATGAGGAATACCACCAGGAGGATCTTGAGCACTGCAAAAAAGAACTCGACTTCGCCAAAGATCCGAACGAATGCCACGCCAACGACGACAGTCGCAATAATGAAAATTATTATCCATAATGCGCTGTTCAAATCAGTCCAAAATTGAAAGAGTACACAGATAGCTGTAATTTCGGAAGGAATGCTGAGCAAGTTCCCGTAGACGAGATTCCATCCGATGGCAAATTCGAGGGCAGGGTCGACCAGAAAGCCCGCATGTCTGACAAAGCTTCCAGTGACCTGCAACTTGTCAGCCATAAGCTCACATTTGCCGTGGAGCGTTGCCGTTCAATATCTCACCGGTAAGAGAGCCGTTACTTCGCCAAGTGCAAACTGGACCGAGCAAACTATTCCACCGACCATAGCATACCCAAGCAAGGCGCCTAGGGGCCCGCCAGTCTGGCTGTTATGCGTTAGTCACCCATTGCGGAGCCCGAAGCGATGCATTCCAGAATAGCCTCATAAAAAGACAGGTAATCGTAGCGGGAAGAGGTTTATACATACATTGCGCCTCCGAGGCTGAGGAAAAGTCCGGTCCCGATCGCACCAGCAATGCCGAGCATGCTCAGGTGGCGCTCGGTAAGGCCTCGCTTGAGATCATGGAGCTCTGTTGCCGTGACGAGATCGCCGTCGTGGTCGTTCACATCGGTCTCATTGATGCCATCTTCGAGACCGTTGCCGTGGCCGTTGGGGTGGTGGTGCCCAGATACTAAGCCTCGGGACTGGCTGTCAACGGCATGGGGCTCGACGGCCACCACAGCAGGGACCTTCCCCGTCGTTGTCTCTGCAACGACGTCTTGGTCCGAGTCGCTGTTCCTGCTCATGGTTGCGGCTTGGGGATGACTTCGAGACCCAAGACGAGATCGTCCGAAGAATATGCCTCGGCGACCCGAGGGGATGGAACCGCTTTTTTGTGTGCTTTTCGCCCATTGCGCCATCGGCGAAGAGATAACGTCGACGCCGCGATTACGTAACCCCTGTCATGGAAAACCCCAGCTAATCTCGAACTTGTTAGTCGCTCTTAGGATCCGTCAGCCTCAACCTAAAGATACGCGACAATAGGCGTGGATTTGTCAACTTCAACAAATAGAGGTTGTTCATCGCTAGTATCCAGATTGGATGAAATATAAGTCATTAACATTTCTGGCATGGTTTAGGTCGTAGCATGCCCCCCGAGGACCCTGGCAAGCAGCTGAGGAGACATTTCATGTTTTCCAAGTACCACTAGCTGTGCCTTCACGTATAGAACAGAATGACCAGGCTCACCTCCTGACTGTAAGTGGGAAGGGGGAAACAATTCTTTTGCGAGAACTGAAGGATCAATATGCTATTGTAACGCATCAAGGGACACATCTCTTTAAGTGGTATTAGGCAGTGCCTGCTTCTGGATCTAGTGAAAAGAGGACTGCCTGGAGCACGGAGCAAGAATGAGAGATACTAGACCTCGAAAGCAGAATATGAGGCTGGCCTAAGTCGCCTCACACCCCTTAAAGCAATTCCTCCAAATTCAATCTGCCTGTCTAAATGGATTGTCCCGCATGGCCGTGAGCTTCGGTTCATTGCTCTCAAAGATATCAGCTCCTGTCTTTTAGGTAGCGCTTTGCTCCTGGCACACATGCATGTGCAAGATCTGGCGCCATGCAGTCTGATGGGAGAAGCCATCCCGCAGACAGTGACAAAAGCTCTAAGTGAGGGGCTGGAACACAGTCGCCAGTTTGTACTTGACAGGGGTGATTTTGCGGTTCTTGAGATCCAAACTCATTGTAACGCGTATTCGATCCAGGCAGCAAAGATGGCTGATCTTGATAACGGTGCAGTCACGGAATCTGAAGTACAGTTTCAAGCCCCTTACTACTCAGGTAGTCTGGTGGCTGTTGCACTACAGAGAAAATGGGTGAGCCCACACCTCTGAGCGTGATTTGGCCCTCGTATGATGACTTCCTAATTCCAATAGCGGCAACAGTCAGCTTGGGTTCAACAGTAGAACGCTGTCAAGCATTGCTTTCGCGACATCTGTGCTTAGCGATGAGAGGTAAATCGACATTAGTAGTATCGATGTTGGCCTCTCCGTGTGGATGCATAACAGTGGAAATCCCCAACATGTACTTGTCTCAGGAAGTGGTTTTCCGGACTGTGATCCACTGGGTCTGTACATGTGTACGGTCACGAGTTGGCAGTCATCTTTGCCTTCCTCTCTATGAGCGAGTTGCACTCAGTCACTGCGGTGTCGGAGACATTGAGTCTCCAAATTTTCCCTCGACCGCGGGAGAATGCAGCCAGCGGTGGCCCCTAGGGATGGGGAGGCTTGGAAGCTGACTGATGAACCCGTCAGCGTGGCGGCCGCAGCGATTACAGTACAAAAAGAAATGGGAGGAACCAGATCCCTTCAAACTGACGTGCTAGTATGTGTCTCGGTAGCATACACATGTTACTATCAATAGAGTTCACGAGGGCTAATGTAGGCATTGCCATGGAGCCATACACCAAGACCAGGCCCGTCCAAACTAGCCAGCAGAGCATTGAAATTATGAAGGCACGATGTTGTTGACCGTGAAGAAACAATACGAAACATGCAAATGACTCAAAGTCCTGGTGAATGGTCTGCGCAACGGTCGAGGATTGGTTGCCGCAGAAGTTTATATGACAAAGTTATTGCTAGCCCTGGAGGCCTTCACATGGGTGACATCACTGTCAAAGCGCTTGGTGAGATGAGTCTTCTTGTTGCAGCAGATGATCATGTGTTGCCGCCAGCGCGTTGCGCGTGGTTTCGACGTCGGGACAGCAGTGGTGCGAGCCTGGAAGGTGGCAAGGTGTGTGGGCTAAGTGGAGGAGACGACTGCCTACAGTAGACTACATACCCAGATAGTGATGGTGGAGAAAGCAAGAATAGAATCATGGCCATCTCAAGGGAGACTGGGGGCGGCGCGGATGCGGATCACACGTGCCTCCTCACGTGAGCTGCAAGGGACAGTCCGCAGCACGATGGAAGCTTGCCGTACAGGCTGGGTACTGGTCTGGTGTGGCGGGCCCTGCGCGGGTACGTGGCCAGTACAGCAGTGTCGCCGGCAAGGACTGCACCCTCCTCACCAATGAGTGTGATGCAAGGACTGTCTCTAAGTCCCCTCGCCCCTGCCCACCAGCCCCCTGCAATTGGCTCTACCAAGGGAATCTCTGGTCCTTGCCTCCTGGCACCTGGCCACTGCCCATTGCCCACTGCCCATTGCCCACTGCCACCGCCACTGCTAGTGCCCGAGGCAAAAAAGGCGTGCATCCCGTCCCATGTACAAGCAACCTACCGAACTTCCCCACTGTGGCCTGTGGCCAGTGGCCAGCAAAAGGTTTTAGCGCCTTGACCTATGAAGCTTCCTTCGTCACACTGCCAGCCCAGTACCCGTCCGGTCCAGGTCAGTCCGGCCCAAGCCTACCTAGGTACCGGTGATGTTGATTTTTTGAGTTTGATTTTTCCCGTCAAGCACCACGAACGACGAAAACAGGGCTTCCTCTCGCACCGGCATTGCCATTCCATCTCATTCCACAACCACTCCTCTCCTGCAGCCATCTGTTCCCTTTTGATTATTCAATCATCCCCATCTCAACGCGTCAGACGCCCTCTCGACCACGCCAGAGCTTGTCGTGTCGTCGTCCCGTGTCTGCATCCCTCCTCCCGTGTCAAGTCAAGAAGCTTCTCGCATCGATCGCGTCGCCTCGCCCCAGTCGTCCACGACGACCGCTCCCAACGCCCAAACCCCCAAGCTTTGACACCCAAAGCAGTCCATATACACACAATGGCTGGCCCAAACTTGCCATCCAGCTTCGCTTCGGCCGCAGCAGGCCAGAACTCCGGTCGCGACAGAGGCAGCACCCGAGGTGACTCTCGTGGCAGTGGCAGTGGCAGTGGTGACTGGTAAGTGTCCCCTCGCGCTCCCCTCCTCATACCCGAGCCTCAAGTCTCCCCATGGGCCTCTCAACCCCCTCCTCCTCCCGCTGCTGGTCTACCGCCGGCGCATCGCCGTTCTGCACGCTACTGGGGCGCTGGCGTCGTCCTGCTCCCCCCAAGGCTGCGATCCGTCTCCGCCTCGTCTGCCACACCCCGATCCTGCACACTGCGCGCTTCCGTCCCACCTTGGGCACGATCAGGCCCGTTTTGGCCTGATTCTCCCCTCTCCATGCGCCCAGGTCATTTCTAACCTCACCATCGCCTTCACTCACAGGCTACGAAGGGACGGCCGTTCTAATGGGACTGCTATCCTCCGCCGATCGTCGACCACGCCCTTCAACAACCAAGCGTCAACACTTCCCGCGATAGACAATCTACTCAACGCCTCTGCCAACGAGCCCCAGCCTCCTTCTGCTTCTCCTTTCGCCTCTGCACAAGAAATCCCGAGTAGCAAATACTCCAGAGACGACCTGCTTGATGTTGGCAAGATGACGGACCCAGGCAACGTTGATCTGCAAGCATTGTTCATGTCAAGCTTCAGTCCTAGTGGCCATGTTAATGGACAAAATACCAGGGGTTGGGGCAAGCCTAATGACGCACATGCTCACAACGATCCTTCCGTGTGCTGGGACCAAGACGGGGAATTAGGCCCACTTGGTAACCAAGACATGTCCGTTGAGGAAAAGGAGGTGGGTACCCTTGTGATTCGCAAATTCTCCCCAGATCCGCGCGATTTTGCGTAGCTAATCGATATTCTGCCGGCAGCTTTACGCCTCAGATGTCAACTCTCCTCTGAAACAGCAGCAGCAACAGCAGCAGCAACAAAACCAGCAGAGCAAGGAGGGTGGCCAGAGCGCGGGCGTCAACGGACGAAAGCCGTCCATGTCTCACAACCTGACTTCACCTTCCGGCGCACCGAGACCCGCCACGCGCCGCAGGGAGACTACAGACACCAACCCCTTCTCTGGCGGCGGAGGTTTGATTTCGCCCGTCGGCGCTGGGCCCAGTCGATTTGATATGTCCTGGCTGGGGAGGAATCGCGCGGATACCAAAGAGATTGACGCCCCTGACGAATCAAACAAACCTAGTGGCGCTACAGATCCTGCAAGGCAGGCCGGATTTACTGGGCTGGCTCGCAGCAACACCGCCGGTGGTGCTGGTTTTCCATCTGTTTGGGGCGCCTCGGCCACCACCACACCCGTGACCACGACGGGCTTCGGCGGGTTCGGCAACTTTGCCATCGCCACACCTGGCGCCGCCGACAAGGGATTTGGGGGCAGCACCGGTTCCCGCTTCTTCTCGAGGAAGGAAGACAATGTACCCCTTGAAGACCACGCCACCGGTTCGAACGGAAGCCAGCAATGGGCAACCCGCTCCCGCACTGACACGGATCCTTTTGTAGGAGACGTAGGCCTCAGCGGCAGTGCTGCTCTTGGTGGTGCTCGAGACACAAGCCCCCCGCCTATGCCAACGACAGGGCCCCAGATCTTCGACACGCCAGCCAAGGGTACCACGGGCGACTTCGGCATGTCGGGTCTCAACCTGGGGGCCGCGCGGGAGCGGAATGCGTCTTCGGCTAGTCCCTCTCAGACCAACCCTTACCGCAGCCCCCCGGCAGAGCGTGGAGACAACGAGCCTGGCGACTACAGCTACGACAAGTCGCACCCGGTCGGCGCGCAATCTGAACAGAACTCCAATTTCGGCTCAATCCGTGGCTTTCCCGCTGCCGCATTTGATGGTAGCGATCGCAGCCAGACCTCAAGCGTCGGTGCCAAGAATTACCCATCCCTGGGCAATATCGGAGGATGGCCTACTGGATTCCCCAGTGCGACCCCTGACCGCGAGCGCTCTGCGTTCGGTGGCGCTTTTGGGAGCTCCGTCTTCAGTCCCATAGGCGGCGACATGCATTCTCCCGGTTTGGGCAGCATTGGAGGGCTCTTTGGGACAGGAAACGGCGGCCTCGGAGGAGCGGGCTCACTGAGGGGTGGCAGCAAAATCCAGTCACTGTTTCCTCCTGCCATGCAAGCCCAGATGCAGAACCAAGAGACCGAGTCGCTGGCGGATTCTGTCCCCGATTTGAGGCAAACCAACCCATTGGGCGTTATTGGGGCCGGCACAATCGGCTCTCAGCGCGACACTGATAGTCCGGTACCGATGGGCGGGCGAGGTCTCATGGACATCTTTTCGGGACCCCAATCGGTCAGCTCGCCTAGTCTCTTCACCACCGCTGATCACAACCAGCCCCTTCTGGCCACGGCTCCGCAAGGTCATGCCTTTGTCGGCACGGCGCCACAACCAACCTCATTCACTCCTGATCCTACAGCTGCTGGGCCTCCACAATCGCAGGCTAGAACCATGGTCATGCCAGATCGTATGCGCTGGGTCTACATGGATCCCCAGGGTCAACAACAGGGGCCATTCACAGGTCTTGAGATGAATGAATGGTACAAAGCCAACTATTTCACTCAAGATCTCAGAGTTCGCAAGGTGGAGGATCCAGACTTTGAACCTCTAGGCCAACTTATTCGTAGGATAGGCAACTCTCGCGAGCCGTTCCTTGTGCCGCAGGTTGGCATTCCACACGGGCCTGCACCCCAGGCCGGCGCCTTCCCTCCAGGAGGTGATGCTCGAGGTGTGATACCACCTCTGCTCGGCGTCGTCCCCAGCTACGGCAAGACTTTGACCGCCGAGGAGCAGAACAATCTGGAGCGCCGCAAGCAGGAGGAACAGCTCGCGATGGCCCGGCAGAGGGAGGTGATGTCGCAGCAAGGCCACTTCCGTAACGTCCATACTGGTCTTCCTGGTGGTCTCCAGCACCAGGCCAGCATGCACAGCTTGCAGAGTCAGCCAAGCTTTGGGAGTATGACTTCGCCCATTGGGATGCCCCCTCAGCCGCCCATTGGCGGCGCGATAGGGGCTCCTACGCCAGGCTTCTTCGAGCAGCCTTCGGCTGTCAATAAAGCAGCAGGTCTCCCGAACGCTATGAGCGCAGGACCGGACCATGTTCGACAGGACTTGACGGACTCAGAGCGCCAATTGATGGCGAATTATCACGGACCTGGTGGCGTCTCCGGTATGTTCCCGCCTCAGCCTGTCGGTCCTCCTGCAACAGACCTCAAGGGTCGACTTCCGAACGTCGACCAACTGGAGAGGGATCCCGAGGGGTTCAAAGATAGACTGAAGGAATTTCAGGAATACCAAGGCATACCCACACAACGCGCCGACGAGGAAGCCCAACCAGGCCCTTCTCAAAGTGGGCCAACCAGGGGACTGGCTGACGATGCCGTCGCTGCGAACCTTGCCGAGGCCGCTCGAGTGATCAAGGAGGCCACTCAGGAGCCTTTTCAGTCGCAGCCCGAGTCGAAGCATGCTGAGTCGCAGCAGAACCGACAGCCCCATCCAACACAGAGCCTTTCACTGACCCAACAGGTCCAGAAGGCGCAAGCTGATGCTGCTCAAGCCGCTCAACGGCAGGTGCAGGATGAAGATGCGTGGGCAAAGCAGTCCGCGTCCACCGGCCTTCCCATGCCCTTCCCTCCGCCACCTTCGGTCTCTACACATCTCCCTGCGCCGACTGCTCAGCGGCGGTCCAATATTGCCGACCAGTACGCTGAGTCACGCTCCCAGAGTCAGACTCCTGATAGTGCCGCCGCTGCCCCTCCCCCATTGGCACCCTGGGCTCGCGATCCTGGATCCGATGCGCAAAAGGGACCTAGTCTGAAGGAGATCCAAGAGGCCGAGGCCAAGAAGGCGGCCAAGCTCGAGGCAGAGCGCCGCGCCGCGCACGAGAAAGAGGCTGCGCTGGCCAAGGAACGCGAGAAGGCCAACCCTGTCGTGCTACCCGGGCTGCCGACGTCCAGCACCTGGGGCAGTGGGTCTCCGGCTCCGTCGGTGTCCAGCCCTTGGTCCAAGCCGAGTGCAGTCAAAGCTGGCGTTGTAGCGACACCTGTTACCCCAACTAGCGGCGATCGTAAGAAGACGCTGGCCGAGATCCAGCGCGAGGAGGAGGCGCGCAAGCAGAAGGCGGTCAAGGAGCAAGCTTCGCAGACAGCTGCAGCTGCTGGTGCCTCCGCCTTGGGCAAGCGATATGCCGAGCTGGCCAGCAAGACTGGACCCCCAGGCATGACGACTGCCGCTGCCGCTACTGTGGCAGCCGCCGCCAACGCCTCACCCACTATCGCCAGCGGCTGGGCGACGGTTGGTGCTGGTGGAAGGGTTAAGGTACCCACTGGTCCTGCCTCGCATTCCTCTCAGGCCCAGGGTCAGCAAGCTCAGTCGCCGAGCCCCTCTACTGTTCGCTCCCCGACATCCCAACTGGCGAAGCCGCAGGTCAAGCCTGCCACGGCCGCTGTCGCTAAGAGCAGCGCTACTAGCGAAGCCCAGGGCGAGTTCCAGAAGTGGGTCAAGGCAGAGCTGACCAAAGGGCTCAACCCTGGCACCTCGGTCGATGAGGTGGCGGCGTTCCTGACGGGCATCCCTCCCGAGAGCGATATGATTAAGGACATCATATACGGGGCGAGCTCCACCATGGATGCACCGCGCTTCGCGCAGGAGTTCATTCGCCGGAAGAAGCAGGCGGAGAAGGGCATCTTCGAGCCTGCTGCAGTCAGCGAGTCCAAGGCCGGGTCTGGTGCTGGTGGATGGTCCGAGGTGGCTAAGAAGGGCTCAACCAACCAGCCCAAGGACAACGACGTCGTTGGTGCGGCAGGCTTCAAGGTTGTTCCTGGAAGGAAGAAGGGCAAGAAATGAGCGCATCTCCAGGCCTGACCCGATATCTCTCGGAGCTACTATTGAAATGCAGGAGGAGCCAGGCGATGCGCTGTGTCGTGCAGTGTCACTTTATGCGTTCTGGGGGTTGGTCAATGTGCAGGCTATGGCTGATGAAGAATCGGGAAACAAGAAATGAAAGCGCTAGGGGGCACTTTGCGTTCCTGGAGTCGCTACTCGGCAACTTTTGTAGGATCCTGGAGTGCTGCAATTCTCGGGCAACGTCCTGTCAGATGTGGGAGTAGCCTCGCTCTCACTGGCAGCTGTGGCTCTGGGCATTGAGCAAGAAACCGTTTAGTGATAGTGGCAGTGGCAGTGGCAGTGGTAGCGGTAGCGGTAGCGGTAGTGGTAGCGGTACCATTGCAGAAACAGTAAAATTGTAAAACGTGCCTTAGGGCTCGCCATGTTTTTTGGTCTTCCTACGGTTGTGGTTACTGGTGCGCTGTGGTTGGGGGGAATGGGGGTGGTTGTGCTCTGTGGTCACTTTCTTATAGACCTTCCGATTCTCCTCCAGAACGCATCCGAACTGTTGGGCTGCGCTGGGCCTTGTCTCGATGGCTAAAGGTGCTGATAAGATAAGCCCATCCCCTGCAAATTTTCAGATGCCCCTCCATGACCAATCACCCCTCCAAGCCTCAAGATCGAGCCTCTCTGACTGTTTTTTCTTTCAAGTTTCACATCTAACCGTTCAGTCCGGATTTTGGTGTTGGATTGCCTTCTTTGTCCGATGGCACCGTCATTGCAGGATGGCCTGGCTGCCTTCAACGCCTTCCTTCAGGCCAACGTCACTGGCCCTGTTCTCACCCAAGACCAAGCAAACCTAGCGGCCCCTTACTTGGACTCAAAAGACCTCGACCTGGGCATCCGGTCGCTGGATGTAGACGGCGTCGGCGTTTATTCATTCATCCCACACATCGAGCTGTTCTGCCTGGCAAAGCACGTCATCGAGAATGTGACCTCAGAGTCGGAGTGGGCAGCGGCTCAAGCTGAGACCGGGGCTCACGGAGGCGTGAGCCTGGCGTGGATGAAGCTCAGGCTGCATGTTTGGCACTACAAGCTCTTCATTCAGCCCAGTCTGAGCTCAGGGAGCGTCTTTGTCAAGAACGTGGGCATGAGTGAGGTGCCGACCTTGGTGGAGAAGATTCAACAAGGACTGGCCAGTGTCGAGAGCGACGTGTTCGGCGAAGCGTGGGAAGTCTCCGACAACGCCTCCAAATACTCGTCAGAAGACAAAGTGCGATTTTTGGTGGAGAAGGCAAATATTTGCCTCATGTTGGGCCACGATGTCAAAGCCCGGGAGGCGCTGAAGCACGCTGCGGAGCTCAACGGCTTCGTATATGCTTTGTCTGGGGCATTGGGAAAGAGAACGCGGTACCAGGACAAGAGCACCAGCCAGCTAGTGGTGCTTGCCAAGAGCGCAGTTGAAGGAGCCAAGGAAGGAGGCGGAGAGGCCCCTGAAGCCCTGGCACTGAATGACGATACCCTCCTGGAGCATATCGAGTTTTCAAAAGACGGCACAGAGGGAAAACATGGCGAGCAAAATATCCCAGCTGCAGCCTCAACGCTTCCGCCTCAGCTGCGGGATATCAGTGCTGATCAACAGCCTGAGCTTTCAACCCTTGACCAGATCATCCTTCTCACTGAAGCGACACTTAAAGATGCCTTCTCGCCGGCTGACGAACTTACTTCGGAGGAGATACTACCATTTGCTGTGAGGGTTCTCAACGACAAGAGCACAAACTGGCAGGTCTACACGCAGGCACTGTTAGTGCGGTCAAGGATCGAGATCCATCGCAGCAGGACTGTTGAGAGAGGTGTGCTGCAGATGCAGGCGGTCATTGACCAGGTTCTTGTTGACACGGCAGAGAAGGCTATTTCCAGCGCTGAAATGGAGGCAACGGCGAGTACCGAGAATACGGATGTTCCCGCTATATCAGTCTCGGCCGCCGAAGAAGAACCAAAGACAAGGCAGAACACGGAGATGGCTGCTCCCGTTGATGACAAGCCAAAGTCGTTCTTCCCTGTTGACAAATCGACCGAATCGGCCTCAGCAGACAAAAGATTGCAATACATACACCTGCTCTCGTCGCCTCCACGGTGGCATCTCGAGTCGGAGCTGGCATACGCCTGGACAGGTGTCGGGTCTCTGGTCTCAGCTCTTGAGATCTTCAAACGCCTTAAATTATGGGCTGAAGTCGCACTTTGCCTGGCAAGCAGCGCATCTTTGGACAATGAGGACGGCAGCGGAAGAGGAGGCGGCGGCGAAGAGAAGGCACGAGCAATTATCCGGTGGCGATTATTCCACCGTAAAGATAGGGTCTCCACAGCGGCCGAGGAAGAAATTGACGAGAATACGGACATATCGACACTCCAAGCGGCGGAATTCAATGGTCCCGAGAGGAATCCGCCCCAGCCCAATGCACCGAGGTTGTTCTGCATCTTGGGCGATATGGAGTCCGAATCAGCAGTGGCGCACTACGAGCGCGCGTGGGAGATCTCAAAAAATAGGTATGCCCGTGCACAAAAGTCGCTGGGAGAGCATTACCTCGCGCTGAAGGACTGGCACAAGGCCCGTGAGGCGTACAACCTAGCCGTTTCTGTAAATCGGATCGCTCCAGAGTTGTGGAACCGGCTCGGGGACATCAACCTGCGGCTCGGACTTTTCGGCGACGCAGCAGAAGCCTTCACTCGAGCAATTGGGTCGTCAAATGATACATCTGGTGGTGAAGATGCACGAACGTGGAGCAATCTGGGCAGCGCTCTGTATAGCATGTACCTTGAAGCCGTTGGCGAGAGTAGACAGGCTAAGGAAACCAGTGACGAGGGCGAGACACCAGTCAATGGACACAAGCATTACGACGATGAGGAGGACGAAGAACCCCGGCCGTCGACGAAACCTCAAAAAGATCCAGCGATGCTACTCATCCAATCGATGAAGGCATACAAACGTGGGGCGTCGATAGCAGGTGACAACTGGCGCATCTGGGATAACGTCATCACACTGGCCACACACATGCGACCCATGCCATTTTTCGAGATCATCCAAGCTGTACGGTCAATAATCCGACTCCGCCAGACTGAAGACGTGCTCGACGACGACATCCTGCGGCTGCTCCTCACAGAGGGCGTGCTGACGGTGGAAAAAAAGAACGACAACAACCCAAGTGGTATGTACGAGCCGCCACGTGGGAGCGTGGAGAGGAACGTCAACGAGATGATGGAGAACGAGGTCGCACCACTCATCACGAACCGATCCGAGTTGTGGGAGCTGGTGTCGCGTCTCCGAGTATGGAGGAGGGACTACACGGGCGCCATCGACGCCTCGGAGAAGGCCTGGCGGGCGGCTGTTGGGGGAGCCACGTCGGGCGCGAGCTCCATGGGCGGCGGACTAACTACCGACTCTGCTAAGTCCAGGGCAGAAGGTAGCAGCGGCAGCAGGAACTGGCTCGAGGACAATGAGGCCTGGCAAGTTGTGGTGCGGAGGACAGATGAGCTGGTGGCGGTACTCGAGAATTATGGCCCGCAGGTAGAGAGTGTCGGGGACAAGTGGAAGGGAAAGGCCAGGGCCGCTATCCGTAGTGTGATGGGTAAGGGTAAGGAAAATTGGGAAAGTAGCGATGGTTGGCTTACTCTGAAAGGACTCTTGGACGGGCTGAGGGCATAAGCAAATAGATACCCAAGGGAAACAGGTCATATGGGGCTGAGAGTATAGATATTCTGTGTTGCTCGCGCGCGTGACTGCGTCGGAAGTGGCATGGCCTATTCTATCCGATGCTGGGTGATGATTGGGTGACTCTTGTGAGAGCCAGGGTTGGACACTGCTAGTGTTACAATTGACCACTTGGCTGTTGTAGGAGCAAGAATCGTAGCTCACAGAAACTTCGAGTCGACAACATGCAGGTTCTAGGCGGCCACAGCAGGTACGCATCTGCCAGCTGACGGCACTGGCCGTCAAGCTGTGATGAGCCCGCTCTGGTTACTGGCAGAGGGTTGATACTCTATGTCTTCTTCAGGATGAGTGCACGCGATCCCATGCCATGCAATGAATGCCCGTCATATGAATAATCTCATCTTCAGGCAACAGCTGGCGTGAGCACAGAGTCTTTTATTTTCTTCGTCTTTTTCGCTGCATGTCGTCAAAATTTCGGGGGTCATCAGTGACTTGCTGGATGAACTTGGTGAAGAGCAAAATGAATACATTGTTCTCCAATCTCGAGGCCATTCTTGAGCTCTGCCCTTTGACTTGCTTCCAGCCTAGATACCAACAGATGATGCCGCCGCCTCTTCGTGTCCACACACCACAATTCCACTGGTCTTCGAAAAATATCAAAACCTGAGCTTTCCGTCAAAGCAGGTGACAGCAGCGCCATTCCCTGACCAGGCGTCCGCGTGCACAAAGAAATTTCCCTATGTCGAAATAATCAGACCATAGAAGAAACGTCCGATATCATTGTCGACGTTACTTACGTGAGGTATTTTTTTGATGATCGGGAACGTTTCATTGAAATAGACGGGGCCGGCGGGCAGCGGGCAGCTTTGCCCCATCTTCTCTAATTCGTCACAGACGTCAAATCGATGGTGGTACACCACAGAACCGATGAATTTGACCTTGATGTCGACTGCCGTCCCTTTCTCGATGGCATCGTGGAGTGTTCCGGCCGCCAGAACTGTGAGATCCTGGCCCCTGCAATATCACTGTCAGCGCAGCAAAGACCCGATCGAGCTCGGTACCTGAGTTGGACGGCCAAATTTACTTTACAGGTGGATTGGGGATGAGGTCTATCTGATTGATCTCAGCCTACTTCAGTTAGCATTTTTCCTGTCACAGAGCACAAAGCAAAAGTTTTGGCAATGCTCTCGGTGGCAGAGGAAAGACAACTGAAACAGGCAACAAATCCTATGCTTACAATGTCTCGACTGTGGTCGCCCCTGCAGAGACTGAACGGGTTTTTCCCTGGAATATCATCAGTAGCTGGCGGTCTCGCTTCGTTGATGCTGGTATCCTGTGTATCTTCGCCTTCATCGGGGAGGCTGACGGTTCCTGAGGATGCGATGGCACCGCTAATGACGGTTATGATTGTACTAGGCTTCATGTTGACCGAATCTAGGATGCAGACGAACCATGCAAGAGTGGCTTTTGGGGAAATTTCAGAGTATTTAAGGTGGATAAACAAGAGTCCAAACATGGATGTCCACACTCAGGGACCCAGTCTGTCCTTTTATTTTGAACTTCACCATTATCCTCGGCTAAAGCTCAGATACCCCTCGATCATGTGTTTTAGCAGGTGTATACAGCAAGAGCTTCCATAGAATGTACATTGTACTCCATAAGTTCACGGACACTCTGGGAGGGACGGTTCATTGTAGCTCCAGTAAGTCAACAACCTTACTTGTGCTAGGCTCACTCAACACTGCAGATACCCATGAAGCTCTCAAGGATTCATCCGCAAAGGGATCTGATGGAATTGCGATCCGTCCAATAAGCCAGACTTCGGACGTGAGGACCTCCCTTCACAAGGAATTATGGCCAATGTGATATTCTGTTAGTTGTCGTTCATGCCAATCACAGCAAGCACAACAGCGTTTCTGAGGGAGCAGGATCAAAGCAAGGGGCGTGGACGGAGCTATCCTCCATAATCCCCTCTTTACTCGGCTTGTTTCAGCAGAAGATGTTTGCCGGACAATTTGATCCCAGATCTTGATTGATCGGGATCGCGATGACTTTGGGGTCACTCGTGAAGTTTTGGTTTCCCCAAGCACGCGTACATACAACCCAACTTAGCCTTAGCTTGGCTTAGTGGCTCTCAGATCCAACTCGGGAGTTCTGAGGACCACTAGTGAATAATGGCCTTGTGGAATCGGGTAAAGTGCCATCCCATGCGATTATAGCCCAGAAGATGGGCACCTGTCCATAGCAAGTAAATAGAAGTTGAACCCTGCATTGCTGAAGCCGGCATCAACGATAACTATTTTGGCCGCCTCTGGCCCAGACTTCAGCTTTCATAATACTTGAACATATTCAATTTGCTAACATAAATGTTGCGAATTTTTCGTCATATGAATCTCGGATTAGGTCTTGGTCCATCCACAGCGCAGTATGGTGGGCCGCGTCGGCAGGTGCACAAGATTTCGCATCGCAGCGTTTATTGAAGATGTTCCATTTTCATTGCTGACGGCTCAGCCGACCGGTCAGATCATCAACTTCATTTGAAGCAAAGGACCACTGAATCAACATCTTCAGCGGGGATTTTGAATGCCTACAGCGTAGCAACAAGTAATGGAAAATCTCACGCCGGGGTGGTCCAGGACGGGAAGAAAGCGAATCAAACGAACTCTACTGCTCAATCAGAACCTACATTCCCATCCTCATCTAGGACTCCAATCTCGCCGCCGGCAATATGCTCTGGTTCGTCTAGCTGCAGGTTGTCAACCTCGTTGACAATGAGCTTGAGAAATGAGCCGAGTTGGTTACACTCTCCTCCCTCGCCATCAACCGTGCACGCCACACCCTCGTTATGGAAGCAGACATTGCCTTCAGCATTAATGAAGCCCCTGAGACTATTCTCGTTCTCACAGGAATCTTTTTCCCGTGCGGGAGTGAGTATTAGCCCCATAGTCAAAGATTTCCATCAAGTGTGCGCTGTGAGGGTTTCATTGCCGTTGACCTCGGCGTCAGAGGAATCTCTGGGCCTTCTAGTTTTCATGCGTGGAGGTGAGCTTTCTGCCTTGTGCTGATTGGCCCGAGTCAGAAATCATAGACAGCACAGTTCTCCAAGAAATCCGGCGAGAATCAGTAGCTTAAAAGAAGGACCTTTGAGGAAAGCATTACGGCTCATCCGGCGCCTCGGTACAAACAAAATGGAGGCAGAACAGTAACGACTCTGTGAAATTCGATATTATCACTTGCAAAAGGGTTCCCCCTCGGCTCAGTTGTGCCTGCAATCAAAGGTGAGGAAGTCCTGTTATAGATGGTGTTTGACAGGTTCGGACTCCAAAGCCCGGCAACATGATTTACAGATTGTGGGATGCAATTAGTACGAGAAAATCCTAAATAGACATTTAATGGATTGGATGTACAACTCTTTTCTTGTGTCATATATGAGGTACAGAAGGAGGGCAGTTTGCTCACGTAATGATAGGTCAACATCTAGGATCTCTGTGGACTGTATTCGATGACATATACTATTCACGAAGTAAAACTTTCGTGTAATTTTCTGAATCTAAACGATTCTATTTTTCGCAATAAGCTCACAGTGCCAAGCGCCGCCTTCGACCTTAGTGGGCTGCTCAAGCGTCGATCGACAGCCACGCAGCCTATGACAAAGCCGAGGAAGGTAAGCGAGCTACACGGCCCGGTCCAATAGTATGGCTATATTATATCACGTTTTCTGTAATACTCAGAGTTCGGATGAAAACAAGTGGCACAGCATCGGGGGTCGTGGTCTTGGATGTCGGTCGTGCTGCATAACGTTGCAATATTGGATGCGTGAGCGAATTCTAATCACTCTGCGTGGCTCATGACGCCTTTTGCTCTGGGCATAGTCAATTTCAGCTCCTGAAAGGTGGCGTTGAGATATGACGGTCAAGTACGAGTGCAGCATATTGCCCAGGAACTTGATCAATCACTGGGATCTGGATATAAAGTATAGCGACTGCCACGACACTATATGAACATCTTCTGAAAGCATTTGGTGATTGAAATCCGTCGTAACTAGCTTTTACTTTCCCTTGTCTGCCGCCATGCACTCTCTCGGTATCTTGACTGCTGGGGCTTCCCTTGTACACCCAGCGATCGCCTCATTCACCGGCAACCTCAACTACCACAGTCCTTCACACCGCGAGGAACACATCAATCTAGGCCTTCACGTCGACAATATCTCGCGCAGAAGCTTCAAGCGTGGAAATATTGCCTATAGCTCATCTGAGCTCAGCTTCACTCATGGGATTGCATCTGGGGATCCATACCCTGACAGTGTTATTCTCTGGACGAGAATTGCTCCATCTCCTGAGTCTGACCTGAGCAACGTGACGGTTGAGGGAACGGTTCCTTTGTATGATCATGACACTGAGACATACATAAAGGCAGATCTGAATCCAATCTGTGTCGAGTGGAAAGTGTGGCGCCAAACCTTGGGAATCAACACCGATGCCAATGAAACATATAGAGGGTCTGCCATGTCCACTGGTACAGCATACACGACGAGTGACATTGATTTCACAGTGAAGGTTAGCATGAGTGGAAAGATACATGAAATGCTTCAATGGGCTGTTGGAAGCTGATAGTTTGTCCCAACAGGTCGAGGCACACGGACTACAGTCATGGACAACTTACAATTACCAATTCACTGTCTGTGGGTCGAACAATTCCAGTCCTGTTGGTCGAACCAAGACTTCACCTGCTCTCGATGCAGATGTCGACGAACTCAAGCTGGCTGTGCTCTCTTGTTCTAATTATCGTAAGCTTTGCAACCTGGCTCAAGCTTGATTTATATTCTGACTTGATTGAAATTTCCCAGCCAACGGCTACTTCAACGTTTACGGGAATGCGGCCAGAAAAGACGGGCAGGACTACGTTGTGAGTATTTCGCTCTGTGCCGTGTGTTGCGTTTGACGCTAATCTACAACCAGGTACATGTTGGCGATTATATTTATGAGGGAGCTGTCGGTGGTGCTCGCGGCCACCAGCCCCCGCGCTTGCTGTTCAGCTTGTTCGACTACAGGACGAGGCATGGACAATACAGAAGTGACCCCGATCTGCAACTACTGGCCAAGAACTATGCATGGATTACTACATGGGATGACCATGAGGTTGCAAATAATGGCTATAGAGATGGATTCAGCGCGCTGAACAACACCGAGGAGTCTTTCCTCACCGATGGGCCGTCAATTTCAGTTGATCAGAGGAAGATGAATGCTGTCAGAGCATACTTTGAGTGGATGCCAATTCGTCAGGTTTGTTTGGAACGAATACCTATCTCTGACCCAGCCCCATGGCTCATAAGGCACAGGTTGACCTCGATGATAATTTGCGAATATGGCGGTCGTTTCCAATGGGCAATTTGCTAGACCTCATTGTTATCGACACGCGCAACTATGACCGTGCTATCACAGACCTCGGTTGGAATGCAGAATACATCCAGTTGCTTCGAAACGATGCTTCACGAAGCCTCATGGGCTCTCACCAAGAGAATTGGTTCTATAGCCAACTGACCAACTCGAACAAGCGAGGAGCGATGTACCGAGTCGTTGCCAACCAGATTGTCTTCTCCCGCATTGTGGAAGATAACGAACCTGATGGCGACAACTGGGAAGGGTACGTTGCCAACCGTAACCGCACTCTCAAACATCTGTACGACAATTCTATCCCCAACACTATCTTTCTCGCAGGAGATAGCCACCAGAGTTGGGTATCCGATCTTGCATGGCTCGAAACCAAGCCTTACGATGCGGTCTATGGTGATGGCGCGATCGGGGTCGAATTTGCTGGGACAGCCGTCAGTTCCAGCGGCAATCGCGGATTGATTCTTGACACTCAGGCCGATGCGCAGGCCGTTGTCGAGGAGAATGAGTCCCTACAATGGCAAGATGGTTACTACCGTGGATACTTTGTGCTATCTCTCACCCCCGAGCGAGCAACAGCGCAGTATTATGGTAGTCCCAGTGTTGCCAGTCGAAACCCATGGGATCTGTCTCTGGCTAACTTCACGATGAAGGCTGGGGCAAACAGTTTGACGAGGCCAGTGGCAGGTGGGAATGTCGAGGCTGGATTCTTGCGAGGAGGCGAGACGGTACATACAAACTTGACGCTCAACACTGAGACTGGTCACTACGAGGTCATCGGGTTCGAGACGATGTACCTGGCGACGTGACTGTAGCCTTTGGCCAGGACGGCTGTCCGGTCCATTTGATCGTCCGCCCGAAAGTTCACCTCAGGCACATAACCGTCGCACGAGAGTGACAATATGATGACAGATCTCCTCACACATGTTCCGAAGGTTGATGTTGATCCTACAGCTGATACAAATTCTTTCGCCGTAATGTCCTCAATTGATGGCTTCGGATAGCGCCCAAACAGTCTCACTGAACTGATAGCGAATCTTTGTCCCCTACTTCTTTCGAACGCTTCGCAGCGTTTCATTTGACCGATCATCTTTGCTACGCGAAGGTCGCATACATATCTGCTTCCGTATACTGCACGTGGTCGAAGACTGTATGACATGAATCGCTATGGGCAGGGCAAATGACGATGTGAATTGATTCCCGTCGTTCTGTTATTTTGATTTGTTTGTCTGCTTGATGAGTCGACCAGTCTTAATCAGACAAAATATGCTGGATTAAGAGCCCTGCCGGCCAAATCATATCGCGGCAAGTATCGTGCATGTTGCGGCCATTTGGGAGGTCGAAGTTCTGGGCGTTGAAGGATCGGTGCGCTTGGCGCGATAACGCCATAGCGGCTGTAAATTTTGCATTCGACTGCCGTCATGTTCTGGTCCCGACTTCTGGCTCTCATTAGGTAAAGAAGTTATCTCTTGCACCCGCACCCAATGAATCGGAGGGATTCCTCATTGGCCCACTCCGAGGATCTTCGACAAGGTCCTCAGAGCTAAAGGGATTGTACATAAGACGTGAAAACTGGCAAATCCAGATCAACACGCCACTCTGTGTCACTGCAGTGCATCCTCTCTTAGTCTCTACGCGGTCGAAAACTCCCCTACATCTACAGAGATCAAGACGCGTCGTGTTTGGCACGAGCCACAGATGCGCACTGAGAGCCAACAGCCGTCAACATGTCTGGCTACCGCGGCCCAGACAAAGATTACCTCGAGGCCAACTCAGTGGAGCCGACCCGTCACCATCATGGAGCCAATACATCAGAGTTGTCGACTGACGAGGCCGCGGGCGACTTCAGCGCAATTGATCCACACAGCGGAGTGAAACGAGGACTGAAGACACGGCACCTATCCATGATGGCGTTGGCAGGGATAATCGGGCCCGGCCTCCTTGTCGGTTCTGGCGGAGCTTTGTCGAGCGGTGGACCCGCGGCGTTGCTCATCGGATTCGGTACTATTGGTCTTCTCGCTTTTTCTATTATGCAGAGTCTTGGGGAACTTACAACACTATATCCATCGGGAGGGGCTTTCACAGCCCTGGCAGATCGATTCGTGGACAAGGCCTTCGGAGTGGCAGTGGGTTGGAATTATTTCATTATTTGTAAGTGGCTCTAGGTTGGCGTTATCCACACTCTCATTCCTGCCGAATGCCATTTTAAGGCCTGGAATCAGAAACGATACTCTTGGAGCGAGCGATAACAGGTCTTGATTACCACCTCTCGCCCACCCCTGTTTCATCGCGACTAACACCTCGTTGTCGAACAGGGTTCGCAGTACTTGCGAATGAATACAACGCCATCTCCAGCATCTTGGTCTTCTGGAGTGATAAAGTGCCGTTATGGGGGTACTTCTTGTTACTATGGGTAGGTTTCAACCGTGCAGTGAATCCTACTTTGTCCCGCTGTCCACTGCATGGTACTTAGGAATCACTCACATGTTTCACAGTTTGCCTTTCTCGGCTTTCAGCTTCTCGGAATTGAGACCTTCGGCGAAGCTGAGTTTTGGCTGGCCCTCATCAAGCTCGGTGGTCTTGTCGCATTTTTCTTGTTTTCCATCATTTACGCATCGGGAGGAATTCACGGTGTGCCCGGCATAGGCTTCAAGTACTGGCATGATCCGGGCCCCTTCGCAAGCGGATTCCGTGGCGTTGCTACCGTATTCGTATTTTGTTCCACGTTCTACGCAGGCTGTGAGTCCATTGCCGTGGCTGCCACCGAGACCAAGAATCCGCGTGTCGCTGTACCTTTGGCTATCAGACAGGTCTTCTGGCGCATTCTCTTCGTGTACATGGGATCAGCTTTCTTTTTCGGCTTGACTTGTCCATCGAGCGCGGAAGGACTGGTGTCCGCCAAAAGCAGGGCATTGCAGAGCCCAATGACGATCGCCATCCAGAATGCGGGCTGGGAAGGAGGTGTCCATCTGATCAACGCCTTTATTCTTGTCACTTGTCTGTCAGCCGTGAACAGCTCTATATACATTGGCAGCCGCACACTGCTCTTCATGGGACAGGATGGAAAAGCTCCGCGTATTTTAGGCTGGACAGATCGACGAGGCGGTAAGCAGCTTCCGTATACAATTTTAACCCTTTCAAAAACAAACATCTGCCCTCTGTGGTCTGTTTGATCACTTGCCTCAAAGCCTTTTGTTAGGCTGCAGATTCTGAGACAGGCCATGAGCACATGGTGGCCTGATTATTCCTCCCAGTATCCATAACAGCTTCTGCTTTGGTATTTTGATAGCTGACTCGAGATGCTGCAGTACCTGTCCCGGCCATCGTTTTCACAAACGCATGTGGAGCACTGAGCATGTAAGTAGCTTTCGGGTACAATCTTAACCTCTCCAGGAAGAAGTAACTACTATATCTATGTTCTGTTTCACTGCTTGCCCTGAAGCTCTCTACCAGACTGCAGCTTTAGAAACAGTCAATGGGCACACAATGGCTTACTTCAACCCATTTACGATTGAGTCTTTTTCTTGGTGCTTGAATAGCTAAATGTAGATGCTGCAGGATGAACGTTTCCACTGGAGCCGGAGCTGCGTACAGCTACATTGTGAACCTTTCCGGCGTATCCACATTCTTGGTCTGGGGAAGCATTAGTTATATCCACATCCGATTCCGGAACGCGTGGAAGACTCAAGGGTACTCAGAATCTGATTTGCCATTCAAATCTCTCTGGTATCCATGGAACGCCTATTTTGGTCTTGGGGCCAACATCTTCCTAGCGCTCGTTCAAGGTTGGACGAATTTGAGCCCTTTCAATGCGGGCGGTTTTGTGGACGCATATATTCTTTTACCGCTTTTCCCTATTATTGTCTTCGCCTACAAGTTCTTCTACCATACGAAGTACTGGAAAGCACATGAGATCGATCTGCAGTCTGGAAGGAGACGGGACTTGGAGGAGGTAGAAGAGCTTGCAGAAGGCGTGTTGTCGGAAGAACGCCCGTGGTGGAAGAAATTCTGGGCAAGTTTCTAGATGTAATGGCATCTCAAGGCAATAGTTGCGTGTATTGCATTTCTAAAGACTACTAGTAAGGTCTGTGTCATGTTTTTCGCGTGTACATTTCCAGAAATTAACATAGATTGATAAAAGTGAAAATATCACGAAGCACCAAGGCTACGATACCAACCCCCTCCCCCCAAACCAGAAAAAGGGAAAGGGGTGTGTCTTGAACTTTTCGTGACTAGCGATGTCTGCATCAAACGTCCATATTGCCTAATTGACCGAACCGGTGCCACCCTGACACTACGGCACAGATTTGGTGCCCTTATTAGCATTTCCTGGTTGTCCAGAGCCACCAACAGGTGCTTTTGACCTTGTTCCGGCTTTGGAGACGCCCACAAGCTCAGCTAGTGAGCCATGAGCGGGGTTATCGGCACGCTTGATAAACATGTTGGTTGAATGCGCTGGGAGTCCGTCCACAACGGTGAACAAGATGCAAGTGACTGCGGTAAGGATTGTAATTCCACGCATAGTGAACTATAGAAACTCGGTTATAGAATGCCGGCTTGGCGGGAACAGTAAAGTAGTAAAGTGGTTTCGGGAATTGTGAAACGCGTTGTGTTATTCAGAAACGAAGCGATAACGTACAAGGCCAGAAAAGATGTGCAATCTGAGCAGAAATGCCTCACCATTTTACGGACTAACATATGGCACGTTGTGACGGACTGAGAGTAGCTTGACGAAGGGACAGCCCGTTTGTTGAGTTTACAAGCACATCCTTTGTGGAGACAAAGATGCGGTCTAGACTTACCGATACGGAAATGGACCATGAAAGTGTTCGGGCAACCACAAAAGATATATATCGTGTTGTCCGAAGTGAAAGCGTTTTAAATTGACCAGTTTCCCGGCATTTATCCCATGATAGATTTTTCGCGTGTGAAAGCACGAACCATTCGTCTTGTGTGTCACAGCGGATTATCGATATCCTCGGCAGGAATCGCAATCTTGTATCTATAGGGAGGTACTATCAGGTTGTACGATATTATTGAGCTGAACATGTCGATTAACCACTTATGCCTCCACAACCAAAAAGGAGGAGTTGCACGTCTCCGGGCTATCAGGTGATTTGCTCTGAGGATACAGGCTGCGGTGAATAAAGATCAGCACATGCATTGCTAAAAAAGTCACAAACAGACCTGAACAAGAAAGCACGCCACCGTTGAGGAGAGGTGACGTCGAAGCGGACAGAATAGAGCCTACAAGCCCTTGTAGACTCGCGGGCTCCCGACGCTTATGAAGTTGCCATGTCAAATTCCATTGTAGCTACGGTCAGTTTCGGTCGTTGCTAATAGAGTGACCATCATTTCCGGGCCTCTCACGTATTCGCGCCGTTTTCATTCCGTGATGGCAAGACTGAATCTGATTGCCCAGCATCGATATAGGTCAAGATAATTCTGTCTTTTACCCTGAAGTAGGTCTTGTTGATTTCAGGGGCTGAATAGGATTCAGCATGGAGAACATCGAAAATTAGTGCAGGATCTCGGCATAGACACAAGAGGCTTGACAGTCTCTGTATCATCAAATCAACTTTGAAATGTTTCGCAAGCCTCCAATTCCTCTTTTCAGGAATTTCGTCGTATCATAGAGTCGATCTCGTGGCTTGTTTTCGAGGAAATGTTATTCTCTTTATTGGTTTGCTTCAGGTAATGAAATCTTCAGGTTGTTTTGAGTTTCTTTAGCTGAAATGTTTTGAACACTGGACTCTTGAAGATCTCATGGCCAGGTCGAGTAGTGTTTGTTGTGTCTGGAGTTTGTCTTCAATTTCTTCGTATTCTGCGTTATGGCTGCAAGACAAAATGATGCGAGAGAAACGAGAACGACTTGAGCAATAATTACTCCACGTGTTGCTCTCCGGGGCGAGGCTTGTTGAACTAACAACAATCCTCTGAACAAGGCCCTCTGATATGCTGTTCCATACGTCGAAGATTAAAATTAGACCGGGCAGTGCTGCTGACACAAACTCGGCGGTAGAGGTCTCGGAGTGCACTTCAGCCGCAGCTCGACGGTTGAGGAGGATGGTTCGTGATCCGGCAGTACGGAAGCTCAGCAGCTGGGTAACGTAGTCACCACCGCCAGGGGACCGTCGTGATTCTATTGAACAGAAATGCAGTTTCATGCGTTGGGGGAGGGCATGGATGGTGGCTGAGGCCAACAACGTCTCGAAACCATTACAGTATTGCTCAAGCCCTTGGTATCTGGTCGCTGTTCCGTCCAAGGAATCCTCAGGGGATTTATGCATGTCTTCGTCCCCTGTGCAAATCCTCAGTGAAGGCTGAGGCGATCTGCATAAGTCCTCGGCATAGGCTTAATACAGCGGTTCGTGACTTCATGAATTGCATTGGAACAAGGTTTGCAACAGCTCTAGAAGCAATCCATCGCCACATCGTCATGAAAAGGGTGGGAAGGCTCAGGGGCTTCCCAAACAAGCTTGGGCCGCGAAAGGAACAATACGAACTCGAGTCCTCACCTCTTGAAACTTTGCGCCCTCAAGGTTGAAGTTTCTTGAAACCCCCTTTCCTCTTGAGTGCTATCTCACATGCCTTTCCTTTCCTCTCAGAGAATGCCTAGCCTGACGACGGTCGCCCGGCCCATGTTCGGCTGCGATAGAGTTCCTCAGGCCCGCTGGACTAGTTAGTCCTAAGTCGCGCGTGCAGACGCCATCTGGACATCCTCTGATCTGATGTCTGTTCACATTTCATGCGGAGCTGGGGCCTTCCGAGTATACTTAGTTTCCGTCCCAAGTAGGGACTCCTATCTGTTGAGGTAGTGGGGCGCTTTCGCAAATCTGCGTTGGATCTAAGATGGCTTCCGTCCGACAGTGGCGGCAATGTCAAAAATGTCAGTGCTCGGCGACTTAATCTCCGGCCTTCGATGGTAGCCCGGAGGCTGTTGTCGAGTCGTTCTGCACGCGAGGGTGCACATGTCGTCGCACGGCGTCCACGTGACTATGAACTGCATAACGGCAGCCCGCAAGAGAGGCACATATTAGGTAGCGTTGTTGCTGGGCGGTAGATCATGGTGGCCGTTCATCGTGGCAATCATGGCAATCATAAGTCGATCCACAAAGATCTCCCAAACGTTTGGTTCCGTGATCTACGCAACAGGATTTCGCCAATCGCTTCTCTTGGATTCGACCTGTCCACAAAACAAATCGTAAGTGGTGGCCCCTGGAAGCCCCCTCGATGCCGGTGACTATTCCAAAGACCCTGACCCAATCCCAGCGCCAATCACTCGGGATGGACATCAAAGCTGCGGACCTGGCTCGCGTGCAGCTCCGTATTTGCAGACGGTGACGGGGTCGTGGGTTGGACGTGGGCTCCCGAGTGCCGAGATGAAGCTTGTCTTGTTGCTGGTCGGTGTGGCCAAGAGTCTTGGGGCTTCTTGGAATTTCTTGGGACTTCTTGGAATTGCTTGGGAGTGCTTCACTGGGCAGCATCGCAAGTCTTTATAGGCGCAGAGCCACCGAGCCCACTGTTTGGTGCAACGCCAAGTGTCAACCCGCGACCCGCCAAGTCTCTCGGCACGCGCACCGCACCCCTGGCCCCATGAGCCTCACCACATGGGTGACGGCGGCTGATACCGCCATGTTCCTAGTCAACACGGCCCGTGATCTGCAGCCAGAGGAGTCTCTCAAATTGTTTGCTGCATTGCGATTCGCTCCCGCAGGAGGCTCTTGGCTGTCGAGTGAGGCTGAGAGACCGCGACGCACGTAGCGCAGGACATCGCAGACGCCGCCGTCGCCGGGCCAAACACTCCTCGCAGAGCTGCTGAAACGGCTCACTGTTCGCATTTGTTCAGATGAGGTTTCTGGAGATGGAGGAAACTCGAACTTCCGAGTCAAGCCTCGCCGTGACCCGTGATGATGAGATGCGTCCGAAGGAGAAAAAGGACGACCAGACTGTGATGTCTTGGACACCCAGAGTTGTATATAACAATCCAGCGGTTTCCTCCCAACCATCAGTCGGAACTTATTTATTATCATCAGCTTCAGCATCATCATCTTCATTCATCTTCGAGTCCGACAATCAAGCCGTCTTTCATACTTTCATTCGACATTCGTAGCCCGGGAGGCACTTCGACTTATTAATCCAACTAAATAGCAACACTCGACCTGTTTGACACAGTCACTACTACCTCCCTCAACAACATCCAAGATGCGTTCCTCCACCTCAGTTGCTGTGGCCTGCCTGGCCGCCTCCGTCTCGGCCCATGGTGTCGTGACCAAGGTGACCGGTGCCAACGGTGTTGAGATGCCCGGCCTGACTGGTAAGCTTCACAAATCTCGTTTTCTCCTTTTTGCACATATAGCCCCCCCCCCCCCAACACACACATAGAAAGAGCAGCGGCTAACATCAGACAAATAGTCGCTGATGGTACTCCTCGTGACTGCTCCTCAAACGGCTGTGGCTCGCAAGCCGACACCGCCATCATCCGCGATCGCGAGATCCAGTCGGGCGCTGTTGGACCATTGGGCAAGACCCAGGGCAACGGCCCCGTAGACCCCGCCATGATGATCAAGGTCTTCATGGGAGACATGGACGCCGCCCAGGCCCCCACCAACGGCGCCAGCTCGGGTGTCGGTCAGGAGGACGACCTGAGCGCCGCCCCGGCCGCCGCGAAGGGCAACAACAAAGCCAACAAGGTCCGCCAGCTCCTCGCCGGCCTCCTCGGAGGCGGCGGTGGCGGCAACAATGCCAAGGGAACCAAGAGCACCGGCCCCCCAGAGGCTATGGTCAAGGCTATGGCCGGCGCTGGAGCTAGCAACGGTATGCCCACCGCCAACGAGGACGGCACCGTCGACGTGACCTTCCGCCAGATCAACCAGGACGGCGCTGGTCCCCTCGAGGCCATGGTCGATGGCACCTCCGGCGGCACCGACATGGCCGCCTTCCAGGAGGCACAGGTCACGCAGAACGTGCCCGGCCTCGTCGCCGGTATCTCGGCCACCACCACCTCCGATTTCCCCGTCAAGGTGCAGATGCCCGCCGGCACGACATGCGACGCCACCGTCGGCTCCGCAACCAATGTCTGCGTCATGCGCCTGCGAAACAACACGCCTGCTGGACCCTTCGGCGGCGCCGTTGCCTTCACTCAGACCCCTGCTGCACGCAAGAGGGCTTTGGAGTACCGCAAGAAGATGAAGAAGGCCCGTGCCTTCCAGGCCTAAACCATCAGACTCTTTTTATTCTTGTCAGTGGGCGAGTAATTGGTGGCCAAGAGAAATCGGACTTGTAAATATTTTGGCTTGCGGCCGAGCTCTTGGGGCTGGAAAAAGAAGGGCTGATGATGAGATTCCTCCGACCTGCATATGGTGGCCCTGGAGGCTGATGTGTAACGATCCTTATATTATTTAGACGACTTGATGATGAACAACATACTGATGACAAAAAAAAAAAGTTCCCACTCTAATTTTTGTGAGATGCGCCAAATAGCTGCATGTCTGACTTTAGTGACGCCGATTTTGATGTGCTCATATGGGGAACAGACTTTACCCACCTATATTCGCTAAGCCGTTTAATGTCAGCAGAGCCCAGGTTAGTATTATGTCATCATGTTTTCAGCATGGGCCCCTGCCTGCGGTATGTCATGTAGCAGTGACAATCTTGACGATGTACAAGGTTCTTCCAGGGGTTCCATCATCGTAACTCAAGGCACAACACGAATTTCAGGTCAGGAAATGCTTGAGCTTTTGCATTACAAATAAAAAAGATCAAGACCTGGCCATCACCGTACCTAGTCAGTCAATCGTACGTTACTGCTCATTCACAAATAATCCTGCCATTCCCATGCCCGTACCGATACACATGCTCGTCAGTAAGATTTTCTTGCCCGTCCTACGGCACTCACTGAGGCCAGTGACGATCTGCCTCGTGCCAGTAGCACCGAGTGGGTGTCCCAGGGCGATCGCGCCGCCCTTGGGATTCATCTTGGCCCAATCCAGACCCAGCTTGTCACGACAATAGACGGCCATGGACGCGAAGGCCTCGTTGACTTCAATGACGTCGCAGTCACTCAAGGACAGGTTATACTTAGTCAGAAGCTTAGGAATGGCGATGCTGGGGCCGATACCCATTATGCGAGGAGCCAGGCCAGCAACGGTCGAACCGACGTACTTGGCAACAATGGGCTGACCCAGCTTGATGGCGGTGGAGCGCTTCATCAGGAGCACGGCGGCAGCTGGAACAAATATTGGTGGTCAGTAGGCATCGAACGAGCCATGCGAGGTCGAGACAAAGGTGCATGTGTGAAAGTAGGTGTCAGGTTGGCTTACCTCCGTCAGTGATCTGACTGGCATTGCCGCCAGTGGTGGTAGGTCCCCACTGGGGAAAGGCAACTCTGATCTTGCTCAGGCTCTCGGCAGTCGTGCCAGGCCTGATGCCCTCATCCCTGGTCAGAACGACATCCTTGACCTCGCCGTCAGGACCCTTGAGCTTGGTCTTGATGGGAACAATCTCGTCATCAAAAAGACCCTCCTTCTGGGCCTTCTCGGCGCGCTGGAAACTCTCGGCGGCATATTTATCCATTTCTTCCCTGGTGATGCCAAAGTCCCGACTGACGTTCTCGCTCGTCCAGCCCATGGGCTGCATGGTGTCGGCAGACTCCTGGCTCTCCGAGGTGACCGCCTCGTCAAAGGGCTTGTCGAGGGCATCGCCGCCGATGGTCATGGACTCGGCGCCGATTGCGATGCCAATTTCAATATTGCCGGCGGAGATGGCATTGGCAATGTCTGCAGTGGCCTTGAGCCCAGAGGAGCAGAAACGATTTACAGAGGAGGCACCAGATGCGTTGGGAATGCCGGCGGCGAGCGAGGCGGCGCGGAGTTTGTAGGCGGCTTTTGCGTCAGAGACCTGGACGGCGACCATGGTTCAGCGGCTGCTCAGACAAAGCACTGTCGGTGGGCTTCTTGGGGCCAGGATGGGGTCGCATACATTACCGAGGCAAATGTCCTCGATGAGAGCGGGATCTATGGCTGACCGCTCCTTGACCTCCTTCAACAGGGCGTAGACCATGTACTCGAGGCTGGTGTCCTTGAAGCCACCCTTCTTTGCCTTAGCCAGGGGCGTCCGGATGGCCAGGGTTATGACGATGTCGTCGGCATTTTTCGATGTGCTGTCGAGATAGATGTCCACGTCAGTGTCTGCTTCGAACCACGCGTGCGCAAGCCCGTCCTTCCAGCAGCAGGGACTTACATGGAGGCAAGGGAGCTGCCGGGAGTCAGGTGTTTGAGGATGGAGCCGAGTCGTTCTACAGCCATGATTGACGATGTCTGGGTGTATGGGCCTGTGTGTGTGTTTGTGTTTGTCGTTGGTGACAGGACAAAACGGGTCAAGACAATTCGGCTGGATGGTGAGCGAGATGAGAGGTGGTGAAGGGGTGATAACGACTAGTTGCGGACGGCATTGCGAGACGCATGTCGGTTGTGGTGTCGGTTCGTGTCGTGTCGTGGCCAAGGTCCGTCCTCGAGCCGGTGTGCCTCGGCAAACCGTGGCTGCCAAGTGCGAGTGCTGGGTGGCATTCTCCCATCGCCTTAGCACCCTCCCCGCGGCTCCACGGGAGTCCCCTGTCTCCGCCGAGTTCCGACTCCCAAGGTGTGTTGCGGGGAAAGGCGTTGGGGCCAGACCAGACCACTCCAGGCCGGTCTCCATTTTAACCGCCGCCCAGCTCCTAACCCGCAGGTAAACTAAACTTGCCCCCACCCCCCTCGCCCACCTGGCCTAGCAGCCCTAGCTACTGCACTCATCTCCCTTCCTTGTGCTTAGTGCTCGCATCCTAAGCCCGACGTCGAGTAGGGCTGAATGCGACTATCAAATTTTACACAGGCATTAATAGAGAAAAAGAAGCCGAAACCCCAAAGTGAGGCTGAGACGGATCGACTACTCATTCCTCCAGCCAACCTGGGCTCTAGGATTGACCATCACTGTCCAAACACATAAGACCTGTCGAGCAACATTGAAGTCAACTGCTCACGTTTCCCTGATGACTCAACCGGAGTGTCCATAGTCAGTTCGAGATGACTGCAACGCTCGTGCTTTGAGGCTTGATGGTGGGCTAGAGGGCCACGGACAATTGCTAGGGAAAGGTAATGTTTGAAGCCAGAAATGATCCAATCACCGTGACAAGTCAAGTGTTCTGGATCTAACACCAGTCAAAGACGAGACTGTATCGCTACGAAAGTAGTGGCCCGTCTCTTGCGAGGACGTTGGCATACGGTTTGAGTCAGTTGGTCGGTCACTCGCATAGGCGCGGTCCCAGTAGTTAGACTACTAGATATAGGTAGGTTTTTGCCAAGGCTCTCACAGATAGATAATGTTCGAGATATTTCTAACGCCTTAGACGATCCCAAGCCCAATCGATTGAATGAGAATTCCTCAATTGAAAAACTTGGCTTGAAGCTTTAGAAAGATCTCAAAAGACTCGATTTGCCTGCGGAGTCTTACAGTAAGTGAATGAGCTTGTCAATAAACGCGGTCTGCAGGATTTGTCAATCAAGCCCAGTCAGCCCGGCTGCGTAGAAAAGTCAAGGCACCCTCCTGCAACCGCCCGCGATGACAAAATGTTGCCTTGACAGCTCATCCAACGGCCTCGTCCAGGTAGCTCTGGGCCTTGTTACACAGACGAGGCCAGCCTGCAGACAGAAGGAGCCCTTTCTGCCTCTGCTCTTTCATCATCCGGCCTTTTGCATTCTGATGCCCACAGTAAAAAGACCAGGTTGATTGCACTGTCCACATCCTTGTCAAAAAGATCATTCAAGAAATTTCATCCTCCCCAAGGGAAGACAAACCCTTCAATGTGTATCGCTATCTAGGTGCAGTGTGGCGTCCAACGTACAGCTAAGGCCTTTCAATCCGAGTCGGGGGGAGCATCTTGAGTGAATTCTCCCAGGTTGCTTTGGGATCCCATAGCTGCAGGTGACAAGATCCACCAAGGCGCTGATAGGCTTGCAGGCTTCCAAGAGAGCAAGCTTTTGCTACTTAAGTCCTTGATTCCTCGCAGGGCAGGCACACTCAGAGCGAGGCAAAACAGTGTTTGAGCTGTGTGGCAAACCAGACCAGCTTGTGTTGCCTCTAGTGGACAAAACAGCACCACGCCTCGCAGGTGCACGCTTTCCTTCTTGGACCACGGATGCGCCTGCCCATTGGCCTTTCTGCCCAGGCACCCCTGCTCGCCACTCCTACCTACATACACACCTTGCTACACACAGTATCAACCTACCCAGGCAGGCGCAGAGACTCACTTACTCTGCTACACGCAAACGACGACATTGACAAACACACACTCCAAGCCCACCCTCACTCTGCCGCCTTTCCTTCCTCCCACCGGTGGCCGCCGTCTCACATCTCAGCCCCATAGTCCGTCCTGTCAAGACCGTCACGCTTTCTTCGACATGAATGGCCTCGCTGATTCTGAGGCCTTCAAGGCCTGCTATGCTCAGTTCCGACAGTCTGATAACGACCGTGACATTCTCATTTCACAACTTCTCAGCAATTATGAGGATTTGCAGACCAGGTATCAACAAGTCGTGCACCAACTCCAAGACGAGAAGGAAAATCGTGAGATCTGGCAGAGAGAGACAAGAGACGCCCGCAAGCAGCTCAATCAGTCGAGGCTGGATAATGTGAGCCTCTCCCCTTCCTTCTCCCTCGTCCTCCCGGTCTCTGTCTTGACTTCCATCTCTCCATATTCACTTTGCGCCACCCCTTGTCAGGTGGGCCCCTCGTCCCTGCCATCTCACCTCCCCTGGGATAATGTCCTCCGGCATAATCTGATCTGGGACAAACCTCCAAGTGCTAACAGCTGCCAGGAGTCTCAATCCTTTGTTGTTATGATTATCGATGGCGACGGTGCAAAGTTCCGAGACGACTATTTCAGAGCCGGCGATGATGGCGGTGGCCAAGCCGCGCAGCAGCTAAAGACACAGATCAGGCTCCAGCTTCAGGAGACGTACCGTGATACCAGCATTGACAACTGGAACATCCTGGTTTTCTTCTACGCCAACATGAACGGCCTTGCCAAGTGCCTCGCCTCCCGCCGCATCCTTAACACATGGACTGATCTCCAGAAGTTTGCCTCGGGTTTTGGTCGGGCCAATAGCCTCTTCTCATTTGTTGATGTTGGCTACGGAAAAGACAAGGCCGACCACAAATGCCAAGCCATGCTCAAGCAAATGCTTCACGCAACCTCATGCCGCCAGTACGTACAATCCTTCTCCCGTTACGGTTACCCACCCGTCCTGTATTTAAAATCATCCAGAATGCATCAATTCAGGCTTCGTAGCAGGTGACTAACACATCTAGTGTGTTCTTTGGCCCCTGCCGAGATAATGGATACCTAAACCTACTAGAGGAATACAAGCACGATCCCGTTAAGAGGGACAAGCTCACTTTGGTCACCACAGAGCCAGCCGGAGCTGGGTTCGTCAGCTTGGGCTTCAAGATTGTCGACTTCCCTAGCGTTTTCCGATCCGAACCTATGGATAATATCAGCACCAGATATCTGATGTCACCAGTGTCGCCTATGTATCACGATATTGGTATCCAACCTTTCCCACCTGCCCGCGGCCCAACCCGTGGCCCTGGCCAATATGCTATGTCGGAGGCAGGCTCTAACAGCTCCGCTCCCTCCGTATCGAACGGTAACGGAAGTGTCAATAGCGGTGCCAGTAGCGGTGGATCCACGTGGGCCGTGACTGCCAAGCTTAGCAATGGTCCGGTGATCGACATATACAGCAAGCAAAAGCCCTTGCCAAAGCTCAAGTACGCACTCTTCAACGCCGCCAACATGAGGGTCGATGAGCGCCTTCCGGCCGCGGACCCAACGGCACTTAGATCACTCGAGAACAAGGCCAGGTCACAGGGCTGCAACTTTTGCAACTACTACCACCTGACCGGCAGCTGCGATAAGAATGACAAGTGCGAGTATCAGCATGAAGCCAAGTTGTCGCAGTCCGAGCGATTAGCACTCTGGCACAAGAGTCGGGGGATCGTGTGCTCCGACCAACAGTGGTGTGAGAGCCCTTATTGTCTAAGTGGACACCATTGCAAGAACGTCTACGACGGCAGAGCCTGTATCTGGGGTACAAGGTGCTTTTTTAAGGATACGCACGAATCTGACGTCAAGGCGACCCTGAAGGTATTCGAAGATGGCACTCGCGAGGACCTGACATTTTGATGGCGATCCACATGTAATACTTTAGCTTCTCGTAGATGATACCACCCATGGTAAATAGACTGCGGTGGGCAAATATAGTGTCCACGCAAGTGAATGGTTGCCATAAATGAGTGTGCCTAATATATATTGGATGGTACACACCAGATGTCTGAGATCTCAGGAAGACAGCCTTCGTCTCAGTTACAAATACCTGGTAAGAAGGCGATATCCCAGAGTGCATATTTGGTGTTCCAGGTTCCTTGTTGTTGTCTCATATATAGCACAACGCTATACTTCGAGGGTATGGGTGCATCTATTAGCCTCCGTAGTTAAACATTCTTTTCTTGGCAAGGTTTAGACAGCACTGATGAGTATCGAGGAGGCCCGGGATGATTTGAAAGGATGCAACTTCATCGAGAAACTGATGTAATTAGGAATAGACGTCAGCCTAGCAAGTGCAAATCCACAAGGGACAGCGAGAGAAAATCGCTCAGAATTATCCTATATATCCACAAGCCGTCCATGAACAGGCAACTAGTGTTATAAATTAACCTCTTCCCTCTGATAAAATCATTCATGTAGACAGAGTCCTCGTGTTTTGATATGCTTCTATTTGAACAGCTTCTGTATTTGATGTCTACCTTTTTTTTTGGTTTCTATCTAGCGCCTAGCGAGCGTATGACCGATGTTTCTTATTCGAATGGGAAACGACGCGTAAGAGAGGGAATGTCGACCTGTTCTATTCTAGATGTTGCACAGGTTTCGCCGCATAATGGAACTGGCTGAAAAATATGGGCGCTCAAGAATACTTCAAGCAAGCATTTATATGATTAAGCCAAGGAATTCTAGTCGTACTTTAGCCACAGAGACATAAAATATGTCGCTAAGCAGTGAGTGTGTGGTTGAACATCTATTAATCAGCAGACTGGTATCAACAAATACGAATTACTTTTCCATTCCGTAATTTTACTTAGCTACTTGCAAAGAAGTCACAATTTCAAAAGCCTTCACATGGAAAGAATTAACTTGTGTAAATAGCAATGGTGAAATGTAAATTGCTAACAGAGTCACTCATCACCAACCCTGAATGTGAATTCTTATTGCCGCCTGGACTTCACTTCCAGTCCAGGTCACACGTTATAGTTCGTGTTGCGTTTTGGTCACGCAAATCTAGCTACTAAAATATTTGAAACCGTCGAATCACGCCACACCCAGTTCCTGGGGACAAGCCACAGACGGAACATGCCGTAAATCGCATGGTGATATACCAAAAAGTTCACGATAAACCCTTTTTACCAATACTTCGGAATAAGACTACCAATATTAAGATATGCTGGTGCCCTAGGAGAATTTAAATGTACATCTTTGAACAATCCACTGTGGAGAGAGGGTGACGACAGTGGCCAGTAACCTTATGCGCATAGCATCCGCCTGCTTCAGGACATCATGGATCAACAGGAAATGGGATCGAGAGCAAAGTGGAAAGAATTTGATTCATTGCTGAATGTTGCACTGCACCCGAAGTTTCTTCGAGGTCTTGCGTCTCAAAAGTATCCGAGTACCAACGCAGGGGAACGGCGTGGATTGAATATCACATAAGAGCAGTCGCTTGAGCGAACTTTTAAAAGTTCCGTCATCCCCTTTGCTCTCAAGTCTTTCAGGCGGCAATGTGAGTGCGCTAGGAATTTCCACATCCTTTCTTTGGCAGCTGAAAATGAGACCGCAAGCAGTGATAGAGAAACCCGTCAGTCCCCTGATTGCCTACCCGCAAGGTTGACAAGGCGCAGCGCCAATAGGATGACGGCCGGGCCGGCCGATGAGACTTTGCGTGCCGCCACAAATATGCTGTACCACATGACATGTTGCGCAATTTCGCCAACTTTTTGCATTGGGAACAGTCCGGCTAGACTTTTCTTCGCAATTTATCTGCGCCATGCAAAGCTGTTGGATGAGATACTCCTGGATACATGTACATTCTTACGTGGTGTGACACAGCTTGAAGGCCAACGGTCGACTTGCATTCGAAGAAGAGAGCCAATTGTTTATATACTGATTGGTTTTGTGGATTCAGCTCCCAACAAAAAAGCAATACATCAATAGTGGGCACTGGAGTGACCCAGCAGTGAGGTACTCCTCTTGCTGCCATGCTTTCTGCAGAGTCAGACCATATGACCGATTCAGATTAGTTCCTGTACTAGAAATGCCTCTCTGGTCGAATTTTACTTTTGCTTGGTTCACAACAACCTCGCAATTTACTTCCCTTGATCCGAAGGCCGACGTGCCTGTGCTCAGAAATAAATTTCTAAAGCTGTTCCAGAAGCTACTAGACAAGCTGTGTCACTAGATCGGAGCGGTCATGTCTAGAACTAGTCTCGACGGGACAGCCGCTTCCCCCGTCAGACCCAGCCCGCACATTCTATATGCATCGGGCGGGCCGAGAATGGCAATGAGCAGAAGATATCATATTGATCACGGCTACACGGTCCGATAATTACCATCAACTAATTAAAAATGGGCACGATATTAGCATGTGTGCGAATCTGAAAAGTAGCATCACAGTTGGTGGTGCTCAATTTTGAGAAGATATATTAAGTATGATGCGACAAGGTGCCCATCGGCGTTGTCTGCTGAATAGCTCAGTGCCACATCAAATATTCGCCACCGCTATTTACCATATATTCGTGATGATGATTACCATGTCTTGCATTATGTTCGTTACGTTGGTCCTGATGGTCGTCAGGACCCTCGTGAGGTACCTTATTCAGCTCAAGTCGAAGCGTTTTTGCTCGAACAGCCTTGTTCAGCGGTATCCCCACGTCGTGCCTTGCTTTGGACTTGACCTAATATTACAGATACGGTGGGACTTCCACAGGGGTCAGCTTTCGGAGGGAATGCGCCGGCGGCATGCTTTTTATGGCCCGACTTTCTCTACGCAAAACTTATTCGATGAATGTATTTACACAATCGAGCCCGAAAATATCCGCACCATTACTAAAAACAAATTTGACGAGTTTGAAAAGTCTGAATGGGTGTCCGAGGCCGCCAAGCACATCGGCAGTGGTATTCTTGTGAATGAAGGAGAGGCATGGAGGTTCTCGAGGGCAAAGTTGAAACCGATTTTTGGCAAAACTGAGGCACGCGAGCCTGCACTTCTGGAACCTCACGTCAGAAGACTCATAGCAAATATGGAGGCTTTGGCGGAGAGCGGAGCAAGTTTCGAGTTCCATGGGCTAGTCGACATGCTAATGCTGGACGTGGTCACAGAATTCCTGTTTGGGGAATCCACGGGTTGCCTCGAGTCTCCGAGGAGTCCGAAGGGAAAAGAAGGAGTCGAATTCTTGGCACGTGTCAGAAGTTTTGACGGTCCTTCAGCCAAGTTTATGGCCATTGGTGCACCAGCGTGGGTAGAGCTGCGATGTTCCTACCCCAAGTTGAATGACATGGTGATTGGGATGAAAGCCTTCTTTAGGAGGAAGCTGGCAGAAAGCATCCCTGGCCCGAAAACCTCCGAAGCTCGGTCATTCCCTGAAAGTGTGTTCAAAATGATGGAAGCCGCGGACATTTCTGACGAGCAGATACAAAGCGAGCTGCGGAACATCTTTTTCGCCAGCTGGGATACTACATCAGCTTTTCTAGCCAACATAGTCTACGTTCTGTTGCAGAACCACGGCGTTCAGGACCGGTTGCGCGAGGAGATCCGGTCTCTACATGGGGAGCCCCCTACAAAACAAGACCTGTACAAGATGAAGTATTTGCGACTGGTCGTCGAGGAAGGTTTGTGCTGCCCTACACCCCCGAATTTTCGGGACACTACACTTTGTCCAAACCTATATGACCTATTATTTACCATTCTATCCAACCCGAGCAATAACATTCTGTCTTTTAGGGCTCCGTCTGTACTCGCCGGTCACTTCACACTCGCGCCGAGCCAAACGTGACACCATACTTCCACGGGGAGGCGGACAAGATGGACAAGGCCCCATCATCGTCCGGGCGGGGACCACTATCGTATGGTCCACATATTCATTGAACCGTGACCCACAGTGGTACGGTTCAGACTGGGCAGAGTTTAAGCCCGAAAGATGGGCCAGTGTGATCATGTCCAGGGCCATCGGTTGCACGGCTGCTACTGCAGGACAGAGTAGCACAAGTTCTGACAGTGACGCTGGTCAGAGCCAGACCAGCAGTAGCGAGAACTCCAGGGACTCCTTCTTCAAGCCCTTTGGTTCAGGCCCCCGCGCCTGTCTCGGCCAGCAGATTGCCCGGAACGAGGTTTCGTATATAGTTGTGAGGCTGCTGCAAGAATTCCCGCGTCTGAGGGCGAAGGAGGAGGTCGAACCCAAACCATTCAGGGAGGCCAAGGCCGTTTCGTTCTACAATGCGTATGGGGTCTGGGTTTCTGTGAGGTAAGATAGGTATCGCGAGCCGGGAGAGGCAGCTGCGTCAAGAGAGGGATGCATCCCCAATGTCGGACCACATTCTCCGGGCCGAAAGAGGAGCGCATAGACCTACGGCGTGCTTCTCGGTATTCTAACGCACGGCACGGCACGCCGGTTGGCTGCATGCTTCAATGCGGATTCGAGACAGCGCGAGCGGATGAAGACGACCATGCCTGTCAGGCACGTCTTTGCCCGCACTTCCCCGGAAGACTTGTCTCTTTTTGGTATCGGTATGCTTTCCGTATCAAGCCTGTCACATTAGACTACGTAGAAGATCACCTCCAGAATCAGGTTTTTCTGAAACACAACAACGGTGCAGCTGTTGAAGAAATTCTCTCAGCTTTCTTTTCTTTTCGTATCTGTCGCAGAGCCTACTGCAGGGCTATCACCCCCCCCCCCCTCAAACGTCAACTCATTCGGCCGTCACTCGCTGTCGTGCATCGAGGACGACTGCAATAATTACGTTCAGACTGCCTAGGCGCCGAAACTCTAAAGGCCATCAAGCACAAAACTTGGGACCTCAATCAAGTGTCCCTGACATTACGGAGGATAGAGACATGACTGGGCTGAAAAGGGTACCGCAATTAAAAAAAACAAAAAAACAAGGGGGGCGCAGCTCCCAAAGCCACGCAGCCTTTCTCTAGGCCGGAGTCCACTCCAGTCAGTGCTGACCACGTTTTGGCATGTCCGCTTCTGACAAATCACTGCTTGAAGGTGACGGCGTCGAGCCGTCACATTTCATTGTGCGTCTGCATATCGACGCCTCATACGCAAGATGCAAGTTGTCGGATGCCGGCCAATTGCCGCGGCAGGTGGCGCCATTGTTGACGCTGATCCCTGTGCAAGCGGCGACTTTGCCCTCGGCCTTGCTCACCCTCAAGGGTCTCAACTCGAAATGAACCTGTTCGTGCAGTGATTGATAATGCCCAGCAAAATTCAACAGGAGAGCTCTCGCATGCTACTCGCATGCTACTCGCATGAGTGCCCAGAATAGAAACCAGCGATGAGCAGGCGGCTCGCTGGGGTCCTGGAGATGATGGAAGGTTCTGGTCCTTTTTCTGTCCCTCGCCACACAAGTACCAGACATGGAAGCACGGATCCGAGGATATAGACGTTTTCCACTAGTAACTTTGTAACGAAAGTGGTGAGCCAAATTGTACATGGAATACAAAGCCTCGAGAAGCCTCGTTTTTGCATTAGCTGCAGTTCATGAAAACGATGGTAGAAGGGTATCCTCTGATATAATCAAACAATTTTGTCCTCGTTACCAAAATGAATCTTTTGTACATCAGATCGGCATTTAATCGTGTGGTCTGGAGTATATCAAAACGCGTGGTTTTGAGTAGTTTCCCGAGCGTGACATCGGGAGCTCTGAGGATTGAGACCACGAATGGGAAGACGATTACCTTGGGACAGAGCCCCCCGACCGCCCCAATCCCAAGCATTACGGTCCACCATGACCGTTTTTGGGTAAGAGTGCTCATATTTGGAGACATTGGCTTTGCTCAGAGCTACATGCGTCACGAGATCAGCTCAATCGACCTCACGGCCGTTCTCGAGTTCTTCGTCAACAACAGCGTAGTTACCAAGAAACCCGCATCGGCTGGCTTGTTGCCGTGGCTCTTCGGTGCCGTCGGCTGGCTCATATTGGAGAAGCCCACGAACGACATCAAAACGTCTCGGTTCAACGCCAAAGAGCACTACTCAAAGAGCAACAACATATTCCGCGCGTTTCTCAGTCCGGACATGACATATTCCGCCCCAATATGGCTGCCAAAAAAAGACCCTCGCTCCCGAGTCGAAACACTCGAGGATGCGCAGCTGAGGAAGCTTGAGTATGCAGTGAGCCAGACGCGTTTACGAGCTTCAGATCATGTACTCGAGATCGGGACAGGATGGGGAAGCTTTGCCATCATGGCAGCTCGAAAATCCGGGTGTCGTGTGACGACCGTGACGCTGAATGATGAGCAGAAGCTGCTTGCTGAAGAGCGGATAATGCAAGCGGGCTTGAACGATCGTGTCAGGGTGTTGAAGGCCGACTATCGCGAGTTGAACGGAATCGGTCCGTTCGACAAGATCGTCAGCATCGAGATGATCGAGCATGTGGGACATGAGTTCTTGGGTACATTTTTCGAGTGTATGGATCGATATCTGAAGGTTCATGGCGGAATTGGGTACTTCCAATGCATCACGATCCCAGAGACGAGATATGAGCAGTACTGTCGAAGTGAAGACTTCATCAGGCGGTACATGTTCCCTGGCGGCCACCTGCCGACCGTCAGTGGGTTGGTCGCAAACATTGATCGTGGTTCGCGGGGTAAACTCATCGTGGAGGAAATAAAAAGTGTCGGTGTGAACTACCCAAGGGCGTTGAGGAGTTGGAAGGAGAGCTTCCAAGCCAACTTCGAGGTCAAGATTGTGCCCGCCCTGCGAGAAAGTAATCCCAGAATGACAGTGGCCGAGATCGATCTCTTTCGAAGAACATGGGAGGTGAGCAAACACATTCAATTGTCAGTTCGACTGAGGCTGACAGAAGACGCGCAGTACTACTTTAGTTATTGCGAAGCAGGCTTCAAGACCAAGTCTCTTGGAAACTTCGCCATCACGGTCGGAAGGGAGAATTGCATGGCTTTCCTGGAAGACCCATAGACTGACGGACTGTACCATGGCTGTGAAATTTTGAGTGGCATAAAATTCGTCCAGATGGCAGAAAAGATCAAGCAGCACGTTCCCTATCGAAATCGAACTCGGGCTCCGTTGAAGAGAAGTGAGGAGGGGGTGGGCAATCTCTCAGCATTGCTACAGCACAGATTCACCTCAATGCTGTCATTGTGAAGAAGTGCGAAGTTTTCATGAAGGAACTTGGGAATACCACTACGATCAGGACAAAAATAGTGTAGTCAAACTGATCATGGCCAAAACCCACGGTTAGAAGACACCTCCTTGCGGGGTTGTGAAGGGAAAAAGGATCTTGAGAAGAACAAAAAGGGCCCCAGCCAGACGGGCTGGCCGAAGCATTACAAGACATCTTGGTCATGCGGCACTGTTGACACTCAAGGAACGCATATGACACTAGGGAAGCAGCAGTACCACTTCATCCGCCCGTAGAATTGCCCAAGCTATGGTCGCCAGCCAGAATGCAGACTTTGTCAACTACTATGACGTCCGTATGCACCTGGTATCGCACGCGAGAGAATCAGGTAATGGCCACTTCCCAATTTCTCACCTGAGGACAAATCAGTCCCCCTGACCGCTACACCAAGATGCCTTGGGTCGTTAGGAACAAGCTGTTTTCAGTTATTTATTAGGGTAGGGCAAACCCGAGGCAGCTCACCCGTTCGAAAACTCATTTCCTGCGCTTCGACTCTGACAACAGATTGACAGCAATTTATCTTTACCAGAAGTGACGCCTCTTTATAATCCAAACAACTCCCTAATTCACTTACGATGGAACACCTTTGGTGAGTACTCCAAAGAGGCTGGAGGGACCTTTCCGACGCACGAATTGAAACTGGTAAGTTTTGCTTGCACCTCAGCTCGCTTCACTAATGATGGAGATGAACCAAGTAAGTTGGAAAAGCCATTCGGTAATTATAACCAGTGATTAAGCTGCTCAAAATTGCCACAGGTCATGAGGACAATCCTCATGAACATCCACGGCTGATTCACGACCGAAAGCAAAAAACAGACACCGACATCCTATCTTCAACGGACTGTGTGGTCAGATATGTCTACGACGCTTTATTTGTATTTAAGAAGCCCGATACGGCTCTCTCCTGAAGAGATACTTCCTAACCTCCAGTACAAGATCTCAGAGTCAAAGACCCGCGTGGCCTTCAGGTCGTGCTAACAGTGAGGATTGGTAAGTCAGCACAGTTGTCCAATCAAATGCCCGTGCGTAAACGACATGTCCCTAGACCCAGGCTACCAACCTCTGTCCAGACGAAGCATATAATCATGTTCCCATTAGAAACCTTCCTTCCATGAGAAAGATACGATTATACTGCTTAATTCCAGACCTATGCTTCCACACCCGCAAATCGACCGTGCAAGATGTTTCCGTCTCGCATTGGCAGCGCTTACTGCAATCGTGTCAGCTGCTACAAACCAAGAACAAGTTGTACCAAATGATTCCTCTTCATTCATTTCATAAGAATTTCAAGCCAAAGAGCGTATCCCCTCACCCCCAGGAGGCGACTACTCCTTCATCTCGACGTCCTCTTGCACGCCTAGGCCAGTGCGAGCGAGACGCTCGCGCATCTCCTCCACCGTATCGCCCATTTCAATGTCCATTTCCTCGTCTTGGCCCCCCGGATCATGGTGCATTTGTGGATGTCCCTCATACGCAACAGCCAAGGCACCCGTAGTCAGAGTATGGGGTGCCACCGCCACAGGATCATTTCCCTGGCCAACCGCCCCGGAAAATTCGATCACCGGCGCATGGACCATCGCCCACATTTCGAAGTCGGTCTGTCCCCAGTAGTCACTAGCTATATTGTGGAAGGTGTCGACGCTGTGGGCAAGAGGGCCGTGGTCGCTGAACTAGAAACAGGAGATGCAATGTCAGCACTCAATCGCTCGTCCGTTCCTCGCGATATGGGTCAGGAAATCCATCTTGATGAGATACGACAAAGCGAGAACGAAACCGCTTCCTCAGATGAGATATGAGTCGAAGTGAAGGGAGAGGGAGCTAGCAGGACTGTTTTGAATGAAAATAGGGTCTCCGTCATGTCATGACATTTGGAGATAGATAAGCTATAATAAGAAGTGCCACGTACGTTGAAGGGTTCGCGAGGGTTCGCGTACCAATCGAGGCGTCGTCGGTAGACCTCGAAGAAGAGATTGATGAAGAGCTCCTCTTCGAGGGCGCCAGCGCGGGCCCAAGAGAGGACGCCGGAATGCCAGAGGTGGTCACCGACGAACTCGAAGGCCTCCATGCCACGCAAGAGGTCAGGTTCGGCGTCAACGGCGCGACAGGCCGCGTCGAACATACCCGCGAGTTCTCGTTCTATGTGGAGGCAAACGTTGCCGCCTGAGACCCTCTTGGGGACGGCCAGAACTCCGTGGTCGTGCAGGGCGGCGACGACCTGTCCAAGATCAGTTTCAACGTTTCCTCAAGGTGATTGTCAAATAGCCGATCATTGATATGAAATGATCAGAACAGGCCATCGAAAAGTAGTCTGAGGACAGTCATACTCACAGCACGGTCCTCACGCTCCTGGCGGAGCACGGTGGAGCGAGGCTCCCAAAGAAAACCGGCGCGGGGCACCGCGGTGCGGAGGGTGTGGCGCGCTGGCGCCATGATTGTGACGATGATGGTGATGTTGTTGCTGTTGCTGTTGCTGTTGCTGTTGCTTTACTGCTACTGATTCTGTTGCTGCTGTCGCTGCTTTTGGTGCGTTGCTGCGTTGTTACTGGGGAGGTGAGCGTGGGTCTAGGCAGCTCAAGTTAACCTTGATACCGAAGCCTTCAATTGCAGGCCTAAGGCGGTGGCCTAACTATGAGCTCACATCCATTGAATATGTTACTACGGAAAATTGTGCACGCCCTTGATACCAGCCCAGCTACCCCCACTCATCTGTTCATATTCACCACTATTAGCTGGGTATCATAGCAGGCTTCCTCATGACTGTGATCATAAATTCATTGCCTTACCGTACCTACAAAATTAACAGTGAGGCATGAAATGCTATCAACTGGAGCCTATTATCAACGAAGCTCCCCACACACAACATCGGCGGGCTGAGGGTAGAATACATTTCCTTTGCCGAGAGGATTACATATCTGAGCAATGATGATTCCGATGATACTCGAAGGGTGATGTATTTGAGACAGTGGACACAGCGGCCTGGCTTGGATTATAGGTATTTGTGCTTGTACTCTTTACAAGTGAAGGAGGAATATGCGTCTGAAGTCATTCTGTAGTATCATTGATGTCCTCAGCCCAGGCTGCAGGACTTTTCTCATACTAAGACCCCAAAGACAAGAACAGACGCCAGAAGTAGTATTATTCATCAATGGCCCACAAGTTCTGCACTTGGGGCTTTTCAGCGTCGACTCCGACACTGACGACAAAGGTACCCTCCTGCTCGTGCCTGAAGCCTCAAAGATTAAGAAACATGCCAGATTCGACCCCTCGCCTCAGCTTGCCAGCAATCCCGTCGCTGGGCTCGCATTCACCTTACCAGCACACTAGACCTCCGACCAGGCAAGCTGTGGCAGGGAGGACTGGGTCTGGCAAATATGCGATTGTTTGTATTCGTAGGCTTAGTTGTGTTTCTAAGGGCAGAAGGGCCCCAGGGCACCCTATTTAAAGACGTAGTCAGACCCACCTGACTGAACCCCCCCCCCCCCTATTCACTACCACACAAGCTATGGTTTCGAGATGGCGAGGATATCATCAGCCTTGTTGGTGCGGGAGACGGGCTCAAGGACCTGTTGGAGTTTCCGCAGTTCAACGTGGGCCGCTGGGCACTAATGGCGTCGATTGCCTGGATCAGTTTCCTGGACCCTCAATGACCTGCTTGGTGAAGATATGCTGTCCAGTGCCTGGAGATCGACATGAATGACCATATACGCCGTGGTTTGGACGCCCTGGAGCAACGGCAAATCAAAGACCTCGCAGTTGACGCTCCATATGATCGCGTCCTCGGCCACGCCATCATGGCGTTTTACGCCCTGAGGCTCATGTATTCCACCATAGATATCTATGCCGTGTGGGAAGAGGAGGACAGGCCTGGTTTATGTACCAACACTGAAGCTGTCGCAATTCTTCAGGAGCTTCGAAAGGGAATATGTTCACACTCTCGAGGCTAAAATCTGGGGCCCACATGTCATCTGTCGTGTCGGTGTCCGAAGAGCAGAACGGCGGATGAATCTGGCGGTCGTTCTTCAGAACCTGAAGGTGGGCTCTGCTGTCCTCTCAGGCAAAGAAGGTATCGAAGACTCCAAAGCCGTGGGAGTACAGCCTCCCAGCGTACTTGGATGTTAAGACAGCTGCATGGCTAGAAACTTGCCAATGACTGTAGCAATCAACCGTCTGGGTTCTGTTAAGAACTGTCGTCAGTGACCGGGCTGCTGAGTCAGCGGAATCCACCCTCGGACAGCCGGCACAGTACTACGCTACGGTGGTCCAGTAGGTACCTACTAGTCTACTGGATACGTGCGGATTACGGAGTACGGGATTACCGTATCATCGGCCGCAACGCAACAGGTCTCGTCTCGTCTTGTCTCCTTGGCCTCACCCTCCTGACACTGCCAGGCCTCCCTCAAACCATCATGGCCGCATAGCACCACGTCAATCCTTCTTCCACAACTACCTCGATGAAGTCAACATCAGCGCTACCCAAGAGCGCCGTCTCTTTGTCGTGATCATAGCAAATTCCCTTTCTGTCCACCGTTCTGTCGCTCCTTTCTTCGTCTTTCGCCTTCACATCAACTCGACTCAACTCGATCGGATTGGTCGCCCTCAATCGTTCCATTCAACTCCAGTCCAGGTGCTCTCGCTAACCCACACAACGAATCGCCGCAAGCTCGCCCCTTCCCAATGACGACGTGTATCAGCCATGGCTCCCAACAAAAATGATCATCGCTACGATGCCCTCCCTCCTATCCCGACCTATGATGAAGCCATTGGTGGCAATAGCCGGTCCGCTCTCGATGAAACCCACTACGATCGCACCGCTGCTTCGCCATACGATGCACACGACGACAGCGACTACGACTCCGATGGCCTCCCCAACACCCGCGGCAGATCAAGCACCACGAACGGCACCGCGCGTTCGCAGCGAAGACCGGGTGGCTACCGACCACCAACAGTCGAGACCGATGATGAGGATTCAGGGTCAGACGCTGGCGCGGAGGATGACTTAGTTCGGAGGGAGATGCAAGAGTTGGAAATAGACGATGGCGCCAGCACCCGCTCATCATTATGGTCAAAACGGATACCCTTTTCATTATCCCTACCGCAGTGGAAATGGTCTTGGCGCTGGCGATTACCAAAATTACCGTCTATAAGGCTGGGCGAAAGAGCAAACGGTGGTAGCAATACGGAAAATGAAACACCAAGGCGGCGATGCTCTCCAGCTATGGACTCCACTGCAACATTTCTCCTGGTTGGGCGCGTATTGGCCATCTTAGTCGTCATGGGCTTTCTCTGGCTCTTGTTCATGAGCGACCTCTTCTCCAACATGACGAGGCGGCTCGGCGGTGGCCAGATGTTTGATCCCGAGAGCGTCCGCATACATGTTCAGAGCAGTGTCGATCGAGCGCAGATACGGGAGAACTTGAAGCATTTTACTTCGTATGCGCATCTTGCTGGCTCTGAAGGGGACTTCGCGCTGGCGATGGACACCAAGAATCTATTTGTCCAATACGGGTTGGAGGATGTGACCGTGGACGAGTACTACGTATACCTAAACTACCCAAAAGCCGACGGGCGCGCTGTGGAAATCCTCGACGCCCAAAACAAACCAGTGTGGGCTGCGAAGTTGGAAGAAGGGGAGACGGGTGGTGAGACTGCTGGCCACCAGACGTACGTTTTTCACGGGCATTCGAAATCAGGAACTGTTCAGGGGCCGTTGATCTACGCAAATTACGGCTCGAGGGAGGACTTCAAGAAACTGTCCGACAGCGGGATCGACACCAAGGGGGCGATTGCATTGGTGAAATACTACGGTACACAAGGCGATCGCGCGCTCAAAATTAAGGCCGCAGAGCTCGCCGGCTTCGCCGGCTGCATCATTTACAGTGATCCCCGAGATGACGGCTTTCTACGGGGCGACGTCGCCCCAGACGGACGCTTTATGCCTGCGGATGGCGTGCAGCGTGGTGGCGTCAGTTTGATGAGTTGGGTGGTTGGTGACGTCTTGACTCCAGGTTGGGAGAGCAAGCAGGGACTCCCTCGATTGAAGCCGGATGAATCTGCGGGGCTGGTGAACATCCCAAGCTTGCCTCTGGCCTGGCGCGACGCTCAAGTGTTGTTGCAGCACATCAAGGGGTTCGGTCAGCCGGCCCCGGATGAGTGGAAGGGTGGAGTACCAGACATCGGCGAGTGGTGGACTGGCAATTTGTCGGGGCCGGTCGTGCGCCTGAGAAACGAGCAGGACGAGGTTGCCGACCAGCCAATCTGGAACGTCTACGGCCGCATAGTGGGTATTGAGCAGCCCGAAAAGTCCATCATCATCGGCAACCATCGTGACGCTTGGTCCTACGGCGCCACGGACCCTGGATCCGGCACAGCAGTGATGATGGAATTGGCCCGCATTTTTGGCGACTTGCTTGATCGCGGCTGGCGACCATTGCGTACGATCGAGTTCATGTCGTGGGATGCCGAAGAATATAACTTAATTGGGTCTACCGAATTCGTTGAGAAAAGCCTCGAGCGCTTGCGAAAGGACGGATATGTTTACATCAACGTGGATACCCCCATCGGGGGCGACGAGTTCCACGCCTCTGGCAGTCCCGTCTTCCAAAAGATCTTATACCGCGTCATCGACCGCATTTATGACCCAAATTACAATACAACGCTCCGGGAGCTGTGGGACCGCCGCAGTGGCGAGCTGGAGGGCCTCGGTGCCGGGAGTGATTATGTTGCGTTCCAAGATATCGCAGGAACGTCGTCCCTGGACCTCTATTTCCAAGAGTCCGACGGCCTGCCGAGCCACCCGTACCACTCAAGCTACGATAATTTCGACTGGATGGACCTCGTCGGTGACCCTGGCTTCGTGTATCACGGCATGCTGGCAGAGCTCATGGGACTCATCATTCTGGAACTGTCCGATCGGCCAGTTCTTCCTTTCGACATGGCTGCTTATGCCAACGCACTATACAAATGGACCAATGAGCTATCTGACTGGGCGGAGAAGAGAGCTGTCAACCAAGACGGAAAGGCGATCCTCGATATGAACGTCCTTAAGAAGGCGGCCCTCGGGACCATCGATGCAGTCGGGAGTTTCCAGGACTGGGAGCAGGTCTGGCAGAACAGTGTCCTGGCAGCGAACGGGTGGGAGCCCATCGGCCTGGGCCAAAAAAGGACGGAGTACAATGACCACATGGCGAATTTTGAAACCGACCTCCTGGATCTGGCCAGGGATGGTGGTGTAGGTCCCCCCCCCCCCCTTCCTTTCTTTTTTCTTTCTTTTCTTTTCCCGGATTTCTTTTTTAGATTTCCGCTCCTGCCGTCGCCCTCCTGGTGGAGCTTTCTTGGACTGACCCATCAATGAACGAACAGATTCCCAACCGTACACAATTCCGACACGTAGTCTTTGGTCCACAGCTCTGGTCTGGCTACGACGAGGCATTCTTCCCCGCCATTCGCGACGTTGTCGAGAGCGGCAACTGGACGCTGGCCAACATCACCGTTGAAAAGACGGCGCGCATCATGAGGGATGCTGCCACGGCGCTGAAGAACTGGTCCTAGTCAAGATGGATAGGAGAAGGCCAATTATATAGACATGGCTGCCCACATTGAGATGGGGGATATGGTCATCTCACTCACCCGCTTGCTCGCCCATTCACTGGGGCAAAGAGCAAGGAAAGTAAGTAAGCAGGCATGGCATGGCATGGCATGGCGTTAGGCGGGTTCATTGATCTGCCTTCTACTGGAGGCTCAGTCATCGACGGGCTGTTTGATTTGTTATTTTTGCACACATTCTTCTGGATCGGTATTTACCGAGGGCCGCTTTCCTGAATATTATCACAAGTAGTAGTTCGTGGTCTTCCTGGCCTCTGAATGAATCTACTTAATCGAATGGCTTCCGATGTCTTCGGGAGCAGGAAACGTTAAATATGTCTCGCTGCACTTGACAGCATCTGTGACGTCTCGTGGCTCTCTGGGCCAGCAGATACACATGCGGCTTGAGGAGGCGAATCAGTCACAAGGCGTTCATGGTAATTACTTAGATGTGCATATTTACAAGCAGGTCATTATACGTAACTGCTTTCACTATTGATATCTTCCTGCCATGTGAGAAACATCTGGTGCTGGCTGGATTTCGTGATAAGGACATTTGGATCTTGTCTCTCCCTTTCCCGACTCAGACCACGCCATTCCTCCACCTATTGACGAGCTGTTTATTTTGGAGTCAGAACGACTCCCTCATATTCCTTGCTCTTGATGATTTCGAGCGTGTGGAAAAAATGCTTCTTGCTGTTCTCGATCGATGCAGAATCTTGCTGGTTGCCGGCGAGGTTCGAGTGGATAAGCTCGATCAACCCGTTCAGATATTTTGTGGTGACCTTGTGGAGTAAGTCAGCTAGTGTCGTTACTTGGAACTTTCCATACGTGAAGTTTGGGCTGCGTTCGAAACTTACCGACTCATTATGTTGGTCAAAGTAGTAGACGTATCTGTCCAGGATCTCAACAAAGAGCTCGATGGAAGTGGCCGTCTCCATACAGGAGTCGGCCACCCGAAGTGCACGTTGCAGGCACTCTAGGACCCGTTTGCCGTCACGGTAGAGCTACAATCCAATTAGCACCATGTTTGATGAATCGTCGACGGCGTCAGACTCACGTCCTTTCCATCCTCCTCGCCATTTCCAAGGATCGGCGTGGCCCACCACAAATGGCTTGCCAAGTACACCGCGCGGCACTGATCCGGCTTCCTCAGCAACTTGCTAGCGTGCTGAGCACACTTGGTGATAAGCGTATCGTAATTCTCCTTCCCAAAGTTGCGCGTGGTATGCAGGGCGCTAGATATCACGCACACAGCCTGGAACTGTGCTTTGGAGTCACTAACTGCCTCCTCATAGACAGTGAAAGCCTGCGCGAAGAATTCATAGGCCACCTCCTCGTGGCCTGTCTGGTCAGCCGTCTGCCCGCAAGCGCAAAACAGGCGCAGGGCAAGTTCCGAGGCACCGGCGCCGTTGACACGGGTATAGAGTTGGGAAAGAGCGGAATGCATGAACTTGTACAAGGCCGACGACTGAGTGGACCAGTTATCTTCGTAGTGTTCACGTTTCTTGTATCGTCGAGCCAGCTTCATGCCTGCGGTGATGAGAGGCGGTGTTGTGGTGCGGATGCGCTCGTTGCCATCTGCGTAGGCCTTGCGAGTCATCTGCAGCAACTTGAACTGTGTGTCATTGTCCTCGCCTTGAAGTAGGTGTACCAGCCGAGCCAGCCAGCCCTGCTCTTCCATCGTCTCATCCGTCTCCATGGCGCGGGCTCGTGCTGACGAAACGCCTGGGTAACCCTGAGATTGAGAGCCTTCTTTGATCAAGACTGCGAGCACTCCGAGCACATTTTCCAGGTGCGCGGCTGTGGATATTGGCGTTTGATTCTTAAGAAGGGTCCGCGCAACCTCGCCAGCGACCGCACGCCTGGTAGGGTATGTCTGGGATTGGAATAGGGGCACGTAGAAAGGGAGGGACAAAGCGGTGAAAATGGAGACGTATCGTTTTAGCGGGGCTTGAAGAAGCGCGAGCAGACTTTGTTGGGCAACAGGAGAGTGCAGGTCGGCGCTGTTGGCATGCTCGTGGACTTTCGCGTTCGCATAGTCCAGAACCTGATCGACATAGTCTAGTCGTTCGGGGTAGATATTGAGAGCCAGATTTGTGAGCGACACCAGCAGTGCGATGGTGTCTTGAATAGGAAGGCGTTGCGCCTCAACAAGGTGTTGTACCTGGCCGAAGAAGATGTCGTAAAGTGCAACATTCTCTGGGATGCCACGGTGTTTGACTGGTGACCCTGGCTCCTCTCCGTTCACAGCCGTAACTTCAGTCTCTGCTACCGAAGCTGCAGGCTCTGATTCTCCAGGGAGGGTGTCGCTTGTTGACGCAGCGTCATCTCCGTGGTTGTCTCCATTCTCGCCCGCGGTTGGCTCCTCAGACTTGTCGTGGGATTGGCGAGCCGGCTGGGGTTCCTCGTACCCAAGCTGGGCCTTTTCCAATAGTTGCACCAAGGCGTCCTGTTCGACTTTCGCCCTGTCGTCCGTGGTCTCGTCTTGTGCCTCCCTTTCTGCATAGTCCGACAGCCTGTCCATCAGACCGATGACGATGGCCTTGACATTGACGTGTGGGTTCAGACGTGACACGGCTGCGAGGAACTGATCGAGAGTATGAAGGTGGTACTCGTCGGGAAAGACCTGTGTGATTACTTCCAGCAGGTACTCCTGAGCGAGCACGTCACGGCACTGTACAACCTGCTCCAGGAGAGGACCGAGAATTCCATTCTTGTAGGCTTCTAGATCCACCAGTTGGCTCAGGCGCACGATGTTGCTGCCGACTAGCAGCTGGAGCTCTTTGCGCTCTTGTGTCCGCATGTCGCGTTCCCTGGAGTGACCCTGATGTTGCAAGCGGACCCATAGCTTATTCATCTCGACAAAGTTTGTGAGGATGAAGTTGATGGAGTCCTGCAGGTTACCTTCAGGGCCATCTCCTTCCCCTGCTGGGAGGTAGTCCCTAGCCTGCCCGGACAGATAGTACCTCAGAAACAGGCCCCTTATGGGATGTTGGACGCCTCTGCTCATGTCCATCATGTCCTTCATAAGCTCCTTGACCGGTGCCCCCTCGATAGACATGTAGGCAGTGCCGACGGTGATCATGAGGTAGAGCCGAGGCACGATATTGCCGGCATACTGGACGAGTTCATAGAGATCGGCGAGGTGGTTCACGGGGTGGTTTTCTCGGAGATGGACAGAGAGGTAGCGGAGGGCATCGAAGACGGCCATGTAGAGCTCGTAGTACTGCTTGGGGCCGAGACTGGATGTTCGCAGCTCGGAGACGAGGGTGGAACTAGATGAGCAAGAGCATGTGAGTCCGAGTCCAGGGGGCTGTTGGCCTGTCTGTGTGAAGCTCCAGATGGAGACGGCGTGGTGCGAGAGCATGCAGCATGCGGATGGGGGTGTTTGGCTCGTGACACTACGTACCAGCATTTCAGGGCATCCATGAGCTTGCCAGGCATATCCAGACACTTGCGCATCAAGCCGGTCTGGTGGCGCACTGCCTCGAGGGCATCGCTGAGCAGGCGGACCTGATCCTCGGGCGGGGCAGGGGCAGCCATGGCGTCGGACAGGCTTCTGATCTTGCGGATTGATTGCTTCTTCTGCTCGAGATATCGTCCACCGATCCACCCTATGGCGGCCTCGCCGTACTGGGTGGGCGCAATAGTTCCGTCTCGGTGCAGGGTCGGGCGCCGCAGTCGCACTCTCGGTCGCAGTTGCGGTTGCTGTCACAGTCGGGCGGTTGGCCGCGTTGAAGGGTAGGAAATAGGGTGGGAAGGAGATGCGAGCGGAAGGTAAGCCAAGAGCAGGCAGGGTCGTGGACGCCGGGATAGCTGGAATTAGTCCAGAGAAGATGGACGGGACGTCTGGGACAAGGGAAGGCGACCAACTCCTGCAGCACCCTGGCAGTCAATCAAAGAACCAATCAGTCAGTAATTCAGTCAGTCTATCAATTAATTCATGGACAGCATACTGGGTATGATATGGGCACGGCAGCAGAAGGAGCGTGGGCTTGGGCGTGGGCGTGGGTGTGGGTATCTTGTCGAGCTCTCCCACCTTAGCACAAGCGAGCTCCCGCTTGCTTCGTCACCGTCAGACTAGGTAGACTAGACAGGTAGACAGGTAGACTAAGAAGCCGCAGGTGGGTACCAGTCCCAAGGGGCTTGGGGGGGGGGGGTTCGAGCTGGATGACTCAGCCTGCTCAGCACCCAGCTCCCTCGCCTTGGAGACCGTCTCCTCCACTGCCTCTTGCTCCACCACCCTTACCCCATTTAGTCTATACGCGTTGAACCTTGGTACCCTGCCAGCCTGCTTGGACTCGCCTTCTCAAGTTGTCCTCACTTGTCATCCTTGTGCGATTCACCATTGTGTCGGTCTATGCCGGGTCTGTGTAGGTCTCATCCCCCGAATTTCATGTGAGCTCCAAACTGGTCTGATCCTGAGCTTTTGCATACGCCGGGTCAAAGTTGGATGTCGGTGTTTTTCCTCCTTGCTTCTGTAGCAGGACGGGTCTCTTTCGTATTCTCAGCATCAAATAATGAATTCATATCCAGTAACGTACACAAATCATAGCTTCGCCCTTTGACTTCAAAACTCTCCCAATCTTCACATCTCAATTGCCATGTGACATCCCAATGGCATCATTCCCATTACATATTTGAAACAGTCCACCCAGCTTTTCGTAGGAATTCTATTTACGGCGACAAATTTAGCTGTTTGTAGTCATCATCACGGTCATGGAATGGGGTTGATTCTCATCTTAGGACAAGTCTCATCTCGAGTACGGCGCCGTGCATCCGCCCTGTCAGACTCAGTAAGGCCAATATCGTTAACAGCAAGTTATGTATCCTGAGCTTCTCTCTGCCACCCTGTTCAGCTCTCGCAGCAACAGGCTCTGGTCCTCAGCGAGGACCACCATCCGATGAACTTTCTTGCATGTTCAAGAGCTTGGTTCAAGTCAGAGGCCGTGTGGCAAGATTTGCATCTCACTAGGGAGATCTCGGAGGCCCAGGTACGAAGGCCCAGGTACGGAGGCCGTAAGCATAGACCGAGAAGACTTACTACACCGAATCCAACAGCAGAAAGAGATAGAGACACTGGCAGGGTTTTGCAGAGTCCTCGCCTTGCGATTTAGATATTTCGACAAAGGAATGGCTTCGTAGTAACAAGCATCATCCATGATCACATTCCCATTGAATGTGAACAGTCATTTGACCTTCACACACCTCGCTACCCTCGCAGCCATCCAAGTCCCACAACGCTGAAAATGCCCTGACGGCTCGCGGTGTATTCACGCACCAACGTTGACAGCTTGGATCTGAGCGAAGCCGGCACAACAGAAGGACGCGCCAGCATGTACAATCTTTTTCCACACAGCCAGCTCTTCGTCGTTACGCGGAGCGTAAATGAAGGTGTAATTCCATGGCAGAATTCCCCCACCACTCAACCTGTGCCGCCTGCCCCATCCCAATTCAATCACCCTCTTCTGATCTACCAGGCTCATTATCAAATGCGTGCTCCCGTCTGGCGGGTGAATGTGACACATTTCACCTCTAGTACTCCGCAGAATCTCGGGTCGGTCCTGCTCGTCGGTTTGTAGAAAGGCCCTCATCCCCATCGCCGGAACCGGGCCCTCCAAGACACTCGTCTGTGTTTGCAAGACATGATCATTTGCGGCAACTAGTGCATCCAGGTGCGCATACATGATCTTTTTCATCTCGGAACTCGCAATATCGCTGACCTGCCTCTGAGGAGCAACGAAACCAGGGATCTTTGGTGCTTTGTTCCCGGCGCGCCAGCTAAGCCCTTCAACGGCGGTCTTGGGCAGGAAGCTTTCTCTGTCGTATGGGCCTGCAACAGCCTCCACATCGTACGGGGCCGGGACGGTGGTGTCCTTTCGGGATTTCAGAGACATGCGGAGCTGAGTATACCAACCCCAGAACGTATCAGGAAGACCGTGCGGGCCGAGGGCGATATAAACGCGGTAGTCACGGTAGGCAATGATCGTAGCTCCAAGCAGAAGGGTAGCGGTAGTTGTCATGACAGGGCGGGTTCTGAGGTAAGACGCCATGGTTTTCAGACCGTCCATTTTTGAGTTCGTAGAATTATCGTTGGGCTTCCAGCCTCCTCGCCTGTGGCTTTTCAGACTGATTATTTCGAAAAAAAATGCCCAGATGGTTATCTAGCTTTGAATGATTCTCTGCCAACGGTCTGGGAGATACAGGACTCGGTCGAGAAGAAGCCTTCTTAAATGTAAATTCATCTTGATGGCCGTAATAGGTCGTTGCATTTTGAGCTCGAAACACCGAGGTGAACCGTGACACAGGATCACAAAAACCGCCATGCTTTGCACTTTGGCAAATACAAGTCGATGTAGGAGGTCGTAACCCCGAAGCAGCAGGGAGAAATCCTTAGTACCTATGTATTTACACGTGACTGTGCCACGCTGCTAGCGTCGGATTTCTCATCCTGCGCTGAACATCGTCATGAGCTGCGCACATTGTCTTACATCCGAGCCTCGGCGATGAGTCTCGGATCTCCGAGCGAGGCATCTACCAATGAAAACATGAAAGCCGTTTCAACTCAGCTTGAACCCACAGTATTTAACCCAAATGAACTCTGACAACTTGCCACATTTGTCAGGCGGAGCAGCGTTGCTAAGGCGCACAGCATCAAAAGCACCAACAGAGGGTAACCTCGTGGTAACACGGGGGCCTGAAGCCGCACATGATATGGCCACCGGCTAACGAATGGTCACCTACGGCCTTCCTACGAGGAGTGGAAGGCAATGCACAAGCGTCCGTCATAGCCAAGTGGACTCCAAGCCTGATGAAATGACACCAGGAGGCGATATAACAGACAGTGGCAGTAAGATATTCATATAGTATGTGTGGTTACGACGAATATGCGGTTTTCCGCTGGAAAGGTTTTGTGACATTGCAAGTTTCGCCCTTGCATCTTTTTTGGGAAAAAGCTTTTTGGCATGCCATCGATAGGCGGGTAGAACACGGAAAGGTCTTTGTGATCTCATGCTGGTCCTGGACGTGTTTGTCGATGCTGCAACAGGAGCGCCAATGGAGGGTTATGTAGAATTGGGGAATCTTCACGTGCTATGCTTGGGTCGCCAGGCCACGAATTCACTTGCGGAGAAGACAATCTGAACAATTTGCTGCTATCTTCTTACCTCTTAACGAAGGCTGAATGAGCAAACATGTCAACCCTCTACCGCAGTCCTTGGATATTGAGGTGTTTTCCTGCAAAGTAGACAAGCTGAAGCGTGCCTTAAGTCAGTGAATTGTGTTAGTTGGTGACTAGAACGGTATTACTAGTTTCCCCGTGGATGTACACTAATCAGAAACCCCGCAAATATCGAAGATTTTGAAGAGGAGATTGGTAAGCCTCTGAATACAAGACATATAAGTATCACCAAGAATTCCACACTAAGACGAGATCTTAATAATAATTGCAACGAATCAAGTCACTGCTCTTTTAAAAGAATCTTTTAGTTCCTCATCCCAACCAAGACATTACCCCCCGATATCAGCATGGCCAAGACTCAGTCCGCGATCACCTGGCCGGCCAACTTCACCCCGGGCGAAACAGACAACTTTGTATCCAACGAAGTCATCGCCAAGGGGATCACGTCCGCAGAGATATGGGCGCTACTGAACGATATCACAAAATGGGAGTCGTACTACCTAAATTGCGGCCAGATCACTGCGCCCGAGTCGGGTCCCATGCTCAACAAAGACGACATCTTTAAATTTGCCACGTTTGGTTTTCCGCCGCTGACATGCACTGTCGAAGAGTCTGTGACACCGGGGAAATCCGCCGCGGGAAGGCTGGCGTGGAGCGCTGAGGCGGGTGAAGGGGTCGCAATCTATCACGCGTGGCTTGTGGAGGACTTGGACGGTGGCAGGGTGAGGATTCTGACACAAGAAAGCCAGGTTGGGCAGATTTTTAGGGAATGGTCGGAAGCGAAGCCGAACAAAATGCTGCTGGGCCACCAGGACTGGTTGGATGGGTTGGTTAAGGCGGCAAGAGGGCAACAGGTGGACGAGACGAACCTAAAGAGTGTTGGGTTCCCTCAGAGGACTTGACGTACTTGATCGTTGAGGGCGCAGGAGCCGCCCATGTTCAATGCTGGCCTGGCCTGACTATCTCGTTTATCAGCCCGCGAACGCAGGGAAGCTGAAGTTCGTCAGTGTTCCAGGCCTCATGACTGGTCTCAAATGTATTACACCTCCCTTCGTGGGAATGTAAAGGCATGGCTCCGCGCGTCTTGTAACTTGAGACAAAAAGGAAATATACAATGTGTAGGGTTCGGGTATGTGACCGGGCACATGAACACTACGTCACTCCAGAGCTTGAAGTGAACGATGTACTCGCTCTTAACGACACATCTTCTACATTGGCATCACAAAACGAGAAGAAACTACCCGTCATCCAGGAAGATGACCACTCCCTCTTTTTCGCTTACCACGCACCTCATTGATGTTGACCCATCGGGGTACAAATCCGCCACCGAAACTCCCTTTCTCGCGGCGGCCGGAGAGGGGCGTCTCGACAAGCAGACCCTGGGCAAATGGCTTGCTAACGACCGGCTCTACCTCCACGCCTATATCAAGGCCGTCGGACGTACGCTGTCTGTCATCGACCTGCCGCAAACAACCCCGGAGCCAGCAACTGAGGCGGCGCCCGTGACACGATTCGTCGACTGGCTCTTCTCTACCTTGACGGCTCTGCGGACGGAGGAGCGCTTGTTCATCGATGTGGCTCGCAGGTACGACCTGCCAATCGACCTTGAGACTATGACTACCACCGAGGGCGGAAGGCATGTTCTTCGAGTCCCAGGCACCTCAAAGCTGCCCGGTCTTGTCATGTTTGAAAAGCTCTTTGGGTCGCTGCACCCCGCTGCGAGCGTCGACAGGAGCCTGCCTCTCCCATGGCTGGAAGCTGCCATTGTCTTTTGGGGCACTGAGAAGACTTACTCCGACGCTTGGACATGGGCCAAATCCAAGCAGACCGGGAACGCTGGACCGGAAGATGCAGACGGAGGTGCCTTGAGAAAGGAATTCATCCCAAACTGGGCTAATAGCGAGTTCGCGGCCTTTGTTCACCAGCTGTCCGGCATCATTGACCATGCTGTTTCCGAAGTGTCGAGTGTTCTGGGCGGAGATGTTCAAAACTCACTTGTTCAGAGATCGGAGAAGGTCTGGAGGGAGTTAGTAGCTGCGGAGACCGCTTTTTGGCCTAATGTCTTTTAAGCCTCGACTTCCACCCTCTCGTTTTCCAAGGTCACTCGAGAGCAGACTGCACATGCACCCCGGCGTTGCCGCGGCCCAACACTAGCGGCCTGTCTTCCCGTGAATCGATGCGAAAGCAGGATGACCGCAGACGCTAGATCGCAGGAATGGTGGGTTCTTCAGCCCAGTGTCACATTTGCAAGGGCACCTTTTAAGCTGTACACAAGATAAGTGGCTGTGAGGATACGAATGTGATTATCGCGTCTTGAAAATTAATAAGACGGAGATCTAGATCAATATTGTATGGAGATACTTCCCGTGGTCTCTATCCGCCCCTAGTGCCTTTCTTGCTTGGGTAATGCCTGGTCTGCCAGCAATGACGACATGACTTAACAGTTTTCTCCCCTTACAAAATCTACGTACCAAGTTCATCAAAAGCGGATTTACCAAGTCCCACTTTATGAACTGCCGTGGCATTGTGATTTCTAATACCAAATCGCATGGTAGTAATGGTGACTTCATAGCCTGGTCTGAATGAGAAACTAGACATGATATAAAATAAAGCGTCACACGCTGTACTGGTAACTTGGTCATGTATTCCACAAACCATTTAAAGACTGGAAGACTGAACATACTTTCACGCATAATATTACTGCAGTGAAAATTCCACTTTTACTTGTGTCTCAGGAATCGATCAGAAGCTAGTATGGCGTCTACACGTTATGAAGCCGAGGATGTTGACCCCAGCCCTCTGGGCCAGCCCCTGAAGTTCGAATTCAGTGGTCTGACAGCAAAGAATCGTTTTATGAAGGCAGCTATGACAGAGCGCCTATCAACATGGGATGCAAACAACCTCGAGAAGCGAGGCATCCCGACACCAGAACTCATCAACGTATATCAACGATGGGGACAAGGCGGCTTTGGGGTTATTCTGTCCGGAAATGTTATGCTCGAATATGACCATCTCGAAGCTCCCGGAAACCCGATCATTCCTGTGGATGAACCTGCTCAGGGCAAAAGATTTGAAGCATTCAAGGAGCTGGCTACTGCTGCGAAGAAGGAGGGGAGTTTGTTTGTGGCGCAGTTGAGCCACCCTGGACGTCAGGTGTCCGAAGACGTTCAGAAGCACCCCATTTCTGCAAGCGATGTACAGCTTGAGGGCGACGTCATGGGGATGAAATTTGCCAAGCCTCGGCCGATGGAACAGAAGGATATCAGTCGGGTTATCGAGGGCTTTGCACATGCGGCCGAGTACACTCACAAGGCCGGTTTCGACGGTGTTCAGTTGCACAGCGCCCACGGCTATCTACTGGCCCAGTTCCTTGCTCCATCAACAAACAAGCGTACCGACCAGTATGGAGGCTCACTCCTGAACCGCGGGCGCATTATAATGGAGATTGCAGACGCAATTAAGGCCCGTGTAAAGGATCCATCCTTTAGCTTGGGCATCAAGATTAACAGTGTCGAGTTCCAAAAGGGCGGTTTCAGTCCGGAGGACTGCGCTACGCTGTGCCAAGAGCTGGAGAAACATGGTTTCGATTATGTTGAACTCTCTGGTGGTACGTACGAGGAGCTGGCGTTCACACATAAGAGGGAATCCACAAAGAAACGGGAGGCTTTCTTCCTCGAGTTCGCCGATACCATAGTGCCAAAACTCAAGAAGACCAAAGCGTATGTTGTCGGCGGCCTGAGAACCGCTGGCGCCATGGTGAAGGCTTTGGACTCTGTCCACGGAGTGTCACTGGCAAGACCCATTGCGCATGAGTTTGATTTGCCCAAGAAAATTTTGGAGGGCAAGGTCAAGAGTGCAATTCAATACAAGTTGGATGAGCAAGACTTTGGAATCACAAACATGGCTGCTGGAACACAGTAAGTAGTCAGCATCTGCCCGGGCTCATCAGCAATGTGCTAATACCATGACAACAGGATCCGACTCGTTGGGCAGGATAAGGCGCCCCTCGATCTGAGTCAGGAAAAGCACAAGGATGCGTTCTTGAAGTCCATGGAGAAATGGTCTGAAGGAATGGCTAATAATAAGGACGGTTCGAAGTTTGGGTATGTGGATATTGAGGGCACGCAACTTCAACCTTTTGGGGCTGCTTATGCTTCTTGAATATATGTTTTGATTGCAAGCTAAGGCTTTCCTTGCTCGATTCCAGTCGATTTTGTACCTAATTAGAGCCTTGTCTCAAATATTCATCTCGCATTTCTCATTATTAACTACACTTGTCCCGCTGAGCTCTGCCAAAGTATTGACGGACACCCAAAGTCGCCTCCGATCCATTACCGTTATGCTTGTACAGCCCGATAATGAATTTGACGGCCCCGCGCCAAATGTAATTTCGAAAGATGGTCACTCCAAGGACACACGCTTAATATTGGTTGTAATATCGCTCACCCAGACTCCGCCACAGCCCACGATGCTCTTTTAAACCATACACCATGGCATTAACCAAGCCTGTAAGCTGTGTCATTGCCTGTAATGCTGACAGCCAACTTGACCTGTTGCCGCTGAGTTCGACGAAGCGATTTGCTAGACCTGGGATCCACACAAGTATGTAGGACAAGGGAAATGCGCTGAGCAAGAACCAATGCCACGTTTCCTGGTCGAGCTTTGAGCTTTGTATGATCCGCAGCCGTGGCTTGAGTGCAAGTCTCCGCTGTCTCGTTTGCCTCTCTACATTATCATCGTACGAGAAAGCCGATCGAGTCAATTCGGGACGCTTGATCGGGGTTTCTTTGTCTTGCAGATGCGAGTTAATGAACTGTTTCGCCTATGAGTCTCGGACTTCGTGGTACTTACCATCATCTAAGCCGCCACCCAGAACAGGACTCTTGCCTTTCAAAATATCATCGTGTGCGTGCATCAGTTGCTCCTCGCCCTGCGTCAACTCTACTTGGGAACCGTAAGTTATAGAGTAGTGGTGCTGGTTGCTGTTTTCCCTCGCCATCAGACGTCGACGGACGAGAGTGAATATGATTGCATAAAGGACAATGACAACGACGAAGATCAACATTCTCCAACCGTGCCCGAGAACATATCGCAGCCATAATGGGTTTGGTGAGATCCAGCACCAATTTCCTGATACGGGTTCAAGTTTCCCCAGGGCCAGAGCAGTCGTCCCTGTAATAGCTGGGATTACCCACACGGATAAGCAGATGAGGACCGTGAGTAACATCGACGTGTCGGAGACCCAGCGGTTGAAATTCAGCGTCATGAAGGTCAACACGGCAATCGCGAGGACGGAGAAATCTGCCGCCTTAGATATAAATATGAGCAACAAGTACCGTTAATACATAATCTGCGGCACTCATACTTACCTGGACTGACACTTGGCCGAGCCAACCATTGAAACTGCATGATGGGCCAGTAGGAAGCAAAGCCTTGTGAGCAAGGACCCAACCGCCAGAGAAGGTGTTGTTTGTAGAGTTGATGAATTCTGTTCGCACAGCGAGCATTAGGTCAGTCATTTGGATGTTGCTGCTCGTGGAGGGAATCGGCCTGTCTCACCAGCCAAGGTCAAATTGATAACGAGAGCATATCGGCTCGACCTTTTCTTGGCGGGATCATTGGAAATCATCCACATGAAAAGCACTGCGGCCGTAGCAGCACTCGACAAAAAACTGCAAATAAACGTAGGTATCGTAATCGCAGGTTGCCAGGGCATGGTGGCAGTCCAGACGGCATGTAATTCTAGAGGTGCAAACTCGAATGACCAAGCGATGAGATAGGTTAGGAATTCATCGAAACTAGCATAATAGCGGAACCAAAAATACCTAAATGAGAAGAAATGACTATTTTATTGCAGTGAGGCAGTGCGGTGGAAAGGAGGTACCTAATCTCGCGTAAACACTGGGCTTAGGTAATTACTGAATGACTTATAAGCTGTACGGTCGCCAGCCCAAAGATGACCAAAGTGGTTGGATGCAAACAGTATCGTTGCGTTGCATGCAGATTCTGGGGATGCAGCCTGAAGCTTAAGTGTGTGTAACCGTTCCATTCTCCAAACACTTGAGTTTGGTCGCGCTCGTCGCCGCCTTTGGTTGCACGGCACGGCGAACCTTATTCTGAAACGGTAACCTTATAACAGCACACAATATCTGAGGTGCTGTGTGTGCGATTGGAACTTTGTGGTCGAAAAGGTCAGGGCGAACAAGCTTTGCTAGGAATCCTTTGCGTTGATCTCGATGAGTGGACAAGAATTTGCAAGTGATTCGTCACGATTCAGACTTTCCGCCTATGCTAGTGAATCTTTACCGCGAACAAGTCTCGATTCAGGCTTTCACACGGTCAAACTGCGAGTCCAGGAGGTTTCGACAAATTCAATCTTAATCGGAAAACCACTACGGGAGATATAATTGTGGATCACTGTGTATCCGAGCAGACCTCAGCCCTACCCCTGGCTTCTGTTGACTAGATCATCAGTCCAACAAATAACCTTGAAACACTCACGACAATCTCTTGAAGATCATATACGTACCTTCGGCGGGGTTTTGAGCTGATCATTCCTTGTCCACCTTGCTCCCGAGCAGACACGAATGGGACCCACATGCCCCTATGCTCGTCCCAACCCAGTCGACCGGGACCCCGGCTGTCTCGGCACAGACTACAGATATGCCCAATTAGCCGTTTCACTCTATTTAACAGTATTTGGAGGTCGACTTCCATCCATTAACACCCTGACACCTTTCTGAACGCTGTATGATCACCATGTCGGACGCATCGTTACCCGATAACTTGGTGTCATACTCTCATTATTGCAAATACATTATATAGAATTTCTAGTGATAATGATTGGTAGCGTAAGATCTGACGGTCAATTTGCTTGAATCAGCTTTCCGCCCCCCCGCCCCTCCTTTTTGCCCCCCCGCAAGAGCTAACTATTGGAATACAGTCCGTGGTTTGGGGGGGAAGGCTTTAGTAAAGGCAGGAAAGCTGTCTTGTGTGGGCGCATGGGTAACGATTATCGCTGACTTGGCGGCTATACGGACTATATTTTATAACATGGCTTGAAGACAGCGACTCAGGGGGAGATCCTGCTCAAGGGAACGCCGTTGCTTTAAGAGTAAGGCTTGATTGGTCAGAAATATGCTTTGGGCTCAAGTCTCATGGTTTCGGGTTGTTTTGACAAGAGCGAATCGCTCAAACTGGGGACTCCCTAGGGTCTCGTTTCCGATCGGTTGCACAACACGCGGATTTAGGAGCCAATGGATGAATTGTCACGATACCTGTCGGCATTTTCGGCTTGATCGGTGGGTGAGCTTAGCAGACGGCCGCAATGTTTCGTCTGACAAAGTACAACGACACACATTTCACGACCCTCACACTTTCTCCTCATGTCTTACTCAGTGCTTGATATGATTCAAGACCATGATACCTAGCCACGAACTGAGGAGGGAGGAGAGGCCTTGTCAGAGGTGTGAAGTTGACCGAGAAGAGATAGGCTATCCCGGGTCTTTAGTCGGAGATATGTTGTCGTCCCGAACTTGGTAGGGTGCCCAACTTATTTCATTTGCTTTGCGTCTGATCAGGTTGCATCAAAGAAAATTGTATGTTCTGAAGGGTGAATGGTACTATGCGGTGGTGTAGGATATAAACAACAGTAACACCAGTTATCAGATCAATGATCGGGCGTTTCACCTCCCTAAGTATAAGAGCTAACACAGCTAATCGCATCATTCTGGTGGGTGTCGAAGTCAGGAGTCGTGATTTTAGACCTTGGTCAGAGCCCATTGTCTAATCATCGCTGTGGTTTTTACACTGTATCTCATCTTGCACCGCGATATTCTCTCATCCGAAGTGATGCTGCATGACTCTTGACGACAGTGCTTCGTCGTAGCATGGCCTTTCAACTGTATTTTGATGCTGATCTGAGAAGAGCTTTGCTTTGGCTTGTGAGAAGATCGCTGCCCAAATGAACACCGTAGAATGTGAACAGAATTTTGTGTCAGACAAAAGAGCACAGCAAATATGCATCGATTTCGCTGCAAGCCAAGTCGAAGGCCGAGTAGCACGGCTGGTGTGGCCCAGCATTGATTGACACAACTCTTAGTTGATTGACAGAAACCTTTGTAGAAAGTGTGTCGGGTGTTTTGTCAACGCTGATGGCCGATTGTTGGGGTGGCTGCAGGACGATGATTGATACAACTAAGTTGGTGTATCTTTGTAAGTACCTGGATCTCTAATCCCGTATTTTTAAGTCTTCATATGGGCCTGGAGTTATGTGAGAAGATTAACCAGGAAGAAAAGCAAGTAGTAACTAATTGACAAGAGTGAAGGAAATAATCAAGGCAGTTCACATTCGACTATTGCGCCCTTCCAGGCGTCAAATGTATAAATAGGATGAGAACATCTCATTTATATAAACATTTGAATCCTCCCGTACGTAGAACGATAGGTGTCCATCAGTATATATTACAAAAAAAATAACTTAGATAAGGCTGGGTTTGCGCAGATACCTTTTCGTGATTCAAAAAATGAACGAACTCTTTTTTCACATATTATTGGAAAGTTAAACCTCGTGTGAGGGATATCCCTCGCATTCTCCAATGACGATGGCTACTAAGCGAAATCAAGTTGCTCGAAGGGTCCAACACCGCATACTACTTGTCCCCACAAGCCAGATAAATATATAAGCATTAGCACTTAAAGAAAGAATGTATACCAAGCAAGATTAATTACCTCCAAACTAATTTCAAACCCTCATCAAAAGCTGGATCAAGGCAGACTGAGCTTATGAATAGCACAGATTGTAGCTATAGCATTCAAGTAAGCTCAATTGCCAGAAACAACAGCACAGCCCATTTCCCTTGTCCTCCGCTCTAGATCTGCCGCTTCTATATACGCTGACAGTCACATGTATCTCGTGTGCATACTATTATAGACTCACAGGGTCCGAGGCTTTAACCATGCTTGAAACAGTGGCCGAGTCAGCCTTTTGATCCTTGGGCTTTGAAACGTGTTGGAGGTGGCCGATATGTGTTTTTCTTTTTTCTCTTTCTCCTTTTGTTTGTTTTCAATTCGTCGCTTCTGGAGAACACTCGCCTGGTCTGCCTGGCGTCAGCGGCCCATTGCCTGCGAAGCTCTATCAAACTATACCCAAGTAGACTAAATCATGCGCCATGGTCGTGACGCCCAGTGGAACAAGAGATCCACCTCGAATTGAATACGAGCAAAATATGTGTCACTTAGCTTGGAGACCCATAAAGCCTGATGTGCCATCTCCGGCACGCTGACTTGCTATGTTTACCGTTGTCTCATGACCCGGACAGAGCATCTGACAGACTATACCATCAAGTTGCCTCAGGATCAGACCAAGCAAACACACCTGGAACAATATGCTACTCAGCATCAGCAAGCATTTTCTCCGAGAAGTGGCATAAGAAGCTTAACTCACAAGACCCCTACTTGCTTTTAGGACCATATGTTTTGCCACACAATCGCACTGAGTGCTGCTAAGTCTACAATTCGCAATAGCTAACGAAAGATCATAAACTGCTCCCCGATAACGCAATTCGTTTGTACCATGAAGTATCACAGCAGGTGGGAAGCGAATCAGATCCGGTCAGCCCTGGTGACACGGAATTGAAGTCCACGCCCATTCTGCGCATTTTCTTCTTCGCAAGCTCAAGATACCTGTAATTGCGGATAGTTGCAGATCGAAGAATTGAGCTCCTCGGCATGTCGGGTTTCGAGGTATTGAGTCTCGTCCTCAATCACAGACAGCTTACTTCCGAAGAAATAAGACGAGGTCGTGAACGAATGGTATTACTGCTTTAGTAGGCGATAATGTTTCTAGCTTTGTCAGCATAAACCCAACACTGTAACGACGATTCTCATGGTTTTGTGGAAGACTTACGCGAGACAATATTGCAGCTCGCCCCTAACGAGAAACCTCGCTCATGTGTTAGTTGAATACGACTTTCGTCGAACTCTGGTGGCGGCACCTGAAAGCCTAAGCCCTGCCAACTCGGTTAGGGGTGCTTGGACGAGCCCCTTGAGTAGCTCATGAGATTTTCAACCGGAAGCGGCCCAGCTCGTCGGAAGGGGGCCAGGGGCTACGAGTCAAGCCGACCCATGTCGTGGGGTATATCAGTGGATTGTAAGAACATAATCGCCTGTTTGCGTACCTGCGTTAGTAGTTGGAAACGGTCCGAAAAGCTGGGGTTGTGGGGACACGCGTGGTCACGATGTAACGGTAAATAAACGAATTTGTCTGATTGATTTGTTCGCGGAGGTGTGCTCGGATGGACCAGGCCAATGTGGGTCCCATTAGAGGATGTCAAGCAAGGTTCTTATCATCTGCAGTTGTCCACAGCTATATTTAAGGGGCGCGGCCCCTCCAGTGTGGACAGCTAATTCAGCTGGCCAGCATAACACCAACTGGGCAGCGGCATCGTGGGTCCAGAAAGACGACACAAGAGGAGGACAAAATGGTTGCTCAGAAGTTTGGCGCCGCATTGGCGGCTCTAATGTCGTCGACTGCCGCCGCCTCGTCGATTTCGAGACACAGGAACACTGCACGTGCGGCAACTCCCGTCGTGCATCTTGACAATGGGCTCTCGGTGCAGGGCCGAATCGCTCCCGCAGCATCAACCGTTGCAGAGTTTCTCGGCATTCCATACGCACAGCCACCAGTCGACGACCTACGATGGGCACCTCCTCAGGATTATGAGGTCGCTTCCAACAACTCGGTTGTAAACGCCACAGCATTGCCACCTTCCTGCTGGCAGTACATCTCAGTTCACCCAGGTATTCTTCGGACCGATGCACCGGAGTATATGATAGGTAATGCTGGAATGGCCGAGGACTGCCTAACGATGAGCATATGGGCACCAGCAAAAGCTCTGGAGGCCGAGGAAGGGTTGCCAGTCCTCATCTGGTTCTACGGCGGAGGGTTTGCTACCGGCGGAATCGATGTTCCGTACCAAATCCCCGTGAACTGGATTGAGAGATCGCAGTCTCACATCGTAGTCTCGTTCAAGTGAGTTGTATCACTTTCTTAAGATGCATTGATCCGAGGCAGCATTCTGACCAATTCGCAGTTACCGCCTGAACATCTTTGGATTCCCCACCGCAGCCGGCCTGACAGAGCAGAACTTCGGTCTCATGGATCAGAGATTCGCAGTCGAATGGATCAAAGAGAACATTGCCAAGTTCGGTGGCGATCCTGAGCGTATGGTCATCTGGGGACAGTCCGCCGGATCAACCGCCGTAGACCTGTACAACTTCGCATATGCCGAGGAGCCCATTGTGAAGGGCCTGATCATGGACTCTGGCACAGCCCATCTTGACATACTAATTAACCGAGAAAACACAGATTTCTCCAGCTTCAGCCTTGTGGCAGCTAATCTTGGCTGTGGGAATCAAACCAGCTCCGAGGCGGAACTTGCGTGCATGCGCAAAGTGCCTGCTTCAAAGCTCGAGAATTTTGTCGCAACGTACGAGGATTCGGGGGCCTCTCCCTCCATCAATTTTATTCCAGTGGTAGACGACAACCTTGTGTTCAACAATTATACACAGAAAGCTGCGGACGGAGAAATGTCTGACCTGGTAAGTGCCTAATTATCCTGTCATGTGAGCAGGCGAAGTTCACTGAAAACATGGCTGATCAACGAAATCAAAGCCTGCAATTATCGGCTTCAATGAAAATGAAGGCCTGTTTTTGACAACCTACAATGCCACCAACCCAGATTTCGCAACTGCTTTGGAGTACTCATACGATTATTTCTGGTGCCCGGCAACTTTGACAACCTAGTAGGTCGCCTCTTCTGGGCGCGAATTAACGACCCCTACAGAAAACTGACCAAGATCTGCAGTGAGCGCCTTGAGAACAATCGCATCACTCACCGGTACTATTATACCGGCAACTTCACCAATATCAGCCCTCAGCCCTGGATGGGTGCGTACCACGAGTCCGAGCTTCCCATGCTGTTTGGCACGCACATGGACTTCCGCGGGAATTCGACCCCGTTCGAGTATGCCGTCAGCCACACCTTGCAGGATGCCTACGTTGCATTTGTCGCAGATCCGGTAAACGGCTTGAACTCGATCGGCTGGCCTGCGTATGAGGGGCCCGGAGGGACTGTGATGCAATGGGCAGATATGTCAAATCTGACTTTGGCTCACCTGACGACTGTGACAGAAATTGAGGAGGGCTGCCAGAACAAGGGTCTGCTTACCTCGCTCGCCCAGGGATCGTAATCGAGCATATTCACGCTTCCTGTTCACATGTACAAATTTCAGGATAATAGTGTCCGGTAGACCTTATTGCATTTTCAGGCAAAGCGTTTCTAAGTCATCAGTTCTGTTGTTAGGCACAACTCTGTCGAAGACAACACCCGCACAGTAAATCTTTACCCAAGTGTGTCCATCTCCGTGCGAAAGAAGTCCGTCAGTCCCTTTTCTATGGAAGCAGAGATAGCCGCATACAGAATCATGCCCGGACACTTGGGCACAGGCAGATATTTCACATCCGAAACGACGTCGAGCTCTTCGATTCCTTTAACCTGAGACAATTCTGTGATCCATTGAAGGCTTTCATGCTGGATGAGGCTCAGCAGCCTGATATCGGCCTCGCTCAGCTCTTGCACGCCCTCCCACGGCTGCCCTGGCCTGCCACCTTCTACCACGAGCCGCAGCTTCTTTACGGACCTTGACTGGGTCAAATAACGGCACAAATATGACCATTCGTGTCTGTCGCTGGTGCAGTCCAGACAAGGAAGCGGTCCCCGTTTGTAGACGGAGATGCCGGTGACGAGAGACCGGGCGTGCGGTGAGCGGTCTTGAAGAAACGGCACGACAGCCTCGATGTGATTCCCGAACTCGAACATATGTTTGCCGTAGAGCATATGGCAAGTCTCGTTGTGAATGAGACGACAGACGCTGAGTATGGAGGTGTGGAACTCGGCATCCGCACTGGCGAGGTGGTAGGTGGTTTCAAAACAGCGCCGGCTGAACATGGACGTCCGTTCTATCACATGGTACTTTGTGGATCGCCTTGGTATAACAGTTTTTTGGTTTCCAACCTCAACTTCCCATTGTTTGTATCTGGAGTCCGGCCGATTGCGAATCGAAAGCCACTGGTTACCGCCGTCATCGAGCAGATATCCATATATATGTAGGCGGATTTCGGTTGGAATCCAAAGGAGAGGGCTCTTCTGTCGTTGAGACATGCCTATTTCTTTCTGTTCTTCCGAATATTGATGGGCAACAAGAGGCTTTTCCCAATAGGTTTTGTGTCTTATGTCACGTTGGAAAACAATGAGAGGGTATTCCGTCTCTTGCATGAGAGGTAGGTCAAGAAGCGTCACGTCCCAGACCAGGTCTGGACTGGGGGATACATATGTACCCATTAACATTTCATCCATGGCGGGTACGTGGCCATCAAGGTTCTTCCACAGACTGCTTGTGTGAAAGGCGATGCTAATCAAGCAAAGTTGATCTCAGGCGGGACCCCACATCCCCAGGTGTCCATCAAGGTACGCGACGCGGGCTCTTCGATCCGTTAGCACTGATTTGTTCTTCTCCCTACTTGGGCTAATCATGTCGCGCGACCGTATTGCATTGCACCCGAGCCAGCAAATTGTTAATTGAAGGCTCTCTGAGTTTTGGACGTGATGAAATGGCAGGACTGAAACGCAAAGAACAATTGTGAGCACTACCTTCGGGTGACCTTTTCTGGCCTCTCATCTATCACAGGCCTCGAACGGACGTGAGCTGAACCTGCCTGCGTTCCGATGGTTGAGACGAGCCTGGCCGCCTCAAGACAGTCGAGCAACAGACAGTGAAAATCAGCCGGAAACACCGTCATGCTGTTCTGTGGGAAATGTTCAGCACGGAATTGATCCAGCCATACGGGGTTTCGTCTGACGAATCATCAAGTTCTTGGGCTGGAGCCACGTCCTTTGACGAGGCGGTACGAATGAAAGACTTCGCCTCTTGGGATCCAGCACGGCTGGATGAGGTATGGTTCGAGTCATCGTCGGTTTCGACCACACCGAGCTTCTCGTGTAAGACGTACCCATAGTAGCCGAGGGTTCCCTTGTCGCTGTCGAGAATTTGCATTTTCACATGCCAGAGCCGTTCAGTTGAATTCAAAAACGGCCGGATGAAGAGCGTTGGTCTCGAGGTGATTGAAAAGACCATTCCATCGTCCTTGAGCACGCGGTGGATTGCCTTCATGTACTTACTTGTGTTGTTTCCACCTCTTGTGGTGGGCTCCAGCCGGTCTCATAGACCATAGCATCCAGAGTACCTTTGTCAAAGGCCAACTGCGAGGTGAGTCGAGATGTGAGGTCTGGTCCGGAGACATCGTGGTGGGGCAAAACAAGAAACGATTTGGTGTTCAACCACAGCGGGCAATTTTTGGTGGGGTAACCTGCAGTCCTTGATAACCTACCCAGACTAGCTACTCAGGGATCTACCGGTCGGTCATCCTTAGGTGCTCACCATCCGTTCATGCATAGCGTACACTCGCTCTTTGTTTGCCCCTCTTCTCAGTGCCGACGATGATAGCGACCGCTGCGAGGCGTTGGCCATAACTGTGAGGGCTCCGACGAGCCTCGACGGGCCCCGACGAGCTTCTCCAGAATGTAAGATTCTACTGTACACCAAAATTATCACGATCCTAGACTGACTGACTGCCTGAATAGTAAATTGACCTGTGAATTAATCATGAAAGCCAAGCGCACAGCACTTGGCCACATACAGCCTACATCTGTGCGGCAGGCCTGATAGCTCCCTTGGTGGCCCGTCCCAGGCTCCCCAGCTCCCGAGCCTCCGTTCCTCAGTGTGGCTGAACCAACGTTCCTGGACCGAGGCTAAAGCAACTACAGTGGCACATCATTTCCTGACGACATTGGCAGATCTAAAATGCTTCTGCTGGAAAGACTCGTCAGGTCATTTTCTTCGACCTCGTGACCCCGCCTGCCATGTCAAGTCTGTATTGTGTGACGTGCCTCAAGGTGCTGGACCCCTGCCCAAGAGTGCCATGAGTGCACCACCTATTCTTGCACTTGCTTTCGCGACTCTCTTTCTCCCTCCTGCCTCGTTCCTAATTCGTTCATTCCAATCTCTTACCCAGTTCGAAGTATGCGCCTAAGGCTTGAGACAATTGCGAAAGCCTCCATCTCCCTTTTTGTTTTGACTAGCCGCTCTGGACCAGCCATTTCGACGAAACGTGGTCTCTGCTACGTGCCAGACTCGAGGACCTGGAGGATGACAACATATGGCTTGAACAATCGGGCCAACTATCGTGGTACTACAGTTACACCCCATCATCACCGGACAACTTCAGCCGCCCAGTCCAGGATGGTTTCGAGTTCGTCCTCATGTTGTGAGACGCCCCCTTTAAAACTACCGACAGTTCCTTTCTCATCACCGTTAAGCGTCTTGCCAACGACGGTATGAAGATCCCCAACATCCTGACCTTCAACGAGCCCGACCTGTCTGCACACGGTGGTAGCAACGTCAATCCGGCTTACGGCGCGCAAGTCTGGGTAAACAACATAACTCCACTTCGGAGGATGTGTATTAGAGCCGGTCTGCCAGTACCTACCGGATCAAGTTACGGTCTGTCTTGGCTGGGGCAGTTTCTCGAAAACTGTTCGAGAATCATCGGTCAACACTGCGCCTATGACTTTGTCACCCTGCATTTGTATGACCCTTTCGAGGGACTGGCAAGCCAAATGGGGGAGTACGTCGCAACGTGAGTAGCTTTCAGACGTCCTCACACGAAGGCCAGGTACCGACGAAATAGGTTTCTAAATACTTCGATTTGGGTCACCGAGTACAATCTGAATAATCAGTCTGTGGGAGACGCACAACGCTTCTATAAAACATCAGTCGAGTACTTGGATCGATTGCCTTACATTGACAGTTACGCCTTCTTTGGAGCTTTCCGATCATCTGCGTCAAACGTTGGCACTGATGCGACATTACTTACCGCAGGAGGCAGGTTGACTGACGTTGGGAAATGGTACCTAGGGCGGGCTGGCGACGGCGTAGATCCTAATAGCACGGCATCTGGAAGGGAGCCACATGTGGATCATTTCATCATAGTTTGCTCTTCGGTGTTTGCTGTTTTGATCACTTTTTTGGTTGTGTAGACTTCGATATATGCTCTCATTCACGTTACAGGCGCTCATGATCGATGAAGAAGGCAAAACAATGGAGGATGTATAAGGTTGGTGAACTTGGATGTTGATTCTTTAGGTTGGCCGTACGAGTGACTCAGATAAGCAAACGAGGGTATTGATGAGAGAAGAGACTACGGGGATGAGATCTTCAAGTGTGGTTGTCAGAGCCTCGACGCATGCAGTCTCTGACGCAACTCACTTCAAGACACCCCACAAGGAGAAAAGGCATTGAGATGTATGACAAGTCGCGAAGAATCGAAAATGGTCCCGAGATCCTGGTGAGCTAATTTCCACGGTTCTCCTCATTCCCGACATTAGTATAGACGTTGACGAACCATATTTGTGAGGTCCTTTGTTTGCCCCAGCTAGGAGAGCTTCGGATTGGCAATATGCACGGGCTCTGACACTGCTTGAAAGGACGCCCAGTCACGCTACGGCGACAGCTTCAAATGTTCCGTCCTGGCGGCCCGGGGTCTGTGATGCTGGCAGGTAAGGGCCGTCCCTAGTAATCTCCTTGCGATCGATCAAGCGGCAATACTAGTATCCGGGAAGACGGGAGTGCTGCTTTCCGCCGCTGGAGCCCAAATGGTCAACTTTGTATGTTGCTCATCGGTGGCATCGTAGCCAACGGTATTGTCGTCGCGAAGAACAAGCTTCCAACGCCGTATTTGTAGGACTACGGGCTTAATTTAGGTTGACCTCAAATCTCAAAAAAAAAAAAAAAAAAAATGAGAGCTCGCTTGTATGAAAAGCCACGCATGAAGAGCCACTCATGCCAGAAGGGATATGGGATGCTACAGCAACGTTTTCCCAGAGGGCGCACCTGCTATGCTATTGCTGCACGACCCGTAGATGAGAGAATTGAGCTAAATTTTCATTGTCTTCTTCGGAAGCTATAGTTAGTATGGATTTGGACGGGAAGGCATTCAATTTTTTCCCGAGGTATAATCACCTTCACGCTCAAGTTGGTTGAGGTCGACTTGAGACCTGGGCCATTAAAAGTCAAAGGACAGCAATTGAGCATGTGCACTATCTACACTCAGGTAGAGATGGAGGCTTCAATAGATCAACCGGTCTACAGTAGCGGGCGACTACCCAGTGAATCTTCCAATGCATTTCCCAAGACATCGTAGTGGACTGCATCTGGAAGCATCTTTCATGTGAAAACATCTGAACAGTATTAATTCGTTCATCTCCGCGATGGTGTTATAGTCTGGCCATTATCCGAGTCTCTCACGATACATCGCGCTAAGTAGGATCGTCGGGCCCAGCCTCCGATGGATGCTGTAAGACACGAGAGCCAAAGACGGCTGGGATCCAACTGGAGGGATCCGAAGCAACCGGACTGCTAAATTGTCAATTCTACCGTTGGCTGGATCTCTAGCTACAAAGTGTGCACGCATCCTTGACAGAATACGCTATGAATAAGTGGCCGATGAAGTTTAAATGACTTTCTTTGTCTGGCAGTCTGGACTGACCTACTTGTTACCTCTCGGTGTTTTCGGACGAATTCGTGATTGGGTCGTGTGTAGCTACTTCCTACGCCATCGTGACGATCATTGATGGTTTTGGGTTCAGCATGACCAACAAAGGCAGCTACATTTGGTTCCCTTGACATCTGTCCATGCTACTGTCGGCCTCTTGTAGGCTTCATGATCCGAGGGTGTCTCGGGCTCGAGCTTCACTAGGCCAAGGGAGCGTCGAGATCCGAAAAATGAGGCAACGATTGCTCTAGACCCCCACTGAGCTGCAATTTCGATAGCATAATGGGGGCAATGATGCCACTTTCGTGGAAGTAGGACAATTTATGCTATTGAGCAGGAAAGTATAAAGAGCCTGAGTTTGTCCGCGCAAAAAATATATTCAAAAGTTGCTCTTCATCAGCTTCCTCAGTCAGGCAAAACAAAGACATCACTACAAAAAACCCAGGTCAAGACAACAACCTTCATTCTCATTTCAATATGAAGTTCTCCCTCGCAGCAACAGCAATTTGTGCCCTCAGCAGCACTTCGGCAGCAGCCTTCATCCAGCGCCGTCAACCAACCGTTGTTGGGACCGTCGATGCTTCGATCGGGACTGTGCAGGCTACTATTCCGGCTTATTTGTCTACCATTGGTAAGCCATTGCTCTCTCTCCTCATGACAGCCCATTGTTCATATAAAATGTGGACCTGCTTTTAACTCTTGTGTGGCCTAGGCTCTAGTGTCGCCGTGATCAAAAACGAGGGCAGCGTCTATACCGCACTTGCTCAAGCCGCCATTGCTGCGATTGAGAACAGTGCAGCGAATATTACTGCGGCCCTCACCCAAGCTTCTGGCACAATCGTTGGCGCTACCACAACCGCAGCAGGAGATATCAATACTAGAGCGGCGATCCTTATTCAAAGCGAGATAGACCTTCTGGTGAAGGACGTTCAGACTGTTGTAGGCATTGTTCAGGGGATCAATGCCACAGTCAGCGTGGTAAGCACTTTCCTGCGTGGGGAGTATTTTCCGAGGCAGCGATTAGCTGTGTCTCGGTCCTTATTGATCATTCTTGCTACTTCAAAATCTTTCTTCCTACAATACTCGTATATTGGCTATTAAAAGGCTATTAAGGCCGACTCCGTCTTTGTTGTTCGATGAAATCAGAAATTCAGAAACTATCAGCTAACTCTGAGTACCACAGGTGCATGCGGACCTTGATGCAACTGCCAACAGCCTAGTGCAGGCCGAGGTTGGAGCACTGGTAGCAGCCATTAAGCCCTTCGTCACCCCGGTGCAAGCTTTTGCTTCTGCTGCGGCCACGTTCAGTATCGCGGCTTCGGTTACGGGACTTCGCAACGCAGTCACTGGCCTGAATAACATCGCGGCCGGTGTCTATGGTTCGCTGGGAGTCTCTCGACTGGGACTGGGACTGGGACTTTGAGTTGAAGGCAAAGAACGATTTGTTTTCGCAAAATATGCGCCCAAGCTCCCAATCGAATGCTCTGATGGATTTGCTTTTTAGTCGAAACTTTTACGACTTTTTACGACGAAACGCTCATTATTTAACGACACGCTCCTTAGCTAGCATTGACAGAAATTGATCAACTTGCCTTTGCGCCAATGATACTACTTTTTGCATATTGTGACCATTGCTGCTTCGTTTGATAAATCTCCTGTTAATGCACTCGTGCCTTGAATAAGTAAGTGGTAGGAAGTGTTCTGCCCTAGGTAAGTTGAGGCCTGTTGCCCGTTGCAAGGAATCCCATTTACATCGCATATCAGTCTGGGGTACACTTGGTTTAGGCTGACTTTGGAATACATTTTTCGTACCGACTTTTGCCGAACTCCTGCCCCCACCCCCGGGCGGTCATCTGAGAGCTGCTAAGTGAATCTTCCGGATCCTCGCACACTGATTTCAGCAGTCCGAAGTACTCTCGTGGGTCGCCCATCTGTGTGCTGACTACTCGTAGCAATGCAATAAAGGACTTCATGTCTTTGCAGTATTAACCATACATGCCCCGCGCCGGCTAGATAGTGATGATTCGTGAGAACAACATTTCACAACCCTTACGAGCGTAAGACTGGAACCACTCGCGCGCCAAGCACGCCTCAAACTCAAGAATTGAGAGACACTGACGTTCAATTGTGACAAGGCTACTTAGATGAGACGGAAGATTTGGTCCGTAGCGGATACAAATGTAATCTTCACGGCGGCGATGGCAGAACGGGACTTGTTAGCGTGTCTGCATCGTCGCTGGAACCGTTCGGACAAGTGTTGAACCAGGTTTGTGCCGAATTTTCTACGGCATCAACAAAATGCATGTCAGCCCTCCTGTTGCCGTCCAGGTCAGGGAAATGCAGACAATGTCCTATGGTTGTGTCAGTGTTGGCGGCTATTATTGATTACCGAGGCAGAATTCGAAAGTATTTGTCTTACCTTGTGCAGGAGCATTGTATAATGGACCCTTGTTGACCCATGTGAACGAGCTGTCTCCGGACTGGATCATTCCCTGGTTCGTCCACACGGTCGCGTCGCCTTTGAACTTGTCTGTCCAGATCAAGTCGGCCCGGCCATCTCCTAGGAAGGAATATTAGACGCTTTCAAATTGCAATCAGAAGTCTGTATCTTACCATTGACATCTGCCCATCGATAGTTTGCGCGGTCGAAATTGTCAGTCTTCTTGAATTGTGGAATCCAAGTAAACGAGCCATCACTATTATGGAGGTACCCTTTTGTACGGCCGTCTTTCTCCATCTGCAGCAATTACAGTTAGCTATCAAAACATCAAGGACGAATTTTTATGCGAAAATTGGCCGAAGTAAGCCAGCGGTGCCTGTCTCGTGAACTGCAGCCTGACATAGGGCTTCAATTTACGCATATGGCAAATGCTTCTCCCTGGAGACATAAAACTGTATCCGCGAGCTGCTTACACAGAGATAGTCAGGCCGTCCATTGCCACTGAGAGAACCATCAGCACTTCGTTGAACTTGCAGGAGTAAATCACAATAGGCTCACCTTAGGTCCGCAAATCTGACAGCGAGATCGTTGATGCCCACACCTCGCGTCTGGTCACAGGAGAGCTTCGGAGCCGGGTTACCAACATATTCCCAGTTGAAGTTACCTGTGGTCTTGATGCGATTCAACCAGACCTCGACCGCTCCTCCATCCGGATTTGTGTAGATGACTGGAGTTTTGTCAGCGATATAGTCACACTGGCCTTGTGATGGCTTTCGGTGAGATCTCAGCAGCCAGCGGTTCCTGTGCCGTGTGAAAGCAAAAGTAGTCCACGAATGGCACTTAGTAAGTACAGAGATAGGAAAAGAAGGCTCATATTAGGACTTACTATCGCAAGCTCCATCGCCATTCCAGTCAGCAAGATGGAGGTCCCGTCGGTCCATTGCTCGGCTGCCGGTAAGATCGAACATTACATAATTATTCCCCCAATAAGGGGGATTTTCCGGAAAAGAGTCAAGGCCCTCGAATATCTGCATCTTACCATTGGAGAAGATCCAGACGTAGTCCTGTCGTCCATTGGCGCGACCTCTCATGTTGCAATATCTGTCTCCATCACCTGCAGAGCGTGTACATTAGCAACAAAAGACACAGAAGTTGGACGGAATAGATGAGGTGAAATACTCTTGAGCTTCGACCCTCCAATTCCCTCGTTCCTCCAGACGTTAATTTTATAAGTGTGCACAGCGGCTCGGGAATCGACGGGACTTCTGGTGGTCAAGTTGACAGAGGGTATTAGATCATCTCCTTGGGTGGAAGTTGTTGAGAATCCAGTCGTTTCGTCGGTGGGAGATGACGTGCTGCGTAGTCCTGAGCTGGAAGTGTGTTCGATCCAGACATAGTCTCTTCCTGGCAAAAGGTTATACGCTTGGGGGTTGCCGAACGCTTTTGCGAAGTGAATTCCACTCCGCGCGTCTGCAAAGCCTAGACCTATGTGCGTTGGACCGGCACCATTTGCACGGTTCTCCCCAGCACGCCAAGTTGGAGTTAGGCCTTGGCCCTCAGCTCCCTTGATGCAGCCTCTGCTGTTGGTCCAAGTCCACTACAGCATTCGTTAGTTTTCAAAACATCGAAGATGAAGGTTTATGCCAACAACAGTCAAACCCAGTATTTGCCCGTTTCCTGTTTCAAAATCTGCAGCCTGACCAAGGGATTCAAGGCAGGCAGTGAAATACACTACACGTATAGCAAATTCCCTCTCTATGAAATTTGAAAATGTATACGGAATCTACTTACTGTTGCGCCTTGGTCATTCAACCAAAGCCAGTCACTTCGACCCTATTTGAATTAGTCAGTGGGATAATCGCTGCTAAATGGTGGGTATGCAACAAAAAGTAAAAAGGCGGGAAACGACTCACATCCCCATTAATGTCCCCAAACCGGATGCCACTAAGATCTCCCATGTTTTTCCCTGTGAAGACGATTCCCATATCTTGCCAAAGATCGGCAGTATCGGCTGCGGTAAATCGCCATTGGTCAGCATCGAACATCCGGAGGAAAAGGGCTGTTCGTCGATCGGATTACTTACACCTTCCGCCGTTACGCCAGCACTGAATGTCGCCATTGTCACGGGCCGCGCAATAGTCGAAGCGACCATCTCCGTCAATATCTGCGAGGTGAATTCGAGCTTGCAGGTATCCCTCGCTCGGCTTGTACTTGCCCGCCCCAGTATACTCAAAGACAAAATTACCACGGTTGATAGCGACGGAGAGCTCACCGCCCGGGGCAATACAAACAAAGTCGTCAAGTCCGTCGCCTGGATAGACGGTGTTTAGCTCATCTGGGCTTGAAACATGCCAAAGACACCTGAGAACATACCATTCATATCTGCCCATCGCACGCCGCGTGCGATACAGGCATCTGGGATCGTGAATGTGGTCGGTGTAGCATCCCACGTCGCCGCACCCCTGTTCCTGTACACTGAATAGGATCGGCCCCCAGCGACATTGCCTCCGATTTGGATGATATCATCAAGCCCATTCCTGGTAGCAATTGTTGCCAACCAGAATGAAGTCTCTTCGGTAGAACTGATGGTATGCCTGGTTCCCTGAGCAGAACTGGAATGGATATATATACCGTCATCCCAACCACTTCCAGATTGCGTATTTCTCCGAGTAGCTTCTGAATTCCCATACTGTTTCTCGCATGTGTTGTCCCCACTGTCGACAACACCAGGAGCATCAGCCGGGGCAGTGAGCTTACCCTCTGACTCAGCAGTGTTGATAGCCTGTCGCCAGATAGCTGCCATCTTTGTGTAGCCTTTGTCGTTAGGATGAGTTTCATCAAAGTAGTCACCGCTGCCCACTCGGGTATCAAAATATCCAACAACACCATCCACTGTATCACAGGTCAATTATAGCCAGGCTGATGGTGAAAAGTTTTGTGTGGACATACTTTCAGCTAGGACTACTTTCTGTCCCCGCGCTCGACGATCACTGACCAGGGAGCGATACTGTCGATTCGCCTCTGCCCGGAATCTCTCAACATCGGGATCGGTGCCTGGGATCAAGGTAGATACAATGACCGTTGTGCCGGGGACATCTTTAAAGAGGTCATCGAGGAGACTTGCCAAGCGAGCTCCAATGTTAGGAATGTCAATTCCGTTCTCACAGTCGTTGACTCCCGCATTGACGAGAATTATGTTAGGTTTGAAAGGTGTAGAGAGATGTGAGATATCTTGTATCTGTGAAACTGTGTAGCCAGGTATAGCTTCGACACTCTGCGCTCATCGGTCAGACTCTATGTTCAACATGGTGAACTGGCTCAGGATGAGTAAATTGACGCACATTGTCAGCCATACTCCCTTCACTTTTAGACCCGACCATATTAACCCTCCAGCCATCTTTTCTCAGTTGATCCCTGAGGAATTTGCGGAACCTTTCGATTATCAGCAAAATGCAACAAAAGAATATACTGCAAGAAGAAGCCATCTGGTTTACCCATTGCCAGTGGAAGAACCCCGGCCCTGCACTATAGAAGCACCCAACGGCAGAATTCGTGCGTAAAAGTTCGGCGCACGCCTATCAAACGAATTTGAAGCGGTATCGTTGAACAGGTCATAGTCCCCGAATTCGGTGGGAAGGGCAATGACAAGTTGGAAAGCGAAAATTGACAACAGAAAAGCAAGCCCAGGGCCCAAGCGCGCCAAAGAGTGAAACATTAGAACGATGAAAACGGCCTTTAGCCGTGGTGATCAACAAGAGAAGCTGGTAGGTTTCGGGTTGGGGTCCATGATGACAATCTCACGAAGGACTATGGTTATATATCACTTTGTTTGAGTGGGTGCACTGACTGGAAGGAATCTAACACTTTCCCTGAAGATGGACCCCAACTTAGAACTTGAGCCGTCCATCACTTGTGGACGGGCCAAGATTGTGGCCAGCATTGCAATCCCAAGGGACCAGTTTGCCTGATCCATGGCCGCGTAACTGCGAATGTTACCCGCCAAGACCATCTCCGAATCGTCGAGGCCACAATCAAAATATATTGCATCACGAGCTCACTTGCAGAATGTCCCGGTCTTCGATAGATCGAAGTGTTGGTCTCCACGTCAGCATACGCTTGACTGTTCTATTCGTCCTGGCGAGGAGCGCATGCACGAGGACGTGTCCCAATCTAGCATCATGAGGCTATGTATCCGGGAACTGTGCTCATTTCACTAATTGCATGCACCATGTGGCGAGACCCTGAACCTGGCCCACTTGCTCATCGGCGAATAGATTCCCTCACGCGATGAGCGAATCAGATGGTAGACAGTCGTATTATATGCAGGAACATGCACACCTTCCTGACTCGTGCCCATTTTTCGAGCAGCGGAAACGGCATGGCACAATGACTTACTTACACGTGCTAAGACATCCCTCTCTCAACACTGACTGGAGAGAGGCCACAGGGCCAGCAATCCTAACGTGGATGCTCAGGTATTAATCATGTGGAGATACCGCCCATCTGCGAAATACCATGATTGGCCTGTTGTTGAGATGTCTGTCGATTACTGTAGGCCCATGCATAAATATACATATATTCATATGCCAGGGTAGAGTTTGTCGCCTAGTATGAGTAAGTGTCTACATGCGAGTGAAGCCACTTTTTTGCTTATGTGCTAACCGAGCTGAACTATCGATACATATGCCTAGTTTGAAATGCATGGCTTACTCAGATCACAGTACCAAGGTGCGCTGGCCAGATCAGTGCACAGCCTGGTAGACGGCGGCTCTAACTGCAACTGTCGCATGAGGAGAAATTTTCTACAATCCTGTTGAGTATGAATGCTACGTTCCCGCATGCAACACCGGCGACGGCCCGATATTGGTGATTATGCCAAGCGAAAGGGTGAACAGACCCGCTGGGTACTTTTGAAGCCGGCCACGCTTGGCGTTGGCCGGCCTTCTATACATTTGCGGGTCGCGGGTCACATACCCTTAGGCTCCAGTCTCTCGGCCCCCACAGAGATCATGTGTCAATGTGTAATGTGTGCATCCAAGCACGACCCGACGTGACACAGGCACTCGGCCGCACCCGACTACTGTTTCTTTGCATATGTGTGCAACCTTTTCGAAAGCCACCTGATAGAGGTCGCTTCCCCCCTCCAGTTACCATTGACTGTCATGCAATTACTCTCCACCGTCAAGATCAAGTCTAAGTGGTAGCCTTGGTATCGGGTTCCAACGTGCGGGTAGCAGGACCCACAATCAAGCCATAGGCGACTCCTTCTCGAATCCTCCTCGCTTGGATGCGTTCCTTTGAATCAATTACGCTACAGTCAGATGCGGGTGCACTTTAGCCCTTGCCCTCGGCCGCTGAGTAACAGGTACAAACCTTCTACCTCCATCTAAACTCTAATCATTCTCGGCCGGCCTCCAACGAGCCCCCTACCTTTAGTACTGTTGGTATACACAGAGAGTTTTGGTTTCTGGCTGCCTTTTATTCCCCGGTTTGAATGGCGGCTAAACTAACTTCCAAAATTTTCCAAATTCGATTCTTGCTTATATTGTTGCTTTCGTCGCCGATGCGACGGGGCAACGCCCTGAATTATTTTCGGAAAACGTACGACTATGTCTCCCTGGCCAGGAAAGCTGTCCACCGCATTCTTGGAGACTTCAAGTAGAATTTCAAAATACGAAATGTTTCCAACCCTTAGACTTTTAATTAGTGTAAGGTTGAAAGGTAGAGGCGTTTACAATTGCATCATGTACCCAGTTCCACTCGATCACTTGAGAAATGAACGAATTGAATTAGATCTGAAAAGCTCAAGGGGTCCAACAAAATCACTGTGAATCTGTGTACCAACCTAGTATTGCATCCATTACGTCTACTGTCATACTGAGAAAGATTGCGTAACTTGGAATGAAGTAGAAACAAAGTAGCAAAGACTGTGTGTTATTAGGAGAAGTTATCTACAAAGAGAGCAGATCTACAAATTCTTGAAATCCGCGGTGGGTGGTTTATAAAGAGCTGCAAGCGGGCCAGCGGTTTGTGCTCTTACTGAGGCATATCAGGGAGGTCAAATAACTAGCGGAAAATGACATGAACAACTCGGGTCATTCCGTGTCTCAGTCAAAACTCTGACCGCGGATCCTGGCGGCACAATTTTGTCGCAGGACCTTTTACGGCAATCCCGTTTTTTAAGGGTGGTCTCCTCTAGAACTGTGCCGCAACTATCGCACTAATCAAGTATTAGTTTCTGAAGAAAATCGAGTCGACGTTTAGACATAATGAGAATAATAGTGCGTTTCCTACCCACAACAAAACCTGTTGATCAAGGGAAGCGCCCAGGAGGTGGGGGTGGAGGTGGGTTGTTCTTGGGTGTACTTACCAAGAATTGTTTATAGGCGTAGAAGCACATCACTGGTTCTGACTTGGTGAAGAATTCCCTGTCAACTCCGGTTGTGCTTTACCTAGTTGGTTGTGGTGAAAGCTGCTGTTCAAAATCCGATATTGTGCTTACAAAGAAATCGAATCATCATGGTAGGACGAACTTGTGAGATGAGAGCTATTCCTTATAAGCCGAAGCTCCTCCTGATATCTGCCGCCGATGCTTTGTTTTAAGTATTATAAAGATAATCGGCCCGCAAGTCTTTCGTCTTCTTTGTAACAAGTACATAGTTTCTTTGAAGGAGTCGAGACAGCATTGGAGGGCAAGTTCATTGATCAACCATGTCCATATGGAATATATCAGACTTTATTCAAGTGCGTTACACTAATAATGAAGACTTTCTCAGTAGGGCAGCGTGTACTGCTGGTTCAAGGTTTCTGGCAAGCGCTTGCATTCGGCTTACAAAATAACTTTTCCAGAAGGACACAAGAGGTGATCTCATTCCCTCAAGTATTACTACATACAAGGAGATTCCCTCTTACGAAAGAAAGAGATGAGGCTGATACAATAAGTCTCCATATTCCAACCCTGGTTCGACTTCACGGCGGAGCCTGGATAGATGCAAGTATGGATATTGGCACGTGATTCCGACGAGTGCTTTTAATGATTCTTGAGTAATGTGTATATACCAGGAGCCCCAGATTACCGTCTTCGCCCAGAAGCTACCATGGCGGAGATCGTTGATGACCTTCGTGATATCTGGATCTGAGTCGAGAACCATCCGCCCAGGGCGTTTGTTGTAGTTTCTCCGCCTGCAGAACTAGACCTAGAAACACAAATTTGTTGACTCCACCGAGCTCCTCAGGCGTGAGGTCAATAGATGACGGGCATCCCGAACCTGAAGCTTCCCCTCACTGTGGCCATCTGGCTGGAAGTTTGACAAGGAACAATATCTGTAACTGAAACGTATTACAGTGGCCACAATAATGCAGTTCCTTCAGATGCCTAGAGTGTGACTTTCAGAAGGATGTTTTTCGATTACACGGCCACCAAACAAGAAAATGTCGGGTGCTCGCTCGGCTGCTGAAAAGTCCAAAGGGCGTGGGCGACGCCTGGCAGTCCGCTCAAGAACCCCAACCCTGAGCTAAGTACCCCTTGGATCCCTAGGTTTGGAAGGCCAGCTGGCAATGACCAAGCTACTTCCTTCCATCTGCCAATTCTTGATTTCACGATACGCTCACAAATAGAAACCCCTCGCAAGAGTCGAAAAAGTTCACAGTCTGCTTGCCATGATGAAGCGTCTCATTGCCTTCGATCTTGACGGCACCCTCGCCGAGAGCAAGCAGGCTCTCGACGATGAGATGGCCGCCATCCTCGCCCGTCTCAGCCACGTTGCCGACATCTGCGTCATCTCAGGTATGTCTTTTCCTATTCGAGGAAGGGAAACTCCCTTCTTTCCATTTCGTAAGAGGAAGAGGGTAAGACAGAGGAGTAAGCAACATAGTTTCTGACAACAACTATCTCAGGTGGAGACTGGCCCCAGTTCGACAAGCAGGTTGCGAGTCGTCTGCCCGAGGATACTGACCGTTCACGCTTTTGGCTTATGCCCACCACAGGCACTAAGCTCTATCGCTTCGAGGACAGCCAATGGGTGCGGAAGTACGCCGATCTTTTCAGTGACGAGGACAGAGCCCACAGTCAGTAGTTATCTATTTCCTCAAGTCTTGGATAAGTAATTTGTCTCCCGGTGACGTTGCTTTCCCCAAAAACGCCTCAATTCCGTTGACAGCGCTGGAGGTGAGTTACTAATAAGCTTGTAGTCATCAAGGAGCTGCGAGCCTCCATTGACCGCCTCGGATTCACGCCAACTGAGATTTGGGGAGAGCAGATTGAAGATCGCGGCAGTCAGATTACTTTCTCAGCCCTTGGGTGAGTCACTCTCTTTTCCACTCACAGTGCCTCATGTGATAATTTCGCAAGTTTGTAAATACACGCAGCGTTCCTGATGTATCCGCCGATGCCTCAACCTGGCAGTACTTCAAGACACCCCGCTAATTTGAAATTACACAGACAGCAGGCCCCTCTCGGCCCCAAGGAGGCCTGGGATCCCAAGCAGGAGAAACGTCGCCTAGTTCAGAAAGACCTTCAGCCTATCCTTCCAGATGTCTCCGTTCGCATCGGCGGGGCGACCTCTATCGACATCACTCGTGCTGGTGTTGATAAGGCGTATGGAATGGAACGCCTGACTGAGCTCTCCAGCATCTCCAAGGCCGAGATACTTTTCTTCGGTGACGCTCTGTACCCTGGTGGTAATGACGCGCCAGTGAGGGACACTGCAGGCATCGATTCAGTTCAGGTTTACAATATTGAACAGACAAAGCGGGCTCTTGAGGCTGTCATCCTCTGCCTCGCATAGGAGTCTGCAAATCTGGCGCGCAGCTTAGGACTGACGGAGTTATATCTCTTCTGCCTTCTGTATGAATTGCGTCTTGAATAAAGAGTGTCGTTATTCCTTTATCACCTTCAATTATGTAGGGCAAGTCTAGATGCACTACGGATTAGTCAACACTTGCTCGTCCCTGTTAGACAAGGTAGCAAGTTCATCGCGCACAAATCAAGTATCATTCGCAGATGGCAAAGTATTGCATGTTGCTATTGATGACGACACACCTTCATTTATATACTAAGAGTCGGAGCGGACTGGCTCGCGGTCTATGTTCTCATCCGTTCAACGCCACACGAGGTCCATGAATCTCATGACGACGACCGTTCCCCCTCCCAGCGTACCTTTTCTTTTCTTACTGAGAATTCCACTCGGAGCCCGTTGAACCGTCAAATGGCCTCAAGCCCAACTTGGTTTCTTCATCACTAGCCAGTGCCCGGGGATTGCCGCGGGGGTACTCTTGCTCACAACTGCACATTAACAACGGATCGGAAGCCGTTTCAGAGGCGGCCATGGCAACCGTGCCTCAGGTCCCACATACTTACATCCCTGCGACCTCCAGACTATGTATCCATGCGTTGTAATTCTCTGAAAGCCAACAAAGCCACCAGGCCGTGCTGTATCGCCTTCCGGCCAAATCGTCTGAAAGACTTCCTCAATGTCCAAAGTATACAGAGTTGACATTAGCATTCTTATCCATATTGGCCATCATAAGCAAGTATCGTCTTCAGTGAGAATGTTGATCAGACGCTATCGAGGGAGAAGAAAGGCATATGGAAGGACTGGTCAGAGATCTCAGAGGCCTGCAAATATTTCAAGTTACTCACAGATGCTACCAGTCACAGAACGCCTCACTGCCTGCGTTCAGACTGGAATGAAGAACATTCAACCACGCAAAAGTTTGCTCGTTCTATTCGGCTCATCAGTCAAACTAGGTCAGCCGCTGCGATGTCACCGCACGGATAGTTAACAGCTGCGTTTGGTGTTATATTCCTTTGCAGCGTGGGTAGATTATCGCAATCGCAACTCTGTGCATTGGACTCCACTGGACAGTGATGTCTGTATTCAATCATACGATCATCTCAAATATGATGACGGTGAGCTCATCAAGTCTGTCTGCCCGCACCCGAGAGTTTGTCTCGGACCAATGCCCTAGCGCGTGCACTAATACAATGATATCACCACTCCGGGCTTGGGAAAGGACCCAATGAGACAGATGAGTAGGAACATGTATAAATAAGGGGCGTGTTCTGCAGAGAAAAGCTAATTAGCGGGAAATATCAGTTTTACTCTGACGGTATCCAGAGTCAGACTTATCTGAATAAATTCTACTCATATCACACTAAGGATACTCAGAAAGCCCAAACTGTCATGGATACTGTTACAGCGACAATCCACGAGAACTTTGGTGGAACGTAAGTCAGCTCTGCATTGAAGAACTTTTAACTTTTCGCTGACTACACCAGACATTCCCTTGCTAATGAGGAAGAGAATTTCTCATTGAATCAAGTCCCTGATCTCAATGGGAAAGTAGCCATTGTGACTGGAGGCTCTCAAGGAATCGGCTATGGCTGTACACGGACCTTGCTTGAACACAACATCTCCAAGCTTTTCATCATATCACAGTCTTCAGATGTGGCCACAGATGCCATCAACACCATCAGGGAAGAATTAGGCGACGCGGCTTCTGCAAGAGTAGAATGGAAAAAATGCAACCTGGGAGACTGGAAGGCTGTGACACAGACAGCGGAAGAAATCAAAGCCAGCACCGACAGGATCGACCTGCTGATCAACAATGCCGCCAGGGGTATCATGACTGCCCAAATTACACCATACGGGGTAGATGAACATATGGCTATAAATCACTTCGGCCATGTGATTCTAACCTCACAGCTCCTTCCGACAATGAAAGAGACAGCAAAGTCAGGGCACACGGTCCGCATCGTCAATCTGGGCTCCAACGCTCATCAGAATGCTCCAAAGAACACCAAATTTGCAAGTCTAGATGAGATCAACAAAGACAATGGCCCCACCGCGCAGTACGGACGAAGCAAACTGGCGGCAATGCTCTATGCACGCTATCTTGCCACCCACGTCACAGCAAAGCACCCCAATATTTTAGCGAACAGTGTTCATCCGGGGTTTGTTGACACGAAAGCGACGTCCTCTGATATCCACGAGGCATATCCGCTCGGTGGCTACATGATGAGCGTGGCCCTAAAGCCGTTTCAAAAGAGCCAGTTTGAAGGGTGTGTGTCGGCCGTGTACGCAGCGACGGTCACAGATCGGAGCGGGAAGTATATTTGTATACCAGCCCGTATCGAGGATGGATCTGAGCTTGCGCAGAGTAACGATTTGGCTGAGCAGCTGATGCAGCTCACAGAGGAGGTACTAAAGGACAAAATGGAAGCTGCGGGCATCAAATATTCGTTGGAGTTTTACTAAGAAGACTTACAATGGAGCAAGTACTCGGCTGGGAATCTCTGGGTCAAAAAGTGTCTGCAGTCCTGACTCCAATTATTTTATATGAATACGTTGCGCTATATTGCTGTATACTGCCGCAGAACTACAACGAAGCCAAAAGACTTGGGATAGGCACTCACCAGTATGCTTGTCTACGGAAGACGACTACTTCCGTGGTATCACGAATGAGAATTACGCAGTGTTAGTTTTCTCTAAGAACCGTCCAACTCAAATACATTCTTCTCATAAAAGGTGTGATGAGACGTTCTTCAATCAGTAAATAACCGTCCGCCACGACGCATCCAGTGTGTCGTCATTAATCTCAATTTCTACAACAGCAAATAGCTACGGATCAATAGAAAACGTTTTGCACCTCAAAGTGATGGCTTGCTGTCTCACGAATCCCTTTCCATGCAAACTGACTGTAATTACCTTTGTCATTTTTGAGAGTCATTCAGAAAAGTTCATTGGTAGGAAGTTACGGCCTCGATAAGACCAGAACAGGAACTCGACCTGGTTTCGTTCATCGCAGATCCATTTGAGTATCTCCTGATTTTCCACATGAAACACGAAACCCTGAGTCACTTTACGCACACTTTTACGCTTGTTGAGAGATTCTCTCAACTACCTCACGATCTGTACTTGACAACACGGGAACTCGTGCTTCACAGCCCCAGAGTCATCAACCTTGAGTTTCAATTTGGTAAGGACCGGCGAAGCAACTGGGTTTATAGCCGAGACCACATCGAGCGACTAATGCCTCCCGTCAGGCTTTCCGATTTATTGAACAATTTGGGCTTTCACAGGATGGGCGATTTTCAATAAGAGTATTAGAGTTGCGGTAGGTCTGGGACGCTCGGTTGGGCTTGAGTTATCTCTCGGACGAGACGTCTTCTTCCCCCACTCTTTCGACCGCAGCAGCATGATCCCTACACTTGTTTCCGCAGACACTGAGATTTCCGTCCTGCTGGAACTCAAAAGTCTCCAGCGTGTAATAATTTTGCGGACGAGATTCTGGACGTCTTCTCATATTATGGAAATCCGGAGTGGAGTTGGTACGAAGAACGTTCCTTTGGCCGATTAGGCCATGCGGACCCACAGGTCGATGGGTATATTGTTCTCCTTGGTTAAAGTTCGCAGACTGAGTACATCAATTTTGATGGTCTGATTTCCCCTTCTGAGTACGAGATGCTTACCGCCGTGTCTTCCCTAAGCAGTGCTGAGATGCCTTCGGCTGTGAAGGCGGGTTTTGATTTGCAGTCTTGTTCAGACCGTTTCCACGGCATGGAGAGCCTAGTCAAAGGAAGGGACAATGAGACTCCAGAACTCAGCTTTGCGTGCCTGATATGAGAAGCTGTTCCCGAGTTGGAATTTGGTTCACCAGCAGGACAACAAATGTTGTCTCATAGCCATCGAATAGCATGATGTCATACATGCTGCTTAGCCTAGAAAGCGAGATAGGAATAAAGTTTAAGGCACAGATTATGGAAACCAAGAACCATTTTGTTATTCAAGGCAGGCAAACCTCGAGCAGCGCTCGAAAAGAAGATGGCAAGGCTACCTACCACTCTATTGTATGAGCCCGGCACTATATGTCAGGGACGATTGCCAACCCGGAATTGATCAAACAGTTCCTTTGGACCCACAAAGGAGAACCAGCCGTCATCTCGCTCAAAACCGACAAGCGGTACATTTCTCCCAGGCGTGGTGCCCCTGTCAACAGGCGTCACAAGCCCTCTTTTGATCTTGCCAAGAAAGTCCTCGACCTCACGGAGAAACTCAAATGCAGAAGTATTGCTGGTACAGTGGCCAGCTGCCAATTTGACACGGTCATCTTCTGCGACGTCCTTATTCCACCTTTCCACGAGCCCCTTTAACATGTTCAGAGTTGCGGCATAGTCATTCAGATTCCCCGACAGAGAGAAGAGAATGGGTGCCCATTCATAAAGGGTATCGCCTACGTATAGCACCCGCTCATTCTGGTCCCAAACAGCCAGCTCGTCGGGAGTATGTCCCGGTGTTTGGTATATTGTGAGCCTAAGGTCTGTGTTCCCGAAGGTAACCTGCTGTGCGTTTGCAGCCCAATCAGTCACCGTGTACTGTGGAGTCTCCATGCCGACGAAGCGACACAATGAGGACGTTGGCAGATCATCGAGGATGAAGTCTTTGTCGTATCCACTTGCCCATATGGCAGATTTAGGGGTATCTGTGAACTGAGCAATGGCACCTGGTTGGGTGATGTCAGCGGCCCTGGCCGATTGGAGTCTGCTGGACAGATAGTGCTCACCAATATGGTCGTAATGGCAGTGGGTGCAGATTACTACATATGACTTTGTGCCTTGTGAATTCAGGGGCTTGCCGTGGTTCTCCTCGACCGGGTAAGTCTCGATGAAGTCCCTCAGAGAAGTAAGTTTTACACCGGGGTCTTCTGCTGCGCCGCCGCAACCCGTGTCGATCAGAACAATGACGGCGTCATAAATCTTGGCATATATAAATGGGAACTCTCCGTACTTGTCAGCCTCAACTATGCGAAAGGTTGAGGGGTTTAGCCTGGTGCAGGTGAAGCACGTAGATGGACCATCGTCATGTGCTCGATCCGTTGAGATCATGACCGAGCTGGCAGATGATGACGTCGGGGGGGAAGGAGACTTGACGTGAGTGACTGGAGCCTGGGGCGGCAGACATGTCCGTGATTTGAAACGAAGCCAGTCGAAGCAGCCCATCTTGGTTGAGCAGCATGTGGTTTGTGACAAACTCAAGTGGGAGGCTGAGACTGGGATGAGCGCAGGTGGTCTTGCAGAGGGGGATGGGTACATGAGGAGGGTTAGTTCCCGAGGTGTTTGGTGTGGGGTGGGGGGGGGGGGGAGCGCGGGTGGCGGGGGTGCGGTTTGGGGACCATGCAATGTGGGCCACAAGACGGAGTCAACTTCAGGTGGTTTAGTTGCTGGAAAATCCCAAAAGCCCAAACCCCCAAACCCCCAAACCCCATCTGCCAAGGTGGGCTTCCGTCTTTCCGTGTACACCCACATCATTCATTCAACTCTCAGCCACCTCCACCCAGATACACCACTAATAGCAGGCACATCAATACCAGCCTGCCCGAATGCCCGACCCTGACGAGACTACACCTCTGATCGTTCAGCATCCCGAGAGCCCACGCAGAATGAGCTCCAGCACCACCTCCACCTACTGGCGCATCGGGGCCCTTTACGGCGCCGCGGGAGTTTGCCTCGGAGCCTTCGGCGCCCACGGCCTGAAACAACGAATCTCAGACCCGGCTAAGATCGCGAGCTGGGGCACCGCCGCGCAGTATCAGGTCTGCTTGCCCTGGCACCACACTCTGCATGGCTCTGGGATCTGTACTGACTGACACTTGAACACCAAAACAGATCCTCCACTCTGTCGCCTTGCTCGTAGCTCGTGATAACCCTCTCGCGGCTGGCCTCTTCACTGCTGGCATGACCATGTTCTCGGGGAGCATCTACGCCCTTGTATTGGACCCCGCGCGGTTCAAGGTCCTCGGGCCTGTGACGCCATTGGGCGGCTTATGCCTCATTGGCGGTTGGCTGGCGCTCGCCTTCGGTAAGGGGCCCTCTGTTGCTGCTGGGGAGTTGAGGCTTTAGGGTCCTGTTGTCGGAGTGAGCCTACTCGCATCGATGCTCTTCCAAGGGCGAGACGTGTATGTGTGTCGTGGCAGGAGAATCAGACCCCACAGGATGATGTCCGAACCCGGATTTTCGGGATTGTATCACGTCGCTCGCCGTTCACCGGTGTCCGCGGGATGACACTTACGCTGATCAGCTACCCAAAACTCAGGCGGCTCTGATTCCAGAACGATGGAAATTCACGTCTGTGGTTACTCTGGCCGTCGCTACATAGGTATCCAACATGAAAAGAAGCTTCGATTCCAACCAATCCAGCCTCGTTGTGCAAGATTATCCAATCCACCCTACCCGGTCTCCGTGTCATTTAAGGCCTGCTGAAGAGACTCTTGACCCATCGCGTCGCCTTGGTGAAGACCAGATACACACCAACCAGACCCCAGAAGCCCATGATGACCCCCAGCGCGGCAGCGAGCTTGGAACCTACCACCGTCTCTCGCACAGCATCACTCAACATCAGCCACCCGAACACTGGCGCAGCAGAGATGCTCGGGCTTTGTTCAACGTCTCTATCATCCATCCTCATCTCCGCGAGGTCCACCTCCCTCTGTTGGATCGTGTCCACCATCTTCCATGCCACCTTGTTGTTGATCTTGTCCCAGGTCGCCTCCCGCGCCTGCTTCAGCGCACTTTCTCTGAACCTGTCCCTCAGCTCCCTGTCATTCGCCAAGAGTACGACCCTGTCCACAAATGCAGAAAGATCATCAGGCGGCGTGAGAAACCCGCTCACACCATCGCTGACCGTGTCGCTGGGCCCTCCCATATCCCTCGCCACGACAGGCACACCCGAGGCAAACGACTCGAGCACCACAAGCCCAAACGTTTCGGAGACGGAGCAGTGCAGAAACACATCAGCGCTGGCATATGACTCGGCCAGCGCCTCGCCGACCTTGAAACCCGCGAAGATGACCTTGCCCTTCCGCACCAGGTCGGAAAAGAGGTCTTTGATCTCTGCCTCAACCTCCACCTGGCGGTTTCCGCCGACGATGTACAATTTGAAGTCCAGACCGCGCGCGTCCAACTCCTGGGCCACGAGGGCGAGGAAATCAAAGCTCTTCTCCGCCGCGAGCCTCGCCACGCAGATCAGTATGATCTCGCCATTTGGGGCTATGCTCTCTCTCAGCAACTCGCTCCTCTTCTCGGGATGAAACATGTCTGCATCCACCCCTCGCGTCAGAGACTCCATCTTGTCACCCTGCACACGGTGCCGCTCCAGGTACCGGCGCACATATGTGCTGGGGTAAAAGATGGTCCGCACGCTGGCGTGCCTGAAGAGGAAGCTCTGCACCGCCGCAAATGTGTAGTCAGCAATGTCGCCCATCGGCCACGGGAACAGCGTTTTGCAATAGCCGGCAAGGTCGGTCTGGAAATTGCAGATTACGGGGACCTGATCGCGCCGGTGCCGTTGGCGCAGCTGCAGCATGACCTGAAAGCCGAGGCTAGCAGGCGACGCGAGATAGATCAGGTCGGGCGGGCAGCCGAAGGTGCGGCGGTAGAGTTCCGAGAGGCGAACGAGGTAGGCTATGCTGAGCTCTGGGTTGAAGGGGACGGGGTAGCCGTGGAGGCGGACCTCAATATCCTTGGAGGCTGCCGCGGTGGTGCCAGTGCCACCATTGGAAGATGTCGGCGGCGCAGTGGCGGTAAATTTGGGGATGAAAGTGTTGACCTTGGTAGAGTTGTGCGGCGAGACGACGGCGAGGTCGCACCCGTTGGCGCGTAGATGATTGACAAGCATCAGCGTTGTCCGGCTGACGCCATTGACGGGACCGAAGGACTCGGTACAGAGCAAGACTTTTTTGCCCTTCAGGGCTTCTGGAAAAACCGAGAGATCATGCTTTGGGCATGGCGGCGAGGCTGTAGGTGCCATGGCGTTGAGAAGGCGCAGGCTGTTGGACCACGAAATTCCGAGCCGAACGACCTCACCTATTAGAGCCTTTTCGACTGCGCAGTAGCGATTCCACACTTAGTACAAGGTTTGAAGTGCAAGGAAACACAAGTACTGGAGTGTCAGAGCGAACAATTGGGTTGCCCTATGATAACAATGGCGATAGACTATTCGAGAGTCCAAGTACGTGACGACGAGGACTGGACGACTAAGGAATCAGCAACCATAATAATAGTAATGACACTATGAAGTCGTCGATATGAGATTGCGGTGCAGCCCGGTGTATCAAGTCGGGTGAGTTGGAAGCAGACGATGTTTTCGGTCAAATGGACATCGCGAGGATGTCATATGTCGGGCTCATCCGGCAGGGTCTGCTCAGAAATCTAGCAGCACGATACCTAAGGAATGGGTATCTCCACAACAAGATCAGTCATCTGAACCACCGAGTACACCCATACAAACCAAGCTTTCACCCAACAGCCAGACCGCCTGTCGCGGCATCTTTTCCTCCTTGCGGCTTGTGGAAGGAAAAAATACCTAGGTAGAATTCTCCACGCGATCAATACAGGGTGCAACCGCAGCCCAGGATTAATAGACTACCAAGGAACCTGACAATAGGTCAGGTATTGATCGACCCGTACTGTATGTCGGTCGACATGGATTTTGCATGTGGCCTTGACCTGCAGGAGAGCAGGGAGGCATGGCGTGGGAGCAGAATGCATCATCCGTGGGGCTCACCTGCGCAGAACATCTTATCTCGGGACTTACACCAGGGGGAGGCCAATCAGACACGGCGACCCAAGCACACGTCCCGGGCCCGCCCAATAGATAAGCCCCTCCAGAGCATGATGGAGGGGCATGCGGGTTCATTGGCAGGCTGTCTCTGACACATTTAGGCTTTTAGGGGTCCAAGGAGCCGGATCAAGGCCTGGCCTGCGACTATCTGCCTCTCATGAGGGCATTGGTATCTACGACTGCGACCATCTACAGATTCTGGGACACGGATGCGTCCTCTGGTCGGTCATGCGCCGGTGCCGCTCTGCCTCACCAAAGACCAACAGAGCCATCAGCTCAAACCCCGTGCCCGCGCTGGTTGGATATCGTGACAGCGCAGGCGCATCTAGACGTGCCGCGGTTGTTACGCTTGGAATGTGCGACAGGTGCGAGCAACTACGCACGATTCATTTCGCGTCTGCCTCTCTCCTCTTTGCCACGCTCTGTAAGCAATCTGAGGCTACGATGGGCTTTCCAGCAGCACGCTGTGCTCAGTTCGTAGGGGTGACTGGGAGTTGACGGGATCAAGCCCAATGTTTGCGCCAGACCCCTCTCTGACTGCCCGTATCAGGTTGCGTCGCCCGTTTTCTGTTTTTTTCTTTTTCCTGTAAATGATCTCACGATTCGAGCCAAGCTAGAGGTTGTCGACCGATCCCAGTGACTTTTTCATAAATATCTTGCAACTCTTTCCTGGGCTCGAGACCAGGCTGTGTCAAGCCACGCCACCAAAACACCTGCCTCCTGAGCAAATCGCACGGGATCAGGCTCTGAGCACGCGCCGTTTTACCTGTACTTGCTCCATTCCATCGTCACGAGGCCAGTTCCAGCTGTGAGAAAGACATCCGATCGACGGCAATTGAAAGAGCGCATAGCTCACCAGCCGCTAGATATTGTGCCAGAGCAAAATGGATTCCTTGTCGTCTCCTCCAATCGACAGCCCCGAGGGTAGCAACGTCCTCGACGGCTCGACGGCCCCTACGACGCCAGAAGGCAGCTACATGTCCAGCCCGCTATTACGTCCACAGGTTCTTGAGGCACTTGACATGGGCATTACCCAGACAAGGCCGGTTCGCAATATTTGTTGCGTCGGTGCGGGATACGTTGGTAAGACACAGCAGGCCGTTGATGATGATGCACCAACGACCAATTACTGATCGACGTTGGCTGCAGGCGGCCCCACGGCAGCAGTGATCGCTTTCAACAACCCACACATCCGCGTGACAGTGGTCGACCTCAACGAGAGCCGAGTTCGACGCTGGAACAGTAGACACCCCCCGATCTACGAGCCTGGCCTCGTGGAGATCGTGCGGTTGGCCCGAGACGGCGCGTGGGAAACAAAATTCGTTAACGACCCCACGACAGCCGTCCACGTTGATGATGGAAAGGCCCTGGCAGGTGCATCACCAGCCAGCCGGGAGATAATCGTGCCGGCCAGACAGCCGAATCTCGTCTTCAGCACCCAGGCAGGCCAATGCATCTCCGAGGCAGATGTCGTCTTGATCAGTGTCAACACGCCAACTAAGACGCGCGGCGCGGGGAAGGGATGTGCAACAGACATGACGGCGTTTGAAGCAGTCACCGCTGAGATCGCACGACACGCAAGACCGGGCGCGATCATTGTGGAGAAGAGCACTGTGCCGTGTCGGACAGCCCAGCTGGTACAGGAAACGGTATGTTACAAGTACTATCGGCGAGAGAGTCAAGACGCAGTCGGCCACTGACCCGCGAGACTCCCTGGTAGATGGCCGTCCACCGCCCTGGCGTGCACTTTGAGATCCTCTCGAACCCCGAATTCCTGGCAGCCGGCACGGCTGTACAAGATCTTCTCTACCCAGACCGCGTTCTCATCGGCTCCTCGCCCACTCCATCAGGCCGGAAAGCCGCCTCGGCCCTTGCGTCAGTGTATGCAGGCTGGGTGCCACGCCAGCGGATTATAACCACTAACGTATGGTCCTCCGAGCTCGCCAAGCTGGTTGCCAATTCGATGCTCGCGCAGCGTATATCCTCGATCAACTCGATAGCAGCTGTATGCGAGCAGACCGGCGCGGACGTGGACGAGGTCGCAACTGCGATCGGTGTTGACCCACGCATCGGCAACAAGTTTCTCAAGGCAGGCATCGGCTTTGGCGGGTCATGCTTCAAGAAAGACGTGCTGTCGCTCGTGTACCTGGCGCAGAGCCTCGGGCTGGACGAGGTGGCAGAGTACTGGAGACAGGTCAACGCCATGAACGAGTACAGCCGGAACCGGTTTGCGACACGGGTAGTGCGGTGTCTGAACAATACGCTGGTTGGGAAAAAGCTGGCTGTTCTGGGCTATGCGTTCAAGAAGAACACCAACGACACGCGTGAGTCGCCTGCGTTGGAGATTATTCGAACATTACTGGATGAAGGTCCCAAGGAGGTTGCCGTGTTTGATCCGTGCTGCAATCCGGCCACGGTGCGCGACGAGATCAAGCAGCTACTAAGGGGCTGCGAGGGCATTGAAGCCGGCCGTATATTAAAGGAGGATGGCGGGCCATTGGCCGTGTATGAGAGTGCCTACGAGGCGTGCGCGGCTGCTGATGCTGTCTTGATCACGACCGAGTTTGACGAGTTCAAGAACGGGCCGGGCAGAGCCAGGATTACTCCTAACCCTGCGATCATGAGCACCACTCTCTACCCGTCCAAGTCTTCACCACAAAAGGCGCCCGGCACATTTGACCCTCGACCTTTTGAAACGACAGAACCGAGCGAGCTGCAGTTGTTATCACTTCGCAAGTTCCTGCTCAAGTCACTACCAGTCACATCGCTGACCGCGCCTGGCTCTACATCTGCATCTCCGTCGTCGCCATCCAACCCCCTACAGAGGTTCCATGCTGAGCCAGCCTGCGATGTTAGCTGCCCCGACTGCAACCTCGAGAAGAGCGGTCACATACCGAATGAGCAATACAAGCCCAAAGAGAGGGTGGATTGGGCTAAAGTCAGCTACCACATGAAAAAGCCTAGATGGGTATTTGATGGAAGAGGGGTGCTCGACGTGACGGAGATGGAGAGGCTCGGATTCCGGGTTGAGAGTGTCGGGAGATAAAGCTGTGAGCTATTCACGCAGCGGTCCTGGTCAAACTCACCTGTGCTTGCATTCGTAAAGCTGAGTGAGGTCATTTCGATGGCATGTGTTTCCTTTACATCATTTGTCTTGCGTTCTTTTCCGTCTGAAGTTGAGGTTTTATACCCCTTTGTGCAGCGTCTAAAAGATGTTCGACAATAGATTGGATAGAACGGTCAAACCTAGCTCTAAATATAGTTTTCCCAGCAGACAATTCTTCACATCTCAGAGTACACATAGACTAATCCCACCTACCCATCACAAGCACAAGCGATGTAGTCGGTCCTCTAACGAACGGATGAGGCCACTGCTCAGATTTGTGTGTGATGCGAAGAGCGACACAGACCAGTGTTTCATGCAAGTGATTCCCGGTGGGGTTTGATCCTGGTTCCGTCCCATGTCAGGCTATATGCAGACAGTTATATGCCGTACAGTGGTGCACTCCTGGCACTCTAATCCCTGGCGATGACATGCCGTGCCAGACTTTCACCTCAGGGTTCCGAGAACAAGGCCCGGAGCCGTCACACTCGACGTCATTCTTCAACATGGTGGAAGTGATAAACTGTGTGTAGACACAGCCCACAACCCACCCACTTTTGAAGGTTAGAGCACGCTCCAAGATGTGATTACAAGCTCGCCCGACTCGCTACCCACTTCCCAAACTAACATCTTCGTTTGCTACTTTTCGCCAAAGCGACCAAAGTCCAACTGGAATAGGGATCCGACCTCTCCAAATAATGGGCTCCTCATCAGGCCTTGCGGGGCTAAAGTGCCTCCAGTGGATATTCCGTGGCATCCAGTTCGTGTGCTCAGTCGTCATATTGGGCATTTACTCATACTATCTCGCATCCATGGCCAGTCACAAGATAACCATCTCAACGAATATAAAGGCCATAGAAGGTATATCGGCTATTGGCACCGTATATACAGCCCTCGGCTTGCTATTTGTATGCTGCTGCGCAGGATTTCCAGTTTCCTCCTTCATTGCCATCATTCTGGATGTCGGACTTATCGCCGCGTACATTTATGTTGCTGTTGGCAATCGCGACGGGGCCAGCTCGTGCACCGGCAGCAACGTAAACACTGTCTACGGTTCTGGGGCGGGGAGTGCTACTCCCAGCTCGAGTGGATCAGGGAATAGCATCGCCAACATCCCGGTGAACGGACTGCCCACATTCCAGATAGCTTGCAGGCTGGAGACGGTATGCCTTGCCGCTGCTTGTATCGCCTGGTAAGTAATCATACGCTATGGAGGACAGGGCTTTAGTCTGTCATCATATGCTCTAGGCCAAATGTGAATGGAATTAACGTATGTACTCGACCTACAGCATCTTCTTCGCACTCTCTATCCTGCTAGAGATCAGCCTCAATCGCAACCGCCACAGAGCATCCCGCCCTGTTCGCGACGCTGATGGCGAGTACATCTCCAAGTCAGATTACTACGGACAGGGTGCACCTCCCCAGCGTCGCCAAGGCCTCAGACCATTCCTGGGCGCACTCCCCTTCCGCCGTCGCGAGCCTGAGGACCCGGATGTGTTGCCAATGCACCAGCAACCTGGTCAAATGCAGACACGGCAGGTCGAGACTTGGGGGGAGGTCGTATCCCTGCATGACAGTGATCGGCTGTACTTTAATGAAGGCGAGGATCGCGATGAACATGGACCGCCTGTGCAGTTCACATCAACGACAGCACCACGCCCGGCCGCGAATGAATACAACGAGGGCGAGATATCCGATCGGGAATACAACCTATACCAGGAGGACGAAAGGGGCAATGACAATAGCGAATCTGGGCGACGCACCAAGCAAAGGGAGAGCAGGGCTGCGAGAGCTGAAAGGTTTGCGGCAGCTTGAGCAGGAGCTAGCCTTTACTGTCTCATGGGTCAGCTGAAATAAATGGCGTGAGCGTTGTCAGTACTTGCAATTTTTTTAATTTTTTTTTGAAAAGGGTGGCCTCGCTCTGAGCGGAACAAGAAGCCGCCTTGTGTCGAACAGTAACGACGAATGAGTGTCTTTAAGGCAACAATTTCCACGCCGACGTTAATCATGGTAACACGAAAGGCCAAGTTGGCCAGATGAAAATGATATCCTTATACCCGTTTCCATGAAAGATTTGAGTCAGCTAGCATCAGTATACAAATTGCAACTCGTAATTCAATTGCACTGACTGCTTCCACATCTGCTTCTAGGCTGTTTGTAAAATTTGATTTCATGTTGTAGTGCCTGCCCTCTTGCAAGAGTTATTTTATGCTAAATGCTACTACTTTTAATCACGGTATAAGATGTTGTAGAAGAGAAACAACCCAAATGAGAACTTGACAACATTAACTACCGCCCTGAGAACAGCTATTAAAGCTGTGTAGAAGACATCTAAAGACGCCCGGTAATTGTTAGGTAGCTGTCGTTCGGAGAATGAGATCCAGCAAGTTTCCAAGTCGCTGGGGACCCTTCCCTGACTGTGGCAAAGTTAAAACTGATATGTTCCTTGGTTGTGTGATTCATAATGAGTCTTCTCAATAAGCGTAAACATCATCAAAAGAGCTTCTGTAATGAAACACGGGAGCCACATCCCAGAGACATCGAGGAATACCTCAGATTTTCGCTGGCTCGATAGGCAGATGGCCCTGAACGTACGCTCCGTGGGTCTACATAGGAAATGGCACAGTTTCAGGTTGCCAATAACAGCTCCCTCATCCTAACAACTATCCAATTTACTCACTAGTTTAAAAGAACTTCTCTTAATTTCTCCCAGTCGTACTTCGAACTTTAGTTTGCACCTAGAACCCAGTTCTCAGCCATTTCGTACTTCAGGCCTAGGTCGCAGCCAGTTCGTCTCCAGTTCGTACTCAGGGACTGACAAAGGTCTAATCAGAGTAAAGTCTTGACTATTTTAAAGTAAAAGAATATCTCTTTAAAGTTTCAAAATACATAAAAGAATATTCCAAATGTCTTCGGATTTCATGGTACAAAAGTTTGTGGGTTGTCTAAAACAACAAAAAAATGCAATTCTTCTCTCTCGCCGGGAATTGAACCCGGGTCTCAAGCGTTGCTGCTTCCTGGATGGGCGATGACAAGCTTGCATACTAACCACTATACTACGAAAGAAGTTTCTTTGAATCCCAGTCTGACTGGGGTAGCTGGTGGGCTGTTGGAAAATCTTGGCTGGTTTTAGGATATATGTTCTTCAAATGATTGTATTTTCTTTCCTTGCAAATCATCTCTTTTCACTTTCAAATAACGTAACATTTTTTTAGTCTTTATATAAAGTTGTATTACAATATATTTTTTTTCTTATTTTCAAATGTAAAAGTAGTATATAATTATTATAATCAATGAATAATTGAATCTACTTCAAAAGTTTAAGGATATCCACTTCAACTAGAACATCCACAAGCTGTTATTCCCTAACGACTGTTCAGATGCACATCACAATAGAAGGCGAGTCATTCCAAACCGCGTACGCCGAATACCGGGAAGTGGGAGCCAGTCTCCAGCATAGAGTACATTATATATACACTGTCAGCTGCACTTGTTGTGGAAATGCACATCTGCTCAGGGCATTCATTTGTACACATCCAAAGTCTGTTCGTTTACATTCATCATCAAATTACCTCTTTAATTACAAGAACCCTTTGACTTCATATCCGTAAATATGCAGTTCAGCACTCTCGTCACCTTCCTCATGCCCCTGGCTCTCACTCAAGCTGCCACCTGGAACCTCTCTGGTACCTGCTCGGCGGATCTTACTTGTGAGATCGATACTCAATACACGGCCCCGGAGCTACCCGCTGTATGCGGCAACAGGAATGGGCATTTTGCTGGGACTGGTACCAATGGAAAGACTAGCTGCACGCCTGCAAACACCAAGTGCACATACGTGTGGGAGTGCTAGGACAACTCGTGGTTGCTCATGTATGAGTGAAATATGAAGAGCAAGTTTGAATCAGATAGGCAGAAAGCCTACCCCAAGCCCAGTGTGATGAATTATGCGGACTAGGAACAGACGTTGAGGGCTTTGGAAGGATGGAGCCTGGTTGGCAATTAGTGGCCGGTGAACTTGGGGACTGAGTGACAAAACCAACCTGATCTAACTGGAACCCTCGCTTGCAACGGGCTTGAATGCCTTACATGACTCAGGGACAGTGATTAGCAATATCTAAGGGTCCCGCTTTCCACATCAACTACGCAAGAATGACCTGTGAAAGCCTGAGAATTAGAGAAATTAACATGTCATCCTAACAATAACCGATCCTATATGAAATCTCTCAGAGTTGATCTTGTTACAGAGAGAGTCTTTCCATATTATCAACTTCACCACAACCCTATATATGTTGCAAGTTCCCAAACCAAAAAGACTACGTAGAATACAGAGTCACTGCATCTGCACTGTTTCAGTCTTGCTCAACATACACGTACAGTTTTTAAACACCTTCCTTACATCAATGATATGTATATATACATAAAAAATCTCAGAATTAAACCTTGGATACTTACTGGCATAAGCTGGAAACTTACTCATATTGCCGTATAGACACTTGCTTAACGACAGGTACTGAAAAAATAAGCTTAAAAGAGATGTAGAAAATAAATGGTCCCGGAGAGGATCGAACTCGCGACCTTGGCATCACCGATGATTCCCATTCAGGGAATTATTAGTACCACGCTCTAACCAGCTGAGCTACGGGACCATTTGTTGATAAAAAGCAATGGAAAAGAGTATTATAATGTAAGGATTTTGTAAAAAGATCGAGATCAAACTTCGTCTCTATAGATAAATTTTTAATTAAAATCATATGTTAATATTCATGATACTTTTAGAGCAACACATTTTTATAAGTATAATTGTAATATTGTGTTATTATTATTCTAGTTTTATCTAATTATAAATTACTTTAAAATATAAATGCTTCTGGCTGTGACGGTGGAACACGACGGGACTGGTATGACCAGAGGCGGCTGCGCCATAGACCACCACTTACAACCGCAACGCCCTTTGCTCCCAACACAGGATTTAAAGGCAGCCTTCTCTTTCTCTCTGTTTCGTTAGCAGGGAAAAGGATTTCCTTAGAATTTCACAGCAATGAGCAACTTGAGAGCTTTGCCTCTCGGTATATCTGTCGTGACATTGCCAAGGGCTTTGATTATTACAACTCATTTGCGTGCTATCCGTTCAAGGAGCCCATTAGTCCGCCATGTTGCTTGTAAAGTAATGTAGGGAAGTTCTATTATTTGTCTAGTTTTCGAGGCCCTTGACGTCTTCACTGGCAGGCATTTTTGGCCTGTCCCATCGTTGAAAGTGTGTATGGAAATGTCACAAAAGCTGCTCCGTCTCCTAGGTCCGCAGATAAAGGATTGCAACTATAGTGCTCAACAGTAAGTACATCGGCAAACATCGAGGTTAAGTCCCCACGTAGATGACACTTCCATGCAGATGTTCAGCAATGAAGAGATGTGCCAAGGGTGCCCCTATCTTGCGGGCCAAGCTCCATCACAAAATCTCAACTTCCGTGTAATGCTAGTGGTCAATCTGCACACAGCCGCGATTGCGTAATCCGCTAGGGAAGAGTTGCTCCATGCCCATCACACGGTCTGCCGGCCTGACTCACGGTCTCCGTGTAATATTCAAAACTCGACACAGAACTCCTCCTCAATTTACCTTTCATGTGCAAGGCGCAACCAACCTCTTCACGGCACTGATACGCCTCGACCAAGCCGGAGGCTAGTGATGACCATGCGAGCGCAAAGCGACCAAGGTGTCTCGACCTTGCAACACACTCCCCTTCGCTCCGCCTATAGCCCCTCCCAGATCCTCGCCTACCTCCAGCACATCTCTTTCCCACTATCATTAGATTTCCCTCGCAATGCGCAGACGCTAACCCTCCTTCATCACCTGCAAATTACCACTATCCCATATGAGAACCTCTCACTGCACTACAACCCACACCATCTCAACGACATCGACCCACAGGCGTTGTACCAAAAGCTCGTCGGCCCGCCGAACCGGGGGAGAGGAGGGTACTGCTTCGAGACAGCAGTCTTCTGGCTGAACATCCTGCGCGGCCTCGGCTTCACAGCTTATCACAGCCAGGCCTCGATCCGCCTGCGTGACGGGCCGGTGCCCAGGGGCGACTTTGTTGGCCCGAGACATGTCGTGACTGTGGTGGAGTTTGGGAGTGAGCGGTGGGTGACGGACGTTGGATTCGGCGGCGACGGGATGACAGCACCGCTTCCGCTGCTCCACGAGCTTGAGGCCGGGCGTGAGTATCCGAAGCACAGGAACCTGGGATCGCAGGAGGTGCGGGTCACGCGCGGTTTGTACCCCGGTGTGGTGTCTGATGGAGAGGGCAACAAGGTCTGGTTCTACGAATACCGTAACCGTCCAGAGGACGAATGGAACCGGTACTATGCGTTCGGTGATCGCGAAGCTACATCTTGGGACCTGGAGTGTGCCAATTATTGGGTCTCGTCGCACCCTGAGAGCTTCCAGCGGAAGCAGATTCTTGTGGTCAAATTCCTTAGAGACCCTGGTGAACATGTCTGGAAGGAAGGGTCGATAGAGGCTGCAGACACAGCCGATTCGGGCACCATTGTGGTTCCAGAGGTGGGAACAGTTGGGAAGATCATGCTTGCGGATGGAACAATTAAGAGGAATCTAGGAGGCAAGACCGAGGTGGTTAAAGTTTGTCGCACGGAGGAGGAACGAGTCCAGGCTTTGAAGGAGTTCTTTGGGATTACCCTGAGTGACGCCGAGAAACACGGCATAGAGGGATTTGAGACGGCTTTGGCGTGAAATAAATTTGAAGCAGAAAATATGGTAAAATGCCCAAAACATTGCGAATATCGTCTTTGAAGGTCTTTCTACAAGAATGAGGCATGCTCTGAATCAAAACAACAACAGCAGCGCTTGAAGTGTGAGGCAGATTCTCTTTCACAGACATGCATCCTGATACAAGATGCCATCTAAGTTCGGGGTGCTCACTTAACTTAGATCTACTGTCTCGCACAGGTATTTATACCTCCAGGCTTTTATTCATCAGCTACATGGCCGACTTCTGCAAGCACCTGGATTCATTGAAGCTACAGGGAAAATGGATGCACCCATGCCCCTGAGCGTGGTTGTGACCCTCATATGGCGGCTTCCTGATTCCAACAGTCATGACTGTCTACTTGTGGGCAAGGATAGTAAAGTACTTCAGTGGCTTATGCAAGCCTGAATTGCCGGGTCATGATTCAGCTTCGTCAAGGAGAAGCTTGACGTGCTTTTGGAAATGGAGACCCGAAAATGCCTCCAACTATCCTCTGTGATTTCGTCAACCGAGGGTGACTGATGGTTTCGTCCCTAAATACCTCGTGTCTGAGTGAGGCTGTACGTATGGGGGTACCGTGTTGTCTCAGGTCAACAATGAGCGGGACAGTGGGAACAAAAATCCGATGTTTGTAGCTAGAGTAGCAGATCTTGAAATATCAAATCCTGAACTTGGTCATCTGAGCAGATCTAATGAGCCTTGGCGTCGAAAATCGCAAAGGCGGCGGCGATGACTTTGAAACGCATCATCGATGATTTATACGCTACAGAAACTGTCAATGTGTAATACCATAGCCAAAACCACAACGCTCTTTTGGATATCTATCTCCCTCCCAGTATAACAAATGCTTCAAACAGTCCACACCACAATGCAAGACGCCAGCCATCTTATGTCGTAATGTACGGCTCAAAGACACACATCTATCCATCCCGTCATCTATACACCATATCCTCCACACAGCGTCTATTTTTGCTCGAAACATTCAGTCCACGGATTCCCTCACTCCACCCCAGCCTCCCTCTCCGCCATCGTTCGCCCCCTCTCCCCGGTGACGACTGCTTCGCCACCATCCTCCACCTCCGTCATCTTGAGAGCCTCCTGCACGTCGTCCACAAACTGGCCCTCGCCGCCCACGAGGTCCACGATGCCGCTGCGCACCATAAGCTTCCACACCTTGCTGTCGGCCTTGCCCCGGTTCGGGCACCGGCTGAAGAAGACCCGCACACCGCGCTCGCGGTACGACCGCACAATCTCCTCGAGCACCATCGTGCCGGACCCATCAAGGGAGGTAACACCGTGGATATCGAACACGATGTTTCTGTTACTGTCCTCGTGGCGAAGGCGGGGCAGGGCGGGGTGGGCTTTGCCCGTGCCGTACATCTCCAAGCGTCTGAGCCTGGTCCTGAGCTCGCCTGTGTTGGCAAAAGTCAGCGGCTCAGGGATCTTGACGATCAGACAGCCCTCGACAAACTCGAGCCGTTCGGGGTGGTCTTCTGCGTTTTCGAAGCGCTGGGTGCCTGGGATGCGGCCCAGAATTTGTATCCTGGGCCGTGTGGCGTGTCGGATGACCTGCAAAAGCGAGACGCCGATACCGACAGCGATGCCCATGTTGAGAGAATAGAATATGGTAGTCAGAACGATGACAAACATAAGCCCAAGCTCGGGCCAGGCGCCGATGCGAAGGAAGAATGCGATGTCGTGAGGGGCTTCTTCAACTAGAGAATAGGCGACTACTGTAATAAGAGAGGAAAGTACGGGTTTCTGTTCGCGGTGTCAGATAAAGACTCGTGATAAAAGTTGGGCGTCAGACCCCGAGCTGATTTCACTCACTGGAAGGTAGTAGAAGTAGGGCAAGATGAAAAAGATGCAGATAACGGCCAGACAGCTCAAGAAAATGGAGCTCATGGGCGTCTTGCCACCCGTCTGCTTGTTCACCTTGCTCCTGCCGTAGCCACCGAAAGCAGGCATGCTCATGAAGCAAGCACCGATCAAGTTTGCTGTGCCCAGCGCCACGAGCTCCCGGTTGGGACTGAGCTGGATTCCGGGCACGTCTTTGCTGGGGCCTAGACTCTTGGCGGCGACAGAGGATTCGAAAAACCCAAGCAGGGCAATCAGAAACGAGGTGCCCATGGCGTCCCTGATGTGCGTCATATGAGACAGCTGAAAGGGCCATCTGAATGTGAAGACGTGGCCTGAGGCCGCCTTGATTTCGCCCATGATGGCAACACCCTTTGCCTCCCAGTCAAGACTGTAGCACAGAATAGCTGATAACACGACAACTATCAGACGGTCGGGTATGTACACCAGATTAGGATAGCGAGGCTGTAGCTTCTTTTTCATTTCCCTGCAAGACGTCAGCGTGATCCGATCTCAACCGGCGCGTGTGAAGGCTAATGATAGGCGAATCCTACCTGCAAGTCATGACTATAGCAAAGCTGACGAAGGATATGACGGCGGTGAGGACATGAACGTCGCCGGTATGTGTCAAGATAAAGGTCAGCTTGTCCATGGTACTACCATGGCCGACGTGGTCAGCAGCGAGCTGGGCTAGGCCTAACTCAGGCATCAACTGCTCCACAAAGATCACAAAGCCAATCGCCGAGATGAAACCACGCAGGAATGGCTTTGAGAGCACACTGTCGAGGAAGCCCAAGCGGAATAGGCCTGACAACAAGATGGTGGCGCCGGCGGTCCCAGCGATGACTCCGCATATCTTAGCATGCATGACGGCGTCGTCGTCACTGCCACGGCCAAGCTCCACGCTGCCCTTGACGACGCTCCCGACAAGCAACGACCCGGGAGCCTCAGGGCCGAGGATCATCTGGGGCGCGGTGCCCAGGATGGCGTACAGGAAGGGGTTGAAGACGAAGGAGTACAGGCCGTTGATTGGTGGGACGTGGGCGAGAGTATCGGCGAGGGAGAGGGCCATTGGCAGGTACATGCCGGCGATGGTGAGGGCGGCAATGAAGTCGCCCTTGAGGAAGGAGAGCTTGTACTGGCGCATCCATATCAGGGCCGGGAAGTAATAGGAGAGGTACCTGCAGGCGATGTCAGTGGCGGGCTCTCCCGTGGTTGGCCTTGTGTACGCACATGAAGGCGTTGTCCTGGACGCCATGCCTCTCGGCCAGCTCGCTGGACCTGCCCATGGTCTTTGTCCTCATGCGCTTGGCCCACCGCTTCCTCCAGTCGGGGGCGCCTTTGGCAGCAACATAGGCGACAACACTGTCTATTATGGGCAGGGAGCTCTCGGAGGAAGCCCCGGGCGAGGGCGCGCGCGAACCGTTTGCGGACGCGTTGAGAGAGCGGCTGAAGCCGTTGGTGGGACTCGAGGGCTGAGGAGAGAAGGTGCCGTGGCTACAGGGCCCCTCGTGGGCATGCTCGCGGTCCAGGGCGTCCCGGAGCAGGGCTGTTGTTTCCGACGGTGCTCTTGAATGGCCGGACCGCTTAGGAGGGGAGGAGTCTTGGGCAGCGGAGCTGCTCGTGACGTCGGGGGAGGGCGAGGGCGAGGGCGAAGGCAAGGCTTCGGGGCTGGCGGTGTAGGTCCTGCGCAAGCCGCTGGGGGTGGAGGGTGCGTGTGGGTTGGTGCCCGAGGGCGTTCGAGAGTCGTTGGAGGCCATGTTTGCTGGTGGTGGTGGTGGTGGTGGTAGTGATATTCGTGTCGGGTCTTTGTGTGTTCACATCACCGTCTGCGCCGTCGAGTGTTGCGTCGCGTAATCATGTAGGATCGGCGGCAGGTTCTCTCGTCTGTCTCGTGCGGTCTGGTCTGGTCGAAGAGTAAGGAGTGATAAGAGCAGAGCGGATGGCGAAGAGACGGTGAAGTAGGCCTATGCCGTTTAAATCATGCGCCTGTCGCGGACGGTTGGCTCGCCGAGTCAGACTGAGATCAGTTGCCAAAGACGAGTGGCAGCCGGCCAGCCAGACAACTAGAATGTTAGTCAATCAATCAATTCATCGAGAAAAACTGTACAGAATCGGGCGCTGGGTCGTCAGCCAAGCAAAGGTGCAGAGACACGAGGAAGGGAAACAGGGCGCGATGCCGTCTGTCCAATGTCCAAGGGAAGTTTGACTAAAAAGTTGGGTCGACGATGGAGGGGTTTCTGGGGGCATTTGTCACGCCTGGGACTTTTGGGACTTGGCCCGGGCCGCTCAACCCAACGTCGCCCCAACGCATGCCTTAGTCTACACCGTTGTCCAAACAGCCTGCGAGTCTGAGAGTCCCTCGGCCGCCAAGCGATAAACGGCGCCGGTCTCGCGGTGGCTTCCCGGCAACTGGGAAGGGCCACGGGCAACCAACCAACCAACCAACCAACCAACCACCAAAGCAGGCCAGGCTAACACCAGTCAGCTGTCATCCAAAATCACAGCCCCACCGTCTCACGGGCCAGGTCCCCAGCTCGAGCCCACGTCCCCAGTCCAAGATCTAGATGCAGATGCAGATGCGGATGCAAATGCAAATGCAAATGCAGATCCAGATCCAGATCCAGGTCAAGGGGCCCAAGCACGACGCATGGAACACAACTCTACTCTGGCATCCTGTCACCACGTCAAGCAGCACGGTGCAACGTGTCACAAGATTCAAAACCGTTCGTCCCTACCAATGAGTTCTCAATCGTCCCATTTTTAGACACAATTAACAAGCGGGGATCGTTATACGGCGGTTCCAAGCAACCACTATTTAAAAACCCCAACTTAGAATTTTACATTACTACACCTATACTACCCTTTCCCTATTACCCTAATAACTACTTTCCCTTAGCTATTTATACTACTTATAATAATAAGTATTTTTAATTTACAAACTAAATTTTTAAATCCCTTATTTTTAATTATATATAATTATAAGCAATTATTTTTATTTTATAATTTTTATAATATATATTTTAATATTATTAATATACTTATTTAATAATAAAAAGCCTTTACTTTTAAAAATAAAGCTTTATTTATAATACTTATTATTATAAAAATTTATATTAATAATAAGGAATTTATAGTTTAAATTATTAATAAAATTTATATTAAGCTATATAATAATATATATACTTTTTTTAATAAAACTTAAATAAGTATTTATTTACTACTATTAATTTAAAAACTATAATAAACTTTAATATATAATATATTTTTAAATTATTAAGCGCTTATTTATTTAAAAAAGCTATTATTATAAAACTAGTATTATTAAAATAAAAATTAAATTTAATAATTTTACTTATATATATACTATTACTATATATATTCTTTATAATAAAAAGGATATTAATTAATATTTAATATATATAAATAGTAAATTAATAAATTTTAAAAAGAATTATATTATTAATAAAAATAATTTTATTAAAAGTACTTATATAAACTACTATTATTTTAATTATAATAAAAGCTATTCCTTTATTATTAATAAGTATTATATAATATTTTATAATATTTTATTTAAAATTATATAATTAATAATAATAAAAGTTAAAAAAAAAAAAAGTATAACTTTTATAAATATAAAGTATTTTTTTATAATTTTAAAAAAAAGTATATTTAAAAAAGCAATAGCAATAAGCTTTAAAAATAGCTTAAAATTATTAATATAAAGATTATATATTATAAAGAAAGTATTATTAGTTTAGTAAAAAAGTATTATTTTTAGAAATATAATATAAATAATTATTTAAATAAATATTAATATTAAAAATAAAAGAATTATTAAAAAGCTATTATAAAGTAATATATTTTTATAAATAAAATTTAAAAATTAATTATAAAATAAAGAGAATAAAATAATTAAATAATAATTAATTATAATAATTAAAAAATATATTAAAATATAATAAATATTAATTAATAAAATATAAAAAAATATAATATATTAAGTATTTATATTTAAAGCTAAAATAAAATAAAACTAAATTAAAATATATATAATTAAATATAAATATAAATATTTTAAAATAGAGAAAAAAAATTATTTTAAAATTATTTTAAAATTTTATTTTTTAATTTTTTTTAATTTTTTTTATTTTTAAAAATTAAA